TGCCTTGACACTAGCACGTTAGAGCCCGTCATATGAACCGAGGCCTTAGATCACCAAACACTTGTGGCGAGAACATGTGTCTAGGATGTTGAATCATGCCATGGCGTAGTCGAGGCCCGGGCTGACATGTAGTGTTGTCAAGTGCGGGAATGGAGCAAAACCCAGCCATTGAGACTATTTACGTGGATAACTTAGTGGCTCCGAGTATGGGAGCACGGATACCAGATACCAGCGAGACGTTCGATATAGACTCCATAGAGTGGGTTTGACAGCGGAATTTGAGGGATATTCGGATCCCGCGGGTTGCCGCTGGTTTATTTGAGCTAGTACTCCGTGAGATACTACAGTATCTGTTCAAATCTATACCTCCAAGTGTTGACGGTGTGCGGCTTGACCCGGAAGACAAGCTAAATCCGACCATACTCTATACGGAGACAGTAGAAACCATTCGAAGTGACATACGCAGATCCTCCCGAGTGTGGGGGAGTCAATACATGTAGTGTAGGCTGTGGATTCCCTAAATGCCTTAGTCGGCCCTTTCCGTTAAGCCTGAATCTGAAACAGCCAGTTCACCGTATCTCGGGACAGAACACGCGTTTTTGAGGCTTTTTGGTAACACTAGCGTGCACGGGGCCTTGGCTTTTCTTTTTTTTACCTTTTTTTTTTTTCCTTTGACATTTCTAGAGGCGAGACCCTCTCGGTGTGGGAGGTGTTGCATTATTGTTCAGGCCACTTTTTTTTGCGGGGCCTACACTTTGCGGTGTGCTCTCGTGGAGTTGCTCCCTTTTGGGAGAGCTTTGGCCTGATTGTGGTCATTGTTATTGCGACTTTTCTGTATACAGTAACAGTTGGAAGAAAACGTGCTCGAGGTGTGGATTTGAGCAATTGACTAATGATTACCAATTGGTAAACTAATTGCTTGGGCTAATTGACGGTGTATTCGAGATTGGAGATAGGCAGAGGGATTCCATGGATTTTCTTAGTGTAATCTCCAGGGCTGTTTTGCCTCATTATACAGTGTCTCTAAGCCGAATCAGACATCAAGCCCGCGACCGGTGGTTTCGGCTATCGCGACCATGTCACACAATCTATGCAGCACTGCCACCCTCTAAGCTTGGAAGTGGTTCTACGCACGGGACGCCAAAAATGAGCTTCACACCGAAGCCACAAGGTCCTCGGAGCACGTGTCTCAAAGAAGCGTCATGTTACATTCGAGCTCAAACGAATTGCGGGGGGAAGACCCAGTCTAACCAGTTTCACACCGCGGCGAATCCATGGAAGAGAGGTCAACGCCGCCTCTACGAGTGCATCAGGAATTGTCTGTAATCCCACAGCGGATACCTAGGTATACACGTGCAGAGTTCACGTCCAGTAGAGAGCACACAAGTCGTGAAATTCCACAAAAATTTCCCACTGTGTGGGCATCACGGAGAATTTCAGACAAACTTTCACTAGAGCTTAGCCCTACACTGCATGTGTTTCACATTCAGTTCCTCGGTATCCGCATACTCCAGACTCCAGAATCGCGATCTCAGTTCCAAAATTCCCTCCGACACTAATCCCAGTACGGTATTCAGTCCCTGGTCCTGACTATCTCAGGTTTAACCTTTGACCATTCGTGCTATCGCTCGCTACCTGCTTTTCTAGAAGAAATATACGCTCGGATCCTCATACTATCTACGCTGAACCTACACATGTCCAGAGACTTGCCGACATGGAAGAACGTGGAAAAGCTTCGGGAGGAGTTCGTTTCAGGTAAGATCTTCTGCTCATCGCGAGTCCACATAGCTCGGGGTTCATTTCCTTTAGATCCCCTTCACACTAGCACCACTAGCACACAACTATATACCACTAAGACCGAGATATACCAAAAAGCAAACACAACCAATGGCGTTATCACCACGTTCACTCGCATCTTTACAGAGTTTTACAAGAAGCTTTCTCTTTTCGGGAATGGTTCGTGGACCCCCACTCGTTTCCACCCGACGTATGGGTCGGCCTTTGGTGAACCCACAAATTAGAAAAGAGGATCGGAATGGGACACGATCTGTTGTACGCTGTAAAATACAGGGAAATGCGGAGATGGACTGTCCCGTGGTGGAATGGAGTGAGCCGTGGTGCATTAGAGCCACGGATACAAATCGCTCAACCCAATTGGCTTTCTCGAGGCTATTCACACTTGGAGACTAGCTTCCTGTTCCTGACCCAGAACGAACCGTCTGGGACCCGACGCCTTGGCACGCACACAGCTTCCTCCCCGGAGGATCCAATTAACGGACGTTCCTGGATGGGGACCGTGGTGGGCCAGTGATTTGGATGGTTGGGAAAGAGTGATTTGATCCTTCGATGTCGTATCTCTTGCACAATCATCTGGTACGACTGGGGCCAAAGGATGTACCCCAAGAACATGGTGCACTATGTGATCCGTTCTCGCTATGGATTCCGGGTTCATTGCCCCGATATCTGAAGCACGGAATGGTCCCGAGATATCGATACATGCGTAATTCTATGTGAACTTAAAGAATAGACTGGAAAAAAGGTTCTATAGTACAAGGTTCAGCACTAAATTCTCCCGTGATAGACATCTTCAGCACACTATATCCCGTAGTTCGTATCCACCGAATACACCAGGAAACGCTGAAGAACGCACCAAAAAACCCTCTAGCAACAACTATATGTAAGTGGCGCAAGTCTAAGTCTTGCTCGGGGAGATACCGTCGGTACGGATGACCGTGTTGTCTATCACGATCGCCCGGCTCCATATCCCATCAGATAGTGTATAATCCCACGGCTCAAAACCAAGGAAGTGGGCTAACGTTCAGTCTCCTCAGCAGATCTTCTCGTGCTGCTGCAAGAATGTACGTAACACATTCTACAAATTAAAGTGTGGGCTTCCATGCCCTTTGCCAGAGGAACACAGCTATCTCCCTCCATGTCCCAGCCTCACATTGGTGTATGTGTACACCTGCAAGCTAGCGTCTGAGGCGGATCTGGTCCCACGCGCTGAAACCGAAATCAAAGCTGATCTGAAACTTGGGTCGGGATCTCTCCCAGTGGCAAGTATCTCTGAAGATATCATTCGATTATGCACATTCCCTCATCTCAAATTCTCAGCTGAAGGGGCGATCCAGCTCGGGTCTCTGCACATCAACAGCGATCTTGCCAGCCTGGCCACTGTCCACCCTCTATCCCTCCCGCACCCACATCAGTGGATAACGGAGCCAACACAGAGCACCGTACGGAATACGGAATACGGAGTACACGGAAAGCACAGGCCCCACAAAAGCACAGGACAATTTACTCGTATCGAGAAAGCGGGTTATCTGAATCTCACAGTCTGCGGAACATAAGCTAAAGTCGCTCCATTTTATTATCTTGCCCACCACCCGAAAAACCAGAGCTCCAATCTTTGGGTCGAGTAAATCGTGGAGTCCCAGCAATCACGACATTCCCACATTCAGTATCCGGAGGAGATGAAATTTGAAACATGAAACTTAACTCAGATCTGAGCATCCACTTCCACGCAGGAATCATGCATTGAAATCGCCGTCCATGGACCCGGGTCGAGTCCACCTTCTTTGGTTCAGGCACCGATCCAGAACAGTGGGACTAGCACTAGAGGGGAAAACACACTTCCAGATTGAGAACTACAGACGAGATTGAAAGCCTACTATTTTATATATGGACGTGAGACGAGACTGAGACTCGGTAAAGAACCGCCACCACAAGCCACTGATATGCTACTAAACTACTACAGCGAGTTTACGAACTTGTGCGCGGGTTTTTGCGGAATATCCGGACCATCTCGTATGTGCCAAGAGAGGCTTCAATTGCGGACCAGGGGCGGTGTCTCCATTCTCCATTCTCCATTCTCGGTTCTCCAGGCTCCATGTCCGGGCCGTGTGATCCAGCTATGCTGTACGGGCCGTATGCTGGTTGTACCTTGCGAGCCGACAACGTCCCGGTGTGGATTGCCAGGCCAAAAAGATACGCAAGATATGCACTATTACCGCCGAAGATCCAGGGATTCAGCCTTAATGGGATGGATATTTCGTGACGGTCTAATTTGATTTCTAAGGAAGTGGTAGTGTGGTTCCTAACCCCGAAGGTCCTTCCCGAAGGTCCTTAACCAGAATCATTCGATTTTTGGCCAGGATATCGGCTATTAGGTGAGGTGACTGCAGAACAGTGTGTACCTTCCATATATCTGCTCTGCGGCGGTCTTGCTGAGCTCTTAAGAGAGAAGCACAAGCAAAGACCAATGAGAGTATTCATGCTCCAGCAGCTGTCCTCCGTACAGCTGAAATGTACGCGCTGTACAAACTGTACAGACAAAATGGCCTCAGTGAATGGTTAAAGTGAGATCACGCTCCCAAAGGGAGTCAGTCTCTTCCTATCATATATTCCAAAATTCTCATCATCGACCATAATAATAATATGAAGAAGAAGGAAGAAAAGTTCAGCGAAGAAAAGTTCCTCGCGTCTGCGCTTATGTAAGCCCTTCGTCTGTGTGCGAAACTGTTCCGCGGTAGGAGCCCGGAAAAACCCACGACCCGGGACTGAGCATAAAAGCTCGAAATCGCCGGGCAACTTTCCTCTTTTCTTCTTTTTTTCTTCGTGCGGCGGCGCAACTAAGGATTACCCGTGTTGCCTGGACATCCACGGTCATTTGTCTGGCCTTCAGTGATGTAACCCAGGTGTCAGTTGTGCCACAGAGAAAAGGAATTGCACATCGGTTCTTACTTTATAGGTCTTTCTGATTTTTTAGGATGAGACCTTTTGGTTTGGGATCGAACATCTCCCCTCGGGGACTAGTTATTAGTGAATATGAATCTTTTTGACGTGGAATCTCTTCTGTGCGGCTTTTCATTATTGTAAACAACGCTGTACTTGGTACTCAAGACTGGCTCTGGCCGGATTTGATAGAGTCGAGACCTGCCAAAGCACGCTCCAAGCTCTAAGCGGTCATGTAGAATTCTTTTATCCAGCATTGTCTATGTTTACTCGCCAGGCTCATCACCAATCTTCTCCAACTTGCCCATGGATCTCTTCTCGCCTGCCTCACCAATAACCCGAATCCGATCCACGCGCAGCTTCTCACTATCCCCATCACCATCAACAAAGAACAGAACCAGCGAGGTGACATTCTGGAAATTGACAAACCGCAACCCAACAGTCGCAGTCGCAGTCTTCTCATCCCAATCCCCAGCCTGAATCTCCACCTTCTGCACAGGTGGAATCCCATCCGCCTCATCAAACCCAAGCACATGAGCCGTATTCTTGTAAACGTGAATACTCCTCGGCCGCATAGGAGTCTCGTCATCGCCGTCCGCAGGCGGAAGCGAAGTAATCTGAAGCGAGTGCACCTTAAGCGTGGACTGGAAGGGGATGTACAGCATGAGCTGCTCGTCCGTGTCGCTCTCTACCCAATCCGCGGAGCTGCTCTCCGCCTTGCTCTTGCCCTTGCCGGCCAGGCTGGATGGCTTCGATGTGTCGAACAGTGTGCGCGGGGCTGCGAGCTCCGTGTCCCGGTTCAGCAGCTCCAATCCCTTCGGGTCGACTTGGTCGGTGATGTCGCTGTAGCCCTTGGCCACTGTGCCGCCGATCCAGGCCTCGCCTGAGCTTCCTTCGCCGGCGCCGGCATCGTCAGATTGGCTTGCTTCTGAGGCGAGCTTTTGCACGATCGAGTTCAGTTGTGCGGGGTTGGCGCCCTTGACGGTTTGGTTCACGCGGCCGTTCTTGAAGACGATGAAGGTTGGCATTCTAGGATCTGGTTGTTAGTATTGACTCAAAGGTTGTATAGTTTGGCTTGTAGGGTCTGGTAGGGTCTGGCTGGGCTGGTTCTTGTAGTGTACATACGCTGTGACGCCGTAAGCTTTGGCGAGGTCTTGTTGGTGGTCGACATTGATCTTCGTGAAGGTGATTTGGTTCGGGCGGGACAGCTGTGTCGCCAGCGAGTTATAGGCTGGGGCAATAGCCTTGCATGGTCCGCACCAGTCGGCGTAGACTGGTGGTATCAAGCCCAAGTTAGCGATTTGCTAATACAGGGTCAGCGGGGTAGCATCGGGATAACTTACAGTCAGCGACGACTAGGCGAGAGGCGCTGAGAAGCGAGGTGAATTGCTCCTTTGAGGAGATTTCAACGACGGACATGGTGAAGTTGTGGTGGGAGGAGGGATGGAGATGGATGGAAAGTCGTGTGTTTTGCTGCCTCCGAATATGTCATCAGCCCCTCTGCATAATCAACTTATCAACCACACCAGGCTATCTAGGTATGCTGGAGTAATTTGAACATTGTTTGCTGGTTGAGTTGAGTGGTTTGATTTGATTTAGGTCAAGTTAAAGCATTAAGTTCTTGCAAATTAGTGTTTGCCTACATATTTGGCTGGATATATATATCGCGGTGTAACGGCAGGCCAAGTCTATCCAATATATTTCGATGTATTCGACGTATAGCCTTATGAAAGTATTTAATCAACTCGCGATAAGCATATGTACCCAGATTTAAGATTAACCTGCAATTATATAACACAGCAGTTAATCTCACCAAGATATCAGTCGGAATTAAAACCGGCAGCTGTGGGATCTCCCGGGAGGGTTCAAAACGCATCGAGCGCTCGAGTCACATCCGATTTAAAATGCGACGAGACAGACGGGAACAGTCTCTTAATGGACCTCGGCCAATCTTCGACACTTGGTAGGCGTTGCAGCCTCGACCCAGAAAATCTGCCGCCCAACCCACAGCGAGACGAGCCCACGAGCAGGACTTGACGCTGCAACAGCATCCGCCCGAATATTTTGCTCAGCCCAGCAGACCCCCAGAAGCGCAGACCAAGCCAGTTGGTAGATGTGAGCCCTCCTTGCTGCGGCTTGCAGCAGACAGAGCGAAGATATCATCCCAGACACTCAATCTGCTTCACTCTTCAACAGCAAAAAGAATCTTCAACCAGAGACTGCATCCGCGACACCCAATAACAATCTCCCCATGCTCAGACTCCCTCTCCAAATCTTCTTCACTAACCAAGAACCCCCGTTCATCACCACACCGACAACCGCGATACCAGCAGTCCCCATCCTCGCCCTCGTCGCAGGCAAGATCCTCCAAATCCACAACTTCTAGACCAGTATGGAAAACATCGCCAGACTTCTCTGCAACCTTTACCCTATCCAGACGAAGGGAGCGGTCGTATTCGGCACGGAGGAGGGGGTCAGATAGTGTTTTGTAAGCGGTGGTGATCTGGTCAATGGTATACGGCTGTCGCGGGGAATCGGTCGAACGAAAGAGAGGGTTAGACGTAGACGTCGAGGGAGATGTAGTCGAACCGCTTAGACCTGCATCTTTCGCGACAGCGCCCGCTTTATCCGGGTGGTGTTTTAGCAGGGCTTTGTGGTATGCAAGCTTGATTTGCTGCTTGGAGAGGACCGTCCCGGTTGAAGATGCCATAAATGGCAGGCTGAGAATCTCGTAGAAATCGCCAAGAGGAGCCATCGCCCTTGTCGCCTCGCGGATGCCGTGTCGATTTGGGATGTAGTGTGGTCTGGCTGGTTGCGTTGGTCCCGTGTTGCGCCTGGTCCTTGTGCGGCCCGGTTTGGGGTGCGCGCTGGGTAGTGGTGACGCCTCGAGGTCTAGCGAAGAGGTCTAACCGCGTGCATATCAGGATTTCCCTGAGAATCCGGGGTAGGCTGGTGGAAAGCGGGGTGATTGGGGTTTCTTGAAGAATGAAAATGGCGGAGCGCAAGTCACTTGGGTGAGGGCCTTCCCGGATCCATACTTCCCCTTCGTACTCTTTCTCCCTTCATGCTCTTCTCCCTTCATACTCTTCTCCCTTCGTGCTCTTTCTCCCTTCACCTTTCACCTTCTCATCTACTCTCCTTATCTGGGTACAATTTATTCTTCTATCATCTTGGGTGACGGCTCATCTACACAGAGTCGCTGTACAGTTCCCATCAAACCTTGCTGGCAATCCAATGTGCTATACTCTACCCAGGAATATGCGGTAATCACTACGACGAAATGCAGATGCAAAATGCAAGGCAATCTAGTGTTTCATTCAAAATGGGAAGAAATCTCTGTGAGCAGTCGACTCGGATATCAAGACAGGAAAAGAAAAGTGAAAAGGACTGTTTAGCAGCTCCAAAGCAACTTGCTTACTCGGAAGCCTTGAAGACGAAGCGGTCCTCGGGCTTGACCTGGAAAGGCACACCAAGCTCAATGAGCTTGACAAAGACATCTGAGAACTCCTTGAAGAAGACATCGCTGTCCTTGGCGTAACGGTCAACGTGCTGCTTGAATGCCTTGTCCTTGATCAGGGCAATATCAGTGGGCAGCATCATGAGAGTGGAAGTGGTCTTGTCAGTGAACTGAGTAGGGCCGTTCCACTTCTTCTGGTTCCACTTCTCGTCCACAAGAAGCTTGAAGAACTCGTTGCTGAAGACAGTAGGGCTGAAGTCCCAGGGACCATCGAAGCCAGAGCGGTCACTGTGAGCGCGACCCAGAGCGTGGGCACCGATCAGGGCAACCATCTCGCGATCATCAAAGCCCATGCGACCGAAGACGTCGCGGATGTGACGCTGGCCCTGGGCGGCATCGGGCAGACGGCCGTCGGGAGTGCAGGCGGCGACGTCCTTGTCCTCACGGCCGGGTCTCCAGGGGATCGTGGGGCCACCCAGTTCCTGGATGGAGCAGGCACCAGCCAGAGTCCACAAGTCAGAGTAGGTGATCCAGGGGAACTGGGCCTTAATGGGCTCGAGGAAGTCACGGGCGTGCTTGAGACCGGCGTTGGCGCCGTGGTCAGATTCGGGAGCGAATCTCATAGTGGAGCCGTTGCTACCTCCGGTGCCGGTTTCCTTGTCATAGGTACCGCTGGCGTGCCATGCAAGACGGACGAGGACCTGTGAAGATGAATCGTGAGCTGTCTGCCTGAATTGCAAGCCTGTGGGCTTAACTTACAGGACCATAGCTGCCGTCGTCATAGTCCGTCTCGTTCTGGAGACGGAGAGCGATGGCGTCATACACCTTCTGGTAGTCGGCCTGTGTGGGGACGAAGGGGCCCTTGGGGGAGGCGCCGTTCAGGTAGAAGTACGCACCACCAGCGCCGAGAGCAGCAATACCGAAAGCCCAGATGCCAGTGGAGGATGAGGAGGACTTCTCGGAGCCAGCTTCAGAAGAATATCCACGACGGGCAGAGGCACGGAGACTCTGGGGGATGGCGAAACGGGTGCTGCGCGCAGCAGGACGGAAAGAGGAAGTCGCCGGGGTCGAGCGAAGGAAAACCCGGGATGCAGATCTGGCAGCCGAAGCCATTGTGAAGGAAGGTATGATATGTACGGTAAGAAATGAAAGGAGTCTAATGGGTCGCAGAGGAAAGGAAAGCAGAGAGAGTTCAGGTACAAGTACGAGAAGAGGGAGGAACCGGGAGCCCTAAGTATTTCCATTCGACTCCTCTACTCATACTCCAATAGAAGTTGCTGGAACAGCCAATCAAGCGGGCCACATATGCGATTTGCCTCGGCGTTTACGACTCTCCGCATTCTGCTCCCCGGGCTGTCACGGCCGTTTATCTATTGCTCATAGCCCCTGTCTTTCGCTTAAAGGTCGCTTCCTACTCAGATGGTATACTTACCCAAACTTGCCTTGTATACTAACAAAATCAACAACATTTGCTCATATGTTTTTCGGAGACAGACATGCCCTCGGATGGCATTATTAACAGCAAGACTCTGCTTGGCCAATTGCGCCCTTTCAAGACCCACCACCCCGTCCAGCTTACTGAACATATCGGTCTGGTCCGCTCACTAATATCGGCAGTCTAGATGCATAACATTTGCATCTATATACACGTAGATAAGCTAACCTATTATTATAGATCGCTTCCATGGTGCAAAATCAGTCTTTTCTATGGTCATAGGGTTTCTACCACGGTTCTAATTGATATTCACTACGTCGCTATAACATATTCAGTTGAATTGAGTTTTAGAGGTTCTTCATAAGCCAGTATCTAAATAGAGATAAAAGAGATATGAGATGAAAGAGCCATTGCTACCGTATAGGAATCGGCTTTTAGAATAGGATAACTTATTGAACAAGGCTCTCGCATCTTACACGCCACCTCTGAAAGAAAAAGATAGATCTACCTCGGAAAATAGAGATTACAACGTGCCATACCTGCCAATGCCCAATCCTGATATGCTCTCTAAGCCAAAACGAGTCGGTTTGAGCCTGACCACCAGTATGCTCTGCCCAGAGTTGTTGACATCCGGCGAATTTCAGGTACAGTATGTGTAATATATTCCTGGCTATGGCGGACATCCAGAACAATGCCGAGTGGAACGTGATAGAGGTAGGCGACCAACAGGCAACTACAGGTACCTTGCAGAAGTATTCAGCGCCTTCGAGAGCACTATCGCGACGTACACGGGTTGTGCAAGACAAGTCTGCGCCGGTTGTCATCCGCCTCTGTATTGCATTTGGTTGCCTTACATGTCGAATCAGCCGGAGAAAACCAATTGCCAGGAAGGGCAAGGACAAAGGGGGAGGATGGAAGACAGGGGGCGTATATGGTAGGATTTGAAGACTGTAAATTGGCTAGAGGTCCAATGTAAGACAATGTGTAAATAGGAATAAAAATTCATTGAGTATCTGGGATGTCCGTCGTAAAAAAGTCCTGCTGTTCGATAGATACGAACACCAGGGTGGAGTAGACGCAGCTCTGCTAAAAACTGTTTGGTTTTGATATGCCACGAACGAACGATTAAAAAATCACCCAAGAGACGTCCAGTGCCACAAGAAGGCACCACGCGGGTTATGTGGGGGTTAAGTGTGAGCTTGCGTAACTTGAAGTGTTGATCCAATTCCCGACATTAAGGAATTGAAGGAACCCTTGAAGTTTGTCAAACTCAGTGATGGTTGAGGAGGAAGAAACTCGCATCGACAGAAAATTTGTCTTAGCCTATGTGACACGTGACTACATAGTGCGGTCACCTGACTTGCACCACCTTTTGTATCGAAAATTTCGCGCGTTTGGATCTTTTTCTTCTTTACACTTTTTCGAACGCATAATCAACCTCCAATTCCTTTATATCATAGGATGGCAGGTCATATTGGCGTACTAGATGAAACTCCTGGGCATCATTAGTACTTTTCGACGGTATCGGGGGGCTTCGGCTCCTTTGGTGCAATGGTAGATGCAGTCATTGCTGCCCGGACATCCCTATATTGTAGCTCTTTATGCTTTACGAGAGTAAACCAAGGCGCCAAAGTTGTCAAAGCTGTCAGAGCTGCCCAATCTGCCCAATCTGCCCATCTTGCGGGCTTCTAGATGTGTTCTAGAAGACACGGTGCAGGCCCGCCAGGGAAAGCAATGCAGAGACAAGATGCGAATAGCAGCATTGTGAGCGTACCTAAGTAAAAAGAAATAACTAAGTTAGCAAGAATTAACGTTAACGTTAAGTTAACGTTAACCAAACCTGCGTGGTTGATCTTCTCCGCCCCTCGGAACTTGGATTCTTCCCCTATCCATTCCACTCTTTTCTCTTGTATTTCTGCCACTCCTTCTTTCTTGTAATTTGTATTTTTTTTTTCACCATGCCAAACGGCATCAATGGGATCAGCAAGCGCCAGCAGCAGCGCAATGAAAAGGCCTTGACGGAGCTGATCCGCACCGTTCCTGGCAATGACCGATGTGCCGATTGCGATGCCTTGACCCCAGGTTTGTCCCCCGCGTCACTATTGTTGATCACACACTAACTGTTTGATAGGATGGGCAAGTTGGAATGTATGTCGTCACCTTTACCCTCCGATCGAATCCGCAAACTGACCGTTCGTCTCCGATAGATGGGTATCTTCCTCTGCATGCGCTGCGCCGCACTGCATCGAAAGCTGGGCACACATATCTCCAAGATCAAATCTTTAAGCATGGACAGCTGGTCCTCGGAGCAGGTTGATGTGAGTGCAGTCGGACCGCCGGCACGACCACGAGCTGACAGAGAGCGCGCTTTACTAGAACATGAAATCGCATGGCAACATCCTTATGAACAAGATCTACAACCCGCGAAACATTAAGCCTCCAATTCCGACCGATATCGATGAGGCCGATGCGTGCATGGAGCGGCACATTCGAGCCAAGTATCAATATCGTTCGTTGGAAAATGGGAAGCCGAAGCCCCCGAGCCGGGAGGATTCGAGCTATTCCAACCCCAGGACCAAGTCACCCGAGCTGTCAAGAAGGGACTATGATGACAGATCTCCAGAGGGATCTCCTCCGCCTCTGCCGCCAAAGTCTGGCAAGTTCTTCAAGTTCGGTCTCCGGTCCTCGTCCTCCACATCCAACCTCCGCCGATTCGGAAACAAGCCTAAGGTCACATCGCCAACTTCAGACAGTGGTTCTTGGTCACCACCGCCGCCATTGCCATCCAGGAGGACCACGGGACTTGGTGCGCCTGTTGCCGATGTGACGACCGCCTCGTTTGAATCTAAAATGGCTGCACTGCAGGATATGGGATTCACCAATGACCGACGAAATGAGATGGTTCTCAAGGGATTAAATGAAGATTTAGACCGGGCAGTCGAAACGTTGGTCAGGTTGGGCGAGGGAAGCAACCCTACGTCAAGGTCCAGAACTCCTGCTGCGGCAAGCAATGGCGCATCTGCGCGCGCGGTAACCCCGAAGCCCGAGACATCCAACAATCCGTTTGACCGCGCCGTGTCGAATCCAGTGCCCCAGCAATCGCAACCCCAGACCGCTTCTTACAATCCTTTTGACAAACCAACCCTCACGGCTGCCTCTGCGCAACCCTTGGAATCGTCGTTCCAGAACCTGCAGGTTTCCCAGCCATTGTTCCCACACTCCACCGGTGGATATCCAAACCAGGCAAGCTCCATGCAGCAGCCCATGTACCAACAGCCATACACGCCTCCAGTCACGGCAACCTTCTCACAGTCTTCCTATGTCGCCTCGCCCCAGACAATGGATAGCTACAATCCTTTTGCCCAGACAGCGCCGCAGCCGCAGCCGCAGCAGCCACAGAATGGCTTGGCCAGCCAGTCATATCCAAACCCGAGTGCACAGCAGACGAACCCTTTCTTTAACACTGCGCAGCAAAACCAACCCATGCAGCAACAAGCTCAACAAATGACCAAGCAAGTGCCAACACTCGCGGCTCCCAACCAGCCTCATCACGCGAACACCATGCCGACCATGTCTTCCTCGTCACCTTTTGGTACCTCGCCATTCGGACCCTCGCCTTCATTCCAAGGGCAGCAGCAGCAACCCCAGCAGCAACCAAATGGTCTGGGGTCATACAACCCCTTTCAGTCAGGTCCGGCACCGACCACACCCCAGGGCGCAGGCGGCTACCCCAATCAACATCAGCAGCCGCAGCAACTCATGCCGCAGCCCACGGGACAGATGGACAAAAACAGCATTCTTTCCTTGTACAATTTGGGTCCCTCCCAATCTAATATTCCTCCCGTCCCCCAACAATACCAGGCTCAGCCCCAATCCACGGGAATGAACCCCTTCCCCCAACCCTCGAACCCATACGCCTCTATGCAACAGAACCAGACAAACCCCCAGCATCAGCCTCAGTCCCAACCTCAGCAACAAGCTGCCAATGTTCAATCCTCCTCAGCCAACAACCCATTCTTCGGCGGCGCTCCAACCGCTACCGGTCTTTCCGCTCAAGCAGGGCTGAACCCCTACCAGCAACAGCAGCAACAACAACAGCCCTCCCCAGGCGCTGGTAGCGGTCTTGCTGCTCAGGCGGGGATAAACCCCTACCAACAGCAGCAACAGCAACAACAGCAACAGCAGAAACCAACCTCGGGAACTGGTCTCGCAGCCCAGGCAGGAATAAACCCCTACCAACAACAGCAACAGCCGGGACTAGGAATTGGCGGCATGAACAACCAGCCTGGAGGCTTTGGAACAACCCCAACTATGGGAGGGAACCCCTCCCCGTTCAAAAGCGCGCCTCCGGCAGCCTCGGCATTCAATCGAACCCATATGAGCCAGCCGAGCGTGGACGTGAGCGGATTGCAGAATGGTCGGCATAGTCCTGATGCTTTTGCTAGTCTGAGTGCTCGCCATGGTTGATCTCCGTCATAATGTTTATACATTTCCATATTTGGATCTGGATTCAGATCCCATCCATGTTTTGGCCTTTTGAATAGTAGTATATGGCCTGACAGTGTGGATTTTGGATTTAAATTGGTGGATTGTATGCCTTGGATCGAACTTGGATGTTGACGTTGATATACTTACTGATAATGATGGATATAAAAGATTGACGAGACGTGTCACGCGCGTGCATATCGCATCTTGGGTCTTGTCTGTTTGCCACACTCTTTAATACTTTCTTTTTGCTCTCCCTCACTGTCTACCCCCTTTTATTTTCTTTCCCTTTTTGTGTTTGTTTACAAAAGATGATTTTGGTTTCCGATTAGCGGGTCAAAATGGTACATAGCATCTCTTTCTTGCAACTATCTTCGATGAAATTGATTACTGTCTAACTCAATGTGAACGTGTTTTAGACAGCTGGGGTATTCTGTCTTGGTCTCTATATTCAAATATTAAATGACATAGAAAGGGATGGGGTCACCGTCCTGAGGTAAATAAAAAGACACAGCAAAACCAGACAGCTATGCAGCAAAGCAAGTCAGAACATCCACAGATATTAAAGAAGCTCGAAAAGCAGCCAAAGTGCCACAAACAGTGCCATAAAAATGCGAATAATCTGATCATGACCAAAGATCCCGATCCAAAGGACTCTTCTTTTTACCTTGTAACCAAGAAGGCCACTCTGGGACCCAATTCACTCCCCAAGACGGAACCCAGCCAGTCCTACGCGCAGGCAACCGGAAACGCGCCAAAAAGGTCTCCCAACGAGACTTCGGCCGCCAAGGCCAAGCAACGGACGAAGTCCTAGGAGAGAAGAGTGACTGCGCAGAGCGCTGCCACGAAGCAAAGGTCGAAGGCGACGACGGCCAAGAAGGCCAAGAAGGAATATTAGAGGTCCAAGCACGCTTTTGCTGGCTGCGCATTTCTTTCCTGAACGACTCCATGATGCGATCGAATTGCTTTTCGCGGCTTTGCTGGACGCGCGCTTGGGTTTCGGCCCGCCATGTATCTTGCTCTGTTGGGTCGAGACACCAGACTACGATGTCGCCCCGACGGCGCCAGTCGTCGTGCCAGTCCGTGTTGAAGATGCGCTTGCATTCGCCGTAGGAGGAGCCGCGGAGGAGGCCGTGGAGGGTTGGTTCAAGCTGGGCGAAGAAGATGAGGTAGTCGGGCCATTCGTGTTGCGGAGCTGGATTTAGGTCTGTTCCTGATAGAGAATGCGCGGCTGAGGCGTAGCTGGGTCGGTGGGGGAAATGGCGGAGACCGCCAGCCATGTTTTGGCGGAGGAATTGACTTGGGTCATCGTAGAATTGGTCTGCTTCGTCGCGGTAGATGGCTTTTTGAGATTCGGTTTGGTCGATTGGGGGCTCGCAGGAGAGGGCCCAGGCGTTTATTGTTGGGTAGACTAGATGGGAGCGCCAGGGGGTGCTGTGGCAGGGCATTAGGAAGCCTGCTGATATTCCAGATGTAGATTCTGGGTCTCTCTGGGCGGTTGCGTGGGCTTCGTGTTGTTGGCGGAGATAGGAAAGGACGCTTAGAGGTCCTGAGGCGTGGCGAATAGTGGTGTACAGCGCAATGACTAGGTTAACAAACACGAGGAAGATGAGAATCAACCTGCGAGGGGTATGACGAGGGTATGCTCGTGAGTAAATGGCAGGGTAGAAGAATTGCACCAAAGGCGGCGCAGCCAAGATATGTAGAGATGGTAACAATGGGTAGATAAAGCGCACTTCCTTGTGTGAGATCAGAGAGAGGACAAAAGGCATGACAAGACACACTGTCGCCAATTGCACTCGGATGGCAGTCGGCACATTATCGACTACCGATGAGCTCCGGGTTGTCAAGGTTCGGTATAGTCCGAGAACTGCAAAAGGCAACAGTGTGGTGAGCAGAAGTGGGTAGCCTTCTGTGGCATAGTAATGGAAATTATTACTACCATAGAAGACAGCCAGTGATTGGGCGATATTGAAGTATAGGAACCTGAGTGGCGGGAACGTCCAAATTCCATAGAACAAGCGGTCTGCAACAGCAGATACAGCTAGCATTGCCGATCTACCGAGTCGTAACGTCAGCTGATGCTCACTTAGGTGTCAGACATACTCACCCGCAAACTATAACTTCGCCCAGGAGGATCCGCCGTTGGGCCCAAGAGGTCCGAAGCCAAGCGATGCTACCCAGTGTTGCCCAAACCAGGATATTGGTCGGTCGCAATATACATGCGAGTGCAGCCAGTGGTAGACATTGATGCAGCCTGCAAGAAACGTCAGCGGCTGCTATATACCTTGGATCTTCTTTCATACCGAAAAATAACACTTCGGTCTTGGCCCGTGCTCTTCTTTTGGCTGGCGGCATTTTTATCGTGGCCGTTGGTGGCTGCAGAGGCCGTCGACCATTGCCATGGCCATAGTTCCAATGCGACCACGGTGATTGTTGTTTCCAGGCAATTCGATAGGGTCCTAGTCGAGCAGAACCACTGCCAGGGATTCAGGACGGTAGCGGCCAGCTATTAACAGCGATAATTAATATGCGGCTTTCCTTGATTGCTCTTGGGATATTGAATACGTACCGTTGTCCAGGCACCACGAGATTCATTTCCGTAGACGCGAACTGCGAGCTTCCAAGTGTAGAAATCACCGATTGCCGCAACAACGGCCTGCGCTGTCTTCGGAGCGGCAAGCAGAAGTTCGGCGCGCGTCGCGGGGGAGACGTGAAGCATCAAAGAAAGGAAATCCGCAGCTTTGTAAAGAGCGGCGAAGATGAGTGGGTGTAGAGAGGATCGCAGTTGATTTCGCCATTCCTAGGAGCAATGCAATGTTAGACTCGGAGCTTCCTCGACGCGATCGCAATCACTCACCCACGTCAACCAGGCCCCCTGGTCTGGACCAAATGCGATCAGCCAGGCGGGCTCTAGTGATTGAAAGTATTCATCCGGCTGGAAGAACGTCCGCGTGGTAAAGGCGTTGAGCAGGCGGAAGGCGACCAGGAAGAGGAGGATGTTTCGGGTGGGCGCGTAGGGAATTGGAGGCGCGCGACGACGCGGAGAAGTAGGTGTAGACATGTTCACCAGAGATATCGCAAGTACTGGTTCAAGTGGCGCATTGCGCAAGGTTGTTCAAGGCCGGGCATGCGAACAGGAGAGGCCGATAAGGGGAGAAGTTGCCCCAGCTTGAGGACCGAGGTGAACTACGTAATGTGAACATTTTTGATTTATTCTCAACGTGAAGATTCAATTGATTTTAGTTGATTTTTCGTTAATGTATAGCATGAGAAGATATTCTCTGGTCTATCTAGATTTTAAATATTTATTCTTTAATAGAGTCGGCTGATCGCATCCTTGAGTAACCGAACTATGACGCGCATCTATAGAGTACATGTAGTTGACGTCTCTTCGACTTCCCTAATTCGATATAATTCTACAATATTACAATATTACAATATGATCCCCGCATTGGAAAAGACAAGCGAATCACAGCGAGTGAAAAACAAAGAAAATGGAGAGTGTAGGGTAATCCTGCGCATAGGGAACAGAGTCGGCACGACCTGTACTTAGCGGACGAGGGTTGACTGGGTCTAACACTTAACGGCATAGCGGCTGTATATACGCCACAAGCTACGGGGGATTTCCCTTACTTATAGCTGTCTTTTTTTCTTCCCTTCTTCTATCTTCACTTCTTCACTTCACTTCACTTCTACCTTTAATACCCTGTCGATCCCCTAGCTTCCTCTCCTAGCGCTCCCCGCAACCCACCATGGCTACCAACGGGTCTTTCTCCCACTACCACGCCGCTTCCTCCGCTGAGGCTATTGAGTCCGAGAAGCAATATGCTGCTCACAACTACCACCCTCTCCCTATTGTCTTCGCCCGGGCCCAGGGTACCTCGGTCTGGGACCCGGAAGGCCGTCACTATCTAGACTTCCTCTCCGCCTACTCCGCAGTGAACCAGGGTCACTGCCACCCGAAACTGATTGCGGCACTCGTGGATCAAGCTTCGCGTGTCACTTTGAGCTCCCGTGCCTTCTACAATGACGTCTTCCCTCGCTTTGCCCAGTTCGTCACAAGCTACTTCGGCTTCGACATGGTCCTGCCTATGAACACTGGTGCCGAGGCTGTTGAAACCGGCATCAAGATCGCCCGCAAATGGGGATACAAGGTCAAGGGCATTCCCGAGAACAAGGCTATTGTGCTTAGCGCAGAGAACAACTTCCACGGTCGTACAGTAAGTTACAATTCAACCCTTTCCGTGTCACATGCGGCAATACATCAGTGGCTGATTTATGGCTGCCCCTTGCATTAGTTTGCCGCCATCTCACTATCCTCTGACCCCGAGTCGCGCGAACACTATGGTCCTTATCTGCCCGGCATCGGCTGCACGATTCCCGGAACAGAGAAGCCCATCGCATACAACGACAAGGCTGCCCTCCGCGAAGCCTTCGAAGCGGCCGGCCCCAACCTGGCCGCTTTCCTCGTCGAGCCCATCCAGGGTGAGGCAGGCATTGTTGTCCCAGATCCCGACTACCTGCAGGAGGCTCGCGCGCTCTGCGACAAGCACAACGTGCTGTTGATTTGTGATGAGATCCAGACTGGCATTGCCCGCACAGGTAAGCTGCTCTGCCACGAGTGGAGCGGAATCAAGCCCGATCTTGTCTTGCTAGGCAAGGCTATTTCGGGTGGCATGTACCCTGTCTCTTGCGTGCTGGGCAGCAAGGACGTCATGCTCACGATCGAGCCCGGGACCCACGGTTCCACCTACGGCGGGAACCCTCTTGGTTGCGCTGTCGCTATTCGCGCACTTGAGATCGTACGTGAGGAGCGTATGGTCGAGCGCGCGGAGGAGCTCGGTCACTTGTTCCGGGCTGGGCTGGAGGGTCTCCAGAGCCCGCTTATTCAGACGGTGCGCGGAAAGGGTCTGCTCAATGCTATCGTCATTGATGAATCGAAGACCAATGGACACTCTGCTTGGGATCTGTGCATGTTGATGAAGGAGAAGGGATTGCTGGTATGTGATAGGATCTTCGTTTGGATCTGACTTACCGATTACTGACTCCTTGTAGGCCAAACCCACTCACCAGAACATCATCCGTCTTGCTCCCCCACTGGTCATCACTGAGGAGGAGATCCAGAAGGCCCTTGACATCATCAAGGAGGCTGTTACCGAACTCCCTAACCTCAAGGGCGCGTCTGAGGATCACGTCATTCCTCCCCCCGAGAAGAAGGTCAAGATTGGCCTCGAGAATTAGATGTACGGAAGATCAGACTCCGAATCTAATCAGACCCCTGATACGCGTGGGGGGATCTCGGATCTACCATGCATCTTTATTGCATGTCCCCTTGAGAATCCCATTGGACATCAGCTTCCCTGGAGCTTGTCCTACGATGTGACGATGGAATGGCTCTCTTTTATGTTCCCAGGCCAAAATTGTATCCCATAGCAAATAGATAGCTTAAAAAATGGAAACCCCTAACAAAGCTTAGCCTCGGAGTTAACGCCCTTATGCCCTACCAATTAATAATCGACTATCGACGCCACCTGCAGGGACGGCAAACGGAATTCTTAATGCCCGATGGACTCCGTCCTCCGATGGCTAAACTACAAAGAGATAGAACATTAACCTGCAATTCGACCTGTAAGCGAATGGGAGGACAAAACCGGGGTTTTGCTTTTAAATCAATTATTGTCCGGACTCGACGTTTCCTCTGGGATATTTATGGGAGATTACCCGTGACTCACTGTTTTATCATTTATAACTTCCCGATACTACCTTCTTTGATCTGCATTCCGGCAACTCAAGACATTCCAACATCTTGAGGAATTTCGCAGGATATGCTTATCGCCCCACATTTACATCTCTATAACAGCCAGTCCTCCCTTCTTTCACACCGCAACTCGGTGCTATGTCCACACCCGAACCACTCCAAGTAGTGGTGGCGGACGAGAAAGCCCGAGCAGCCCTAAGCTCATCGTCATCCAACGAAACCAAAGAGGAGCCCAAGAAAAAATGGTATCGAAAACTCAACCCCATGCGCCTACAGAAGATCCCTCCAATCCCAACGGAGCGATCTATCTCCCACGAACACGGCGCTTCATTCCTCAGCATAATCTCCTTCCAATGGATGTCCCCACTGATGAAAGTCGGATACCTGCGCCCACTGGAACTGCAGGATATTTGGACTGTTAACCCTGACCGGGCCGTTGATGTATTATCAGCGCGGTTTGATGCAGCATTAAACCAGCGGAATGAGAGTGGGACTAACCGCCCGCTCGTCTGGGCGTTGTATGACACGTTCAGGTTCGAGTTCTTGCTTGGTGGCGTGTGTCAATTTTTCAGTTGTTTGCTGCTCGTGTTTGCGCCGTATTTGACGCGGTACCTCATTGCTTTTGCTACCAGGGCTTATGTTGCTCAGCATACTGGTCAGCCGGCTCCGTATATTGGTGGTGGTATGGGTTTCGTTGTGGGTATCACTTGCATGCAGGCGCTGCAGAGTCTGTGTACGAATCAGTTCTTGTATCGGGGTCAAATTGTCGGTGGGCAGATTCGCGTGGTGCTTATTTCGCATATTTTTAACAAGGCCATGAAGCTTTCTGGTCGGGCTAAGGCGGGAGGGAAAGCTACTCCCGAGGAAGTTAAAGCGCTTGAAGCTACGAAGGAGGCTCTTCTCAATCCTGAGAAGAAAGGCAAGAAGGACGATAACCAGAAGCCCGATACTGCTGCTGCTGCTGCTCCTGGTGGAGTGGCTGGCGATGGCACGGGGTGGAACAATGGCCGCATCACTGCTCTCATGAGTATCGACGTTGACCGAATCAACTTGGCCTGCGGCATGTTCCATATGGTTTGGAGTGCGCCTATCACCGTCATTGTCACTCTTGTTCTTCTCTTGGTCAACATTGGCTACAGCTGCTTGTCAGGGTATGCTCTGCTGTTGATCGGAATGCCTGCCCTCACCTTCGCCATCCAATCCTTGGTCAAGCGTCGACGAAATATCAACAAAATCACCGACCAGCGAGTATCTCTCACCCAGGAAATCCTACAAGCCGTCCGCTTTGTCAAGTACTTTGGCTGGGAAAGTAGTTTCCTAGGTCGACTCAAAGAAATGCGGGGACGAGAGATTCGATCCATCCAGACATTGCTGGCTATTCGAAATCTGATCCTTTGCGTGTCCATGTCTATTCCCACATTCGCCTCGATGCTGGCTTTTATCACCTACGCCCTCTCAAACCACAACTTGGATCCCGCGCCGATTTTCTCTTCACTGGCTTTGTTCAACTCCCTGCGTTTGCCTCTGAATATGCTGCCGATGATTATTGGTCAAGTTACCGATGCTTGGACTGCTCTCAGCCGTATTCAGGAGTTCCTCCTTGCGGAGGAGCAAAATGATGATATTGAAATGGATGACAAGATGGAGAATGCCATTGAGCTTGAACATGCTTCATTCACCTGGGAACGTCTTCCAACAGATGAGAAAGATGCCGAAAAGGCCGAAAAGGCCCAAAAGGCAGGGAGGAAATCACTCTCCCCAAAATCCCCCAGGGAGAATTTACTGTAGAGAAACCCTCAGAGCCATTCAAGCTGAAGGATATGACAATTGAAGTTGGTCGAAATGAACTGTTGGCTGTGATTGGAACCGTCGGCTGCGGCAAGAGTTCCCTGCTCTCAGCCCTGGCAGGCGACATGCGTGTGACCGACGGAACTGTACGACTGAGCACCACACGCGCATTCTGCCCCCAGTATGCTTGGATCCAGAATACCTCCGTGCGCAACAACATTTTATTCGGAAAAGAATATGACGAGACTTGGTATGAGCAAGTTGTTGATGCATGTGCATTGACTCCGGATCTGGAGATTCTTCCAAATGGAGATCAGACTGAAATTGGAGAACGGGGCATCACCGTGTCTGGAGGACAGAAGCAGCGCTTGAACATTGCCCGAGCAATCTATTTCAATGCCGAACTCGTGCTCATGGATGACCCATTGTCGGCTGTGGATGCTCATGTTGGACGTCACATCATGGACAAGGCAATCTGTGGTTTACTCAAGGATCGCTGCCGAATTTTGGCAACTCATCAACTCCATGTTCTCAACCGATGTGATCGGATTGTTGTTATGGACGAGGGGCGTATTGATGCCGTCGACACCTTTGATAACCTAATGCGCGACAGTGCACTCTTCAAGCGGTTGATGTCTACTTCTAGACAAGAAGACACAAAAGAGGACGAGACCGAAGCAGTTGATGAAGCTGTCAAAGAAGCCGAAGAAAAGCAACCAGATCCCAAAAAGGCCGCACCTGGAAAGCCTACCGGTGCCTTAATGCAAACCGAAGAAAAAGCGACAGCCTCTGTAGGCTGGGGCGTTTGGAAGGCCTACATGCGCGCATCGGGCAGTTACTTCAATGCGGTCATGTTGTTGATTCTAATCGCGGCTGTTAACGTCGCCAACATTTGGACCAGTCTGTGGCTTTCATATTGGACTTCTGACAAATACCCTAGTTTCTCGACCGGCCAATACATCGGCGTCTATGCTGGTCTAGGTGCGGGTGTCGCTATTTTAATGTTTGCCTTCTCCACATACATGACTACTTGCGGCACAAATGCCAGTAGGACGATGCTTCAGCGTGCTATGACTCGTGTTCTCCGTGCGCCTATGAGTTTCTTCGATACTACGCCGCTTGGACGAATCACCAATCGCTTCTCGAAAGATGTCACAGTGATGGATAATGAGCTTTGTGATGCAATGCGAATCTATTCTTTGACGATGACCATGATTATTTCGGTTATGGTTTTGATTATCGTCTTCTTCTATTATGTGAGTTTTGTCTTTATGACTTTCATAACTATCTTAGACAACATTGAAATACTGACCCATTCTAGTTTGTCATCGCCCTCGTCCCACTAACTATCCTCTTCATCCTGGCCTCCAACTACTACCGAGCCTCCGCACGAGAAATGAAGCGCCACGAAGCAGTCCTGCGATCAACGGTTTATGCCAAGTTCGGTGAGGCTATCACTGGCACAGCATGCATCCGCGCATACGGAGTCGAGGATCAATTCCGACGTAGCATCTGTGACTCGATCGATGTGATGAACGGTGCCTACTTCTTGACCTTCTCCAACCAGCGCTGGCTCAGCGTTCGACTTGATGCGGTATCCACCGCCCTGGTCTTCGTCACTGGTGTATTGGTCGTCACGTCTCGGTTCAACGTCTCACCCAGTATCTCCGGCCTGGTGTTGTCCTACATCCTTTCCATTGCGCAGATGCTACAGTTCACGGTTCGTCAGCTTGCCGAAGTTGAGAACAACATGAATGCCACAGAGCGACTTCATTACTACGGTACCGAGCTGGAAGAGGAAGCACCATTGCATCTGACCGAGGTGGCCGCTAGCTGGCCCGAGAAAGGTCGCATCACGTTCACCGACACGGAGATGCGGTACCGAGCTGAACTACCACTCGTTCTGAAAGGTTTGAGCATGGATGTCCAGGGCGGCGAGCGCATCGGCATCGTCGGCCGCACCGGCGCCGGAAAGTCAAGCATCATGTCAGCATTATTCCGTCTCACCGAATTATCAGGAGGTAGCATTCAAATCGACGGAATTGATATTTCGACAGTCGGTCTCAACGACCTTCGATCCCGTCTTGCTATCATCCCACAAGACCCAGCCCTCTTCAAGGGAACGATCCGATCAAATCTGGACCCATTCAACGAACACAATGATATGGAACTATGGAACGCACTACGCAAGGCATACCTCATCGGCCAGGATCAAGAACTCGAAGTCGAAGGCGAAGGAAACGGCCCATCTCCTGGAACCCCAGCAACAAACAGCGACGCCGACACGCGCCCGTCAAATCGCCTCACACTCGAATCCCCAGTCGACGAAGAAGGTCTCAATTTCTCCCTCGGTCAGCGGCAACTTATGGCCCTTGCGCGTGCACTGGTTCGCGATGCGCGTATTATCGTCTGCGATGAAGCTACCTCGTCTGTTGATTTCGAGACTGATCAGAAGATCCAACGCACAATGGCGCAGGGCTTCGAGGGCCGCACTTTGTTGTGTATTGCTCATCGTTTGCGCACGATCATTCATTACGATCGAATCTGCGTTATGGACCAGGGCCAGATTGCCGAGATGGATGCGCCGGTTGTGTTGTGGGATAAGGAAGATGGTATCTTCCGGGCGATGTGTGACCGCAGTGGTATCACACGCGAAGACATCCTCAACGCCGATTGAAGGCATTTATTATATTCCTGTACAGGTATATAATCTCCGCATATAAGTATAATCTCAGCATATAAGCGCATAACGCACAAAAGTGATAATCAATGCACAATTCAACTTTACACTTCAAAAAAACATCCATCCACTTCCTACTTATCCAATTCACAAACCAACTCCATCCCCAAATTCCTCATCATTCCCTCAACCCCAGCCTCCCTCCACCCCTCCAAATCTCTCTCATCAACCTCAACCCTCTCCTCCACCTCCGACAAAGTCCCAACCGGCAACCCTGTAAACTTAACCGCCAACCCAGGCGCCGTCCCAACAACCCTCATCCTCAAACCCTCAAGCACACCCCTCAAATGAGCCGCCGCCTTCCCGCCACCCCCTCGACCCGTAAGAAACAATACCCGCCGGCTTGCCCACCCACTCATAGTACAGGTAATCAAGCGCGTTCTTCAGACTCGCCGGTATACTCCAGTTATACTGCGGCGTGACGAAGATGAAGGCGTCGAATTGGCGCACGAGAGCAGACCACGCGCGCGTGTGAGCTTTGCTGTAATGCGGTGTGGGGTCTGATGCTGGTAGGCTGGCTGGGATTACGGATTCGTCGTAGAGGGGTAAGGATTGCGCGGATAGGTCGATGATTTCTAGGGTTATGTGCCTTGGATCTGTGTCGATTGTTGTGTCGTGTGTGTGTTTGGTTGGGATTGTTGGGTCGGAGGCTAGGATGTCGTGCACGTATTGAGTTATTGTTGGGTTTAGTCTTGGGCGGCGAGTGCTGCTTGTTACTATGGCGACTCGCTTGGGGGCATTTTTGGGTGGTTTTTGATGATTTAGGTGAATTGGGATCTCGAGGTGGGTGGTTTGAATGTGAGGTTGTATGACTTCATCGAGGCTCGGGGTCGGGTTTGTCGGATATTGTAGGCTCGGGTCGGAGTTTGGGGGTTCTATCCAAATTTCCACATTGCTGTATCCTCTACTAAATCTAAAATGAACTTTAAGGAGCCCGCGGGTATTTTAATTGCAGTTTTAGAGGGTTGGATGCAAGATCTACATCTGAAATGGAGCAAGCCATAGAACCTTAGACATAGAGAGTTTTCTCGATTGGACTTCCATCCAAACTTAAGTAGATTCGTTTCGCAAGTGGAATGATTTATTGAGACGCTCAGTTACTATAGCACGGCCAGAACATTGCTCAAGGATTCTTTGCGTTTCGTGTAGATCATTGGAGTAGTAAACACATCCGAGGTAAATGTAACAAATGTGAAGGAAGTTCCAAATATCGTCGCCATTCTGGGCGAATAACACAAGTCAGCGGATACACTAGCATTCTCTCATACCATCCCTCCATTTTGATAATCGATTCCCATCCATACCAAAACTCGATTAGCTGCAAGACATAAAGCAATGAGTCTGCCCTTGCGTGCCAATGCTCTCTGCCACCGGGTCAGGTCTACGTAGCCAATTAGCCAACATATCTGTACAATGATCAACATGCTCAAGATCTCCAAGCATGGTATCCAGACGATCACCCCGCATATGGACATCATGGCCTCGCCGAAGAAGGTAGAGACAATGAACTAGATGCTCTCGGATAGAAGTCCAGTAGAAATCCGGGTTGCGACCAACTTCGTCGTAGTCCTTCATCTGGCGAGTAGCTGCTTCATCGTAGTAATAGACAAAGGGCTTGCCGTCGTTGAAATGCGCGAACTCGTGTGTAAAGTCTCGCGGGCATTTTTCGTGGAGCCAGCAGCCTGCAAGAGGGTCGTAATCACAGCCAAGGGCTTTGGCTTCCGCGGTTGAGTTTCCACATGTGTAGGTTGTGCGAGTTGTCGTGGGGAGGCACTGGCGTTTTCCGTTTAGATCTGCAGGGTCTGCGGATGATGTTCCTTTCAAGACAAGGACGCGGAATGGTTCGACTGTGATTGCTGCGATTATGGCGAGGACCATGAGTATCATTACGAGGAGGAGTCCGGTTATGGTGATTGCGGCAAGATTGCGTTTGAGAAAGGAGTGGAAGGCTGGACGCTGGGGTCTGCTTGTTACTGGGGCATCGTTGTCGCCATCGGAATCCATCCTGGAAACAGGCTGGTAGTCGCGAGAGAATGGTTTGTCCATCTTGTCGATTCTGAGTGCCCGGTAACAATTTTGGGGAGTTTCATAAAAGAGAAAGGTCTCTCTGGGGCAAAGAGATTAAGATACATGCTGTGTTCAGATGACATTCTTATTAACATTGGCAGACAAAGGGAAGATAAACATGCAGCTGCTATAGATGACTCGATCGAGACATGAATAAATGTTCTGCTAGCAGCACCTATCATAATGCTTCAATAGAAATGAGGCGACGACCAAATCAAGTGTTCAATAAGCCCGGAGTCTATACTCTTCAGGTTGCGAAACAAAGAAACTCAACCTCGACAATTCCCGACCTCCTTAGTTTCGACCCAAATTCATCCCTGAAGAGAGCCCCATCTAATTAAATGCTATCCTTTTAACATTCAGTGAGCTTAGCAGCCACAGGAGGATATCGTTCTCCCACAACAGGAATTTTATCCAAAATCGAGCTAATCTCCTCCAAATCAGCGCTCGACAAGTCAACTCCCGTGGCATTCTCTTTTTTGTCGAGCCAAGAGCACCGCTGATGGGGACAGTTGAACGTCGGCTGGACTGTCGGCCCTAGCCAGCCATCCAACTGGTTGCCCTTTGCCTGGCTACCTCACCATTTCATTGTTTGACGGCGCGACAATCACCATGGCGCCCAGACCCGAACTTTCGCAGCTTCTTAAGATTCGCGAAATGATTCGCAGCAGATCACTGATTGGACGGTGATTAACCAGATAGAGACATGTCATATAACATGATCGTCTTCGATTCGTTTGGTACTTTATCAAGGGCAGTATGGGGACTAGGTCAACTTTCAGGCTGCGTCCAGTATACGATAGATCTTAGGCTTAGGGCTTAGGAAAGGAAGCGTAACACCATCGATGATAAAAGCGCTCCCCGATAGATGGTCTTGACACGTGGAGATTGTATTGACGCTCCAGTTATAACATCCCACCCTTCCATAAAACTTATAATCACACTTAAAGATTTCCAAAAAGAACAAAGCCGCAAACCAAAGCTATATACAAAATAAATGAGAGAGAAATTTACCAAGCTTGCTCTTTGCAAACTTCATTTATAGCAAAGTGCCACGCTTATGCAACGGTGACGGTCTTGTTAAGAGTCTCCAGGTAGGGGAAAGGACCAGCCTGCAAATAACGTCAGTATACTAGAATCCCAACTCTGGAAGCGCACAAAGCTGTGAATAACTTACACCAATCAAAGTAGCGTGAGCAACATTAATCTGTCCCGTTCCTTTGGCAGCTGACTGGGGCACTGTGACAGTGAAGTTCTCATAGGGGGGCTGGCTGCTCTCGTGGTATACGGGATCGAAGGGCCCGTTATAGAGGATTGTTCCCATAACTTCCTCTGGGGTGTGGCAGGGCGAAGATGCGCATGAGGAGAAGCCAATTGCGACTGCCATCTCCTTGGAGCCTGTAAGGGAGTTCTGTGAAGAGAGTCTGTGTCAGAGGAATTGTGCTGTTTGATAGACTTTAGAGAGATTCACTTACGGGACGCTGGACTTGGACAACAATCTGATCACCGGCAGTGACCTTCTGGCCTGTGGAAGGGAGGCCGATCATGGCATTCTGGGCAAGGGCCGAGACGGCGAAGAGGATCATGGAGGCGAAGAACTTCATTATGATGGATGGGTATGTGCAGTGAATTCGAGAATAAATAGTTGGCTAGTATGCTTTTGTAGAGTATACAGAGTGGATTGAGAAGTATTGGGTTGGATCCGGGATTTTATATCTAAGAAACTGCACGAGCATGATCTGATCTCCCAAAGTTAGAATTCTAAAATAATCCAGCGGCGATGATGGTAATTCGTCAAGTCTCTGCAAGTCTCAGTACGATCCAGCGCGAAGCCTTGGTCGGTCGACACTAAAGGGCGATCCGGTAACCGGCTCGACGATCGCCCAATTATTGTGGGTTGCCTTGCAGATTCAAATAAGCAAGCTGACTGGTCTCACTATTTAAGGGTTACACTTATCGTCTGATTTGATTTCGATTTGGGCTCCTTTAGGGATGTTCGCGCTTTCAATAAAACTTTTGACGTTGAGATACTCGGGCGTTGTGATAGGGACGTACTGGATGTTCTTCGGCTAACCACTGAAATACCCCCCTCGCCCGGAATCATGCATGATTATCTATCGGAAAATAAAATTAGCACGATGACTAAAGTTCCAGAAAGCCCCAGAGGTGCAAAGCCCCTACATAAATATGAGTCAGAAAAGCTTCAAGGGTTAAGAAAACCAGGCGCCCTATGTTCCCCTAGTTGGGCGTCCCCTTCGAGGGCGCATGTTGCGTTGCGGGGGCGCAGGGCTAAGCATCGGTGCTAAACTTAGATCACTTTGGCTGACAGCTGAAGATGAGGTACCAGGTAGGACATGTCGACCTATTTTGGAATCCATGGGTGTCTTCATTGCCAATTGGGCCCGTGTCACAGCCTTAACCTTGCTGTAGGAGTAGGAGTTAGATTGAGCCCTAGCACCTCAAGTTATCCTGGTGCACTGCACTGCATGTACCCAGAAATCACAGATCACCTTACCCATGATCTGCGATAGGTAGTAAAAAATTAGTGAGACTCGACTAGGTCTAGCTATTTATAAGCAGTATGTATGCCTTCTCTTATTTTGTTACCAAGTATACTGTATTTGTGTCAGGATTTTGTCTGATACGTTGATCACACAGCTGCTTTATTGCTTAGAAACCGCATCATTTCGATAGATTTTCCTTTTTGAGCCAGGATAGATATGATACATCTTCGCGCGAAACCCTCTCACTAGGTATTATTTTTCTTCATTCACGTGCTGTCTCTTTTACTTTGATAGGCTTTATGTCATTAACGTTTTTGAATAGTAAAGCGATACTTCAAGTGACTCCTATTAGGTAGAATGTTCTGCATAAGGAAACTGCAACTTGGCTATCTAACATACTAACACTTATACGTATGACGTTAGCCACATCATTCTCTTAAATACCGGATTCCTATTAAAACCTCATATCTGATTGAAACTAAACTAGATCTATTAGACGTGATCACCGACCCTCAAAATTGTGATGTTCCATTTTGCGAACCAGCGCCCTATCCATCTTACCTTTTCGTAGTCATTAATGTTCTAACAGTATCCTGAATGTCAGAATCCCCAGACTGTCTCTCTTTTCGGCATCTCCAAAGAGACCTTTTGGCTTCCGGTAATGTTCCCTTGGTAACTGACATACAAACCTATTTGGTCCCTATAAGGAGTACGCTTCTCCCCTAGGGAATTTTCCAGTCACAACCAACATACTGGCTGTATGTGATTGGCCTCCTAATTGGGGATAACCACGGGTCATCTTAGTCAAACTATAAAGCGGAATGTCACTGGGCACTTGTCATTGGGCAATTGTAAGCTGACGAGCACTTATGATGTAAGATGGGCCAGACCGGTCCGCAAAACGGAACCTATCCAGTATGTCAAACTCATGAAATATACAGCTTGCAGCTGAAATAGCAGGGCTGTGCTCAGTCAACAAAAGGCAATGGATATCGCACGTGGGGGAGCAGTACTGAGAATACAAGATATACTCACAGGTGCAATCACAACATCCCCGAGGAAACCGTAGAGCGGAACTCCGCAGTCATCCGACCGGGCAACACGAGCACTCGGCATTAGAAGCAAATTTTCTCTGCCCAGAAAGCTGTATACAGTAGCGACCGGTATCGCCTTCCATGTCAGGAACAGAGAAATCCTCTTTTAAACCATAACCACATGATACGCTAATCCAATTATGAATAGCGCGTAATATCGGTTTGTAGCTATCAAGGTAATAGATAACAGAAGCTTAAATACCAGTATGGATGATACAAAGGTCTAGAACTAGGCACTGGACTACCTGGAAGGTTCGATATCACTCAGCAAACATAGAGAGAGGTTGCTATCTTGGTGTTCGGCTTGCGTAAAGGATTGGCGCATATGTGTAGAAATGTCTTGGTGGTCAACGTGGTCCATAAAACCAAAACTTATGGTACCCTACTCCAACTGGATCCCAATTCTTTATCCCACTGTTGACTCCATCTCCCGCTTTTGTGCAGGCCTCTCTGACCGACGAGTACCAACTCGGGACATGACTGCACGCATACACCCTGACTTTCTGCCAGTCCTAGGTCTGAAAGAAACGCGTAGGCCATCCTCAGCGATCGATATAATATGCAGTAAGACGTGGTGCGGTGTTGACTGTAAGACATCATGGCACACTTTCTCCTGGTGCTCCCTTCCAAATGCACAAACTCAGGCTTTTCGCCCATAGTCTTGGGTGGTAACATGTCAAAAGTCAAAAGTCAAAGTGTTGAACTCGGCGTCTCTTTGGACGTACCCGTGGGGGCCGAAAGGGCAGTCCTTCGTTCAGTCCTGCTCTCAATGTCAATTTTTGGAGTCTCCCCACCCCCACTAACATGTCTGCAACTTGGGAGCTCGCATTATATTCTCAATGTTGGGTGGCAAAGAAATTGGAACCGATCTCTTTTGCTGCATTGTACGTCAATGCGGGCTCAAAGAAATGACAAGGTTAAATCCACATGTACGTGGGAGGACGGTGCAGCACCAAATTGCCAACTCGTGAATGCAGAGCCAGTGTTTCGAGCCTTGAAAAACTGCAGGATAGAGTGTCCAGAACATCTCAAGGCTAAGGCTATAAGCAGTCGATCAGTCTTTAAGAAGCTCAGGATAAACACATACGTCCTCCTCTTTTCTTTTTGATATCTCGAAGTTGAGAGAACGATAAAGAAACGAAGTTGCCAGATCATCCATAGCTTTCGAGACGAGGCAGAGACTGGCCAAATCGTTTTTGTTCTGGCAGCATATCTATGGTTCATTGAGTTCCCAGGCCGTAAGACTTGAATATTTGGATCAGCATACGCTTTCACACGCTGGATACCAGGCGTACCTCGTTGAGTGTGTGAAGCTGCACTGAGCTTTCTTGGCACGCTTTCTTTCTGAAGCGGGACCTTCAGAACATGCAAGCCGGCTTCGTTTCTGGTCTTGGTAAGCGATCAGTCAACAATTCTCGAAGAAAGTTCAAGGTGCATGTTGGAATTAGAATATATGTAATGGAGAAAATGCAGTGCAGATCCGGAATTGAGATGCTATTAGGTTCGCATGGTTTCTGTTGGCAGGACTATGGGTGGCATAACGTCGTTTTTTGGGTATTATAAAAGTTCGGCCTTGTGACGGATCCTAAGATACGAAGGTAACCATATACGGCTTAAAACCGAATGTGATTAGGGTTTGGGGAAGCTCCTCTGTATTGTCCGGCATGGAAGGCGAGAGCGGTCGCTACAGTAGAATATGAGAAGGAGCATAAGCCACATGGAGAACTTAGTCCCTAACATCTCCAACGGACTCGCAGCCATCAATTTCCCGACCCAAGGATCGAGTAATCTTCACTAGAGCCAAATTTGGTCTTGTCCGATGTGGCGTACAATCAATATTTATATCCACACCCGACTTAATATACGAAGAGGATAATGGGGCCCCATAGAGCAGAGTGCCCACCATGCTGACAGGATGCATCCTTCCGAAGTGGAACACCGATTAACCCAAAAAGCTATTCAGCCGGGTAATTGTCCGTGCACTTGGGTGACTGGTTCTGAGGGCCGTAAAGGGAAGGTTGCAAGCCTGGTTCCGAGTGATATCCGAGTGCTGTTGCCAGACACGTGCATTGATACAGGTTGTTTATGTTGGCTGCGTGTCGCCAAGGGCGTGGATTACCAAGTACAGTCTTTTAAGGCTCGGCATTGATTGGCATTACTATTGTAGGCGACGCAGCCGCATCAGGCAGCTGCAAGAACCAGAGCTATGACCATGAGATATCGATCGGCATAATTTCCAGATCATTTCCAGAAAAGTTCAGAGCTTCGTCGGGTATATTTTAGCTTTTTATGATCCGGTTGACAGGTTCCAGTGGTTTCAATGAAGTATACGGGAGCTCGATGATAGAACAGTAGTAAATAGAAACATAGGCAAGTTAGAAGTTCTAAGCAACAATTTTTGGATATGCATATCCAATACTCAGCAGCCCGTACAGTAGTTACATGAGATAAAAAGAAATAAGGTGGGATGACATAACTCATACAAACACATTGAGCCACATGGGAGGGTGGAACCCCCGGGATGATCTGATAGCCAGCCATTTCACCACGTTCCGCCCTCCCGATTCTCCACACATTCTGGCCTACGCGCTCAGAATGTGATGGCTTCGTACTTAACCCTGTAGAGCCTGTGGTTTCTTTTAGTATTTTTTTTTGTTATACCATGGTCAAACATGCCACTTTCGTTCCTGGCCGATCTTTTCTCTCGGATCCGCTTGATCGTCGCCTCCAGTTCGCATGCCACTTTACCTGTCCCACTTTAACTCTGTGATCTTTTCCTAGCGGGTAGGAGACAATGAACTCCTTCTCTTCGCAAGACTTCCAGGAGTGGGTGGACAGACGCCAAAGTACCGTTTCTTCCTCCACCGTGTCGTCTTCGTCAACGAGTATTCTCTTCCCGAGCCCCGCGACCTCGCCTGGGTCCAGCTCGAGGAAGCAGTCCTGGCAGTTCTACGATGATGTCGTGCGGCTCGAACTGACTCCTTCGGTGCAAATGTCTGTGCTATGAAACAGGGTCGAAGATCTTCTGGGGAACTCGCACTGACTGGTATATAGTTCGTTTGTGAAACAAGGACAGCTGTTTAAGCTGAAATACACATATATTGATATCTGCAAAGATGCGACGGGTGCACTGAGGTGTTTGGAGCTTGGGGGAGGACTTGGTCAACAGACTCCTTTCGTACATGGTTGTGAGTTGCGCGATCTCTTGTCCGAGGAGAGATGCTAATCAAGTGTGATTTAGTCTCAAATACAAAGCTTCCTGTTCCGCATCTGGAGCATCCGAAAGCTGGCGATGATTACCCTCTCCGCGTGTCTTTTATGGAGCAACAGACGATACAAGCAGCACATACGGTGTTTATGACACAACTTTCATATAAATTCGAAAACTGGAATGGTATGCGACCGAGACATCCCGAGTCTTGAGCCTCGGCTTACAGTTTGCAGATTGTATACGATTTCAGGAAATTCTACTTGGCTCCAAGCTGATATTCATCGGCGGAATGGCCGAGGCCAAATCTAAAGGTCGAGGAGAGGAATGCATCAGCCAAAATCTCCGCATCCTCCGCGGCCACAACGGGAAACGCGTAATGCTTTACTTCGCTAACTCCCAACGGAGGGAGCTCAAACGATACGTCTCTATTCCACGTGAGTCCCCTCTGCCTAGGCATAGCCCCCTCTCCCGGTGGCGGCATTGCTAATTTCCGGGAAGTCAACTGTGTCGCGGGTATTAAACCGCCGAAAAAAGCTGGGCGACCAGCCACACTGGATCTAAATCCGAACTTCGAGATTCTGTCTCAGATGAGGACTTTTACGGTCCAGTTTCTCGACGATGATGGTCAGTACGCATTCAAGTTCTTTCATTCCAAGTCGCTTACATTCTCTGATCTTAGACTGCAAGGACTTCTGTCAAATGCTATCACACGACCTGACGATTGGATGATTTAATAGAGGAGCCGTAATATCCGCAGTTGACGATAATGAATCTTGCATGACGGAGTTCCTTGGCGAATGGGGGGACTATACTAGCATGTACATAATACGAGATACCCCCTGGGCATGATAGACCGTTACCATTTGAAATTAATTCTCTTTACAAGGCTGATACCAGAACAGTAACAAAACCGAACCTAGTGATCCATATAAGTTAAACGAATTACACTATAATAAACTCCGTACTTAATCCCTCGTGGGAAAGTGACCGGACAATTAGTAGTGGGAGATGTCGACAAACCAAGCATCAGAATGGCAGCACGTGGAGCGTCCGACCACAAGCTTTGGCTCGTTCCCGCTTAGTCCCGCATTAGCGCGTGCAGGGACAGCCCCAACGTGCGGACCTTTCTTAGATCACGTTATGGCCCTCGTTATGGGTCTTATAGGTTCGTTCCTGCTACTATTTTGCATATTTCATATATGTGAAGCAGATTTTGAATAGTTGAAGCTTGCTTCTTCAACTTATTCATCATGGGCAAGTTCCACGCCCGGTTGTACAAGACCGACCGTGCCCGGGACTTCGACCACGAACAGGTATGAACCCCACCTTGTGTGTTTAGGAATGTGCTAACAATGGTTGTGATGTAGGATCGATATGTTCGTATGCGACAGATTTACGAGACGATCGACCGACAGGGTTTCCAATGGATTGTGGTTCTGGTTGCCGGTCTCGGGTTCTTCCTTGATGGTTATACTGTGAGTAACAAAGAATGAGGGGGGAATTCTCGATGGAATCCTCGGACCTGTCTTGAACAAATCCTGATATACAATCCAGCTATTTGCCAGTAACATCGCCCTCCCGATGATCTCCTACGTCTACTGGAGAAACGATACCTCCTCATTACGACTCACATGCATCAACATCTCAACGTTAGCGGGGACTTTACTCGGACAAGTGGCTTTTGGATTCCTGGCCGATAAAAATGGACGAAAGAAGATGTACGGTGTCGAATTGGTGTTGCTGATTACAGCCACGCTTGGTGTGGTGATGTCCTCTCGTGGCGAGGACGGAAGTATGAACGTCTATGGGTGGTTGATCTGGTGGAGAATCTGCGTTGGCATTGGAGTGGGTGCGGATTATCCACTTAGTGCAGTGATTACATCCGAGTACGTCTATCGTCCCTGGGAATGTGGGAAAGCATAAAACTAACTGTATCAGATTTGCCCCGACGAAGCATCGCGCCCGCATGATGGCCACCGTCTTCTTCATGCAGCCGCTTGGTCAAATTGCCGGTAATATTGTCTCAGTCATTGTGATTATCATTGCTCGCAACAACAGTACAGGTGATGAAGACCTAACCCGCACGGTCGACATGTTGTGGCGCTGGGTTCTGGGCATTGGAGTCATCCCCGGTGCAATCGCGACTCTTTTCCGGTTTGCCATTCCAGAGAGTCCCCGCTACCTCGTTGATATCCAAGACGACCCAGTTACCGCTGAATTTGACGCAACGACGCTCTTTAGTGAAAGCCCTGGGATGGTTGAATCTTCGAGCTGGGGCCTAGGGAGTTCGATGCAATTACCGCCGATCGCATCAATTGCTAGTACCAGCTCTATCATCGACGATGACGAAGAAGAGCTTACCCGGCTACCGCCAGCTACTCTTAATTCGCACTGGCGACTCGCACGTACCGATATCATCCGGTATTTCTGGACAGAGGGTAACTGGCGCAGTTTGGCTGGTTGTTCTCTTGCATGGCTCCTGCTTGATTTTGGTTTCTATGGTATTGGACTATCGAGCCCTCAAAATTTGGCTAAGACTTGGGGTGCACTTCACATCTCCTCAGCGGCTCCGAACTGGATGACCGACGATAGGCCCCATGCCAACGTCTTCCAGATGTTCTTGGACACCTCCGTACGCGGATTGGTGGTTCTAAACGTGGGCAGCTTCGTCGGATGTATCCTCCTTATTATCTTTGCGCATCGCATTGATCGCGTCGCCCTTCAGAAGTACATGTTCCTTGCACTCGCCGCTCTCTTCATCGCCCTGGGAACGATGTTCGTCTGTCTCTATTCCAAACCCCCTGCTATTGTGGCATTATACATCCTGGGGCAAATTCTGTTCAACTTCGGTGAGTCTAGCTAGTCCTCTTGATATTTAAACGAAGTCGCACTAACAATCATCAGGCCCCAATGCAACGACATACATGATCCCAGCCGAGATCTTCCCGACCCGATACCGAGCAACCTGCCACGGCCTCAGCGCCGGCGCCGGAAAACTAGGCTCAATTCTCGTTCAAATATTCTCAACATACTATCACTTCGGCGCAGGGCCAGGCGACGAATCAACCCGCAAGCACGGCATCGTTCTCCTTGTTTTTAGCGCCTGCATGATCATCGGCGCAGTAGTAACCCACTTCTGGATCCCACCTATCCAGCAAAAACGCAATGGTCGCAGCAAGCTCTGGGGTGGAAAGCCTGAGACGCTGGAAAGTTTGGCTCTTGGGCGTATGGGTCGGAAAAGTCGGGATGCCGATTTCAGGAAACGTGCTTCTCGGCAACGTGCGCTTTCCATGAGTGGCTAAACATTCTTTAGTATATTATTTTTCTTTCTGTATTTATTACCTTCTTGTTATATATTAGGCTTATATTTGGGTGGACTGGGCATTATGGGACAGGCTTCCGGGCTTTCAGAGACTTACTATACATTATGGGATACGTGAATATAACCAATAGATACCCTCCAGTCCATTCGATTGGATATTGAAATGGGAAAAAAGGAATTTCGTATACATAATCTATTACTTCAGACCTCACAGCAATAACCACCAAGCAACCTCCCCATATCCCCCGCATCAAGATAAACAGCAACATCCATCCCTCCATCCCCAACAGCAGCATCCATAATCTGCAAACACCCCTCCATTCTAGGCATAACAGCATGCACATACCTTGGAGCACCACCAACCGCACCTCCACCCACAAAATCAATATCATACAACCCCAGCCTGGTCCAAGACGTAACAAGCGTATGCTCCCGCCCCAAAAACCCCTGCCAAAGCCGCTGCGGCGAGATCTCATGCGCTGCATCATGCAACATAGCTCCCATAGCCTCGGGCGTGAACCGCTTCATCGTATCTCGTATCTTGGCGGCTGTCTCACCGAGCGTTGCCCGGCAGGTTTGTGAACCGGGCATGCCAACGTGAGTCAGGAATAATGGAGATCCGATGAATGTCTCCGGTAGGGCGGGTTGCACGCGTGGTCGTGCACCTAGGCTTAGATTTAGGTAGACGGGGGTTTGGGAGGCTGTGTATCCTCGTGCTTTGGTGATGGATTTCCATAGATGTGCGAGAAGAGCGTCTAGGCGGGAGATATCTGTTCTGGAATTTGCATCAGCTTGGGCTTGGGCTTGGAAATTGCGAAGTTGTAAGCCTGAAAAGTGAAGTAGGGTGTAGCCGATGGGTCGGGTGAAGTCCCATGATGACCAGGGCGCTGGTGTTGAAGGGGAGATTTTATTCTGCTGGATTGCGAGACGGAGGTCTGCCGGTGGTGGCTTGGAGTTTTCTGTCGTTGGTATGCACACTTTTGGATAGCCCTCGTCGGCTGTATCCCACCAACTGTAGCGGTGCAAGGGTAATTCGCGTGCGGCTGTCGTGAGAGCCAAATCTGGCTTTGGGGCATCGATGTCGCCCGCAGCACAGCTGTCTAGTAATGCAGGATCGAAAATGGGATCTCCCATTATTGATGGTTCGGGCTTCGGGCCAAATTGCTTTTGACTGTTGAATGCCCATAGATGCACGAATACCATCAACGTCTGCGCATCGGCTAGACAGTGTGCCATCTTGATTCCGATCGCGTATCCCCCACCCTGGAGTAGGCTTATCTGGACTTGCATCCCTGGAAGACAGGCATAGTCTTTCAGGTTATGCAGTGCCAATGGCGTGGATGAGATGAATAGTCCTTCGTTGAAGTCACCGCCGTTCCATCCTCCTGGTCGATTGCCACTGATTGTCGAAGCTCGCTCTTTGGCTGTGGGGACTATCTCGTCCGCTCTAAATGAGTGTTTAATTACCCTCCATTCGACGCCTGGATCAGCTTCAGTGCCATATACAAGTAACGGTCGATTGAAGCGTTCTGTGTGGCTTCCGTTGGGTTGGATTGGTGCCCACTGGAGTTGGCCTGCCCATTGAGGGAATTCCGACAGGGTTTCAATAAAAGCATCCCGGAGGTGGCTGATAAAAGTCTCCTGGTTCAGATTTGTGGGCTTTTCATCAAAGACCCAAATCGCACCTGTTGGGGCAAAGCGCGCGACTGTTGCGTCCAGAATTGACAGGGGTGTTGAGGTTGGTGCAGACTGTTGAAGCCTTGGATGTAGCCTTGTAGACTCGATGGTCGTCATGTTGTCTGTCTGAGTGAAGTCAATTGCTAATGCTTGTCACATTGACAGCTATCCATTTCCCTTTTATCATTTGGTGGTTCATGAGTCAAGATGCGTCAACTCTACGCCAAGACGCTAACTAGGACCAAAGCAGAGCCCGAGGGCGAAGTTGATTCTTTGTCTCAGAAAAGACAAACATTCGGACAGACAAGGCTGTCGAGATGCGTATCGCGCCATTTTCGAAGGGTCGAGGTCGTGATTGTTGGGACTCCGGGCCAAGAATCAACATGGGTTCAATGACTCTGGGAAGGATCTCCATTGCTTCGTGGAGACTAGTGAGATACATATATGTCCTCAGTCCAGAGTGAGTCTTGGGCAGATAGCCTGATTAGTGATGAAGTCCAACCTCGCACTCGGGGAATTCCCTATTTCCGGAATTTGCCGGAATTCAGCGACGGACAACTTGAAAACACCGAGCCTAGAAAAAACCAAGTTGCCTGCACAATCCACGGCATTTTCGCTTTATCAAAATGAACAGCGAAAACATACAGTTAAACCCGCGCAAACGCCGGCGCCCGGCCTTATCGTGCGAGCAATGTCGTCGGCGAAAGGTGCGGTGCGATCGGGAAATGCCCTGTGGGCCATGTACAAAGTCCCACCCCCTTTGGCATGCCAGTTTGTCCATGAGGGAAAAGCAGTACTCGATGCCAGATCTGAAGTAGCAGCTCTTGAACAACATGAGCCTGTGATACGGCCTTCCAGCTCTCATGATGCGCCAGCTCATGCCGAGAACAGCACAGCTAATGCGGCTCGGCTGGCAGAACTCGAGCGCAGCGTTTCTATGCTTCAGAATCGTGTCAAGGAGCTAGAAAAAGATCGTTCAGTGGGAAGTGAAGTAACCCAGGGTAGCACAGATCGACCACAGACATTGATTCCTCCCTTGGCTCCGCATTTGAATTCTTCGAAGCAAGAAACTAAACTGTTTGGACCTACACATTGGGCCCATGTATTTCAAGAGGTGAGCATTTTACTTTTGATTATGACTCTTGACCCACTGACTCGATTTAGTTCCACCATCTGCGAAGCATCCGCGGCACGGCCATCCATGAAGGTGTCCCCAGAAACGAAATAAGCAAATCACTCAAGAAGGCCCGGACGCTGAGATGGAAAATCAAAAATTGGCAGAAGCCACAATTGTTAGATCCAACTCCAAACCTCTTGGGTGACCTACCAGCAAGAGAAGTGTGCGACGAGCTCGTGCAATCCTACCTTCGAACGATGGAGTTGATCTACAAAGTGTTGCATCTCCCATCTTTCAAACAAGAATATGAGGGCTTTTGGTTAGACCCACAGTCTACCTCTATGGGATTTCTTATCAAGCTTCTTTTGATTATGTCTATTGGGGCTATATTCTATTTCAAGCCGGGACCAGCCAATGAGCTCCGTCTGCCGATTCGGCGTTGGCTCCATGCCGCGCAATGGTGGCTCACTGGTCCTACATCAAGAGAAAGCGCAACTATTCGGGGCTTACAGGTACATTGTTTGTTGCTCCTGTGTCGCCAGGCATATGCGATAGATAAATGGGGGAACTGGAACTCTGCTGGTTCACTGTTGCGATTAGCTATCAGTCAAGGTTTCCATCGAGACCCAAAGAGCTTTACAAGGCTTTCTGCTTTTGATGCTGAGATGCGACGTCGCATATGGGCGACAATCTTGGAACTGAATGTGCAACTTTCCATTGATGCTGCTATGCCACCTTTGATCTCGGTCGAAGATTATGATACAAAACCTCCATCGAATCTGGACGATGAAGACTTTGATGCTACAAGCGAGACACTGCCTTCTCCGAAGCCCAAAAGCCAATATACCGATTCCTCAATTCAGATTGCTCTTATGCAGTCCTTCTCAACGCGTCTATGCATCGCCAGAAGTATCAATGAGTGCAACCGTGAGCAGTCATATGAAACAACTTTGGCCCTAGGCGCAGAGTTGACAGAAACCTCGAAAGATATTGTAATTCTCTTTCGTGGCTATCTGGCTCAGGCTGCTGGGCGTGACAATGGACCAACCCTATTCCACCATCGCCTCCTCGATACAATAATTCACCGCTTCCTCCTCAATCTCTATCGCTCATTCACAATCAAGGCTCTCCACGACCCACGATTCTACCTCTCTCGAAAGCTCAGTCTGAACTCCGCTCTGGCAATGACTTCGCATGGAGAGAGAAGCACCAATCCCGACAACAAGTCGCAACAGTCAAATCAAGACTTCTTCCGGCTTTGTCTTTCAGGTGCTGGCCTCTTCAAGGGATATCTTTCACCAGATGTCATAGTAGTCATTGGATTAGAGCTCATAACCCAGATCGAGGAAGAGACTTCCCGCCAGCCCACGGTGCCTTCAGCAGTGACACTAGACGCTGTCAATAAAATGGCGCAAGCCGCTCGAGCTCCGCTCCTGGAGGCTCTCGAGCGCATATCAGATCACCTGTATCAAAGCATAGCGGCGGGTATCCCAAGCATGAAACGATATTGTCTTCTGAGGGGTATAATCGCTCAGGTCAAAGCTGCTCATCATGATGAGCAAAGCATCCATGCGGCAATTCGTCAGGCATTTCTTGACAGTATGGAGACTTGTCGGGGCTTTCTTCAAGAGTATATCTCAAGGGAGATAAATCCTTCCGATACTGATGAGGCCCTTCTGCCGACGGGTGGTATGGATGGGTGGACACCTGATAGTGCTCTGGCGTCGGATTTAATTTCTGACTTTATGGTAAGCGATATTGCTCCTTGTATTTTTTTCATCACACGAATCAGTTGCTAACTCATTCCAGATGCCAGATCTTGGATTTGATACATTGAGCTTTTGGGATATAGCGCCCCTTGACACCACGGGATTCGATGCGTCGACGTTGTTGAGGGACTATGCATGATATATTCAAGATACAGTCATATTCAAACTCAGTTTTAACTCCACGCTCTTACAACTTAATTTCGAACTCTAACTCGAGACACGCTAATCTCATTTTAGCCCTTCCTCCAATAATCGTGCACATCAGTATCGTATTCACTCGTAACTACAAATAAGTCCTTGTTATAGTACCATAATTCCTCATAGAAACCAATGGAATCTTTCACGCAAACAGATCAAAAAAAGGGGATAATATCTGGCAAGACCTTTCTTCCACTTCTTTCTGGTTTGGTTTGGTCTCCTCGTCACTCGTAGCTTCCACCTACACTCGTCTGATATCTAATAGAGGGCTCTGTGTCGTAGCGAATTAAACCCCTATAGACAGAAATGCTTCTCTATTCCTATAACGTTAGCTTTTGTTATCTACTACCATACGACCATTTCGTTTGTTACCGGCGTCTATTAAAAGCTGGATACTCCTGAGAAATTACCAAACCGCGCACCGGACCGCCACCCCGGGGTCTTCCCTTCAGCCATCATAGCCGAACGTTGCCATTACTAATAAAGGAGATCGTCTAGGTGGGCACGAACACTGAACTAGCCTACTAGGGAGAGAACAGAAGACGCAAATCTGGGGAAAAGCGAGTGTTGAAGAGAAGAGAATCTAGAGTGGAGCAAACTGCCACTTTATACACAAAGGTGGCCATCTGACCGAGAGAGACCTGAAGCCATTGACCCAAAAAACTGTAATGGATACAGGGTTTGACCCTATAGCACCGTATGTATAGCTGGGTAAGGGGCAAGGCCTAACTCATACTAGATGGTTCGTCAGTGCCAGCCAATTGGGCTATCACATCCATCACCAATATGCCTACCACGAATATTTATAGTTGGCTTGACTTTTCAGCAATTCGTTGAAACACTGCCGATGGGTCCAGAAAGGTCTCTGCCCGATAGCACTTCACACGCCCGGCATCATCCTTCCGGACAAAGAACACAGCAAAACCGGGAATAGTGATTTCGTCGGTGTCTAGGCTGTCACCTTTGACAAGATATCGGATAGTCGCGGCTTGGTAGATACGAGGGGCGACATAGTCAAAATAGCGGATCTCGTGGGTCATCATGCCTAGTTGGCCGAGGACAGTTTTAAACATCTGCCGCACCTCGTTGCCCTTAATCACAGGGCTATTTGCATATTGCATCTCCACATCGTCGGTCATGAATTCGTCAAGCCATCGATCGGTGTTAAGGGTGGCACTCGCCCGATGGAACTGAATATCGCTATAAGTTAGTTCTCCTGCCATTTTCTGGAAGATATAGCCTTACCGCTTCTAGCCACTTCAATACGGCGCCATTATCAAGCTCAGGACCGGCTGACATTATAAAAATGAAATAAGGAGGACTAGGGCACGAGACCTATTGAAATACAAAGCAAAATAGGTTTTCAAAGCCCACTGAAGACCTAGCCATTTAACTACCTAGCTGATAAATATTGCTTATAAATTCAAAATTGACTAGAGCTCCGATTCATAGCACATCTCCGAGAAGTTGGACCGTGCATATTTATCTTATCCAATCACAGTCCATATTCATTTATATCGGTGTTGGTCTCTGCAGTAGTCATTCAAAACCAGCCCCAAGCAGCCATAAACAGGCCCGACTCCAGGAAAGTCTTTTGTTCTGGTTGCCTCACTGGTGCGTCGGTATGAATTTGCGCTATCAGGTCCCGACTGGAAGTTGGAGCAACACGGGGCTTCTAAATTTTTGATGGGTGATATGCCTATTTAGCTAAGAAGGAGGTATATTCCTCTTAGTTAAACTGTAGTGGAATTGGGCTTTTTGCCCAATTAGCTACACAGAAATAAGAGATTTGGCAGGATTCGAGGTGCTGGTAAAACCACTTTAGTTCCTAAAGTGGTTAGTACGATTAGATTAAAATGATCAGAACATGGAAACCCCACTTAAACGTGTCAAACCCAGTACGAAAAAAGACAATGCCAACAAACAAGCCTCATTCAGCCAGTCAGGTCTACCTGCTGACATATAATACTGTCTGTGCGGCCCTTTGGCTTTATATCCTACTTGCCACGGCTTCCACGTTGATCTCTTCCCGGGATATCTTAGCCGTGTACACGTCGCTGGAAGCCTGGACACGATGTGCTCAAACCTTAGCTGTGGCTGAGATACTGCACGCCGCAACAGGTATATACACCCCCTGAGAACATCTAAGAATTGATACCTAATTTTGGGCTATGAACTGCAGGACTCATTCGCTCTCCTGTTTTTACCACATTTACGCAGGTTTTTGCCCGCTCCGTCCAGGTCTGGGGTATTAACTATGCATACCCTGATGTCACTGGGCCCTCGCTGGCCTATTCGGCGATGCTCCTAGCCTGGGCGACAGCTGATGCGATCCGGTATTCGTATTTTGCTATTGCGTTGGCGGGATATCCCGTTCCGCGAGCTTTGAAATGGTTGAGGTAAGTCACTTTCCTTTATTTATTTAACGTTCGGTTTCTTTCATTTTCTCTTTTGTTATTCGTCTATGGTGTAGCCAAATTTGCTCTTGGAGACCAAGAATTCTAAATTGATACTATTAGATACTCTCTTTTCACAATCTTGTACCCCGTTGGCATCAGCAGTGAGTGGTGGTTGATGTTTCAGGCGACCAAATTCACGGATAGCCAGCCTGTGGCGGCCCTTTTTGCCTTCTTCCTGGGTCTATATGTGCCTGGTAAGTGACAAGTCCTTCCTCTTCACTCCGGCTTTGAAACTGATAGATGGCAGGCTCTGTGATGATGTACTCGTATATGCTCAAGCAGAGACGTAAGGTTTTGGCTCGTGAGTAAGCTCTTGGCCTTCTTCGAGTTGCCAGCGACCTAGATGTGGAGAGCCTCCTGCATGATCTTCAACCTTAGCTAAGAATACTTTATCCTGTGCTATTTTCATTCCATTGTTTATGAGCCGGCAACGTAGATCCATCTGTTAAGAGGCGCTGGCACGCCAAAGTGCTGTTCCCCATCCGTATCCAAGACGATCGTACGGAGCCGGCGCGAATATAGGGAAGCAAAAACCAAAGATACTTCGTAAGAGTTGACTGGACGCATTTGCCGATGCCACGTACCCCTGTAGGACTCCATGACATACTGCTCCATGGCCTGAGTACTGAGGATTACTACACAGACAAACACCGCTGCTCCAATGTCGACGACGATATAGCCGATCGCATTAAAGGTATAATGAACGCCGAGGGGCAGCTTCAGGCTCAACTTCAGCTGGCTTGAATGGAATTTAATATGCAAATTCGGGTGTCATCTCTCAATGCAGAGGATAACTAAGCTAGTCTATTGATGTGCTTGTTGATAAATTGGCATAGTATACAGTAGTTTGTACTCATCTTTTTCCACTGGAAGGATGAGACATCCGAGCATAAAGAGATTACCCCAGAGGGCAGAAAAGTAGAAGGTATATCACAGCTTAGACTCTGACCATGATACTGTGGGGAGTTTCAGCGGGTGCCCTCCGGCACTGAACACAAAGTCATCCAGACTAATCAGATCAGGCGAGCTGAACATAAGATAGAAATATTTTAGAGTCTGCGACATCCAGAAGCTTGGCATAAAGTCCACGCGGATCGGCTCTCTGTCGACGGTAACATCAATGATAGCAGTGTTGCCATTTTCCACCTGAGTGGCATTCTGAATTGCCTGGAACATATTCCAAGCCATATCAAGCAAGTCCTCACGGCCAGTGATCCGATAAAGGGTAAAAATACTCTCAATTGCCTCCGGTCGCAGATTGTAAGCGGTATCTGGGATACTGATGAACCCCCTAGGCAGATGATGATCTTTGATGAAAGCATCCACATTGAGATATGTATCTGGCTCGAGCTGTAGGTTTTGCGCTCGTTTCCACACTTCCTGTTTCCAGTGCCACTCGTTCCATGGGCAGTTTGTCTGTGATGCGCAAGGGACTGTATCGTAGACTTCTGGCATGATGCCCAAGGGCATGGTTTCATGCGCCCAGATGCAACCGTCGACCAGTTTGTGTGCGATTTTCTTGTGCGTGGGAATTTTGAACAGTGCACCTCCTAGTGCAAACATACCACCTGCAAAACAGGACCGGTATTGTACTTGTGATTCCAAGTGTGTGCGTGGCTTTCCATTTTGCGATGTGAATACTCGAACAATGCCTGCTGTGAGTATGTCCTTTTCCTCTGGATTCATTGGTCGGAAAAGATTGTGGCTCGCGGCTGTGAATGTCGCTTTTTCGTACATCTTGCGATACATCGGCACGTTGCCTCCAAGAAGGGCATATGCCCCAGGAAGCGACTTATACAGCGAATTTGCTTCTTTGCCCAGTGTGAACATATCGCCATCGAAGAGCTCCGCTTTGGGATTCACAGAGACGGGCCACAGGCCTGCAAGCTTAGTAGAATCCTGCTGTCTATCAAATATTTCCATGACTCGCTGGGCGGCGTCAAAATATTTTGGATCGCCCGTGACCTGGGACAGCCTGATAAACTCCAAGGTAAAAGAACCTAGCTCCGCTGCGAGAATCCCTTCCTCGGCAATCTGCTCTTCCTGTCGAGCAGCCCTGTGAGAGTCCCAATGGATGATTGGCATCCTATTTGGGGTATCGAAAGCAGCATAGAGCATGTCGCCTAGTTCAGTAGCTTTTTTACGTAACCTGAGATCACCGCTGAGATCGTACGCTGCCAACAAGCCTCCGAGAAGACGTGTGTTAACCTCATGGGTGTTGATTTCGGGCGATGCGGTATCTTGAAAGTCAATCTTTGTGACTGTGGCCACGACCTTCTCAAAGTCGTCACGCATTCCCATGATCCACAATGTATCGAGATTGTCCACCAATGTCGCACCCCATCCACCAAGACCGTTTATGTGAGCACCACTGAGCGGCGCAAGCTCATCTGTCGACCAGGCAAGAGCCTCATATGATTTCCAGCATCGTTCGAAGGCGTTCTTCACGGCTAGTTGTCTGCTGCTCTGATGCCATAATGTGAAGTGAGATAATTTCGAGTCTACTGATTGGATCTTGGGTAGCGTGGGCAGTCCCACTGGGAGAGGCTGGGTCTCGGCAACTGGGAATCGCACAGGCAGAGTGCTCCAGAAGGAATGTGGGTTCTCTTCGTCGTTTGACTGGTGTTCGGATGTATCCTGGACAGTAGATGCAGAATTTGGGGGCTGAACATCCTCGATGTTTGTGCGGTGGTACCGGTATAGCAAGAGTAAGACGGAAGCTGCAAGGAGAATCCCCAACAGTTGACGAGTAGCCCGACTCATGATTTCACACTGTAGATCTCACTAGCATTTTCCATGTGAGGTATAGCAAGCATGGAAGACTAGCAATGCAAGATTACGAAGGATGGAAAGTCTGACAAGAAAAGAGATGAAACTCTCCGCGTTAAAGCAAGCGGAGCTCTGGGCATGTAACGGAGAATTGTGCGCATTCTCGGCTTTGCCAAGAGTGGAATAGGAATTCAATAGTGAGGAAGCTTGACGCGGTTCTAGACTTGTTCTGAACTTCGTTCCGATATCGTATACAGCTGACGACGCTTCCTCCGGTGGGCGTTAGTTGCATTAGTTGCATGATTCACCACTCTGGAATTTGGGTTAGTATCGGTATTATAGTGTTCAGTTTGGGTATAAACAGGTTCTATTTACGGCCAGTTTTTCCAGTTTAAATCACGGTAGGAGGATCATGGAACGTAATGAAGCAACAGTGCTCGAATCAACTCGGAACAGCAGAAACGACTATGTGGGGCCGACACGTTTCAATGGCCTAGTGCGACTGTTTGTTTAATTTGGAAAACTCCTAGAAATAGCCAATTAATAAAACGTGTATATATAAAGAAAAAGAGACACATTGAAAATAAAATAAAATAAAAAATAAAAAAGAATAGAGTGCAAATGTAATTGTCATATTCGGGAACAAAACAAAAGTGCAAAAAACTAATGTGCATCATCCGTGAATCGAACACGGGCCTCGTCGATGGCAACGACGAATTCTACCACTAGACCAATGATGCTAGCTGTTGTAAGTATCCCCACTATAGTGATACATAGATCAGAGCGCGCGGCATAAACAATATTGTGTCCCATACCCTCAGGGCTGAGGGGTAAAACTTTCTCTTGTTAATAATAATTAATCGCGTTGTAATACCTTTGCACCCGCTCTCATGATGCTTATTCGAATTCTCAATCTTATTTTCATCGTGATAGGAATTTGGTGTAATTCGTTGGAAAGTTGACATATTTACATGTAATGTATTCTGCAAGCGAGTGGCCCAGCTGGAACTACCTTAAGAGGTGATAAAATACAAATTACAAACTTCATGCCATAGTCTAATAAGCGCCCTAACACAAAGAATATATAGTAGGTAGGTAAATAATTATATTTTAGAAGTCTCCAATCATTTAGAGACAACATGGCCGAGTTATATGTAATTTATATCTAGGTTAAAATGCAAAAATACATATTATTCAAATGTAATATTGTTTTTATTATTGAAACTCTTATAACTATCGATTATTTCTAGACACCAGTTTTAATAGTTGACTATGAAAAGGTGTGGTTGTCGATATACAAGTCATCAAATCGCATTTAAGGTGGTGTTCCAACTGGGCCACCTCGCTTGCAGGATTACATTACATTTCACGAGGTGTGTCCCTGAATAGCCAACCATAACCAGTAAAAATGGTGCCCCACATAATATCAACTTCTCTCTAGACCATACCAGATAGCCCCAGAATATCATGACGCTGTGAGGGGAATGGGGAAGTGGGAAAGGGGAAAGGGGAAAGGGGAAAGGCACAAATTGCTCCGGATTTCTAGACCAACACATACAGGGTTAATGGAAGGCAGAGAGAGGGAAAGTGGTTGATGAAAGACCTAGAAGTAGGGAAGCCCGTAACTTACATCCCTTCATGTTGCATTAAAATTTGGAGTCCCAACAGCAGTAAGAGATAAGGGAGCAAATAAAACAATAGAGAATTAACTCTACACGTATCGTATAATTGACCAGATATAGATAGAACAGAAGAGAGCTGCTAAAAGGGATGGCCGCACCCTTTGCTAACTAGAATCAGAACAAGTTGGGACTTAATGCCAGTGGGGCAAAGAAGAGACCAAGAGAGATGAGCCCAAACCCCGTTCATTACTCCGTTAAGACGGAGTTGAAGGAACTGTTGAAGGCAGGGTTGAATGGCAATCCAACAGGTCCGAAGATAAAGCAACAAGGGCCGAGCCCTAAGAGTTAGACACGTGAAACCATGGAGTACTGACAGTGAACAGGAACGCGGCGTAAAATACGGTAAGCCCCAATCTAGGCAATGTAGCATACATGATTAAAGATATCATGTCCAGGTGTAAAAGACAAAATTGAAATGGTACCAAAAATAAAGTGCGTAACATTGGAAGCGATCTCGGGAGATCTCCACAGCGGGGAAGATGTCTCGGGTACCTTTTAGTGCGGGGCAGCCCCCGGGAGATGGCTTAAATACCGTTCAACCGGCATGAACCATCTCATTTTTACCTTTTCTTCCCTCTGCAATACCCCCAAAACATCCCCGTCTTCCCCCAAACGTTACCATCATGGCCTCAACCGCCATTGATTTACCGCCTTCGAGGCAGCGAGTCGAGCCAGGATCCTGTGATATCCCACTTGGTGAATTTCCCAAGACCAACGAAACAACCCCCGAAGACCCAGACAAGATTGCGAGTCAGATCATTGACCAACTGAACCTCAGCCTTGTCGCCAATGATAAGGAGACTGTGTCCGGGCTTCTTGCCGAAAATGGATATTGGCGTGACCACCTGTGCTTCACGTGGGATCTCCGCACCATCAAGGGCCGTGAGGAAATTATTGCATTCATCACTGGCCAGGAAAAATGCATCATTGAAATTGACCGGGGCTCGCCCCTTAAGGCTCCGCATGCTGGTCCCATTGACGCATTTGGTGAGGTGCACGGGATTGAATTCTTTATCAACATCACGACCAAAAATGGAACTGGAAACGGTATCGTACGGCTTGCGCAGGTTGGCGAGAGATGGAAGATCTTCACTGTCTTTACTTCCCTGACTGCTCTGAGTGGATCCGATGAGGCCACCAAGAAGAACAGACCCACTGGTGTGCAGCATGGCGCGCAGGAAGGTAGAAAGAATTGGCAAGATCGTCGCATTGCCGATGAGAGCTTCGAGGAGAAAGACCCTGCAGTTTTGATTGTCGGTATGTATCAATGAACTGTCCTCACAAGGATCTCAGCTAACCCAAGGAATTAGGTGCTGGCCAAGGTGGTCTCACTGTCGCCGCACGTCTGAAGATGCTCAATGTTGACACTTTGCTCATCGACAATGAGGAGAGGATTGGAGACAGCTGGCGCAAGCGCTATCACCAGCTCGTGCTTCACGACCCAGTTTGGTTCGACCACATGCCATACCTTCCTTTCCCGGACAGCTGGCCCATCTTCACGCCCAAGGATAAGCTGGCCGATTTCTTCGAAAGCTATGTCAAGCTGCTGGAATTGAATGTCTGGACCAGAACCGAAGTCAGGTCTACATCGTGGGACGAGGACAAGAAGCGATGGGAGGTCGTGCTGGAGCGCAGCAAGCAGGATGGGAGCTCCGAGAGACGTCTCTTGCACCCACGCCACATCATCCAGGCGACTGGCCACTCGGGAAAGAAAAAGGTGCCCATTTTCAAGGGGATGGACAACTTCAAGGGCGACCGTCTTTGCCACAGCTCGGAGTTCCCCGGTGCGAACCCAAATTCTGTGGGAAAGAAGGCGGTTGTTGTCGGCTCGTGTAACTCCGGACACGATATCGCCCAAGATTATTATGAGAAAGGATATGATGTGACCATGGTCCAGCGCAGTTCGACCTGTGTGATCACATCCAACTCCATCACGTCGATCGGGTTGAAAGGCTTGTACGAAGAAGGCGGTCCCCCACTCGAGGACGCGGATTTGTACCTGAACAGCATTCCCTTTCCTCTGTTCAAGGCGCAGCAGGTCAAAGTCACCAAGTTGATGAACCAGAACGATGCCAAGATCCTCGAGGGCTTGGCAAAAGCGGGATTTAAGGTTGACATGGGACCTATGGACGCCGGTCTCATCACGAAATACTTCCAGCGCGGAGGCGGATACTACATCGACGTGGGTGGCAGCCAGCTAATCATCGATGGCAAAATCAACGTGAAGCAAGGCCAGGAAATCAGCGAGATTCTGCCAAAGGGAATACGATTTGCGGATGGCTCGATGATTTACGCCGACGAGATTGTTCTTGCGACTGGATACCAAAACATGAGATCTAATACTCGGTTGATCTTCGGCGATGAGGTGGCTGATCGGGTTGGTGATGTCTGGGGACTTGACCAGGAGGGTGAGTTCCGGACTATCTGGCGACGAAGTGGTCATCCTGGATTCTGGTTTATGGGTGGCAATCTAGCTCTTTGCAGATATTACTCTCGCATCTTGGCTTTGCAGATCAAGGCTATTGAGGAGGAAATCACTACTTACTAAGATGTGGGAGTGGACATGGACAGCAAACAGTGACAACAAATGATAATGAATTGAAATGAAAGCAAAGTCCATAGGCATTTTCGTCTTAGATCCATGCACAAAACCAACCCTTGCCAGTATATGTACCATAAACCGATCCACCTCTCGATTTGAAAAGTCGCAGCCTAACACTAACACCATTTACACCACGGATATACAAGATATACAACCCCCAATCCCTAAATCGATAAAAAAAGCTATTGATTCATAAACTCAACCATCCCTCCATAGAAGCAACCCAAGCACCAAGCGTCAAAACATGAGTATAAAGCCAATTCTCCAAATTTCCATAAAAATCCTCACCCCCAGAATCAGCAACAGGATCCGTCAACAACAAACACAAACGCAAATGCTCCAAAACAGAACTCTTCCGAACAGTAATCTCCACCCCATCCCGAGTCATACTCGCAATCCTGCTCTTCCGCCGTGCCTTTCGATCAATCGCCACCAAAACAAACTGATCAGCGTCGCCATCTTGTTCACCGTTAGAATTTGGGAGGGGTCGTTTCTCCCATTGCATTAGCATTCGACATTCTTCGGATCCGGTGGTGTTCTCTGTGTTTTTTATGACGAAGCGGTAGTTTGATGGTCGGGTTCCTCGCTCGGATTCTGCTGTGCTGGGGTTTGGACTGGCTTGCCAGATACAGCGTGCGTCCCGGAAGTGGATTGCCGAGGCTGAGTCGTCGTTTGATGGGTTACACATTGCTGCGATAATATCTTTTTCTTGGGTACATTGATCGCTAGTTTCTGATATTTCTTTTGGCTGTTTTTGTCGTGTAGTGGTGACATAAGGTTCATTGAGTGTCGCATAGATATCCCTCGTGCCGAGTTTTGGGCGATGAGGAAATCCCCTTGTTAACTTTGATTTGCGAAGTGGTGGTTGCCATATTTCTAGTACGGGCACTGGTCGATGATTTGGGGGCAGTTGCTGGATTTGCAAGAGTAATTTGGGACTGAGTCGGAGTCGTTGATGAGATTTTGGGGGTGGGCGTGCTATTTGGAATTTGGCTTGGATTTTGATTTTTGGATGTGATGGGGTTCTGAAATTGTGTTAGATATGCGAAGCAAATATAAGGGGTAATTCAAACATATGGGCTGGTATAGTTTTCTTTGTTCAAAAGCTTTTACTTACCGTTCCTCACTGGCTGTGTCGCTTTCATAACTGAGAGTCTCGGGAGAACTCATGATGGGATCATAGAGAGTTTGAATTGATGTGAAGAGGAAAAAAGACACAACGACAGAAGATCAAGCTTTAAAAGTGCGTTGAACTAAAGAATCCTGACCCTACCGTACTCGTATCCCAAGGTGCACGAGCCATGTGGAGAAAATAGACATCTGGCGAAAAACCCGAATACGGGCAGTTTTTCTGCTTAAAACGATCGAAGTTATTTGTGCTGCCTGAAAGCTTGACATTTTGACGAGACATCTGACACAAATTGACATCCTCTCATTCACTGGTGTCCCGATCGCGGTTTGCCCGAGGCTAGGCATACACGCTCCATACCGCATTGAGAAAGGATTGCGATGCCAAGCCCCAAGGACTGACCTTGAGCTTCAGGGCAACTTCTTACTTGAAGCTGTGGATCATGATCGGCAGATATCTCGATTGTTTGTGGTCAAGGCTATCGGGGGCCGAGTCAGTACGCCCGGGTGAATGGCAGTGAAGGGCACAGGGCGACATTCACTGCCTCAACATGGGAGCCTCAACATATGTATAGCCTTATTGAAGATTGCGCTGGGAGATAGCCATAGCCACGTTGTATGATGGAAATATGATGAATGCCCAGACAACGTGTCAATGTTCTTTTAACACCCTGAACTGCTTACAGCCCCCAAAGCCGACCTGCCAAGCATCCTAGTGGGCCGAACCCCTTAGTCTCGCACTATAAAAAGACGCATTTCGGGCAGTCTCCTGCCCCGAATACCGATCACTTAGTCCAGTGACGACCCTTGTGAGACAATGACTTCGCTATCGACAACATCAAAATTTGCAGGGCCGAGTTAGCCGTTCAACCGGCACAAGTAGAATACGTCATGTGCGACAAGATACCTCAAAAGCAACACAAATGGCTACGGAATCCGGCGTGACTCGCGAATTCCGTACATCAAAACCAAAACCTCGCAACCAGCAATTATCTCAAACCTCTTTGATCTCCCCAGCTCCCCAGTGAGAGTAAGACCTCACCCTCTACCGATGGTCCAGCCCCCAAAATGCGCCCAGTAACAAACCCTTTGAGCATAAAAAAAGAAAAAAAAAAAAAAAAAAAAAAAGATTTTTTAACAAGCCACATAACAACAAGCAAAACCAAAAGGCCAGTCAAGAACACGGCAAAAGCCAGCGATTCATGACACGCTCCAACTCCACAGCCGCATTAGTGAAAGCACCCTAGAGAAAGATCAAAGACCAAGCCGAAAAACTGAAACGCATCTGCCTCCAGCCACTAGGCTGCAAACACGGCCTATGAAGATACGTATGATAGCAAAAATACCACCAGAACACAGCATATCCCCAGAAAGTAGCCCGAAGAACAAACGGATAAACCCAACCGGGCCAGCTGCATGCGCTGTGAGGAATTTCCCCTGTCATACGCTGCAATGCTACCGGAGTTTACGGCCTGGTCTAGGACTTGGAATGCGAATGATTCCTGGCCGTATGGGCCGCAAAAGATCATATCTTGACACACTGTGTCTGCGGTGGGGGACGAGCAATTGAAATACTAGAAAATGAGAATTGCATCGAGGACCGTAGCGAGGGCGACACCGGCTCCGACTTGGAGGTATGCCACGATGGCGGGTACTTGGAGTTGTAGAGGGGCATGGCTGAAGTGACAGATGATGCCGCCGCATGTGGCGGATGTCAAGGCTGCGATGAAGGGGAGGAAGATTGCTGTTGGTATATTTTGTGTTCCTGGGATTGGAGTTGGAGCTGGACGAGTGGGAGGATTAGACAGGCTATTGTTGCAATGCCGGTGTTTATCCACCGGAGGATGTAAATTTCTAGACATGCTTTGTCGCCGTATTTCAGGACTGCTAGTGGGAGGATTGAGGTGAAGGCGATGGTTATGCACGAGAGATTAGGTTTCGGTTAGGCTGCTTTGCAGTTGTTGATGACGTGTTTTGGGTATAGGATTGTGCGTAAGAGATAACTTAGAGGATTAGAAGTATGCTGAGTAGGACTAATGTAGAGGTCCAAACTATCTTGGCAAGGATCATTAGTCCGGTTAATTGGTAATCCAGTCGGTGGAAGAGAACGGATATTATTCCCATTGTGAGGAGAAGTCCCAGAGGTGAGAGATAGTGGGTGTATTGGCGACCGGAGGAGATCCAGTGATTGCTGCGTGTTTATGTAGAAGAAAGCAGCATTCGACTGCCTAGCTAGACGTGAGCCTCTTTCTTTGGTAGATTTGGGCGATTGTCGGGGTTTACGTTCATGGAGGTTGATTCAGTTTTGACGTCATTGGTTAAGCTTGAGCCAAACGTATAGAGGTGAAATTGAAGCAAAACAATTCATGCTCTTGTAAGTAATTGCCTTCAGGTCAGTTCACCGTGCATTGTGATAGAGCTAGGTTGAGTACATGCGCCGGAACTCAGAAAGCACGGAAAGAGATATTAGAAAACCGAGATTTTGATTGAATCACTTGCTAATGCTGTAGATATCAGAATCTGCATCAAAGGCCCCATATGGCTAAAAGAACAAGGTAAGTTGCGCCCATATAGATCCGGGGCCACTATACCGTAACCATGAACAAATTGCCCCTCCAGACCGGTCATTCGCTAAAAATAGAAAAAGCCCATTGCACCCTCGGAATAATCCGACCGTGACTCCATGTAACTCCATATTACCCAGACTGTTTTCAAAGATGCAAAGCGTATTCGTAACGGAGTTCATAAGAGTAAGAAGAGAGGAGGATTATGAACTGCTGTCTTTGACCTCGGTGTGGGGGCGATAGTAGCCCGACCCCGCTGGGGTATCTAATCACGGTTATCGATTAGCAAAAGAGCATCAAGAGATGAAATCGGCACTTTCACGTACAGCGCGCCTCCAGATCTCGGGGATCTGAGCAGGCCTGAATCAGACCGTTGAAGCCGCGTGCCCGCACTTCCGCCATATACAGCTTCTGCTCGTAGCCCGCGCTGAACCGGCCATCCTCGGCATCCGGGTTTGGGTTATAATGCTTGAAGAGTGATGCGCCCAGGGCTGTGACAGCGAGACAGCCGACCAGGACGATGACAATGATGGCAGCGTGAGTGAGGCCCATGATGTAGACTCGAAATGGGTGTTCTCGGATCGGAAAATTGTGGATCGTGGCGTTTGCGATGGTAGAGTAGCGTCGGGTCAGTGCATGATGAGTGGGAGCCACTAGGACTGCAAAGCGAAGGTGCAGTGCAATTCACGTGGAACGCAGACTAGGATGGTGGGAGGCAAGAAAGAGAAAGGTGGGAAGAGGAAAGCGAGAAGCGAAAAGTAGAGAAAAACACCGAGCTACACAAAAGCCACGCAAAGCGACGCTTACGCCAACCCGACCCCGGTGCCTCCGATTTTCAATCTGATCTGTCTAAAGTTGGGTTCCCATTGGCCTGATTTTTGGTCTTGGGCTCTTGGGCTCTTGGTCTCTTGGAACCGAACTTCACATTTTATTCACCGTTAGAAAAGGCCTGAATAGCCAAAAACAGGCGATGATAAATGTTTGCTGACGTGGATTGATCACTCGGATCCATTTACCGGCTAAAGCTTGTCTCACCCTGAAGAGGTCGGTGATTGGTCAATTCAAGTGCACAGGGTTCATTGGGAGTATACATTCATGGACAAATAGCATAAAATTCACAGATGAATAAAATTAGACACGAATCGAACACAAAGAGAAAGTACATATCACAAACAGACAAAATGGCAACAGAAAAAGGTCAAGATACAAACACACCACCAAGACACCAAGGCTAGGCAGCAACAAACACAAAATGCCGCATACAGACACAACACCATCCGTCACACTCTGCCGAGGCAGGTTCAATCTGTGATCCGAATACGGCGGGGATCTACATCAATTAGCATTACCCAAAATACAGCAGAAATTCAACATTACCTGTGTGAGTGCCATGATACTAGGTACTTCGTAGTGATCTTCTTCTAGCGGGGCTTGCAGATCTACCGGTGATCAACAGCAACTCTTATCAGCTCCAAATGACCACTAACATTTCATTTGGTCTTTCCCGGAAGAACATCTCTCCTTTATCTCTTGCGATCGGGACTCTAACTCGATGTTGGTCACAAGCTCAATTATCAAGAGATCCCAGGGTAACAGACCGTCGGAAAACTCATGTCATGCCACGAAATTGAGCAACAGGTTCAAACTTCATCTCCGTATTCTTCGATATAGTCCTGCTGCTCAGTTATTGTGCCCAATGCCCGAAAGACCAACACGGAAAACATGCGAATTCTCTCCTCCTCCCCTCATTACCTGTACCCACGCATTTTGCTGTTTTGAAGTATGGAAAAGAAGCATAAGGAAAGAAAACCCAAACTGTTATGAATTGGAGGACAATAACCGAAAGAAAATGAGCCCAAAAAGAAATTAAGAAAGATAGAAAGGTAGGTTTTAGACAGTCCTGGAGCGTAACAAGCAAATTTATAACTTTGACGGTTCGATTTGACAGGTGAACAACTTGCTGCCAACCGGAAGATAGATATCGTGACAAAATGGAACCTTCTTGCCATTTAGCCATCTTCCCATAATTTTCAATTCTAAATTACTCTCCGATCGAAGGTGTTGAGTTGTAGTCGTTCAAGTCTCAACATGCAAAATACGTAAATTAGAGCTTTAATATAATCAACTAAACAATTGCTTTTCTTACTCCCAAATATTCTTGGTTCTAAAAACTTAGCCCATGGGACTCAATTCATCTGTCCGTCAATCCAGCCATCATTATTAATGATACATGTATGTGTAGGACGAACCCTCACCCAATGCATGGGCGAAGCATCTAGCGGGCTGATATCTCAAACATATGAAACACATGTACATAGGGTAAGCGCAGCAACAAGTATACAAAAGGCTTGAGGCATCTATGGTGACAACCAATATACGTGAATCATTTGGTACGTAGAAAAAGAACAAAATTCTAGAGACGTGGATCAGACACATGTGGAGTTGCCTAGATCGTTTGAACCAAACATAGTCGCCCGTCGGGAGCTCTCGAAGAGTGGTAATGGCACAACCACGTTCATTGATTAAGCTCTGTGGGGTTAACGTCCATTTCTTATTATAGTTGAAATGACACTATTTCTTATTATAAGCGGAGATCTACGGCTAGTTTACATTTTAAGCGTGATTCAAATAAGAGTCCAGCAATGATTTTACCAGAGCATCTGGGTTCTATGTTTTGATCTCGATGTTTATGAGCTATCTCGGTCTGGTTCCTACCATCAGCTACCCCTGGGCATAACAAAGCTCTAAGATGAATGAATGTAATGCATAACTTAGATGTGAATTTCAGAATTTCCCAACAGGTCGTCTCAGAAGCATTCATCTGGCTCCAATAACTCGAAAACGATTCTTAACTCGATATTTCGTGCAATTTCTTCGCCCTTTTCCCTGTCGCATCCCATTTCAAGAGTTCTGATATGTCCTCTCAACCAAAACCGAGACCAATGGCACACTATTTGAGAACGCGTGTGACCGTTTTCCCAGGCCTCCAGATGAAGCTCTCGTAACAGGTAAATAGCTTCTTCGAATTTTTGAGGAATCTTGGAGTAACGATGGGGGAAATGTTCCAGGATATCAGTCTGTTCCTGCAAGATGTCAATGACGGCAACTCGCTTGATGGGATCTATTTTGGGTGATTTTAGTGGTAGGGTAAGGGACAAGGGCGTACCGTGGTTAGGGTTAGAGATTGAATGTCAGCGAGATGTTGTTAGCGGCTTGATGTCGTGGATTCTAACAGGACGGCCGAGACGCTGCTATTTGTACCTTTTCTAGGTTGCATTAAGCTGGCTTTCGAAGTAAATATCTGCCCCATTACACAGGGAGAGCAATGGCGGGGTACAATCCTTTGTTACTTTCCTAACACAGAAGAAAGGCAACAAACAAGAGGAGGCTGACCACACAAGGAGACAGACACAAAAGTCTTTTGCTATATTCTTTGTTCTCCGGATAGGCCTGTGATTTTCTTTGCTTACAGCTCGGGAATAGGACTGAGATTGGCCGACAGGTACCTGCCAATCCAACAACACTAGTGAAAACTCCGCAATAACTTCCTGCCTGTCTTAACCTATTTTTAAAGAATTCAACAGGATTCCTCCACAGTTATCTCCACGATGTGTGTAGAATTTATGACAAAGAAACCAATCTCTAGCCCTTGCTACTCCTGAGGCTAACAAACTCGGTTCCTGAACCATCGGAAATAAAGTGCGCACTAAGGACCCTATATGCGATCCCGATCTATATTTCCCAAATCCCATTCCATCCTTGTTATCAACATCTCAATTGATAAGACTGATACGCGGTATCCGTCCGCTTTCTTCGCAGCCAATCTCTCTTTCTGCCCGCAACAACCTTCCTAATTGCAATTAGCTTCCCCCACATGGCCCAATACGAGGCCAACACAACCGATCCCCGCGTTTTTTATTGCATTTGAGATCAAGGGATTCACCGAATGATTCAGCATACTCAAGACACTCGAGCATATTAAAATCCTTTATCTATGCAAGCTGTCATGTGGTCTCCAACCAGTCTCGTTCCGCCGCGGTTACCGCCGGAACTCCCTGGTCGCGATGCAACCCCCAGTGTTCGTCTGTACTTACCCCGGTTGGAGCTGCCTAGAAAGGCTAGTGAGACACGCTGGTCAGAAAGGACAAGATAAGTGTGATAATCAACAAAGTGGATCGTTGAGCTCAGCTATATGAGGACCCTTCCTTTCCTCGGATTCTGTTTACCGTCACCTTACGGATTGCTGACAATCTTACCATAAACAAAGACTTGGCTACCCTCTCCTTCTCCCCCATCAACTTGTGGACCATCACCATATCAACTTTACTTAGATGGAGGTTTTCTCTCATTGTCCCCAACGGCTCCATTGGCATTCCTATACTATATCTCTGTCTCAACCTCTTCGCAGAGCCAGTAGAAAAAGTACCCGGGCCTCTAGACCTGTCCGTTGAATCGACCATCGCCGTTTGCGAAACCGTAGTGGCAAGCCAAGAACTATGGCGATCGAGATTGTTCCGCTGGCCCAGAGGGACATACCTGGGGCTGTAGACTGTGTGCAGAAAGCATTTTCGGATGATCCTTATTTTCGATGGGCATTTGATGATCCATCCAAGGTACGAGCTACCTTTACCCGAACGTCATACGCCTGAGGCTCTGTGGCTTCGGGGAGAAAAGTGGCACAAAGCGAAGCGGAGATTCAAGGAATAACGGGTCTTTATAGTTCAACATCCAACGAAACGCAGCCTCCCTCGCGGCCCATTTTCAATACGGCATTAACTGCGACTGCCCCATATATATCGCGAAAATAACCCGTGCCGCGAATGAGACGAAAAACGACCTCGAAGTCCGTTTACCACCCGGAACAGTGGTCGGAGTTGGCTGGTGGTATTCGCCACAGGCTCCTTCAAGACCACAGACTTGGTCTGTCTGGGCTCAAGAATGGCTTCTCTCTTTCCGCCAACTTACGAACAATATTCTCTTCTTTGGTCGTGGGGGTCTGAATGTGCGCCGATACTGGATCTGGAAGCAGGTGCAACAAACCGCCCATGATTCTATCTGGCAAGATCCTCGTGGATATTACTTTTGCAATGTTGTCGGTGTGAACTCCGAGGCTCGTGGCATGGGCGTGGGAAAGAAGCTTATGGAATGTGTGATGGAGAAGGCCGATCAGGAGGGAATGCCGTGCTACCTTGAAAGCTCTAAAGGATATCCCAATGTGTGCATCTATGAAAAGATGGGATTCGAGCTCGTCAGGGAGATTGAGTGTGTGGATGGAGGGGATGTTTGCAAGGTATGTGCTCATGGCTACACTGCCCATTTTAATGGCTGACCGAAAGCATCAGCTGTATTGCATGATTCGTAGTCCCAAGTCCAAATCTTAACATTTCAAAGCAAGTTGTCTTCCGTAGGAGAAACAAGACAGGAGCTCTACGCGTGAGCGATTGACATGACATGATTTCTGATGTTAGCACTTGAGTTCAAGCATATTGATGGTGATCATTCTTAATTAGCAATGCCAGCGAACATGATATATTTCATTTTACACCCATCGAAAGCCCCAGATTCTCTCGTCACGTAGTATTTTCCAACCGGTTTCGGGGTTGCTTTATCAGACTGAGATCTAAGTGTGCCTTGTAAACTCAAGCCCATTTCCCAAGTAGACCCATCAATACGAATCCAGTTACCAAGGACAGGCCACCAGTCAACACTTTCCCAATGTGTGCATTCAACATTTCACCTCCTTCAATCACCCAGTCGCGGGCCCACATGTCCACAACACCAACCCACACCAGAATACCAGCAGAAAGCGCATCCAGTGTTCCGAGGGCAATCAATGTGTTTCTGGAATTACCATTGAAGGTGTGCAGCACACCAAGTCCAATAGCCATACCAATAGGTGTGATCAACGAGTACGCCGTCGCCATAATTGCCTTAGAAGGGAAAATGGCCCCCGGAAGGGTAGCAATGCGAGCACCGAGAGCCAATCCCTCAAAGAATTGATGGAAGACAATGACCACCAAGAGTGTCTTGTAAAAGGAGTCTCCAGCCACGACAAGAGTGAGGCCGATCAAAATACTGTGGAAAAGAACACCGGCTTCCATGACGAGGACTGAAAATTTGTTGTTGGGCGTAGTTGGGTCATGAGGGCCATGGCTGTGGCCGAGACAGGCCAGGGTGGGCTGCTGCTGGCTTTGGGGATGATCAAACTGGCCCTTTTGGGTTGTTTGCTGGGACTCGGAAGGAGATGCTGATGCTTCGGAAACATTTCTCTTACTGTTACGAGCGACGACAACTCTGTGTCCAATAAATTCCAACAAGAATGCAAGGAATATACCGGCCATGACCACAGCGGAAGTAGTGGCTTCGTACTCGAGCTCTCCAAGACATTCGTTGGTGAACATAAGATTGGCATGTGTATACAGCTAGTCGGATCTGTTAGCTTGTGATAGATCGACATAGTTGAGACCGCTTACATGGACGAAAGCTGTTGCAATGATAATACCAGTTCCAAATTGCTTGATGACGGTCGATACCACGCCATTGATAGAGGCAAAGGGGAGCTTCAACAATAGAATTGGAGCAAAGACACCAATTGCACTAGTGACGAGAACGACGAAAAGTGTGCCAATTCGCAAAGGCACATCATAGTCTCGTGTCTGGATACCGCACGAGGCATGGCTATCTTCCTCTGATTCACCCTCGCTGACGCAATGTCTTAAATTGAATGTTAGCAATGATCACAAGAAGTGACTTTCGTAGACTGACTCAACACCTGCATGGAAATGGCAGTTCGTTTCGGTTTCGGCGGATGATTCCCCATGAACATGTTCACTATGATCGTGGCTGCTCTCAGTCTCACTCTCTGTGGTAGTTTCTTCCTCTTGGATTAAAACATCGTTTCCATCTGCATCCATACAGTATCTACGGCTTTGCATATTAGCATACTGTGTCAGAGCCAGATGTTGGCCACTTACGATTCACTTCCGTGAGAATGACACCCGGTGTACTGTGCTGGTACTCCACTTGTAGGGGTTGATGTTGCCGAGACCAAGACTTCATGGCCATTTCCGTCAATGCAATAGATATCCGAGCCATGAGTATGACACCCAGTGACGGATGATGTCTGGGCTGAGGTAGTCGCAGTTTGCCCATATACTCCAGCAATGCCGAGTGATATGAGGAAGGATCTGAGAATGAGCATCTTACAAGGAACAGTGCCCTGAACAAGTACTGTAAAGTATAGCCAAGAATGAAGTCCCAAGAAGGAAATAGCTTTTCAAGATAATGGTAGGTTGCAGGCCGGCAATCCTCTCTAAAAAGGCAGCTTGGTATCGGGGATGAGAGCACATACTCCAGGGTCTCACCCCCAAGGTTCCCGCTGCCAAGCGGAAGACTCTTCTAGCTGTCCGCCAAGAGCAACCCTGGCCGTCAAAGAGGGTCTTTTTATCGGACCAGGTCGCTTCCTTGTCTCTTGTTCCTCCAAGGTACTCCCGCCCAGCCTCTTGGCAACCTTCCGCCGAGCCTTTTCTCTTGGCATCAAAGATCAAAAATTTCTCCTTCTGGCTGGAAAGCTAGGTCATAGCGGAGAAACAAGCCCTCAAGGTCCTCTCTTGGCAAATATAATTCCCCGAACACCAAAGACAATAGACCAATATCCCGCCTCCTACCCTGGATTTGGTGTTGCGTGAATGAATTAGACCACGAAAACAGTATAAACGAGGATGTCAAAAGCCACCCTTGGCAAACAGTTGAGGCGATGATTGACAGATAGTGGATAGGGAGCGGTGGATTGAAAGCATGGTAGACATGCGTATATAAAGGGTGCAAGAGGGCGGCTTGCTACGATACTTATAAACACGATTTCAAATTTCCTTCGCCAACATGTTGTTCCTCAATTTCTTACTCTCCTCAGCGGCAATTGCTGTAGCTCTGCCCACTTCGGGAACATCTGAAGGCAATCAGACCCAGCCCTTCTCTCAGACCGGGCTTGCACCTTGGAACGCCGGCGCTGTGAACCAACATCCCATTCATTCCAGCTGCAATGCAACCCAACATCGCCAGATCGAGTTAGGTCTCACTGAGGCTATTGCTCTGGCTCAACATGCCAAAGACCATATTCTGAGATGGAGCAACGAAAGTGCAATTTACAGAAAGTACTTTGGTGATCGTCCCTCCATGGAAGCAGTTGGCGCGTTTGATGTTGTGGTCAACGGTGATAAGAAGGATATCTTGTTCCGATGCGACAATCCTGATGGAAACTGCGAGCTTGAAGGTAAGGCACCTCTCTGCGCTTATTGAGAGTTGCTATGCTAAACATTTCATCTTGTAGGTTACGCCGGACACTGGCGCGGCGAAAATGCCACACACGAGACCGTTATCTGCGACCTGAGTTATGAAACCCGTCGTTCCCTCTCCACGATGTGCGGCCTTGGATACACTGTCTCTGGATCCGAAACCAACACTTTCTGGGCAAGTGACCTTTTGCATCGGTTGTATCATGTCCCTGCCGTGGGACAGAACTGGATAGATCACTTTGCAGATGGTTACGAGGAGGTTGTTGACCTGGCGAAGGAAAATGCCACTTTGTCAACTCATGACTCGGAAACTCTTCAGTACTTTGCATTGGAGGTTTATGCCTATGATATTGCGGTGCCGGGAGTCGGTTGCCCGGGTGTTCAGCATGAGCACGAAGATCATGCTGATGAAACAACATCAACTCCTTCTGCAACTACCACTGACAAGCCTTCGACTACGTCTGAGGTGCCAGAGGTAAGTAGATCTTTGCGTCACTCAATTATATGGCTCAAGCTGACTGACTTATGTAGAACTGCCATACACACGACGGTGGCGTTCTTCACTGCACCTAGGTAATTGGAGAAAAGCATACAACGTTGACGAGATGTGAAGAGCGCTCTTATAGATCCCCTCAGAGCCCTCACGCTCTGCTTATTCAAAAATAATATGTGCAATTGAATATCTATTCATAAGAATTTTGTATACCATATCAAAATCCAAAGTCAAACGCCGTAAACATGCCACGTCTATTTCATCCATCGTTCCTCACTTTATGAAGCAGTAGTGACTTATGCCGATGCGCAGTGGCCACCGTCAACACGGAGATCAGCACCTGTCATCCAGGCACTGGAGTCGGTAAGCATGTAGATGGTGGGTCCCTTGAAGTCCTCTGGGGCACCTAGGCGGCCAAGAAGAGCGCCTCGCATCCAGGTCTCCTCGACCTCGGGCTTCTCCTTGAGGAGAGCATCGGTCATGGCAGTGCGGATGTACTAATTGGTGAACCATTAGCTAAGACTGGCTGTGTTGAGGAAATGTGTGAAGGGTTTCTTACTCCAGCAGAGAGGGTGTTCACGCGGATGTTGTGCTGGCCCCATTCCTGAGCGACGGATCGGCACATCTGGTGGACAGCGGCCTTGGATGAGTTGTATGCGGTGCAGGTCAATCCCTAGTGAATAAAAACCATATTAGCATCTTGTGCTTATTTTAAATCAGTTTGTTAGGAGACATACCCGGTTGGCGATCTGGCCAGACATAGACGCGATCATCACGATGCTGCCGGGAGTCTTCTGCTCAATGAAGATACGAGCACAGTGCTTGGCAGGGATGAATGTTCCAAGAACGCTGAAGGAAAGCTGTGAGTGTCTTGTTATTCTGTTTAAGTGTGTTCCCACTCACTTGACATCAAGCATCTTGCGGTATCCTTCAACGGGGTAGTCAAGCGCAGGAACCATCTGCTGGATACCGGCGCAAGTGATGGCACCACGAAGAGGCTTGTTGCGGCGCATTGCCTCCGCGGCAATATCTTCCAGAGCCTTCTTGGTGGCCTCCTCATTGGTGATATCACACGAGGCATAGGTCGCCTGCAAGCCGCGCAGCTTAGCCGTCTTCTGCACAGCAGCCCACTCCTCCTGGTTGGGTTCAGCCAGAAGATCCAGACAGGCGACATCGCCGCCAGCCTCGAGGACGGCGGTGGTCAAGGTCATACCAAGACCACGACCACCACCAGTGATCATGACTGTGCGACCAGCGAGAGAGAAGAGGTCATTGGCCGGCGCGAAGGCAGCGGGCGTCTCGTTAGACTCCGGCACGACAGCCGGAGTGATGTGGTCAAGCGAGATAGAGGGGGCCATTGTGGGTTGAGGTTGGGATTATGGGCGTAAAGAAGAATGTGAATTTTAAGTTCTGAGAGACTTTCCTTTCCCAAAATTGGAGGACGTCTACTTCATATAGGATACATTTTGGTGCAGTCGCCTGCAGACAACTAATCGCCTGCAGCGGCTATGTACAACCCAACTAGGGAACTGTTGAGCTGGAAGGACCACAGTGGAACATTATTAGACATATGATTATCAGCCCAAGGTCCAAACTTTTTCAGTTTCACCGTGCCGACAAATCATGCCGATGCGGCCCGGTCGACAGTGGACACATGGAGTCAGGCGTGTTTCCTATGACCTAGGTGGGTGCTAAATATTACTGCATATGGTTAGTCTGGGATGCAGAGTAGCGGGGCGGGGCGATAGACTGGGGAATAATTGGGGCTACGGTACCTGAGTATGCAGATGACATCTTCGGGGGAAGGTGTTATTGGAGAACTGAAATATCGGAACAACGAGGCGGACAGGAGTCCTATAGACCCGTTAGCACGTGACTTAAATGTTATGATAACGAATAAATCGTGCATCTGCGGTGGAGTGCTTAATTCTTCCCAATACGGAAATAGTGTGTTGCGCCATTTAAGAGCTTAGCCGGTCTGTGGATACTGATGTCTTGAGCCCTGGGCTGACCTCGCCTATCTTTCTCTGTCATTTTCTGACTGTAAATCATGCAGTCAATATGTTGCCTGGCTTTTTTTTTTTTTTTTTTGGCATCTACGGAAGGGAATCTAAGTTGCATTAAGGAAGATAATCGCGCGTGAAATGGTGTTCTACACCGCGACAGGACACCTTCGGCTTAAATGGTACTAATTCATACCCGATGCGGCATTTATTCTCGTCATTGCCTCCGAGATGCACCCCGCAAAACGCGGAGCCTACCCGGCCCAGAAACATGGCAACCCGGGGGAGTTCAGATCGCCGACGCGGGATATTACGCCACGGTATCGTGGAATCTAAAATGGCGCCACTTTTTGCCTTCTAGGGACTATACTACAGTATTCAAACGGTTTATAAAGAGTGAAATGCCCCACTGTCTTGACTAGGCCCGAGTCAACAACATCCTTTGCTGCTGCTCACTTCCCAGATTTTTACCCCGATCAATTGTTTGCGGGAAAACGATATCATCATGACTCTCCTCGCTGGCCGGCTGTTGACATATGCTATCACAGCCACTGCTGGCAGTGGCTTCCTGCTGTGAGTCGAAACCTCATACTAGACTACTAATGGCATCGCGTCGTTGGGCTCCTGCTGACGTGAACAATTAGCTTCGGCTATGACCAGGGTGTGATGTCCAGTCTGTTGACTGGAGATGCATTTGTTGCAATTTTCCCCGAAATTGATACAACCAAGTCAGGGCACGGAAGCTCTTCTTTGCAGGGGACAGTGTAAGTAAACCTACATTGTACACCCTCGAAGCATGACCGCAACTAACCTGTCGTGTTGCAACACAGTGTTGCCATTTATGAAATCGTAAGTTGGCATATAGACTCCGTCATATTTATAGTTCACAGCTAACAGATTTAGGGCTGTTTCTTGGGTGCAATTCTCTCGTTATTCTTTGGTGAACGGCTCGGTCGACGCAAGTGCATCCTGGCTGGATGTGTTATCCTCAGTATCGGTGCTGCGCTTCAGGCCAGTGCCTACAGCATTCCTCATCTCATTGTTGGTCGCATCATCGCCGGTGTTGGAAATGGTCTCAACACCAGCACTATTCGTGAGCTTTCCATCCGCTTGGAGATAATAACTTGCGATTGCTAATATTGTTGTAGCCGTCTGGCATTCCGAACTAAGTAAGGCTGCAAGCCGAGGCAAGGGAGTATGTCTGTATTCAATATTGTTGAAAATCATGATGCTGACCCTTCTTATAGCTGGCCATCGAACTGGCTATTAACATCTTCGGTGTGATGCTCTCGTACTGGGTTGGTAAGTTGTCTTCCAACTCTATATTCCAACTGACCTCTTTACTAATTACTGACTCATGAAGACTACGGAATGAGTTATGTCAAGAACGAGGCCCAATTCCGCTTTCCCCTCGCTCTACAGATATTGTTCGCTATCCTCACCTTCTTCGGCGTGCTTTGTCTTCCCGAATCTCCTCGTTGGGTTTGTTACAATCCGTCCAAATTTTTCATTGCCCAACTAACATATGATAGCTTATCAAACATGGCCATGAAAGCAAGGCTCGCCAGATTATCTGGTCACTCCAGCACAACGCTCGTGAAATCGAGGTGGATGATCCAGTGGTGAATGTTGATGTCACAGAAATCACTCGGGCAGTTGAGGAGGAAGAGGAAGCATCCTCGGGAGGATCCTTCAGGCTCCTTTTCCAAAACAACAAGCAGCGCTTCTTGTACAGAACCCTGCTCGGAATGGGAGGACAATTGATGCAACAGATCTCGGGAATCAACTTGATCACCTATGTGTGTACTTCCAGATTGGAAATGTTGTTTGAAGTGTTCTTGCTAACTCTATTTCAGTACGCAACTGTTATCTTCGAACAGTCGGTTGGAATGTCCCACCATACCGCGTTGCTCTTGGCTGGTTTCAACGGAATCGCATACTTCTTTTTCTTCCCTGGTCCCTATCTGGACAATTGAACGGTATGTTGAATCAAAATTAGGGTTGGTCGTATGCTAATTTCTTTCAGACTTGGTCGCCGCAAGCTCATGATGTTTGCCGTAATTGGACAAGGATGCTGCATGGCTATTCTGGCTGGCACTGTCTGGGATGGTGGACGCTCTGCAGGCCTGGTTGCCACTGTCATGCTATTCCTGTTCAACTTCTTCTTCGGCGTAGGCCTTCTCGCTATTCCCTGGCTTTGTGAGTACCAATATTCCCTGAAATATTCTTCTGAGAATCAGCCTTACTAACTGACCTCGACACAGTGCCCGCAGAATATTCACCGCTGGCAATTCGAACTCGTTCAGCTGCTATGGCAACCGCGACAAATTGTAAGTTTTGATGTCTTTTTACACTGGCATAAGCTAACAGCTTTAACTCAGGGATATGCACATTCCTAGTTGTGGAAATTACCCCAGTCAGCATTGCCAATATTGGCTATAAGACTTATATCTATTTTGCCAGTATGTCTTATGAGTAGATTGAACATTTCATATCAATGATTTGCTAACAAACATGACAGTCTTCAACTTCTGCTTCTTACCGCTCATCTTCTTCTTCTATCCAGAGACACGCAATCTCACTTTGGAGCAGATCGATCGCCTATTCACTGGCGAAAATGTTCAGCTTCACTGGGATTCATCTATGGGTATTGCAGGAGACGTTGACACTCGTGTCGGCAATGCTACGACTAAAGATCTTGAAAATGTTCAAGCTCAGCATATTGAGTAATTTGATCGTGTTTTCGGCGGAGTATATGCCCAAAGAAGATAATGGGCCTGAGATAAGCTGGCTGCTTTGTGTGAAACTTATAAATTATGCTACAATAGCTTATAGTGTTACTTATAATGAGATTTTTAAAGGTTGCAGCATTTTTACATTAATTAAATGGAATAAATTCGACTTTCTGATGGCACCAATTGGACTCTTTATCAAACGGCCAACGATTGAGTGCGCCGGAAATCCAAGAGGTAAATTTTTGAGGGATTTTAAAAATCCGAGAGAACTTTATGTTGCCCAGCAGAATCACACTCAACTCGTCGAATTCCGTGAGAAACGGCACAGGTCTTATTATCAAATTGAGGACCAGCCGCCACCCCCAGTTTATTAAGTCGGGCATCCAGAACACGAAGACCATAAACAGGAAGCAGAAATATTCTATCGGAGATACTGCCGATATACAAGTAAATTCGATATTGTATGTGCATGCATTCTTGTACATATTCTTGATGGCCTTGATGGCCTTGTTTGTCAGGCCTACCACAGTCTTGGCACGGGCGGGGATAACCATTGACTTCTTCCAGCAACGGCTGTTAGGTTTCATGGCTCAACATTCAACACCATACTCCATATTCACCCGGTTACCCCAATCCCGTAAGATGACGCCCCTCGGGGAACCCCCGTCACCCTCCACAAAGCCGATTCGGGGCGACCAACGGAAAGTTACCGAGTGGGTCTCGGCGTCGCTGGGACCCCAGCGCTTAACGTTGCCAAATTCGGTAAAGATTCTTCGCCTCTTCTACATCCCCAGCACATTCTATGCCTTCAGTTTACCAACAGGGTACATATTTTGCGCAATAATGTCAAATATGTTTTCAACCAGCCCGGCTCCAGATGACAGGGAGGGAGTGCTTCAAGCTTCAGTCCCGCTAGACCTGCAAGGGTCGAATCCCCCTACTGGTGCAGAGCGGAAGAAGCGCACACGGACTGGATGCGTCAACTGCAGTCGCAGACGGCGAAAATGCGATGAGGCTAAGCCCATGTGCACGGGCTGTAAGCGCCGGGGTGAGAAATGCCAATGGCGTATGATGGGTGCGTTTCGCGACTCGAATATCAAGGTGCTAGACTCAGACCACCCCTCTATGAGCCAAGGCGTGGCAGCTAGCAAAAGCAAGCGCCAGAGCAAATTTAAGATTGTCAATACTGCAAACCCACGGACAAAGCGTGCACCCATGCAACAGGACCAAGTGCTCCCAGAGCAAGGATCAGTGCATGAATCACCTCCACCATCCGCCCCGGACCACAGTGCTACACCGGTGCCTGTGGCTGTTGCGGGGGACAATCCAGACCCCACAAATCCCCTGATTGCCAATGGGATCCCTGCCTCAAATTCCGGGGTAAACCAGGGTCTATCACCGCCATACTCAAGTGATACGTCATCGCATCCACGAAAGACATTTGACGAAACTCCAGGACATGTTGAACTTCAAACACATGTCAGCCCTCTGGGTCTTCAAGAACCATCACCTGACTCCCGCTACGAACCAAATCTCCAGTTTGACTTTCAGCCGCCTCAAACTAGAGACGACTCCACGTCACACCCCTATATAAATTCCAGTCCCGAATACGTGATCAACGATCTCGCTGCACTGAGGATCTTGGCCAAAATAGTCAGTTTCATTCGTCGGTGACAGGCTCTTATCAAACAGTGCAATCACCAGTGTTTGACAGCGGCGTCTTTTCCGGACCAACAGATCTCATCAACGATGTTTTCCTTCCTGGCTCTGCGTACGAGGCGCTTCATACCACGCTACGAAATCGCCAGCTATGGACTGCAAGACCAGATTTTCCGAGTCGTCGCAGTTCGCAAGATTCCGTCCCTGCGGTGCATACCCCAACAGGTTATAGCGATGCTGGCTCAGTCACAAGGACGGAGAGGGGATCCCGGCGCTCAGGATATAGTAGACGTTTTGAATTGCCACCTGAAAGAGAACATGTTCTGTGGGAGAACTACCTCAACGAGATTTGCTCGTGGGTAAGTAAATCTGCTGCCAATCGGGTTAGTTTTCAAACTAACGTCAAAAGCTTGATATGTTCGATAATCAACGACATTTTGCTTCTACCTTCACCCAGATGGCCAAGGCTTCAGCCCACCTTCGCTACTCTATCTTGGCATTGTCTGCACGGCAGCTTGAAAGACAACAAAATGCCAAATCTCAATCTGAAAGTTTGTCGCTATATCAAGAGGCTATTCATCTCCTCCTACCAGAGTTGGGAAGCAAGACAACCCCTGTCATTGCATCCTGTGTCATTTTGTGTGTCTTGGAAATGCTGAGCTGTAAGTACTACTATCCCTCTCATATTTTCCGTGGCTTACCGAAAATAGGCAACCCCAAAGAATGGCGTCGCCATCTAGACGGATGTGCATACCTCATTCAAGCAGCTGGTATCAATGGATTCTCCGGGAAAGAGGAACAAGCGCTCTTTTGGTGTTTTGCTCGAATGGGTATGAGGTTCTTCCAACCTTCACTTTTATCACATGGGACTAACGAGTTCTCTGTAGATGTGTGCGGCGGCCTTATCTCTGAAGAAGAAACCATCATACCAATCCATAACTGGAGACCCAGTGACATGAGTTACAACGAAGCAGCGCAAACATTCATCGCTTCAGCAAAGACCAACGTCGACACATATGCCAACTACACAGTATATCTTCTCGCAAGAACGGTGAATATTCTTTTCGGTTGTGCGTCTAAACCAGATTATCCCTGTACATCATGCCAGTCTGTCCCCAACGATGATGGTGATTCCTTTGTTCATCGCTGGGCAGATTCATTTGATCGCGTGGAAGAATGGTATGAAAACCGCCCGGCGCAGATGAAATCCATTTTCAGTGTCGCCGCTTCCGAACGCGAAGGTCGAGATCGGGCATTTCCAATTGCCTTGTATGGAAATGGGTCTGCGAGTAAGTATCATGTTATGGCTCGTCAACCTTGAGACAGTCGAGCTAACTATAAATAGTTTCCGGAAACCAAATGTATCATGTCGCTGCCCTGTTACTTCTTCAGAGAAAGCCTAAGACACTGGTATTGAATAAAAGACCGGTAAGCTTGCTGTTACGCCTGATCTACCGTATACAAAGCTGATAAAATATTAGAGATCTGTTCTCTGGCACGCGCGGCAGATATGTGCGATCTCCGCATCTAATGCACACCAGTAAGTCTTCCCGCTCTGGTGAATCCAGAAACAAGAGACAATTTGCTAACCGACCGTCATTAGTGGCTGCTGGACGAATGCGTTACAGCCTCTCTGGATAGCTGGAAAAGCCATGTCTCACTACTCTGAACATGCAGCCATTGTTGAGACTTTGGTCCGGATTGAGCGTGAGACTGGCTGGGCCACTGCTTGGCGTGTTGAAGACTTGAAAGAGTTCTGGGGCGAATATGACAATGATTAGGATTACGATATTGACATGGACTTATCCTGATTACGACATATGATTCATACTTGAAAGAGTTCCGACCCTTTAGGTTATGTGGTAAATATGGGTACTTACGGCTGTTCCCCAGGTTCTGTTCATTGTAAACTGCAGTCGCATTTTGATTGACACTGTCCGCCATCCGAATAACGTAAATGTGGCATCCATCCAGTTTGCTTCTTGCATGGATCTCTTCCCACAATGGCTCGTAGAGCTCCTACAGGGTTGAAGCATATTAGTTAGGGAAAAGGTCAACGAAACTAGGTTATGCTTTGTATGTGGAGCGACAAATCACGATTAAGCGCTTGATTTCACGAAAAATCCAACAGCGTTGTTCACTGAAAGCGTGGGACACGTTGAAGAATTGAGGCACTTGATATTATTTATTAATGAAGAATGGATCTGCTCGTCGGGCGCATTTTACATCGCAAGGGGTGATCCTGCGCGTTCAAGATATGCATCAAGATAGGCATCAAGGGTGTGGCATGTCTTCCCAGCTCGATTCTTTGGACCGCCCAAACAAGGTGCGATTTTTGCCCTCTTTCCTCTATACCAGTAAGTATTTGCTCTTAAGTTACGTTAAATTAAAAAAAAAAAACCTCTATTTATCAGCAAACGTGAATATTAAGTCTTACCCTAGCGCTTTCCCATATCTTGGCGTCCGAAAGTCTGGAAGCCGAAGCATAACCAATACCCTTGCTATGGACTGGGCAAGGCATGAACTGAGACACGAAGAATGTGTTTCCAGCCAGGTAATCGAAGCCCTCGGCCTAAGCTCTGCCGGTACTAAGCTCGAAACAATATATTCATCTTAGACAAAATTAGGTACCTTTTTAAGGCTTTGAACAGAGAAATTGGGGGAACGTAGACAGAGGACTTCTAGTAACTGGTCGGAAGCACATTATTCCTCTCTCAGTTAATTTCTTAACAAAAGCTTCGATTTGGCTGATATCGAGACCTTGAGCTAGTCCCGCGTTATTCGGAGATTGGCTGGCTCGGCGAAGGGTATTATATGAACGATGTGGTACGAGAGACAGAAGATTCAAGCAATTTAACAGCTGAGAGCATGATAAATTCGAGAAGTTTCGCTACTTTGTTCGATTGTGATCATTTGTACCAATTTTAACATATTTCAACACCTCTCTACGTACCTACCTATATTTATAACCTCGAAGACTTCAAGGTCATGACCTCGAGATCATGCAAATAAGAGCGAGACTATGATACTGGCTAAATATCATGTGCTGGACTGGACGTTGCGACGTGGCGCTTTTACTTGACCTGAGAAAGTAGTAGCGATTAATATGGTATGGTGCAGTTGTTTGCGAACACTTGCTCACAGACAAGGGACCCGACTTCAAATCGCCATTCACCGGCCAGTTTGGTATAAGTGGTGGGCTTCGATTAAGGACTGCATTACGCTGCAAGTTTATGGATATTAGACTGGACAGGGCATGTTGGAGTGGCCAGCGACCGGGATAAGATGCAGATAAAATAGGCTATTACAGATTTCTCGTTTTTTATTGATAAAAGCACTGCTTCAACTTGCTATGCATCTTTGGCATATAGGTAGGTCGTAAATTCGGGGTTTGATTGTTTGATATTGGTTCAATATTGTATAGTGAGACCTTGGAGTAGACAATATATATCACCACCATCCATATACATGGCGTCCACCACAATTATTTTCAACTCCTAATTACAGCAGAAGATAGTCTTTTGGAAAAATCACAACCGACAACTTGATAAAATTGATTCCTGAAACTTTATATCTATGTCCGTCAGAATATGAGCGCTTTGCTAGATCTCGGGTAGGCGATTAGCTGGGAGAACATATAGCATTCGCACATCATCCAACATCGTGTATTCAGACGCGAACATACAAATTTTTGTAATAACCAAACTAATTGGGAACATTTATATTTGAATAGATTCTACAGCACCTCTACGAAAGCTTTTGGGGCCTCGCTCGTATGGTACATACTACATGCATCATTAGAGAGATGGGATCTGTGCTGTAATAGACTCACACTTCAAGCATGCCCCTGTCACCTAGGACCAACCCTTCGTAACACGGCCGAAGCTGCTCTAACGCTGCCTGGGGTGGGAGCCTCGTAGCACTGAAGTGGGAGGGACACAGAACAAGGAGTTGCGTTATCGAACGGTAAAAATGTAATCAAAGCAGCAACTGCCAATCGCATATTTTTTTTTTTCTTTTTTCTGTAGGAGAAGATAATCCTCACCAAGAAGGGAGTGGAATGCTGCCCGGAGCTGGCACGAGATGTAGATCTAGGGATAAAAAGCAAAACGGGAAGAACCAGAATCCTTGCGTCCCCGCCAAAATAGTTCATTTCACCATACGGAGGCCCTCGAATGTAGGATCTCGAATTTCCTTGGTTCTGGAAAATCCATGAAGTTGCCTAGAGACCAAGTCCGAGTATTAGGAAGCTGCCACTCTTCCCATTACAACTCCCACGGGCACACCCTTCACCCGTCTATACCAATTATATCAACTACCGTTCATCATTTGAGTGATGAGACTACCGCGGGCCAGCTGGACTTGGAGTGCATTCCAGGTTGATACGGCATTGTTTATGTACGGCGGTGTCTCAACAGTCGCCATTCCTGTCGAGGCAATAACCACACCACCTCCCAAAGTCAAAGAACCTCGCCCTCTATCCCGCTCCAAATCGAGGCGACAAAGCCTGAAACGCTCACTCTCCAAGATCTTCTGATCTTGGGTGCCACCATCCTCCCACCTGGCCGCCGTGGAATATCGCGATGAGTTTGCATGGACTCGGAGTGATTGGGGCCCAGGTGGCCGCATCGATCAAGAGTCACGACGAGAAACCTACCTCACCTCATATCAATTCACCCCGCTGTTCTATCACCTCATCACCTACCATTTCCATCACCGAGAGAGGCCACCAGGAGTTTGATCCTTCGATCGGTGCCAAGCCCTGCTCTCCTTTCTATCGCCATGGAAGTCCTACGATCTCTTACGAGCAGCTCACCTTCGAGAGCAAGAACAACAACCGGAATCATAGCCACCTACGGGATCTCGAGAACGCCGGTCCGTACGCGGCCTCCCGTACCGACAGTCCCCGCCGATCTAAGCTGTGGGAGGAGGAGAACAAACCTCGGACCTGGTTGCAATCCTTGAGTAACAAACAAAAAATGGCACTCAAGGCGGTGATCGCCGTTGTGACAGTTGGGACTATGATTGCGATTGCATTGGGAATCACTGCCGCTGTGGGAGGAGCAGCCTGGAAATCGAGTGCCGAGAAGACAGCCATGGGAGGCTAGGTGCGTGTCTCCGACTGTGAAGGTGGAATTATCATTGACCCATCATACAGCGGTCTGCGTTGATTCGAGACACGACCAGCCATTCATTTGTTTGTTGGACCTGTGGCGGCGAGGTCATAATGCTCTCTTTTGATCGGACACTTCATTGGGAACTGTTTATTCTTAGATGTTCACAATGACCGATGCCATGGCCAGTGTCAAGGTGGGCCATGATGAATTTATTGTTAACTTATTGATCACGTGCATAGCCATAACGTAAGAAGGAATAACGTAGCCCCGAGCCGGGGATCCACCGCACCTACAAAAGCCCGCGAAGTTTTTCGACGTTTCCTTCTTTTTCTTTTCTTCTTCATCAAAAAAGCAACGGAGCCCGCCACGACCATCGTTCTGTCTTCGGACGAATTCCACGACGATGTGTTGCCTTCGCTCCCGCTCGCGGGAGCGTTCGGCTCTGGAGATTGATGATCCTCGATAGGAAGTTCGTTTCTCTATGTGTCTTCTTCAGTGAGGGCGATGGGATTCGAATGTCGAAGACGGGATACATTCCATTGACTCAAGCTGTTCAAGCTGAGCGAGTGTAGCAGCCTTTGCATTAATGTATGCTGGGCCTGAGTAGATCTTTAAGAACCCCCTGGCTCGCCAGCTGTGCTTTGATGGTGGGCTTGACGGGTTTCAAGGGTTGCCGAGCCCTTCAAGTCCGGACGTGTAAACTCTGTTTGATCATTGATCAATGCTTAATGTTTCTGTTGACATCATTGGGAATCCCATGTTGTCAGGCGGAGGTTTTGTGTGCCACAACCGAAGCCCAGGTGGCATCGTGATCGACCATATTCTGGTCTCTTTGGGACATCAACACTTCGACAATGGCATCACAACCCCACAACCTCCTATGTGATTCGAAGGGCTTAGACATCAAGCATCGACAAGGGGCTTGTCTGGTTGGCTAGCAGGGTGCGTGAATGCTACGGTTCTTGTCCCATCCCTATCCAAACACCTCCGGAATGCCGCAGCACCACCTTCCAGGAGACCACACGGCAGTTGTTTACGATCCGAGCTCGATCGACGGGCCTTTGCGCACTGATTGGGATTGACTTTCATTCTCGGCGACATTCTTATTATTCTTCCCACGCCTTGGCCTCATCTCGAGGCCCGGTGTCCGTCCAGAGATCGGCATGCCTACCGGTTGGCCCGGTCATCATGAATGTACCGGAAGTACTAAAGATATAAACATCTCCTGAAGCTTTAGAAAGCGCTACTTGCTGTTTTTAGGGAGCACCTTCGACCTATCGTGCCATTCTTTTGTGCTCGCGTAGCATTTCTTTGAAGTCGCTCTTTTAATCCCGAAGGGCGAGATCATACATACCTTTTTACAGTAATACCTATACTGCCGCAATCATGAAAGGCTTCGTTGCCGGAATCCCTATTGCGCTGCTTGCAGTTGCTGCCCAGGCTAAGTTTGCTGAGCATGCATGTTACCTCTCACCTGTATATAAACATATGTGCTAACGAACTATACAGCAGGAGCATGATTTCCACCCCCACGCTGGTGGCACCGTCATCGGGGGTCCCTCTGGAGATGACAGTGATGGTGGCTTCACCAGTCCCTACTCTGCCAATATCAAGACCAACACGCAGGTCCACGAGTACAGCAAGGATGATCACTCCGTCCACTTGAAGCACAAGGATGTGTACCCTCCTCCCCATTTCCACTTCGGTCCCACTGTTGTTGAGAAGGGGCCCCAGGTCCCTGGCATGGGTCCTTTCGAGAAGCGTGGCGCCCCTGGCGGCACTGTTATCGGTGGCCCCTCTGGTAACGATGAGGGCCAGAGCTTTGACATGCCCATCACCGGTGTCTTCCAGACGGAGGTGAACGACTACAATAAGGATGATCACTCCATTGCTGTCAAGAACAAGGACGTTCACCCTCCCCCCTCAGTTCCACGGACCTCCCCCTCAGTTCCACCCTCCCCATGGTTACCATGGCCGTCCCGCTGGTCCTCCCTCTGCAGCATTCAATGCTCCTCCCTCGACCTTTGAGAAGCGTTGGGGTCCCGAGGAAGAGCATGGTACCGTCATGGGTGGACCCGGTGGTGGTTCTCACCACGGCCCTGCTGGCTTCCATCATCCCCACGGTGGCACTGTCATTGGCGGTCCTTCCGGTGACGACGAGGGAATTAGCTTCAGCAAGCCTGTCACTGGCCATTTCAAGACCAACGTGAACGAGTACAGCAAGGATGATCACTCCATTGACCTGAAGCACAAGGATGTATACCCTCCTCCCCACTTTCCTCCCTGGGGTGCTCCCTTCAAGCGCGGCTGGGGACGCGAGCATGAGAAGGGTGCCACCGTGATGGGTGGCCCCTCTGGAAACGACGGTGGCCAGAGCTTCAGCGCTCCTGTTACCGTCGACACCGATACTGATGTCAACGAGCACAGCGAGGATGATCATTCTATCCACCTGAAGCACAAGGATGTATACCCTCCTCCCCACTTCCCTGCCTGGGGTGCTCACCCTCCTTTCCGCCGTGCGTACTCTCCTAGCCGCGAGGCTGGCGGTGGCACTGTCATCGGTGGTCCCTCCGGTGATGATGATGGAACCGACTACTCGGACCCCACCAACATCGATGTGACCAGTGGTGTCAACGAGCACCACGAGGACGACCACGCTATCAAGGGTGACTTCACTCACGTCCACCCTCCTGCTACTCCGCACTACTCATGGGCGGACGACGAGGAGGGTCCTTATAGCTACGAGGAGGGTCCTTACAGCTACGAGGCTTCCCCCGGCCCCGTTGAGTTTCCCGTCCCAGAGAGCTCCCCTGCTCCTCCATCTGACTCACCTCAGGGGGCCCCCGCTCCTCCTGCTGCTGGTTCTCCTCCTGCCTACGCTGAGGTTCCCCAGGCCGCCAATGAGGCTGAAGCTCCTCACCGCGAAGACCACCAGGAGTGTGCCGCCAAGGTGCACGAGGTTGTCCGCACCGTGACCAAGACCCAGTACAAGACCGTGGACGCCACCCCTGAGGTCCCCAAGCTGTACAAGGCCCAGACCAGCGCTGTCTCCATGGCCGCTACCCCCCAGATGTCTGCCCAAGTTGACCCCAAGGTCTTCTCCAACGCTGTCCCACTTTCGGGCTCCGCCTCGTCTGGCGTCCGCTCTTACGCTCCCTACTCCTACGCTTCCCAGCGTCTCATGAGCCACGCCGCTTCATACTCTACGGTCCCCGTGCACGTGCCCATGGCCACCCCTGCCTCCTCTTCCTACTCCAGGGCTACCCCTCTGGCAGCATGGCCAAGATGATGCCCACCGGTGTTGATCCCATGTCACACGGAGCCAAGTCGTCCGCAGCTGCATCTCCCTCCGAGCACGCTACCATGTTCGAGGGTGGTGCTGCCCGTCTCTCTGGCGGTCTTCTCTCCGCTGCCGCCGGTGTTATGGGTGTGCTTGCCTTCATCCTCTAGATGTGGGAGCTCCCCTCTAAAACTCAGGCGTTTGGTGTATAAGTCCGCTTTCACTCGTTAGCTCCTTCCCTTTCATCTTGTTTCCTTCTGTACTCTACGCGTTTGACTTCGTCATTAATGTTCAGTTGTGCCCTTAAGGATTCTTATAAGTATCTATAACATCAAATTTTGACTTTTCTTTATTACCTTTCATCATAGTAGCTCAAATGTCAACTCTCTCTGTAGATCCGTAAACGCTTCCACCAATTGTGTTCATTGCAAGACGCAGACTACTTTCACCCTCACAATCGACATCGAAACTTGAATGCAAGTGGGTCTAACTCTGATCTGATACCAAGTTAAAGTTGCGACCAGTTCGTCACCCAGGCCATTACATATGCCCCCCACCGAAATTACCAGAAAAGAGGACTCAATTTTCCAGTATTGACTGAATGCTTGTGCAAAGCTCCTCTTTGTTCTATGTGGATAATGCATACCACCAATCAAGGCAGACCCGATGTGAGATCATCACTTCATCATCCCTAGACCAACGTTGTGACATCAGCCCGTACGTACAAGCCAACAGGAATTGAGTCTTTGGATCAATTATAAAAGACTGGATATATCCATTCCTTCTCTTGCAGTATAACAGAGTCGAATCCCAAAAAGACACTCTACCAATACCAAAAGTCCGAACTGCTTCGGACATCTCATATCATCAAACCAGCTCTCGAAACAGCCCCAACTCCCAAAATGGTCCGCCAACAAGACGCCCACCAAGGCGGCAGCCTCTCAGACATGGCACCGACAGGCACAGATTTGCCCAACGACGCAGGCAAAATGCGCACCATCCCCTCAGTCCCACGCCCAGACCAAAGAGCCGACCACTTCGGCTTCGACAACGCCGGCATAGCCGAACCGTCCACAGCAATGGCCGCCGACAACGCCACCGACGTGCCACGCTCAACCCGTGACGTCGGCGAGAGCGGCGAGGTGATTTCCGGTACCGGGAACTCCATGCCGGCTGGCGTGGAGGCTAAGCATTCTTATATGGGTGCTAATCATCATGCTGGTCATGGTGATACTCGTGAATTGAAGCATCAGAAGTATACTCGCAGTGAGTTTGAGCGGTATGCTAAGGAGGATGAAGATTCGGGCGAGTTTGTTGGTCAGCATAATATGCGCAATGAGTAAGATGGATGTTTTGCGAGTTGAATCTTGTATCTTGGAATACGGTGGTAGAGTCGAATGTGTTTGGCTCTGCTGTTTGGTACATGATGTTATGACATGGCGTTTTGATCCGATGTAAAGTAGGAAAATTGATTTTCGTCTTAAAAGACATTGATCGGGTTATTTGCGTATCTTTGTTTTGTACTGTACAGTTGCTTGTAGATTCATTGTTCATATTTGAAGGCTGGGTTGATCGGGAGCGAGGAACCCTTGGTAGATCTCATCTAGAACGTCTCGCTTTCTCTTGCGATCGGCCATGCCTGCTTCCTCGGCTTCTGTGGGTTCACCGTCTGGTTCGCGAGATACCCATGTTCGGATTGTTCCATCACCATGCGCGGAAAATAGCTCGATCCCCTCTCCGGATGCACCGTTGCCACGCCACACTAGATCATTGACGCGGGCGGCACTAAGAGCGCTCGATCGACCACGTACATTCTGTGCCCCAATCGTTAGACCTGGGACTCGGAGACGCTTGACGAACGTTCCCTCGCGGAGTTCAAACATGAAGATCTCGCCGCGGTCATCTTGTTCATTGAAATTAGGCCATAGTAACGTCTCATGACCGGGACTCATTGCACCTTTCGGTACCATCAGCGGGGCGCGTTCAGCCAGGTGCGAGGAAGAGCTATTGCGGACTCGAGGGCCGAAATGTACTAGTGTATTAGCACCAGTCCCCGAGTCCCATACTCGGATCCGCGAGTCCTGACCCGTTGTCACGATATGACTGCCATTGGATGTCCAACGGACCCCCGTCACAGGTCCGTTATGAGCACGGGCATGTCGAGAGAATGCCGGACGGCTCTCATAAGAGCCGCCGGGAATTGACCCCGTCCCTGGTAGACCTAGTCCCACTGGATCATCCATGTCCAAGGTTGCAATGGCAGAGTTGTGACCTCCACGACGGACATCGAATATGATCACCCGATTGTCGACTGAGCCTGACGCAAGCAGATGGGGTCGATGGGGAGCCCATGCCACAGACAATACTGCGCCATTGTGTCCGGGTAATCCTTGTGTTGATAGACCTGATCGTAGGTCTACTAATCGTACCGATCGTTCGGATGTGCCTACTGCGACAAGCAGGGTAGACCCAGGCTGAGACGAGAACGAGTGCGAATAAGGAGTGCAGTCGAGGCTGAACGTATGGACCGGGGTGATAGAAGGTGAATCCAGCGTAGAAAGCTTCAATGTACCATCATGCGATGTCGAGAAGATCGTTGAAGGAACTGGATCAAACGGGTAAATCGAGAGCGATGTAATCGCATGTGTATGCGCGTCGGCATGCGAGGATTTACTAACCGACGCGCAAGATTGATGGACATGTTCAAGCTCTGAACCTCTTGTTTCGAGATCCCACAGGTGGATCGATGGATCGGCACCTCCCGATATCATACTATACGCGCATTAGATTGACAACTATGGAGATGGATACTGCACGCACTATCGGCCCTCGAGCTGATCAACAGCTAGGCAATTCACGCCAGACTTGTGGGCAAACACCTCCGCTGCGGAGCTAAGCTCTTGATCCAAAGGCGCCACATCATCTTCGGTCCGGTCTGCTGATGCAGCTGCTCTGCGACTGGAGAACCGTATGCCTGGAGCGGGTTCGAGATGGTGGACTAGTCGGGTGGTTTTAGCGACGTGGAAGTCATTCGGATTGACAGACCCGAGGGCTCTGTTGAGAAGATAGGAATTCATTCATTCATCAGCGTCGGTGCCCTTGCACGGAGTCGGAGTTGTTGCGGAGGCCGATGATGCTATGCTCCACCGGATTAAAGTGGTGCCGGCGCATCCGATGTTTCTGCGGACTTGGAGGTCTCGACTCCGTTCATGCTCTGCGCAGCACTAGATGATTTGTCAAATCTTGACTGATCTGTCTGGCAAATCGCGATAATGTCTGCTGGCAGGTCGCGCAGCGTGACTCAGGACAATTCTGTTGAGGTGCTCGAAGACAAGTCTTCGAGGTACTCAAAACGGCGTGCTAATCTCTACGATGCGGTAGCTGGTATGTTGTTTCCTTGGTTTTACCTCTCGGACACCAGTTAATTGAAATATCCAGGTCGTGTCAATCCTCGCGGAATCCAAGCATCCCAGCCGGTTGTCTCTTATCACCGCGATACGGCTTCATCAGGCGCTCGACCACTCCGGCCGGAGGAACTTCTCCTCCGCAAACAGAATACTTCAGCAGGACCCGTTAGCGAACAGGTCGAGAAGACGTACTTTGCACACGAAAATCTACCCGCTGATCAATCTCTGCCGAGCTCCGAGCTCCTCGAGACGATTCATGCTTATGCGGCCGACTTTTACGAATACGCTACAGCAGACAATGGCCAAGATGACCACAAAACCATGGATGAGACAGCCCTACTTGCAATGGGAATTCTGATTGAGGAGATGTCCAAAGACGCTCTGGGTGAGACGGGTGATCTTGTCCTCGTCGAAGGGCAGGAGCTGTTGGAAGAACAGGAAGAACAGACCGGCGCTGAGAGCGACACTACAAACCAGTCTGCAGCACGAATTGTGCGAAGGAAACGAGCCAGCAGTAATACGAAAAACAGACCGAAGCGCCGCAAGTTAACTCGTTCGGCTTCTGCCACAACGGATGTGGACACTGAGGTTGACGACCGACGATGAAGTCTGTGGCATGTGCTGAATTTCACCTCAGGTTACATCCACGCATGTGTCTCCTCGGAGGCTCATGCCTCTAGCCGTACTACAATACGCGAGAGACCGCAGAGCCTCATCCAACCCCTTCGTGGACGAATCGGGCCGCACCATTTGCAGGTGTACAGACTCTGCACATGGTGTCGGTATATATACATTCTCTGTCCATACCCTATGGCATACAAACACCAGGCAGCACCCTGTACGCCCATGTGTCCCAGCGGCTCCTACTACATTGAACACCACGTGTACTGCCATGTCTTCAGACTATTGAGGGAACAGCATCTGAGATTACCGTGGCTACTACTCCGGAAAATAGGGGTTAAAAGTCACATATAGTCTATTTACAGGAGATTGATATGTCGTGCACCCTGCACCTGTCCTCAACCCGCCGGCTACAATTGCCCCATCTCTGCCATGAAGCCATGAAACTCAGTTTTGGTTGCAGTGTGCTGTCTCACTTGACGCCTTCACCCTGCTAGGATCTTCCAGGAATTTCCTGGATTAGATTCGTCGAGGCTTGATATTGAGGCGTCAAATCACAGCGTTTTAGACAAAGTACAGACTATTATTAGTACCACCTGAACAGGGTTGAATAAAGTTAACAAGCGACTAAAGCATTTAATTAATATATAACACCTGTCTGTTTCAGAGATTAAGCAGGTCTGTATCCTTGAAAACATGAGCTTGTGTGGTGGTGTGGCACACGGGCACTTCCCTGACTTGACCTCTCCACCAATGCTTAACTGTCCCACTCTTGACCAGATCAGGGAAGGCTGACGACACAAGCTTTCTGGGGTATCTCGCTTAAAAAAGCATCAAAGGCATCATGGTACGTGGCTTCAGACGTTTTCAAAGGATGACAGAGGTCGTTCAAAAGAAACTACTGACGCGTCTTGTTGCACCCCAAGCCACCCAAACTATCCAAAAGCGCTAGACAGCATCTCATTCTGACTCACCTTCGCGCCACTGGAACCTGTCACACGCTCAAGGATCTAGAGAAGACGCTACCCTCGGTGGCATCCATCAATGGGATCCAAGTCAAGGAGTACATTCAGGCGCTAACCGATGAGAACCGACTACGAGTCGAAAAGATCGGCAGCGGCAACTGGTACTGGAGCTTCGCCAGTGACGAAAAGCACGAACAAGAGCGCCACTTGGCCCGGGTGAGCGCGGAAGTGGAGAAATCTCGGAAGTCCTGCACCGAGATGATGGCGGCCCTGGCCGATGAGACAGCCCGTCGAGAGGAAGAACCCGAAGACGAGGGAAAAGAGGGAGTCCCTCATACTCCAGAAGGCCGGACTTCAGATGGCCGCGGATCGGGTACGAACTATAGAAGCCCAACTCACCGGGACCCTTGACTCGCTCGGCGTCAAGAGTGTCAAGCAGGTCCAAGCAGAGCTAGCGGGGTTCCGGCAGGATGCACTGAAGTGGACAGACAACATCTACGTGCTAGAGGAGTATTTGCGCAAGTTAGCAGGCGGGGACAGACAAATGGTGGAGGAAGTGTTGCGAGAATGCTATGGAGACGAGTACGTGGACGGAGAGGGTCTACGAGAACTATGAAATAATTCGGCGCATCCGTTTAAAAAGCTTAGGATTGCTTAGCGCAGAGAAATAAAAGAAGTTTGACTCGTTACAAGGTGATAATCCTCGGAAATGCCCAGAAAAGGGGAACTAGTTGAGCCACCAAGAGAAGCTTGACCGTGCGACACGCGAATCGAATCCATCTCCGCTCCGGCTTATCGCAACCTGACTCTCTCTTCTCTCCCTCTCTTCTCTGTCTACTCCTCTGCCTTCTCTGTTCTCATTTTTAACTTTGTTCTCTCCGGCTCTCTTCCTCTTCGCCTCCTCGTTCCTCGTTCCTCTCCAGTCCTACATTCCCCCGGCTCTTCTTCACCCCCCAAGTCGCGCGCCCTCGGGTTCTGGACTCTCGACTCCGCGCCCCCCAGCATTCAGCCATTGTCGCTATTGGTCCCTGTGCTGTCATTCCTCCCGCATTTCCGAAACTTATCTCGCGCCACTGGACCCAGTTCCCGCACCGATACGTTCCTGGCGGGGGTACAGGTGATTCTCGCTTTGATACCAGAAACAATGCGGTGCAGTGACCCTTGATACTCCCCATTCCTCTCTTTGGACCCGGGGAATCTCTTGCTTGTGTGGAGAACACATTCCTTGCACGTTTGGAACCAGACTGTTTCCAGTACACTGGTCCTGATCCCCAGATCCCCAGATCCCCGACGTCAACGACTTCTCGTTTGGCTCGATCGGAGTTCCTGACGTAGCTTGAGCTGCTCACTGCCTGTCCGACCATCCCCGTCGTCCTCCTGCTGCCCAAAGACTGGCGGCGTGTCTGGTCACTTCGGTCGCCAACGTTGTCTCAGTCTTTCCTTCCTAGTTTCTCGTCCCTGCCACGTTGTCTTGTATAGATGCAGTAACAACGGCCGTGTGTCATGTCCGCCAACCATCCCACTCAACCTTCGTTGCCGCCCAGTCGGAATCGCAACTCCCTCCTATCCAAGTTTCGCTCCCCGCTCGGCCAACGGAACCGCGGTATCACCGACTTCTATATCGATCCTGACGACCCATGGCGCTCATACTTCCCCGGCGATGTCATCAAAGGCACCGTCGTCGTGACTGTCGTCCGTCCCGTTCGCATTACACATATCGTCGTATGCCTCCATGGTTATGTGAAGGTGTTCAAGAATGCGACACCGGCTGGAGAAGCAACCCCCGACTTGGGCTTCTTAGGACCAGGGCGGGGCCGACGCGGCGCAGAATATATGGGTAATGGGCTAGCGAGCTTGTTCGAGGATGAGGTTGTTCTTTGTGGCGATGGACGACTGAAGGAGGGAATCTACAAATTTCGCTTTGAAATGGGGCTCCCACCCTATGCGCTTCCTAGCAGCATCAATGTGCGTTTCTTCATGCGAGAATTCCATTCAACAACTAACAAAGGCGTATGCAGTTCGAACGCGGCATTATCGGCTACTCACTTACCTCCACCCTCACCCGACCGACCACCATGAACCCTACACTCACCTGCCGACGACGGGTCAATCTTCTAGAAAATATCGACATTGCCACATTCCCAGCGCCAAAAGCTCGAATAGTCACATTGGAGCCGATCTCAAAGCGTTCAAAATCGCTCGCAAAAGCAAAATCAACGGGTTCCGACGCAACTGCAGGACCCGACACATCCTCAGTTGATACCCCTATTAGTGGCGCGACACCCTCGGTAGATGGGAGACCACCATTAAGCCCTTCACCAAGCAATGTGAGCTCGTCCAGTCGACCGAGCAACAGCAGCCAGAGCTTCCAGGTCGTCAGTGACCCTAGCTCATCTGCCAGCACCAGTGGACAAAATAGCGAAGGTCGCAGCGCGACTCCTTCCGTTACCGATAAAACCATCACAGCAAAGGCTGAGCTCTCGCGCGCTGGCGTGCTCCCGGGCGATAGTCTACCCATTACGGTCACTATCAACCATTGTAAACAAGTACGCAGTGCGCACGGAATTATGGTTACTCTCTATCGACAAGGTCGCATTGATCTTCATCCGGCAATACCTGTCGGTTCAACAGCAGCTGGAAAAAAGCCGGTCTACGAAGACTGCTATCCTCGTTCACGCACTGGGCTTGGAGGACTCACCTTGGGGACGAGTCGAACCAGCAGCACTTTTCGCAAAGACCTTTCGCAGACATTTGCTCCGCTGATCGTTGATCCGAGCACAATGACTGCTATTGTAAAAACTTCCATCAGAATACCCGAGGATGCGTTTCCAACCATCACGCGCGTACCGGGAGCCATGATCAATTTTCGTTACTATGTGGAGGTTGTAACGGACCTGCGAGGCAAAACCACTTCCCCTGATCGTTTCATCCCGCGTTTCAACATGGTATCAGGTGGAACTACTTTCTCGCCCAGTGGGCAGGTTCTCAATCCAGCCGATGCGAACAACGTTACTACCAACTGGGCCGGTAACATCATGGACACGGATGCAATCCGTCGTGAAAAAGGGGTTATCTCAGTGGCGTTCGAAGTTGTCGTTGGCACTCGTGACTCGCAACGACGGAAGGCTGTGAAACGTACCTCGTCCACGGCCGCCGAATCGACAACGTCACAACCTACGCCACAACCTGCGCCTGCGGCATCTGCGATGCTCGTTAATCCTGTTGATGGGGAGGAGTGGCCTGAAGCAAGCCCATTGCCTAATCCACAAGGCGAATACGGGTCTCATGAGGAGTACTTCCCTGACGAGCTGCACTGGGCAGAGCATCCAGAAGAATACCCTGAACAGTTCCAGCCAATGGACCCCATGGTTGCGCATCCAGAGGTGGAAGAGCCCGTGGATGAGAAAACACGTGTAAGACGCCACGAGGAAGCCCTCTTACCCAGTCAACCGCCAGACGAAGCTGAGGCAGGGCCGTCTAACTCCCAAATGGATGTTCCGACCGCGCCAGTTTTGCCGGATGATCATCATCTCCAAGACTACCAGCACCTCCCGTCTCCAGACACAACCGGGCAGCCGCATACGGTGCGGTCGGCGGAGTCGCTGCAGACCGTCGTGCCAAACGGCACTCCTGCCGGGCCCGGGGAGCCACGTGTGTCTGGCGACGACAAGCAAGAGCTTGAACGTCACCGACTTCAGGAGCAAGCAAGCGCGCCTCAAGATGAACCCGAGGAGACCAGCGCTGGGCCAAGTGCACCGGTCTTCGACGAGGATGATCAATTGGTTGGCGGGACGGCGCACGCGGACGAGTCGTTGCCTCGGTACCAGCGGTGATGGTTATGTATATTTGCATTTACGGGATATGGAAGATACCACTCGCATTATTTAGTCAAAGGCGTTTACTGTACTATATTTTACTTCACATTTCTACCAATTTTCAATACAAATCGGTCAATTTCTAATCTCTCGCTTTAAATGTCCCCCGGAGCTGCTTATCTCCCGCCTTGGCATCTCCCGATCGATTGACTTCTCCCCTTGTCTCTCCACGTTTCTCTCTTTCCTCCTCACCCTCCCTATTTCCCTCTACCACAATGGCCTTCAAAAGCGGGTCGTTCGCGACCTTCCTCATCGTCTGCCGTAAGTCCCTTCTCTCAAGTCCTTTCGAGAACCGTACCCAAACCTAGAAAGGCCACGGGACCGCAAAATCACCAACTAACAAACCCACCAGCAACCTGTTTCTTCCTGGGCATTATCTTCTCCCTCTTCCCATACGACTACCCAATCCTCTGGTCAACAATCACCACCCCAGCCGCCCACTATGACTACCTGGAGGCGCACCTCCGCTTCCTGCACGCCTCGCCCCCGCTCATCCCACGCATTCTGCACATCGTAATCTTCCTCGGGCTCGCAGGCCTCCTAACAAAGCTCTACAAACCCTCCGAATCAAACATGCTCTTCGACGGCGCTTCCCTAGTCCTCTACATGTGCGGCATCACCGTCTACATCGCCAACATCGTCAAGGGTCTGCGCCTCGCCTCGGCTGGCCAGTACGGTGCCGAGCTGGCGACCACCGCGGACGAGAAGGACCAGATTCTTGGCCGCGAGGACTCGCTTAAGGTCCTTTCTGCCTCCAACACCATCCTTGCCCTTGTGCTAGTCGGTATCCTCGTTCTGCAGGCTGGTCAGTGGTATGCGGAGCGCAAGGATCAGCAGGAGTTCGAGTCGCTTGGCTCTGGGAAGAAGGGTGAGAAGGAGCATGTTGATTCGGCTGCTTCGGCTTCCGCTTCGGGGGCTTCCACTGCTACTCCTGCTAAGCCTGGTCGTCAGGGTAGCCAACGGAAGAAGAGTAATTGATTCCGGTTGATGGGTTGTCGTTTACGTTTCGTTTCGTTTCATTTCGCTTCGTTTCGTTGTCTGTCCCTGGGATAGTGGTTTGTGGTTGAGGAAGAAAGGGAGTTGCGCGCTGGCTTTCGCTTGGTCTTGTGTTTGGGCTTGCTTTAGGATTTATTTGCTTGGTAGCCTACACAGATACGGGATTTGCTATCGCAGGAGAGAAATATCTATCGAAAACACGCCTGTTCTTATTGAAGGGGTCGTGGGAATTTCGATTCTTGTCTATGTACATATGTCCCATAGATATGGTATGGCAGCTTCATACAAAAGATAGCAGATGAAAATGCAGGAATGAGGCATGATATGGGTCCGTGATGTATCAAATGTTGACAAAGCTTTGACAGCGTAGAATAGGAGGCATGGACGAATGTAATGTTAGTTGGTATGGTAAATGATCATAGACAGACATGTCATGGCACCGCAGAGGGGGAATCATTGCGCAAAGTCGTGAAAGATGGTGTGTGTTTATGCAAAAGAAACTCAAAAAATTCAAGTAAACGAGAATGGGCTCCGGGGAAGATCCGGTGAGCGCGGGCTCAGGGCCTTTGCGAACAGCTCGTCGCTGTCGTTGCTCGGGACGTGGGTGAGCGCGCTGCCCATGGCTGCGAATCCGGTGGGTCCACTGTTTTGCTGGGCTTCCTGTATATCTTCTGGGGGGAAGAGAGCTACAGGCCTAAGTGATTCGGGGGCCGAGGGGTTGTTAGTTGACATTGGAGTTGAAGTGGGATTGGTGACTGGCGTCGGCATGGAATGGATGTTCTTGCGGAAGGAGCTGAACGAAGAAACGGCAACATCAGGCGACTGGGGCGACAGGAGATGGGCAGTATCTGGAGGTGAGCCTGGTTATATTGTTAGCCTGTAAACCGAGCGCAGTAACACCACGGACAAGATATACATACCACCATTCGTCGACAATTCCTTCTCACTAGTTTGCAGCTTCAGTCCTTTGAGCTTGTCGGACAGCTTCCTTCCGCTGATAGGTGACACAGGAGTTGCGGGATACACAGAGGACGAATTCGAGGAATCGTGGCTGCTGCCGAGGCCGTCACCAGCTCGCGGAATTACGCCGAAGTTATCCTCAATCCACTCCTTCTCTTGAATGGCCATGTGCAGAGCAATTCCTTCTACATTATTCTGAGATTCAGCAGCGATCTCTTTCTCAAGAACGCGGAGTCTTTTCTTTCCCCAAATTGTGTGCAACACGCCCTTCTTGCCCGCTGCACGGCCTGTGGCACCCAACTCAGGAGGAAATATGGCGGGGAGGGGATTGAGCTGAAGAGCTTCCCGTGCCTTCGAAGGTGGAGGGACGGTGGTGTCATTTGCCTCTGAAGGCGCAGACCGCGGCTCGTATGAAAGGGTGACGACAGGAGGGATGGTGGCATGCGGCGGAAGCAAGAAGTAAAAGCGCCGTAAGCTATCACTCGGCCGTTCATCGGCGGGCAATACAGATGTCTTTCCAGCCCAGGATACATGCCACGATCCTTCAACAGACGATCGAGTGAGATCATCGTCCTCCCACTCGATCATCAGGATCTTAGTGCCGTCGTTTCCTTTGCCCGCCTCGAATTCGAACCGGGCCAAGGCAGATATCGATAAGCTTCCACCCCTAGGCCCGCGCGGGGTTTCGAGTTCGGTGAATTCACAGTCTGGTGTGAAGGTGGGGGATGCCTGAGCCATGGCTGTGGTCGAGGGCGGAACAAAACCCTTAGTTCGGAGGTAAGGGGCGCACGGGGTGGATTCGGTATACTCGAAGCGTGCTAAGATGACGCACGGCTCAGGATAGGGGAGGACGGACCAAACAGTAATGGTCGATCTGAGTGGGATGGGAGTGAAATTGCACCTGGAGGAGGGAGGGAGGGCGTTAGGCGGGTCGATCACGGGATTTTGGAAATCCCTCCCTATGTGCCCTCTACTCTATTCTACATTTCCTTTTGTGTACGAATTAGTCTAACCGATTCCGACAGGAGGACCTCACCTGGCCACTTTAATTCGTTGAGCTGCTACAGGGGCATGTAACAGACAATCGCATCACCAGCGTTTATGTCCCCCACCTCTAAATTTAGAAAAGCCACCTGCTCCAGCCTATAGTCATTCACAGTCAACTCTTTCAGAGCAGTTGGTCTTTGGGGTCCCAGCGTTTTATGTCCCGGGAAATCAAGTAAGACCTTCCACGTAAATGCCTCAAAGGACCATGATAACATCAAAAATAGATCACGGTTTGCGGCCCGTGGGAGGAAGTAGTCGCGGCGATTGTGATAGACCCCGCACTCATGCATCAAGGGCACTTTGTCTATTTTTATCCCACCAATTGAAGGCCCTTGTTGGTTTTTGAATCCCTGCATGATCCCATTAAAATTATAGCATTTGCATCTTATACTGCAAATGCATGACGTATGAACTGCTCTGTATAGATCGCGAGGTTGGATGACTAGAGCACTGTTAATTTGCGTGCTAGCGTAACAGCAGCAATTGAATTGTCAATAAGCCTTACATGATCATATCAAGCCCATGAATGCCGATATGTAGTCTTCCTGGAGATGTTTAACTGATTAGTTGTGTCTTTGCCCGGGGAACAAGCCCATATCATCGTTGTATCATGCTCTGATCTAGCGCCAGAAGATCATGCATGATCGTGACTGCAAGGTTCTTAACAGTCAGGGCTTCATCCAAGTCAAGAAAAGGGATAGGTATCATACTGTATGATACAAAACCATCAAAAAGCAACTCTCAGGGAGGGGAAATACGTACCAAATGTATATTTAGAAGAGGAAAAGTAGATGAAAGGCACACCTCTGTAAGTGATAGTCCCGTGCTTGCAGTTCTGTCACGTATCCCGAGCCCCGAACACCTGTAGTTTGATCATTGAACTTCGCAAACAGTGAGACCGGCGGCAAAAGACCCTCTCTGATGAGGGGAACAGGAGGCTAGTAGACAGGCAGATGCTGTCTATTCTTAGTTGGACGTCATGATTAGTCGAATCAAGAAGAACGGCAGCACATATCGTTGTTCAAGCTGCGGGAACGGGGCCATAAGGCAGAGAATATGCAGCCGAAAATCCTTTATTGCTAAGAATAGCACCATAAACCTCGACGTGAAGCATTAACCGCCATAACGAGTCTTCTTGGGCCAATGTAAGACATACGTTGATTGAAGCAAGCTGCAGATAGGATGTATATCGTTACCTATTGGGCGAACTCCGGTAGATGTGCGCCAGGTAATTCTCCACATAGCAGGAGGGTAGCATAAGAGCTCCAGGATACTCTATTCTTAGAACGGTGGATCTTAGTATTGGCCACTTGGGACAAAGAAAGGGACCTCAGTTGCGAAAAACGTCAATGGAAGATGTGGTGTATGCAGGCGCGTGACGCCTTTGGCTGATCCAAGTTCGAGACGATATGAAATAAGTGGTGATGATTGGCGCACAGAGCGAGACGAAATGCTAAAAACAAATGGAACGGTGAATTTACAAGAACTTAAAACTTGATCAGCTTTTGCCGTTGTCGCACGTATGGAATAATGCACCGAAGATGGATAGCCCTGTTGTATTGGCGCAAACCGGTTGTGAAGCAAAGGGCCTCCATCATGCCAATTGAAGGGCCCATTCTTTTGGTTTGGAGCGAGAGATGGTTGATTTCCATATATATCCATGTGTAATTGATGTCCCGACATCCTAGTTCCAAAAATAACCTTTCAGGTTTAAGCTAAAACCCACACGCTACAAGATAAAATTAGAATAGGAAAATCCTAGCAAGCATCCAATATTTAGTCAGCGTGCTTGGGGCTTCCAAGTATCCCAGATGACTATAAAGAGACCAGCAAGCCTGACGTACAAACAGCCACAGCGGCTATTCTGTTGTTGTCATTGGCTGGAGTATCCACCCACCCCAACACATATGTAGCCTGGGTTAGGCATCTAAGAAAAGAGTCTTCACACTACTGTGAGTGCAAGGATAGCGCATGGTGGCACATTAGTTTTGCTCCGACGCCAGCAGTAGTTCGAGTGCACTAAGAGTAATATACCGCTATTGATAATATGGTAATTTGTTTAGAGCAATGAAAGTTTCAAATAGAAACTCACACCTATACAGCCTTGATCAAGCCACAAGATATTCTATTGACACTTACTGCCTTTTGAAGACTAAGTGCGTCATCTTTGAATCCTGATAGGATAAGCAACAATGTACTCCCATCACTTTACGCCAGACAGAGCAGTCGAGGTTTAAACGTGAATACCCCACAGCGGGTCCCAAGGAGTTCGTGTGCCCAACCATGGTTGAGAACGGGGCTCATCGTCTGCCCACACGGACCCTAGTCCGAACTAGGAATAGCGCAAGCGCTTATAGATTGCAGGGATACCACCAGAAGCAATGCCGTACGTGAAACAGGGTGCAAGGTTCCCTGAGCATAACATTCAGGTCTTTGCTATGCATGCTCAGTGGTCAGTTGCAGCTGAGCTCATCACCTGCCTTCATCGCTATGAAAAGCGGACTGCTTCCAAGGTTTGTGATTATGTTGTGATTCCAATGCTTCGTGTGATAAAGGCTGCGTAAATGTATGTATCGATACGGAGTACAGAATATAACAAAAGATTGGACACTTGATATGAACCAACAACGCTTTGGTCGCCAGGTGGCCATACTCGGTGGATTATACGACTGCGACAATAGTTGATTCAGAAATAGCAAGGTGAATTGTTCATTTAACAGACCCACCATATTCTTTAGATTGAAAATACATATGTTTTACATAGCGTATTTTTTATTTCATACAAGTGGGTTCTTGGTATTGTGGTATTTTTTTGAAACCGCTCTATCAGGTACGCTCATACTCATAGAGGGGCAATACATCAACCACGAGCATATCATACTCGCCAATATACTCTCCACATGGGAGGCGGGGGTGTTTTCTAACCAATCTGAGCCCACGAGAAAGCCTGAGCCTTATCCGTGAATGAAATAATCGGTACCGGTCTCGTCAAGGGTTTCGGCAAGGCTTCTTGACCTGAGTAAAGTGTGTACGAAATGTAAGCAAATCAGTCTTCACCTGGTATCCAGAATCCTGTATCATTGGCGCAGCAGTGTGAATCCCATGGTTTGTATATCGAGAGAAAGTTCAGTAATACCTAATACTTTCTTAACGGTCACGCCTTACAAACATACAAGATAAACATTAGCAGTAATATGTCAATCGTACATAGGCTTAGCCTGCAACTCCGATCCTACGAGTCAGGAGACAGTCAGGTGCTAAGGCTTCATCGTATATTGTATGCTATAAGGAAGACAGTGGCGTTCTTGAAGCTGTCACCGGAAAGGAAGTAACCAGTTGGCGCACTTCGCCTCACCGAGCTAAGATGCATCGAAATAGGACAAAGTCCATTAGCAGCTCACCCTGGCTGTTGGTACTATACTATGGTTTGCTTAGGAGGCGGGCTGTCGTATTTGGAGCGCTATCTAGATCCCTCGTGGCGCCAGGATCTGGGGGCCGTTTATACAAAGGACTGTTTACCAATGCTGTATACCTAACAAAAGTCTTCGAGGTAAGTATAATTCTTTGTATTATGGAATGGAATACCAAATTTTAGGCCTAGCTTCTAATCCATATATAAGAAAGCCTGGTAGCGTTGGGACTTAGGAATTTAATGGTGGCTTTAGTCCTGGAAGACCACAAGAAATAGATATTTGTACGTCAGGCTCTTCTGTAACTCATCATAAATTCTCCGAATTACATATAGCACACTAAAGATTCCTTGCCCGGATAAGATTGCAAGCCCGCATAGCCTCAGTGGGGTTATTACCCGTTCTCCGTAGAAGCTGGACGTCTGTTGGTTTTTCGCGCATTCTCATTAGCTACCATGCTATGACCTAACACGTGGTGACTCAAACCCAGCTGCGGTGCGCTATCGGTGATGTATCAATTTCTAATAGGATAAAGTCGAACAGGGTATAATCAGCCTTACTGCGCAGGCCCCCAAAGTCTTGACCCACCGTATGTCAATGAGGCTCTGAGCCTCAAGGGCCTACATCGAATGCAAAAGTACAAGGTTTAAATGACGCTGCTTCAATTTTATACTCTGTTCTTATCAAGCGGTCAAGGTGTGTTAGTAGACTTTACGAACGTATGCATTGGATGTTGGATATAGAATTGCAAAAATAATAGTGAGGCAAACATGCATGACCCAGATATATTCGCCGTAAATGCTACCGAGTTGGTCCAATGACCAATTTTGACGCATAATGTAGAAACTTAAGACAAAATGAGAGCCCAATTCGTGTTCCCCCAAACCGAAGCCACCCGTGAACACCGACAGTACCAGTCAGGCTTCTGTTTCCTTGGACAAGTTTGGTCAAATCACCGAATAATAACGCCGCAATTGCAAATCCCAACTAACTCCAAGTCTCCAGTTCGCCCCTCTCCTTAACGCTCGTAAGAAATTCAGCTTCCACAACAGAAAGTAAAAGGAAAACATTAGAGCCAAATAATCAAGGTTCAGCTCGTACTTTGCACCATTGTCTAATAGTGTCAAGTACGGCCTTAAGCGCTCAGAGTGGCATCAAATAAGCCCCCAAAACATTCAGCGCTATGGATTGCACATGTACTAAAAAGCTCAAACAAACAGAACATGATGAACAAAAACTCCATGAATGGGCGGCGAAATACCAGATCAAGCCTCTCGACATTCCTGGGTCTTGCGTCTCTTCCCCTTGGGCGGGGGATCAAGCGGGGTACGTTTGTACGTGACAGTGCGGGTAACAACTTGTCGGACACTGACAGCTTTTGTGGTCGCACTTCTCGGTGCATCAAGATACCGAAGTTTCCAGTCTGATGGCGAAAATGGTGATCGAAGACTACTCGTACTCCAGGGATTCGCACTATAAGGGCTGGCACTGTATGGAGTCGCGCTGCACGGAGTAGCAGTTCGCGGGGAATCCTTTGACGAAAATGCCTTGAGAGATTGAGGAATGCGCAGTCGTCTTAGCGCAGGCGGCGCTTTAGCGGACTTAGCAGTGCGAGGTGAAGGTGAGGGTGGTGGAAGGGAGATGGCTGGCGATTTCAATGAATTCTCGGAGAACGCGGGACTTATTGCAGAAGACGGCTGCGAAATAGGCGACGGCTCGGTTTTTTCCATCGAGAATTTTGGAAACCCTCCGGCACTCACTGGACTTGTGAATACTGGTGTAAGAGCGCTGAGGAACTCGGTATATGACAGTGGAGGTGTGATAGGAGTTGCGCTTCCATCTTCGCGTTTGATTTCATTGACAGTAAGGGTTTTGGAGGCCTTGTGTATTTCCGAAGGGAATGTGAAAGACTTTGGAGTCTTCAGTGGTTGGAGCTCTGGCTTGGGGGCTGGCATCTTGGTCAACAGGATACCGCAAATTTGGAAAAAAAGTAAAGAGGTCGGCGCAGGTCAATTCGGTTGAGAGGGATGGTTGCAGTGTGACGCAAGCACAGGCGGTCCACTCGCGCTTTAAGAGCCAAGAGGATGTGTCTGTGTTGGAGTATGAGAATCAAAGTAATGTTGGTCTGAGCCGAAGAGGGGGAATAAGTAAGTCTTACAAGGAAGAACTCAGGAGGGCCAAGGCGATCTTTTTCTATATGTTGAACGGTATTGTACAGAACCGTAACAGATGTACCGTACCAGACGGTATCAGTCAATACGGAGAAGTCGAGTCGAAACTAAAACCAAGTTAGCCCCCATCCTTGCAGCCAATCCAATCGCATGTTTGGCCCCGAAGAAATCTCGGTGCACTCACCTATCTTTGTAAAGGGGCTGAGCACAGCTGAGCAATAAATGATTCCTAACAATAGAGACAGTCGCGGTGAACGTATAAAGCGGCCAGCGCTCGGTCAGAAAGTGAATGGAAGTGTTGGAACTTTGGTTGATAATGAACAAGAGTAAGAAAAGAAAACAAAAAGACTGGAGATGATTCCAACAACTTGGTGGGATGGTCAAGTGTAATTATATAATAGATGCTACAGTATTTCAAAAAAAAGTTAACCGCCTTCCATACTTTATTTAACCCCAAGGATAAAACAACGACCGCATTGTCGCGCGCCTTCTGATTCAGAGTGCCACCAGCCTTCCTCTCCCAAAATAACTTCCACGCGACTGAGGCGTCGACTGGCGGCTTGGTTCCTTCAGCAACCGTCCTTCTATGGTGCCTTGGCTTGCTGGTTCGCTACCCTCAGAGCGCGCGCCATTCATGACTTTGGCGGCTCTACATTCTATGCTGGACCGGAAGTCCGAGGTACCAATAAATGGTCATGGATTCATCCAACTTGAATGCAAAAATATTGCGGAGTATATTCATGAAGACATTGCAATTGTTTCATCAATCGCTGGAACTAGTGCCTCTGATGATTGTCCAATTAGCTTACCGCAAATGAGCGCGTACTCTGCAAACGCACAGTTTCTGCAGGGGCTTGCCTGCATCAGATATGTCCTCGACGATACTACCTTCTAGGGAACAATCATAACCTCATCCAATATCTGCATTCTAAGTTGCTTCTTCACCTCCACAGCGCGCTGCTGCAGAACATTATCTATGTTTCAGGATCCAAGTGTACTGCAGAAAGCGCAACAGACACTAGAGAACCCCTGTCTCAGAGACCCGGATGGCTACGACTTAAAGATGGGGACCTATTTTTGACCGCTTGCCGCCGAATGTTTCTCTGCCCTCGTGGGATAGAATTCTCAGCGAGCGCTCCATCATGAAACAGGCCTATAATGGCAATGCAGGAGGGACTCGGCGGAGCTGGGTCGTGGAATCTGCGCGAGAACAGTTCAAGCCTCAGAAAGCTGTTCATGTCAGATTTAATGAGAATGATAGATTTATTTTTAATAAATAGTCTGATCGATCTCATGTCAAACTCTAAAAACGGAGATAGATTTCAAAATTCTAGATCCCCTCGAGTAAAGGAATTGTGAGCCTTCAACACCAAAAGCATTTAAACCATAAGAGGAGCAGTTAGGCATATGCCAACCGCTCCAGGAGATTACTGAAAACTACGGGGGCTCAAGTCACATCGACGACTGAAGATTGAAGGATGGAACAAGTCAAGCGCTTACTATTTCCCAGAGGGTATATGTTGTAGAGCGAAAGTTAAAGAAATCTTGTGCAATATAAATCCAACTCAATGTATGTAGCGCCAAAGGAAGACACCAATGAGGAAAATGTTCACAAAAAGATGACATCAAAAACAAAAGCGAATGTCAGAGGGCTCAACCCAATGCGAAAAACAATTCCCAAGCACCTCAAAAGAACACCAACGCTTCAAAGCCCAGCCATGAGGCATGTATGCAGTCCTGAGCAATTGCCAAAGAAGCCCAGGAGGTATCATTGAATAAAAAAACGCGTCCTCTAAACTTGCGAGAACAAAATCTGAAACTGGCTCTTGACATGTATTTAAATCAAAAGATGGCGCCAATTGTTTCGGGCCATGACATCTCGCCAGTGAACTTGTTGCCTTTTAATTTCCCGCATCCCAGGGGACACAAGAGGAGGCGAAGCAAGAGCATCATGATTCACCTCCGCATATGGATATCCTGTCTCGACCACAGTCTCTTCCGGAGAGACATACGGATTGACTGGGTCATCGCTCAGACGCCAGTATTCGGTAATCAATTGGTACATGCGACCAATGCTTCCAAGGTCGGCAAGGTCTCCCAGGGCTGTCACTCGATCGTCTAGTGCCCGACGGAATGAACTGGAGGGAGTAGAGAATGCACCAGCAATGAGGAGTGGCCAGACCAGAGAGCGGTCAAATCCAAAAGGCCCGGTTGGGATGTAGGCCAGAGTATCTGTCAATGCGGCAACAAGGTTCATAGTGCTGTTTTGATTGCGGTCGGCGCCAGGAACCAGACTGCAAAGGTAGATGCGGGCGGCGATGCGAAAGATGGCAGTCATTGCTTTTGTCAATGCTTCAGGTCGGATTGCACCAGTTGGTGAGTAGGGACTTTCCAATGGTTGGTTAGGATCTTCGGTAAATTCCAACTGACTACCCAAAGCAGACACATGCGTGCAGACAGTGATGTTGTCGACACGGCCCTCAATCTTGAGGGCTTCGAGGCAGGCAATTTCTGAGATCAGGTACATAATGCGGTCATCACAACCCATTAGTTCTCGGAGACCAGAAGATGTTCCACTGAGGTGCTTGGAGCGATAGGAATGGGCAAACTCCGGTGTTTTCCCAAGCATTGTCGCGCCCAAAATGTCAATCCAGGAGGTCAGGGACATACTGAATGGTGGTACCGTGTACATAGGACCACATGGGATTACTTTGTTTGTCAAGTCCAGTTTGCTGACCAAGTTTGACACTGCCTGGAAATGGTCGTTCCAGGGAATATCAGGAAGATAATCATCGGGCGCACCAACCGAGCAGTGGAAGAAAATCATGGCAAGTGTCGCATCCAAAATTTTCTCGTGATCGGCGTCCTTGTTCAGTGCTTGACACAATTCGGAAATAGCCTCATAACGGTGGCGCATGATATCGTGGTCGATTTGTTCTCCATTCAATCCAGTAGTTGACTTAAGGTGAATGGCGGCAACGCTAAGACAGCAGTGAAAGTATGATTTATTCGTCTCGAGGGACTGAAGTACGGATCTGGCTCGTGCGGAACCACGTTGATGAACCTCCAGGATTGGGAAAATCATCCGCAAGACGTTGTCCACGAAATGATCCAGTAACGGTCGATCATAGTCGTCGACAGGGATATTGGCATGCATAGAGGCATAAGATTGCCCAACACTGTGACCAGACAGGGTTGGATCAACCTCAGAGAACTGATTTGAAGAGTCAAAGCATTCATCTTGAAGCCAGTCGTCGGCTGGGAAGGTTGGAAGCGTGGCATGAAGCTGTGGTGGACCCATTGTATTGAAGGTCGAGGTTGAAGAGTCATGTCGTAACGGCACATCATTGACAAAGGTTTGGCGCTCTGTCCTAACGTCCACCTCATACGGGGTATAACGGGAATAAGTTATAGGAACGAATCCAGGCGTAGAAAAGTGCGCTCCAATAGAGGGATCAAAGTTCTCGACAAAAGAAGGATGGTGATATTCATGCTCTCCAGGACTTGCCGATGAGAGAACTCGGTTCATATGATCTGTCGAGCTTATAGTTAGAAAACTCTTCGGGGTCATATCGAAACAATTTAACTACAGCCGACGTACCCTGAAGAGATCCACTTCGCTCCAGCGACTTGGTTTGCTTGATCTTAGTCTTTATCCGCTCCTTCTGTTGTCTTCTTTGTTCCGGGGTGCCCCACCACACAGGTCGTTTATATTCACACTTGACATTGAGGTTTGTGCAAGCTTTGCAAGCGGGGTGGCCTTCGTCGCACTTCTTTCTTCGTAGGCGGCAGGTGAAGCAACCTTCGAAATTGTTAGTATCAATGTTACAGGCAATGTATCTGATCAAGTGCAGTCAGTTGTGGTGTGAATGTTCGTACCAGAGCGAGACCTTTTGTGCATCCGTCCATTCGACTTGTCCAAGGGCTGTGCATTGACAGATCTCTCCGCAGAAGAAGAACCCATGTTTCTTGCCGAAGCGATACCAACGTTCCTTGAGGCGGGCATTTTCGATTTTATAATTCACGATATCCAGTATCAACAACAATAACAACAGTCAATCAATGACAAAGCGATCGGAAAGATTGGGGGGCGGCGCGGCCGGCAGAGAAATAGTACAGTTGATGAGGGGGACCAGCCACCTTTTTGTCAACTAAAAAGACGCAATGGCAAAGCTGAACCGGCAGCTAATGCACTCTATTAAGGAGTAAACGAGGAGGGATGGAAATGAAGGTTGGAAAAAACACTTCGAGACGGGTCCAAGGGAGATCTTTTATCTAGAGATCTCGGATGCGGCAAGTTATAAGTCTACGCTACGATCAGCAGCCATGGCATGCATGCTTCTATTTTTTGTTGGAAGCGGTAGGCGGGCCTAGTTTGAACCGGAAGAATATGCGAACATCGGGTGGAGAATACAACCCCGGGAGCAAATCAGTGTCGAGACACGGGTTGTTGGCTGGGTCCCAGACTAAATTTGGGACCTGACAGGGGTGTAAGCACGAAGAGTGACGGACGACAGGTAACCAGGGTCGATCCCCTCAAGTGGCGCCTGCGACTAGCGGATAGTGATCTCTGGTAGGACGACTAGGGTGCCCCATGATCCATGAGAGTTACAGTGGACCTGCACATTATCCCTGCTAGTGTCCAACTGGGAAATCACCAACTCGAGCAGCTCACTTCCATGTACCACCTAGTGCGACTCCAAACACGGCACATTTCGCCGCTGATAGGCTCTTTCTCGAGAACTTAGTTGATTATTGCTTTTTTCTGCATAGTCACCCTCGGCCAGTAGAATTGCTATAATCAGCTTGAAATGGAGATCGGAGGGTCCAAGAAATTCTAATTACAAAGTTCAAACAGTATAACACCGTACATATCGCAATCAACCAACATCTTGAGCGCGTCTTGAATGATTTGATTTTAACGCTTACTGTGGGAGCGGGGTTGTTGGTTGCTTGTTGGAAAAGTAATTGACACCGGCGGGCAGATGATAGGAGGCCAGCCTATCTTTGAGAGTCACTCAATTCACAAGCTAACCTCAAATGGTAGGAGGGATGGGCAGGATTGGCTAATGAGCCCAGAACTAAATGGCTAGCAAAAGAACATGCAGTTTTCGAGTGTGACCAAGAAGCAGTCATTGCATGCCAAGCTTCATTTTCAAGCTTCTCATTTGCTGAGTGATCTCTGGCACTAATGCCGACTAACTTTTAGTGCCATCTGTGTTTTGCAGAACGGTTGAATGACAGCCAACCGTGGGGCCGGGCCGTGCAGAGCTGGGGCCACTAATGCGCCAAGGCTGACGCTCGGACTGTGATAAGGTCACTTCACAAAAAAGGTTCTTAATTAGCAACACTTAAGCGCCTTTCTTCAGACCAATCTTATTTTTACTGAGACTGAGATGTGCAGGCAATTGTTTAAGTTTGACACATCATTCATCCTCAAAACTTCTAATAATAACCTTTTAAGCCATGGTTAAGGGGAATTAGTCCAGCCTTGTACCCATAATTAGCAATAGAAAATCCAAACAGCCATAATTAGTATCAATTCGTGCGGGGTAAGCCATGTCAGCTGTACAAGGTTCTGTCTATGCACCTTCAATCCTCCATTCAGTCAAGCCGGATACTACCTTTGGATATTATTATGCATTCTCCGAGTTAGGAAGGATATTCTCATTCCCAGCTAAATGGCTCCTCTATATTTGGATTGAGGATGATTACCCGTAATTGTTACTGTCCTTAATAATAGACGTAAATCTAAATGGGCAATCAAGTATTTGTGATGGCTTTGGTCACGGAACACGGCACATCACCAATGACGCTATTGGATTGAGAATTACTCTTCCATCCAAGCTGAATCATGTCACTGTCTTTGTAAACAAAGGCAGTATTGACCGCAGTCATGTGCCACTACAGCACGTAGACCAAGATCTATTAACTACCCATATGTGTGATATCTGCGGAAAATGGACTGATAGGTCATACAAAGCCAGAGGAAATGTAAAAGAAGATTAGAGTCAGAGCCGGTCAATTGACCCGCCAGGATGCTCTTGTGTACGGCGGCCAGTACGTATATACTTGTATGCAATCAAGACTGTGCGTGTCGCGTAGGCGGAACCTGTCTACGATTTGCACGTTCATTTCATCGTTACATGTACATATCTGGGGCTGTCTCGTGTCTCCCCAAGGTACAGTGGCATAAGCTTTCTCTTTCTGAAGAGTGTAGAACTAGGGGTGAACTGTAGTCTGGGTGTTGCTGATCCCATCCGCAAAGCAAAGACCGTTGCCAAAACCGATTTCAAGGCCACCTACAGGAGGCACCGCCCAATCAATACGTTATCAAGTGTTGACATGACACCGTCCATGATTGTTAAACTGCATGTGACCTGTTCCTCATGTACGTGCCCCCTGCGCACGAGGGTGTGATGAATCCATCGAGGTCGAGTCTGCTTGCTCATTTCCACATACGAGGGATCCGCCCGATATACGCCAAGGTAACTGCTAGAGATTATACTGATGGCTGATATTGACGTCTTAAAAAATAAGCAAACGGAGCGAAGCCTGAATATCGGTTGATACCGTCTGCTCTGAAATAAAAAAACTAGTCAATAGCCGAACGACAAAACGTTTGGAAGGTCTACCTTATCAGTGTAGGACATCCGGCCCCATACAACGTTCTCATTGATATGAGGCATGAATGGAAATAGCAGAAATAGCATGAAGCTCTTCGTGGCTAGGAAACATATTGGGTATCTCTACTGTGCTATACTGTGGTATCGCTTTGAGATGCTAGATTTCTGCTCCAGTCAGATTACATCCTGAGATGTGGACACCCGTGGCACGTGGGGAATATCACACTTCGCAAAGTACTGGGCAATATGAAAATTTCGAATTCGTCGATTGTAAATCTGCTTACGCCACAGAAACTATTATCCATGCCGGACTAGAAGTGGGATAGTATTTCCAGAGGCAACTGACTTCTTACCCCGAAATGAATATGATGCATTGATTATCGCAAGCTCAGAATAACAGATTTACTTTTTAAACGTTTGTTGACGGTTAAATTAGTGGAATATTTATCGCTTTATCGTGTTCTATAGCCCTACGGATAGTGTCGAGCTTGCAACAGAAGCTTTATAAGTCGGGAGTAACTTGGTTTATTGTGTGAGCACGCGGTGTGATTCATGTTGAATTACGGGGCCCGTCACTTGGGTGCATAAGCCCTCGGACCAGAACCGATCTCAGTGGGCTCGAAAAAAGTAGCACACGGGAACCCAGTTCTACGTCAAGACTGCTGGACGGACTTTCGGTCGATATTGATTTTGACGAAGGCCGACCCGAAGCCCTGGACATCGAGAACACCGGTAGCTACCGCCTGCAGTGCATCAAACCCCCATCATCAAACTACGCTATTCCCGAATTTATTCTGGTATGGTATGGAGCTCAAGTTTTACTGTCGACCACGATCGGTCATGAAATATGAATGGTTCTCCGTGCCACATACTGGAATGTTTGTTATTAAGAACCGTTGAGTAAAGGACTCACAAAAAGTAAGGAAGCCACATATCAAGACCAATCGCTTCGGTGAGACAGCCCGAAGGAAGGAGGATCTGCAGTGTGATAGTGACACGGTCTACTCAACGGAACTTTGAATCCTTCCCGAGTCATTTTCCTGACTCGGAAGAAATCCTGGTCAATATTCCTTAGGATACTTAATTCAGTACATACTGGAATAAAATTAACTGCAGTATCTGGGACGCATTTGCGTCTTTGGCGCTCAGCTTTTGCGGACTCTTTCCTCTTTCATAGTGTTCCAAGTCGAAAGCACTGGAATGCCAATCAAAAATTTTTCTGGCCCCAGCCTCCCCTTGAATGCGCGAGGAAATACCATCAATTTATAAATTTGAACCCGAAACCCCCTACGCGCCAGGATTGCTATTAAGAGATCACCAGCCTGTGCAAGTGTGCCAAGAATATCATCACCGCAGTAGCGCCGTGACGAGCAGCCTCTCACAGACCGCCATCACCCGCTTTCCTCAACCCCTCATGCAGGTTCGATGCCGACTGCATTACGTCTCACCCAACGAGCACGAGAAGGACCCAGTCTTGCCGGATGAACTTTTATTTTTATGGCACCTGTCTCCTACGCTAGTGTTCCAAGTTGGCGTACTGACCACCCAGATGCCTCATCATGGGCGCCTCGCGGTGTACTTACCGCTGAGCCATGTCTCCAGTTGCTGTCCGAGCTGCAACTGCAATTCGCCCAATCCACGAAATCGCCCGAAGCACCTGTTACCGCGCATTTTTACTGGTAGCCCCACGGACGAGCATCGAGTAGACCCAGTTGAGTTACCTTGTACATAAATCATCCAAAGCCCGAACTGCTCAATTATGATAAGTTTCCCCATCATAGCGTTCTTTAACATTTGGTTCCACCCTCATTAACTCATACCACCCAGTCTTATCGAGACGTTTTGGGTTGGTTATCCAACTGTTGGTTCTTTTATTCCTTCATCTGTCTAATGCCAGCAGTCCATTTAGGCTCCTGGCGTGATAACATGGTTTGTTATTGATGAAACTCCCGGTATACCCACTCGGCCGGCTAATAACAAACACAGGACCAGTATGCATACCACATGAACTATCTTATGAACCAAAAGCAGGAGCCGTTACCCTTATTCCCTACCAGGACCGTCATGTCACGACCGGGGTCGGAGGCGACAGAAATATTCGAGGATGAATATGAGTATAACCGCTACAGAAACAGTTCACCTATGAGAAGTGTGGCTTCTGTGAGTATATAAGCGTTGATCTATAATGTGAAAGGTCAAAAAACTAACATTATCTATCCCTAGTTTGGAACCGGGAGCATCTCCACTGCATCTACACCAGACACTGTCACCACACCGGAGTCTACTGGCTTGACTGCTTTTGACTTTCTTTTCGATGAAAAACATACCAGAGGCCCAAATGGCCCTCATTTGTTCCGGTCGTCCGAGTCGGATACCAACTCCGCCATGGATGTAGTTCCGATGGCCCAGGAAACACCCATCAGTACAACCGGCCCGTTTCATCACAGAGCCTCGAAATTCGACCCCTATAGACGGGATACCCCGGTTCCAAACGGCTCAACAGCACCAACCCCTGAGCCCCGGCAACCTGTACAACGCCAACAATCCTCGCACGTTGCTCAGCCAGCTTCCGTGCCTATCCAGATTGAACCTCGTGATTGGACTCCTTTTCAAGTGAAGGGATGGTTGCAAAGCCTCAATTTTGAGGATGATGTTGTTGAGAAGTTTTTCGAAAATGACATCTCCGGCTCCATTATCCTGGATCTCGATTACAATTTCCTCTTCAAGGAGCTCGAAATCAAGTCTTTTGGCAAGCGATACCGCTTGATGAGCTCTATCGATAGTCTCCGCGGCGGTGGTGTGTCTATGAGCAGTGACACCCACTCTGCACGTTCACGCAATTCAAGTGTTGCTAGTGGCATAGAGTCAACCCCAAATACGTCCTATGTTTCAGGAAATGGCCACACATCATACTCGACTGCCGGGAAATATGTACCCGACGCGAAGCCTCGTCCGCGTCGTCAAAGATCCGACAGCGAAGTGAGCAAGAGGAATGACCTTCTTCCTGATGACTCCGTCTCTATCGTGGCGATTGAACAGGGTCTGCCAAAGGTGCACAAGTGCAAGAAAGGAGAAGCATGCAAAACATGGCAGAAACAACAGAAATGGTTTGCACTTGTTGCACAGGACCTGCCGCTTGAGTCTCTCGGGCCCAGATGCATCGTTGCAGGTGACCCAGGAAACCCTAAGACGGCACCAAATCTCCTCAAGTCGCCCATGTCTCAGGTTACTCCCTCGCTTGTCGCATCCTCTGATCTCATGGGGCCTCAACACCCCTCTTTCCAGCTTTCGCAAGAAAGACTGAAAGAAGTGCAACCAAGGGACCCTCAGGAGAATGTGCGAAACTTCTTGAACTTCCAAAGTCTTGACCGGTTGCAGACAGTTGATCAGCCAGCCACTCCCCCAACTGACCATCTTTCATCCCCTGGATCTAAGTCCCCCGACTCGGCAAAGATTACACCTACGCTGGCTGATCATCTTCGTCACTTGCCGAAACTCCGAATTCCTAGTATGCATGACTCCAGTGAGGGCTCAGTCATCACGGAGAACATGTCGGCTTTGCGTACTGTCACGCCTTCTATTCTGTCTAGAAGAAACCAGTTCAATGACAGGACCGCTATCCCTGGGGAACAGCAGTCCTTTTCAAGCGGAGCTATCGCGTCTCCCGGGGACTTCTATAGACGCGATCCTTGTTATCGCTCGGAGACCCCTCTTTCGGATATTGACGTGCCAGTGACTGCCGTTCCGATAGGTCCAGTGGCACGAGAAGATTCTCAGTCAGTGCCACCCAACATGCGGTTCGGAAACGAAAGATATATTATGGCGGATCCAATCATTCGGCCATCCTCAAGCAAAGCGGAAGGTCATCGGCGGTACCCTTCTATTCATGATGTTGCCACCCTGAACCCTCTCAAGGAGGGGTATACCATGAGTCCAATCGAGACTCCAGAGGACCTGCAAAACACACCTCGGGCACCTCAGTTCCGCAACAACGCCTTGTTCCCCTCTACTAGACGAGGAGAAGGTGACGTGACACACAGTGGGTGGATGAAGAAGCGCAAGACCACCAAATTGATTCGTCATGATTGGGAAGATCACCATTTCACTCTGAAGGGAACTCAGCTTGCAATGCACGACAATGAAGCATCTGCCCGGCTGGAGTCCAAGGCCCTCGAGTATATCGATGTCGATGACTATGCAGTCGCTTGTTCCTCATTTGCCTCGAGGTCTAAGCTTACGGCGGCATTCAAAAAGACTGTCCTCAAACGAAATGAAAACCCACTTAATGCGTCGGCCTTTCAGTTCTCCTTGATTCCTACACCCAACGGTAGCGCTATTATTGACCGAAAAACTTTGTTTTTGAACAGTGGAAAATCACACCACTTTTCTGTCAAGACCCGCGATCAACGCATTGATTGGATGCGAGAGCTTATGCTGGCCAAAGCTCTCAAGCGTGGTCGAGACACTGGGGCTGAGGTCACTTTCAATGGGGCTAACATGATTTAAGCTCTGTGACTAAAGGGTTGGTATGCTATCTACGTATTTTACTCCTCTCATTCTTTATGACTCCACATTCACTTTGTTTCTGCGATACCCGTGGTTAGATGACCAAGAGTATATAACATTACTTCTTCCCCCATCTTATCCCTGCCCGATGAATTTTGCTCAATCTACGACATGTATTGCCACGAGTTTCCTTGAATGTTGCTCTTTCTCATTATTCTTTCTTGTATGTTACGATATCTCCTTTTCTACTAGTAGTTAGAGTGAGAAGGATACCCGGCAGATCTTAGAGAACTCTCGCAGTCTTCGCCTCCTCAGAATGATTATAACGTTTCTCGCGGAAGAATGATTCTTATCTGTCTAGTATAGTACTGTGTATAGCTTCATAGATTGCACATTATAAAAAAATCCTGTTTAACTAGAATGCTGGTTCCAGACGATAGAAACTCAGCCGCAGCGGTAAATCGATAGAAAACCAACACTGGATGTGTCTTGAACCGGTATACTCAGCCCCTGCTAATAATGTGTTTTTTAGCGGTCAGTGTGCTATTCTGCATGGATGAGAGGATATCACACTCTCAGCGGTTAAACGACTATCCTGAGTGGACAACTCCACCTGGGCATCACCACGTCGTGGAATGCGGGCGCTAACGCCCGCCCAGTCCCCCGTTATTCGTTGATAAATCCTGCATTCGTGGCTTTAACCTGTGTGAGTCCCCGCTCGTATCGCTATGAATCAAAATATATGTAGTTTTAATTGACCAAAATTATCATGTCTTACGAATCAACACTGCTATAGTCTGTTTCATGTAGCGCCCATATTAGACGTTAGCGCTATAGGCACGTCTTATGGCTCCATGTCTCTTTTCTTTGTGCATTCTACCAAACATCATGCAGGGGCCCCTCACATGCCCCCCTCCAAAGCTAGCAATACACTCTAACCCTACAGAGAGTGGTGCAATGCCACGAGATTAACAGCGGATCGACTTGCCCCAGCTATTCCAAGCGGCTTTCGAAACAAGCACACACCGCGTGCCTCTTCGAGTCGCACTATTTTTGTTTTCTAATGCTATTAAGTATGTTTGCTTGGTGTCTCTTAATTCTTTAAGCTATAGGTTTATTGTCCGCTTTATGAAGCCTCCAGCCATGGTCGATGGCCCAGTGATTCGAGGTCGCCTTACCCGAGTTTCTCGGTCCATCCGGGCGGTCATGCGCTGCCTGGGTGGAAACAGAGAATCTCAAGATGGGGCACAGCGAGCGATGCTGCTTTTGTGTGAGCTTCTTGATTTACTTAGCCGACTTCAAGACCAACTGAACTGGGCAGAGGACAAATGGGTCGTGGATCCATCACGTCTACGTAACCTCGATGAGGTACTCCGTTCGTTCGAGTCAACCATTGGGTCAATCGAGATCTACTTTCAGCCTGGTGGTATCACCGCTCGCTCATTTAGGAAGCGTTTACTGGAAAACACATTCATTCCTAGGCTGGAGCAGTTTAAAGTTATGATGCTCTTATCCATGCAACCTGAGTCTCGGTATGATTTACCCATGTTAACACTGATATGCTTTATGAAATAAGGCTGACTTTCACTTATTATGAGTAGGGAGAAGGCAAAAGTCGAGGACAAACTCCGAAACGTACTCCGTCGCTTTCACGAAATGGACCATAGTCAGTTTAAACATCCTGCTCGCCTTTGTCCTCTAACTAAACCCCAAACTCCTAGACGGGATAAGAGCAAGCACACCAGACGCCAATGAGTTCCACGCTACTACGAGCCAAATCGCTACCAAGAGCTTTATGAGATTGGCAGATCTTTGCAACAAAAGGCTTAAGGGAACATGTGAATGGATATTTGACAATGACACGTACACAAAATGGCTTTTTGGATGTAGCAGGACCCTTTACTGCGTTGGACCAGGTAAGCTCTCCTTTGAGATCCCCCAGTCAAACTAAACCCACAGCTAATGCTTTTGATAGCGGGCGCTGGAAAGACTTTTCTTGCGTTAGTCTACCAAGGAACGGTTAAGGCTTGGCCATACTAACAGAGTTTAGATCCACCATTATCGACAATCTACAGAGAACGTTTACATCTGCAGACGTAGCGGTCATTTTTATTTTCGGTCATGATGAGGCGGACGAAGAGACGAGCTCTGTGGGGTTCCTTGATAAAATCCTTGCGCAACTTGTGTATCGGAAGCGAGTACCATCTCACCCTACTGCTTGCTTGTACAAATCCAAGTCTTTCGCCGAGGGAAACGTGTCAGCAAAGACATACCAAGATGCTATTCGCGCTGAGGTTAACAGATTCTCTCGGGTCATGTTCGTCATTGACGGAATCGATATGCACGTGGAGAAAGACCGCATTATTAATCGCCTTCAAAAACTGCCGGATCATGCACAGCTTCTTATTACCTCACGCGAGGCAAAATATGGGTCCAAAGACGAACATGTATCTGTCTTGGCTACTCCTGGGGATCTTGAAACCTATGTCTGCGCCCGCATTGACCAGGACGAAAGTTTGACTGCCATGCTGGACCAATACGCGCCTGAATTGAAGGTCGCTGTTATTCAACAAGTTGCCCGGAAGTCGCATGGTCTGTGAGTGAGAGGCTTTTCATTTACAACAGATTTTTTTGGGTACTGACACTTTTACTTTGTACAGGTTTTTATTGGCTCGGCTGAATATGGATCTTTTATCTAGGTGTCAAGACGGAAACCTACTACAACGGTCACTTTTTCATTTACCTGAGAATCTAAATGACGCTTATGGCGAGTCGATGACCAGAATTATCAGCCAGAATCCCTTCGCCAGTCGCTGCCTATATTGGACATTATATGCCCAGAGGCCTTTGACTGTCTCGGAACTAAACTTTGCGGCAAGCTATGAAGTAAATGGGAATAGCGCCTCGAAGGAGCCCTCATCAACCGAACATTCCATGCTCTATGAGGCTGCTGGACTATTGACAATTGATGCTATGAGTGGAACAGTTCACTTGGTGCATAAGACAGCCAAGGAGTATCTAAGTGGACCAGCAGCTCGAGTGTTCTTCCCAACTGCCAAAGTGAACATCGCCGATGTCTGTCTCACAATCATCACCCCCGACGATGTTATTGATGACTGCTATGTTAGCAAGGAAGCTATACCTCGCAAGCCCCGGGGAAAGCTGCTCAACTACGCTACAACCTACTGGGGTCACCACGCTGGCGAGGTCGGCGAAGATGAGCAAGCGACGCAGGTTCTCATTCGGGCTTTCCTCAATAAGCTGTCCTGGAGAAGACCCCCTGGAACAAACTCTTGTGCCCCCGGGCTTGAGATGCCGAAGCAGCTGGGCCTCGGGAAATATTTCTCCGACTGGGCCTCTCTGCATGTGCTCGCCTACTTTGGCATTATTGGAAAGGCAAGACGCTTGATTGAACAAGGTGCAGATATTAATGACTGCGATAATCAGCTCGGTGTCACTGCACTTCACTGTGCAGTCTATCGAGGCAATGAAGAGATGGTTGATTTGCTCCTTGCCTCTAAAGCCAACATAAATGCCATCTCCAAAGACGGTAAAACGGTGTTGCATATTGCAGGGGAGCAAGGACATCGAAAACTGGTCAAGCTTTTGCTTCATCGAGGTGCAAACTCTAGAACAGCCAGCAAAGAAGGAGCGACAGCTCTTCAACTAGCTGTTGGGACAACCCATGATGAAGCAACTGTCCCCCTCCTGATCAAAAGTCGGTTTGATATGGATGTTCAAAATACAGCCACGGGTAATACGGCTCTTCATTTAGCAGTCGAATTGAAGCGACCGCGCATACTTGCGTTCCTTCTCGAAAAAGGGGCTAGCATGAACATCTTAAACAGAGATGGGATGACGGCACTGCAACTCGCTTGCAAAACCGACAACTGTGAGGCTGCTTCTCTGTTGCTCGAACGTGGCACTCAGTTGGAAACTCGCTCGTCCTATGGGATGACTGCTTTGCATATCGCCGCATTGGAGAACAACTGGGTAGCATTTGACATGCTGGTCATTGGGGGTGCAGATATCAATGCATGGGATAGTGAAGGCGAGTCCTTACTTCACAAGCAAGCCCGCGACCCATCTGCAATTTCTGTTGCTGCACATCTACTTGCACAAGGTGCAAATCTCGAGGCCTGTAACTCTCAGGGATATACACCCTTACAGTGCGCTGCTGCGGCTGGAAACAAAGCAATGTTCCTGTTCCTGGCAGACCAAGGGGCAAGACTTGATGTTCAAACCGCAAAGGGAGAGACTCTTCTTCATATCACACCCCCTCTGAACCAAGACTGCCTTGACATTCTGGAATCACTGTTTGAATGTAACTTCAGTGCCAATGCGACAACCTGTAGTGGCTTAACGCCTCTGCACCATCTTGTCATCAATGATTTCAATTTGTCAGATCACTCGACTGAGCATACTGCCAGTTTCATATCATTACTTTTGTCCCATGGTGCAAACATCAATGCCCCAGTGGCCTCTTGCAATGCCGAGACGGCACTTCATTTGGCAGTGATTGCAAAAGTCCCGCGCGAATCACTGGTGTCGCTACTCATCAAATGTGGCGCGTCGCTCGATTCAAGAACTTCCGATGGAAAGACACCATTACACTTGGCTGCTGAACGAGGCCGACATAACATTTTCCAAATCTTGTTAGATGCAGGCGCGGATCCTTCAATCCAGGACTTTGTGGAAACCCCAACCAACGACAAATTAACGGGTGGTGGGCTTACTGCGCTTGACCTGGCGCGCAAGAACCCTATTAGTGTGCTTTGGTTTGACGATTCAGGCAAACTACAGTCTCCGCCGCCGCCGCCGATGCAGCAGCGCAGGAGCCTAGCGACAACCATTGACGAGCTCGATACTGAATCCGAAATTGGTGAGATAGGAGGATCAACGTTGGTTGGTGAGGATAGCTCGATTTGGGGATCAAGAGCATCAACTACTTCTGTTGATCTTCCGTCTATTGTTTCTTCATGCTAAGATACCACTTGTCGTCTTTTCTTTCAAACATTCTTTTTATCTTCATATATATTTCTCTGTTCACATAAGCGACAGCGTTGCTTTTCTTTGAGTCACGTTCTTTTTGCAAAGTTGTTCCTCTTGTTCATTTCCATTGGTTTGACAGTGACACGTAAACAGAATCACGTTGAGACTTCGAAAACTCTACTTTTTATTACTTCATGTTGTTTCGTTCTTCCAATATTGGTTATTTCTCTCTGGGACTTCTTCAACAGCTCTCAAGTATCGCCTTATATGGCTATTAAGCCACGGCTACAATGAGTTTCTCTCTGCAACGGCGCCAGTCGGTTCACCTGAAAATCGCAGCGTTGTGGCCCCTATTTAGAGGTTGTTAATTGGTGTTCTAACTGCCGGTTGGACTTGGCTGTCCTTGCTCGGCTCTCTCTGTTACCTGCGGGTCCGTTCTATTAGCATACTTCCCTAGACACAATAGACACAATGACATAGTAAAAGGCGATACAATGACCAAGAGATGATTTGAAATGTATGCCCGAAGCCTTAAACACCAGAGCTTTAATATGTACAATAACCAAAGGTAGCGCCAGTGCGCCAAACAAAAGCAAAGGTGGAAAGTGAATCGCTGAAAGAAATCTTTAAAATGACAACACAGAACTGAAAGTCAGGTCAAGAAACAAAATAATCTACGATCTGCGCCGACCACCGTCGTAACTGCTGGGGAACAATGGCAGCGAAGGATCCACCACATCGTTATAGGGTCTCCTGGCAGCCATTGAGACATCCTCATCACTGGGGGGAGCAGTGTGAGCGGCAGGGAAGTTCGGGTGAGCCTCCGCATCCTCGCCTCTTGCGACTTTCTCGAGGTGGTCCAGCTCAGTTGTCCCTCCAGTTCGAGACCAGCGGAATGAGTCACGGTCATCGGCCAGAGGTCGGTATTTGGCGTCGGGCGTCTTGGAGAAGACTGCGTAGGCCATGCCAACCAGGAGGTATATGAGAAGCGCGAGAGTGAAAACAGCATTGAAGATGAAGTATAGCACTCCCAGGATGCCTGTCATGAGCGTGGGCTGGTTGAAAACGTTCGAAAACACCAAGAAAAAGATCGCGTTGAGGGAGTTAAGCACTGTCGCAATGATTGCAAAGACATTTGCTCCCTTAGTCATGAATGGCTTGATGATGCCGGTTGCGAGCATCATTGCAAGTTCCAAGATTAGGAGAACAATAGATTGGGCAATTCCGTTAGACTGACCAAAGGCGACAACCATTCCCTTGACGACGATGTAGACGAGGGCAGGAACGAGGAACCAATAGACTGGGGCACGATAGTAGATGTAGAGGAAGCCCCACTTGTTCAGTGTAGCTGGGTCGGAATACAGCGTATAGGCGGGTGTGTTGTGCTGCTGCTTAGACCGAATCGCGCGTTGGAAAATCTTGAATGCAGCGAAGGCCAAGACGCCGGTCGTCACCAGCCACATGGTAATGGCTAGAACGATTTCCGCAGCAGAGTCCTTTTGGGTCAGTTCCCATAGACAGAGCACACACATCTGGGGATATCCAATGCACGCAAGTCGGAAGAAAGTATTCCGCAGGACTGTCTTCCAGTCTGCGGTGGCACCGACGGCCTTCTCCAATTTCGGAATTGAGGTCGTTCTCTTGGACAGAGCGAAGCGGACGACCAAAGCGATCCCGACACAAACGAGGACAAGTGCTGTAACAAAATAGTAAAAGAGATATCCAGTCATAAAAATGTTGCTCAATGTGATGGATGCTCGTGCTCCAGCCCGCTTAATGCCGCGCAAGACGATTTGACTACCTGACTGAATGGCGCGCGCCTGGATAGATGAGCGCTTCTGCAGGACGACCGAGACAGTATCTGATTCGGAAAGCACGGACGAGGGTGTACCCCCCGTAGCGCGCTGGAACCAAGTCGAAATCGTCTCCAGAGCCTCCGCTTGGACAATACCTATGCTCCAAACAGTATTTTGGATCCACGATTGCGCCATCGGTGGAATTTCCACAGCTATCAACCCTCCCATTGCCTGGGATTGAATGAAGCCAAGGAAAGCCAGCGATCGGAAAGCAAGATGGGTCGCAGTGTTGGAGTGGCCGAGAAGTGAAAGAACCGTGGAAGCAATGAGGCCTAAGCCAGCGATGACGGCCAGTGTCCATGACACGCCGGCTTGGTAAACAGATTTTCCATTCTGCAAACGGGTTTCCAGACAAGCGACACTCCCTCCAGACTTTTTGTTCAAGTTGATGCGAACTACCGCATCGATGTCAGGGACGGTGTAGGTGATACCTATGACGCAACCGTTAGTAACAACAAAATTTGGTAGACTGCCGCTGAGCCTCTAGGTTAATCAAACAAACCTGGAATTTGAGAAAGTACGCCCTTATTAAAGGTGTAGGTGAATTTGGGAATTTGCAACTCGATCGCTTTCATCGGGCAAAAGACATTCAAGTCCAGGCTGCATGGGTCAATCCGATGCGAGAGTGCCTTGTACCCGTACGCTAAGACATCGATGTCCAAGACAACATCTCCGGCAACCCCAGAATATCCATCGAATACCAGGCTCACTGAGTTGTTTCCAGGCGTGAGCACCGCACTCAGGTGGTTGATTGTGATCTCGGAGTTATCGGCTCCGTGGCATGCCGTAAGACCGTTGGCTTCAATGAGCTGCTCTGCATGCACCAGATGGAATAGAATGAAGAGAATACATCCTCCCAGGCTGGAGGTCGACAATTGCATGGCGACCAAACGAGTGTGCGTGAGGAAGAAGGTGAGGATCGTGAATCTTTTCTTTGGCGGATTTCCCTGATATCATCACACTCCACAGTACGACGTAAGCGCTAGGTGGGCCCAGGCGATCGTCCCAGCTGCGATTTGAAACAATTCCTTCTCAAGGCAACGACAATTTGCATGGCTTATATTGCTAATTGTAGGAGTTACATTTAAATGCGATCGTCCTGATATACAGATCTACCGAGTACGAATTCCCCTGGCCATGAGGCTGCTGAGTGCCAGCCTTTCCGACGCTGCCACACCAGCCTTCAAGCCCAGGACGATCATATCAATATTGAGTGCATTTGGGATCAGCCAATCTGGTTTTGGCGGTCTGCTTCCCCCAGGTGGCAACTGTCTAGGGTCCAATGCAACAATGTTCCAGTTCGGGCGCCAGCATACCATTTTACCCATGGAACGCTACACCAATGAGGGGAATGTCTCAGTCTAAAGCCGCTTACACATCCGTTGACCGATTCACCAACGCTTTCCTTCATACTGTATACGAACACAGCCTTTCCGTGAGCTTCCAGATTGGTCGCCTATCATTGCTGTTTTCGGCAGCAGGATCTGACCCCACTAAAATTAGAACAAGGGCTCGATTTGCAACTGTTGCCATATCTCATTGGCCAACCTACTACAATTGGGCCACTACAAATGTTCTCACTTGCCCCAGATGGAGAGGCTGTACATGTATGTATCTGGAGTTGCGGACCCTGGGCCTTCTGTGTCCCGCTACACGCGTACTACATATGGACCCTGCAATCCTCCTCGAGTCTCCAGAAGGTCTGGAGCCAAGCTTATGCTCCACAGAGCCAACCCTCCCAGCCCCGTTCCAGCCCCGCTACAGCACCAGCCACGCTATAAGGATATGGCCGGATGCATGTGTTCATGACAGCTCAAGATGTTCGGTCGCACATACAATTGAACAAGTGGAATCCCTGTTGATGGTCCCTGGTCCCTCGCATTCAGTATATCTCAAAATAGCCGGCCAACATGCTTGCAGAGCAGGCATAGTATAGTGTTCAGGTCAGCAACACATCTTCGGCATCTCACTTAATGTCTTCGTCGGCATTCTTGGCTTCGGAGGTCTGGTTGCAGCTTCTCCAAAAACCACGGGCAGCCAACGGACTCTTTCTCATTGCCCACGACAAACTCAATCTGTCATTTATCTTTGCAATGCTAAAGTGCTGATCTATGCCGTGTCGGGGGTTGTGTGGCATGACGTAGCGATCTGCTATAACCTTGATTTCACAGGCATGCACACGGGATATGTATCAACTGGAAGACGATCAAAGGGAATTGTTTACTCCAGATGATATCACACGTAGTCAGAGGGGTGGATAAGTACATATCTCTGCCCACTGACGCCCGCGCGGGAATGCTCCATCAGACGTGTCACCAGCAAAGCAAACTTCTATAACATCATTATTTCAATGTCATGGGAGTTTCCTATGGCTACCATAAATCGCTCGCTTCATTCCTTCGTCTCCTCGTGAAGCCCCGACTCCACCTAAACCCCAAACCCGACGAGGTAGCCCTTGTCCCGTCGCGAGACGACGGCCAAACCATCAAGACCCATATCTACAAACCAGCCACCCAAACCGGCCCAACCCCCGTCCTGATCAACTTCTGCGGTAGCGGCTTCGTCCTTCGCACTTTCGGTTCTGATGACGAGTACTGTCGCTTCGTCGCAGACAATGCCAACTACACCGTAATCGACGTACAATATCGCCTCGCCCCGGAACATCCCTTCCCAGCAGCTTTCCACGATGCCGAAGATGTAGTGAACTGGGTACGGTCGCAACCCGATCGTTTCGATCTTACGCAGCTATCGCTCTCTGGATTCAGCGCGGGTGCCAACATCGCCTTGGCTGTGGCATCTGCGTCAGAGCAGTTCAACCCAAAACAAGGGATATTCGACACGGTCATCTCGTTCTACGGGCCGATGGATATGTCCCTTCCCACACCAGAAAAGCCCCAGGCAGACCGCTCAAATTGGATCATGCGCGATATATTCCCGCCCTTCTCCCATCTGTGTCATAAATGTCTCAATCTGGGTAGAGTCGATCCTAAGGATCCGCGTATGTCGCCTATCTTGGCGGATCCAAACAACTTCCCAAACAAGACATTAATAATCACAGCTGCGCAGGATCCTTTTGCTATTGAGGCTGAGGAGCTGTCGAAGAAGTTGAATGATACAGATGGGAAGGTTTCGGTGTGCGAACGGATGGAGGGGTGCGCTCATGGGTGGGATAAGGAGGCTATTCGAGGGACGTCGCAGTGCGACGCGAAGGATGAGGCCTATCAATTGGCCGTTAAAATTCTGCGGCAAAAGGAGAGTGGAGCGGTGCCGAGTGCTGTATGTTGATGTTTGCTACGTTCTCATTTGATACCCGATAAACAAATACTAGACAAATACATCTCAAAACTTCAAAAGAGCGCCCGACTAAGTATATTAAAGTACAAAGAGACACAGGGCACATCATCTAACAGTTCATAGTTAAAAGAGAGTGGGGGGAAAGGGAAGAGAGACGGATCCTTGAGGAAGCACGCAAGGTATCAACCTGAAGCATCATTCTCATCGACTATCTATTCTATCCTGAGGCCTAAGCTCTTTGACATCCTTAGGGTGTTGGTGGCTGGCCTGGCTCTAATTACGCAGTAGAATGATGGAATCCTCCAAATATTGCTGATGACATATATTCTCAAGCAGGCCATTGTGCGGTCGACTAAGTGCCTCTTCAAAGTCACTTTATCTTTGTTAGGCTATAGGAATCTGTTGCCTACCTCGGATTATACAAGGAATTGCAAATATAACGTTAGGAGCCATCAACAGGAAAATAATACTGAAAGGGAAGCATATAGGTAAAGAGGAAACTTCATCTCGAGATTCCGCAAGCCTGAAGCGGTCAGGAAGGCCCCAAGGAGTCTCCATAGTGTCGGGATCCTTCTCGGATTAGCGACATCTACAGCGATGTTTCGTGAAAAAGAAGTTGAATAATAAATAGTGATTCATGAAAATGCGCGTCAATGGATGCAACGTCTATACAAAATCGTAGTCGTATGTACAACCTGTGGTCTATAAACCACTCTATCTATAAACTATTTATCTATAATCATATCGCTCATTTCTGCTGCTCTTCGTCTGAAGTACCAGCAGTGTTCTCTTGGTGGTAAGCGCTCTCCTTGACATCGTAACGGAATTGCTCCTCCTCGGCGGCGAGCTGCTCCTTGAGCATCTTGTTTGCGCGCCAGATAGGCTTCTGCTCGAACAAACGATCGACCTTCTCCAGAGGAATACCACTTGTCTCAGGGATAAGGAAGAAGGCGAAGAAGAATGCCAGGAAGGACAGGGAGGCGAAGAAGAAGTAGACACCGTAGTGCATCGCCTCGAACATCTGCTCGGTAAAGCGAGAGATGAGGAAGTTGAAAAGCCAGTTACTGGCAGTGGTTGCGGCCTGGGCCAGGGAACGGAAGTTAGGGTCGAAGAACTCCTGTTGGTTTCGTTAGAAGGAACTCGAAATGATTGATGGCAAGGATTGGTAACTTACGGAGTTGATGACCCAAGGGGTACCGTTCCAGGTAGGGGTGTAGACGGCAGTCCAGAGGTAGAAGAAGAAGATAGCCGCGATACCACCGCCGTCGAGGTGAGAACTGGGGTTGTCTTCGGGCTTGACGACACAAATGTAGGCACCGATAACCCACATACAGATTGATCCGGTGATACCACCAACAAGGAGAAGGTTCCGTCTTCCGAATTGATCGACCAGGAACAAGAGCCACACAAACGTCATGATAGCCTTAATCACACCGAAAATACCAGTCATAAGGTTGACAGTGTTGGAGTCGACACCGATCTAGGAATCGAAGTTAGAATTGAAGAAGATTTATAGCGAGTGGAGTGTACACATACCGATTTGAAGATAGTTGGAGAGTAATAGTTGATGGCGTTGATGCCAGAACCGTTCTGCCAGAAGAAGAGCATACAGCCCAGCACCAGACGGTACATGACACTCTTATTAGAGGCGAGAGCCTGGAAAGGCTTCCAGAAGCCAATACCAATGGAGCTTCTCTGGTATTCAAGGGCCTGATCAATGGCGGCAACCTCTTCAGAGATGTAAATGTCGTCGGCGTCTAATTGACGAATCCAGCAGAGGTTCTCCATCGCCTGACGGCGGCGGTCCTTCAGGAAGAGCCAACGAGGAGATTCCTTGATCCACAAGGCACCGGCGAAAAGCAGACCGGACGGGACAAGCTGAATAGCAAATGGAATGATCCATTGCTCATGGTCCTGAGGCATGTGTTGTTCAACACCGTACTATCAGATTTAGGTTAGCTTGAATGCAAAGACGGCACAAACACCGAGGAGATCGGCAGGGCTAGGGGACCCACGTTGATCCAGAAACCAAGCATACCGCCAATCTGCCAGCCGAGCTCGTACAGACCGACAAGCCGACCTCGGATCGCAGGTGGAGCCAGTTCAGAGAGGTAAATAGGGATAATGTTCGATGCCACGCCGGTTCCTAAACCAGACAACACACGGCCACCGTATAGAATTCCTAGTCCTCGAGAAGAATTGGCACCCAGTTGTAGTCCAGATCCGAGAGTGAAGATGGCGGAAGCAACAGCCAAGCACCACTTGCGGCCAACGAAGTGACCAAGGGCGTATGTGCCCAGGGCACCGAAAAAGGCCCCGGCAATGAAGAGAGAGACAATGTTCTCGCTAATTAAATCTTGCTGGGCAGATGACATCTTGTCGATACCGAATTCTTTCTGGAAAGATGACAGTGTGATAGTTGTACCGATGAAGGCACTGGTATAACCGATCATGTTGGAACCACATGATGCGATGGCGGCAAGAGCATAGACACGCCAATTGTAAACAGACTTTGGCGTTGGCCGATCCTCGTGAAGTGTGAGAACACCCATGGCTGTAGTTGTAACAGCTCGAGGGAAGGTGAATAAGGAGGTGAGGTGGGTGGGAGGAAAAAATTTGATCGGAGATGGAAAGAAGAAAATGGGTCGAAAGGTGCAGGAGATGGGTCCCTAAGTAATCTCTGCTATTCTAGTGGAATTGTGGATGTGCAAATTCCCCAACTAAGTGCTCTCCACAACACACGTCGCCTATATCCCCATAGACGGGGGCAATATGGGGTTTGAAGCTATGATAGAGGGATGATTACAGATGCACGGTGATGTGGGAACGTTGGCCGGGGTAGCGTTTTCCCCGGACAAAACATGGAAACATTCAGCCGGCAGCAAATGAGCTTCAGTATATATCTGACCCGGAATCCTCTTTCCTGGATGAAATCATAGAAAGAACAGGAATTCTTTTATCAATATTTCCCTATATATTGGATGCTCAATCCTAGACTTAGTCCCAAAGACTGACTATGAATAGCAGATATGCGGCATTCTTGCGTTGGAGACAGTGCGTTGTGCGTTTAGCCGTCTGAGCAGTATGGGGGTGCCGGTGAAGGCCATCGCCACCGAGTTATGCGTGGAGAAATTTTGTGTCCCCGGGTCAGACGGAATCTTGTCTAAGGTAGTGTGGAGAGGTATAGCGAGGTCCGCTTGTTAAGTGAATACCCCGAGATATCATTTCCCCAGCTGTTCTGCATAGAAGTAAGAAAGACAAGGCCCACGGGGGAGAACCCTTAACCACAACTGTGGAGACGGCAATTTGCCGAGCTCTCATTGGGAAGGTCTTGGGGCCGGAAGAAGGGTTAAAAGTCTGAAGGGAGCACGCTAACCGCTTCAGTAAGTAATTTAAAGGTCACGTGCCTATACTTGCATCTGCATCTCAACACATTCCCACCATTATCATTGGTACATGTTGCGTACGTACATCCCTTGCATCATAATTATTATCTCTTGCCTCTATGGGATTCCACAATCCCACAGTTTTTCCCCCGGAAATGGCGGCACCGGCCCCCACTGCTCCGTTTGATAAGCTCAACCTAACTGTACTAAACGAAACTCCGGGGTTTCCGGGGTTTGACTCGGACTGTTGACAAATGAGATCTGAGGAGTGAATAAACCGATTCAACAAAGTGACATATAGTCATTTAGTCTGTGTGATGTTGCCGTAGTCATGTCAATATCAACACTAATATACTTTCTCGGGCCGGGTCGGCTTGGAAGTAAGCCACCCCGGTTCGGGCTTGGTACTTGAAAGGAGTCGACAAAATCGGCATCAAGACCGTATCCATATTTGGACTCGAAAACCCTACCTAGGTCAAGACTGCTGACACATTTCAATATGTCAGGACCCACCAGGCCGGTGATGACACGGGGACGTTCCGAATTGATATTCCTGGTTTCATCGTTCAGAACGTAGCATGAGGATGTTCCGGATACCGTCAAACTTCGGTCGGGGTTGCTTGTACTCGCTAGAACTTTCTGTGCGTTCGGTTCTCCTCACTTCGACAGGCACGAAATACACTTCTTGCAATTGAGCCGGCAAGGGACTTTGTGGCGTGGAGATGCGCAAAGGTACTGTATGTCTTGGCCAGCATGGGCCATGGTCTGCTGATCGCCTCAAAAACTGGCACCATGACCTGCGGCATTTAACCCTCAACCTCTAGATGAGTTATGAGCTAGCACCTCTGCACTTGAACTCCATTTTCCTGTCTGCATCACTTGCAGCTGGCCAGACGAAAGCTAATGAAATTTGGGTTTTCAGCAGTGTACCCCCCTATCGATTGTTTTCAACAGCGAGACCGGACCTTGAGTTGGTCTGTGCCTGTATGATCACAAGTTGACAAGAGGGCACTCCGGCACAGCGTTTGGCCATTGCCACTGCAGCGGCAGTTCGTAAACAAGACGACGTGGAAGAAGGTTCTATTGAAAAAATCCTTGGCACGGCCTGCAATTAATCTTGTGGGGATTTTCCCGCCAAGGTCGGAAGTGATGTGAAGCGCATGCAGCACGGCCTCGCAGCTCGGAACCGGATATCCGTAGCGGTACTGGCAGAACTAGAGCACATCGGCATCCAGATTGTGTCTGAAAAGCCATATGGAGGCTTCATGCCTACCTTCGGGTGGTAGAAACCGCCATGACTGGTACTTGAGGTTACTAAATGTCTGGGCGAAACTTGGCAACTGGACAACATCTGTGTCAATCTATGAGATTCTACGGTTGGGAATCACTACAACACCAATGCGGTTATTGCAACGCAAAATGTGTGTCCGGGAACCTTTCAGGCTTGGCTGTACTGCTCGCAAAGAGCTAAAAATGATACTCGAAATACCTGCTAAGCATGGCGGGCGGAAAGCTTCTCAACTCTTTTCCGCCGTGGGGGCACAAGATGCTTGGACCTGCTATATATTGTTGTCCGGCATGTTGACGGCAGTCGCTCATCAAAATAGTTTTGGCGTGAGCTGCTTGGCAGGTTTCATCTGGAGTCGTGCCAACAAACAGGATGTCTTCGAGCGACTAGGTATTCTGAACAATGTGCCACGGTCGTTTGGGTTAGAGTTGCTAAGTAAGATGATGCATCAGACCTTTAGAAGCCAAATGTCAATAGAAATGTGGCAGAGAAAGTCAGACATTCTACTGTGATGCTTGTTGATGGTTGTTGATGGTTAAGAAGACGATTTGAAGGTCCGGGATTCAATACGGATATTTCGAAGGAGAAGAGTATCTTCGATGTCTGATGGAGTTTCTGATCCATTTAGGTAGAATTGGTAGAATTTCTGTGGAAGGTAGCCATAGCCCTCGCGTTGAGCTACAATATGGAAGTAGATGGACTGAGTGTGGATGGCCTGAGGCATCAAATCCTAAGGCATCAAATCCTAAGGCATCAATATCCTTGTGTTTTGCCTCAGGCAGAAACACGTGCAATCAACCTTCTGCGTTTTTCTAAGTCGCGCGGTGTCAACACAAACCAGCAGTAGCTTTGAAAGGGCCAACAGCTTGATCGAGCAAACCAGATATATCCGGGAGTCGTGGCTGGTTCTTCCCATAGGATTCTGCGCATACCTGATCTCCCCGACCATGACCACATCTAAAGCGGGGCAATAGTCTGCGAAGCTCAGCAGCGCGCTTTCGGCCATTAAACACTAAGGTATGGCGATGTTGAAACCACAAGAAAAGATTGCTGCATCTCAGGGGGACCAAATATATACTGACTGATCAGCAGAAACGCAGCAGAGTCACCTCATTCGCCAGCAGATTTTCAGGATGGAGAACCGGGTGACTCTTGGCTCTATCCAGAAGACCGTCTGGGACGGGCGCATCCCACTGGAAATTGCCCTGGCATCATCGGAAAGTCGAACTTTTGATCAGACTGATCCATACCTCGTATGTCCCCTCAAACACTCAGCACGACAGGACGCTAACCCCCTCCGTGAGATCTCATACCCACGCATCTCATATCTCCCCTCGTTGCTTCCTAAGCTTCGAGCATTTTTCTCGAACTCATTAATAGAACCAGACTCCCAGCCACATGATGGTTGGTTCGAATTCGAGGGAGTGCCTCTGAAGTGGCATTATCCAGTCGGCCTGTTATTTGACCTTTATGCTGGAGCGGACCCTGCTTCAAAGACTACCTCAGTAGGTGACGAGTCCCCAGAGAGAGTTTCACCATTACCTTGGAAATTGGTAGTGCATTTCAGAGACTGGCCGGATGAGGAACTTGTGCGGCTTGACGCCGATGGTATGGTCATGAACGATGCCTTCATCAACAGCGTGAAGGAGGCGGATTTCCTCCGAAACGGCACAGCAAAAGGCATCATGAGCCTTTCGAAAGAAGACTCATCGGGACTTTGGAAGGCCGTCGAAGATGGTACGTGACATTCCGCCTGAAATTCTTCACTCGTACAAATAATGAACATCAATCTCACGCGTATACAGTTGACCTTCCCTCCTACCAACGCATATCAAGCATTCTCCTTCCTCAACTATCACAGCCTTTCCGAAATGTCCCAGTTAGGATCTTTCTTCCACTGCCACCAGATGCGGAGTCCTCGTCCTTGAAAGTGGTACAATCACCAATTCCACCTTCAATACCAGCATCGAGCATGCAGTCAAGTCAAATTTTGCCTTCGCGTGCCAGTCCAACTACCCAGATTCAAACTGTGGGGACTATCCTGCACACGTTGCTACCAAATCTCTTTCCTAGTCGGAGAACTCCTGTTCTCGCGAAGCCTGTTTTGCATGGTGCTGTGATACCTATGTCTGCCCCAATCGAGGAGGTGGTTAGAAGCTCTGCTTATGGGGATGGGTGGGCGTATCTGGTCGTTCGGATGATGGGATGAGCTCATCCAAGGAGAATCCAATGTCTATCCCGTTAAATACCTTTAACATTGCCTCGGTAGACGTGGGACCTCACTGCGGGATAGTTTGCTGATTCATACTCTGAGACACCTAAACATTACTTCCTCTGCGCCAAACACAGGGAAATTCTACGGAGTGCCGAGCATCTTATTAGTTAAACATGTTCAATCAGATGTCTAGCCCAAGAACGTTGAGCGTAGTTCACTCAGCGTCTCGCGACCCGGGGCAAGCCTTGCGATGATCGCAACGAGATGTAGTAGCACACGTGCAGCGAACACATTGTGAATGAAGAAGCTATGAGCGAGACGAGCTCACCTGTAGACTCCACCTACAGAGAATTTAAGTTCGACCGCCTCAAATATGGCGCGCCATGGCCCGATGCGTGAGGATCCACACGGGATGTCAAAAAATCTGGATTGAGCCAAATCTGCGGAGGTTTTTCAGATGGAACTGAATGGTAACTGTATGCAAAGGGAACAATTAGACTTCCTGATAAAGTCAGAATTGGGGATTTGTAGTCCTGAGGGTTTCGACAAAAGCGGAAGAGGGAAACCAATGAGAAAATTTCTTCAGAGCGCTAGGCACAGTGTTCGGTACAGTTCGCACTATGTTCGCGGAACACCGTCCGGGTCCATAAGTGGAGATCGGCGTGAGTCTCGGACCTTCACAATAACCAATTGTGAGTTAAGGGGCGGCTTGTAACGAAATTTGATACCATTCTATGACAACTCATTACTACAGACTCATTGTGACCGAGTCCCTCATTATAGCCATTCATTACACCTATTACAATTATCCACTCCAGGTGGCCCGTCTCACTCTACCAGAGCTGTTTCGTAGGTAGCTCAGCTTGACAAAGACGTTTCGAGTCTCTTGTCTACGAAGAGTTCGAGTTGTCGGCGCAGCTGAAAGCAGAACCTAGAAGGAGAAAAGTCAGGCGCAAATTATGCAGCGTAGAAGGTATACCAAACTTACCAATCGCTCCCGTGGCGTAGGCATCGATGATTTGAATAACAACACCGTAGGTTGCGCCAACAAGGAAGAAAACTCCCAAAAAAACCATTCCCCAGTGCAACAAATAGATTAACTTTTGCACAAGGCTGCCTTTCCGGTAGTGGCCGTTGCTGTAGAGCCACAGGAAGCCAGGGAGACACATGGCGAGAGGAGCAAAGCATAAGGAGCCAACAAGTGCAATCAAGTAATTGAAAATAGGTATAGCTTCGGCGAGGATGAAGGAAATGGCGCCGAGAACAATCGTGCAGCTCAACCAGGTAATCCAATGTACAGCCGTGTTGGCCTGCAAATGACGAGTCTTGCCCAGAATGCGCACAAAGACGTATTTGGCGGCGATCTAGGTCAAACTGTTAGCCTCATGTCTCTCTAACTTGGGAGAGAAATGCTCACGTGCAAGTAGATTGTGGCGCTCATGACCAATCCCACCAGGGCGACACCGTAAGATACCATCTTGATCGTTTGTCCAGCGCTCTATATCAAGCATTGGTTAGCTCATGGATGATACATGGAATCGGTGTAGGGATACGTACACCCAAGGATGGACTAGCCACCCATTGTCCACACCAGCTATAGACAACCAAACTGAAGGCAAGGTACGACGCAGTCACCAAAGCCATGCATAAATAAAGAGACTTCTTGTAATCCTTCGGGTTTCGCATCTCCGACATCACCGGGATGAAGGCACTGGTACCAGCCGAGGAAACAAATATAGTGCTAGAAGCTACCATGCCAGCCGCAAACCCGGGGTTGTTGATGGCCACGAAGCCGAGGTCGTAGGGGCCCTCTTGGGGTGCGGCGGCAGGTCGGTCGCGTGTGGTGACTCCGATGACAACAATCAAGACCGCGGCATAGATCGAAATGAATCCTACATATGTGAGCCAGCCCACATGCTGGAGTTTGCGTACCGAAGCTGTCGCGACAATCACAACCGCCGCGATCAACGACCACCAGACAGTGCACGCAGCATGGTGTGAGAGAGCATTCAGTGCTGTTGACACTCCAATGATACCACTGCCTGTGACAAGGACATAGCCTATGAGGAACATCAGGCCGGTCAATTCTTTCGCGAAGAAACCGCCAGCAACCTCCGCCATATCGGCGATGGAGTGACAGTGAGGATATTGCTTGCGGAAGTTGCCCAGAATAACGAAAGAGTAGGTGTTGAACGCGCCCCAGGCGACGATACTAATAGAGCCACCCACCGCACCGAGTGAGTAGAGCGATGATGGCAGCGACAGCACACCAGTCGCGAAAAGTACCTTCACGAAGATAATGCATGCCTTGAACCAGCCGACATTGCGGAAGCTGACACCGTCCTCAGTCTTCTTAAAGACCTCATGCTCCTCAGTCGAGTCTCGGGGACTCCCCAACTCCGTGTCGTGCACGCTTGCCTTCTCATCAACAGTCATGGTTGCGATTGGCAAAAAGACAAAAGAGAAGCACCACGCTGAAAAAAAAGAAGTTCTGGGATTCAAGCGCAATAAAAAGAAAATTTCTTAGCTATACAGTAGTTCGCCCACACCATGTGCCGGTAATCTACTGTGGATACTCAAATGCAAGCGACAGCACGCTAGTTGAGTAGTGAGAAACTAGTATGCCGTGACTACACTTATAGTTTAGGTTGATCTGAAGTGACAAGATTATGTCCACTCTTTTCTTACAAGTAACTTTCTTAGGCTAGAAGTCTCCACCATTTGTTTCGTATCTAAATTGCAATCTATGAAGTCCTCAAACTGTCTCCACACTACATCCACGTGCCTCGGTGCAAGTAGATCGGTTTTAGATGTGCATCATTCTTTCGCTAATTCGCTTTACTTTTGCGTATCTTTTATCCATATTTTATCATTGATAAAAGGGATTGCAGGGCTTCTGCTGGTGATAATATCACTGTTGGCTGTTTTATATTCTGGAAAGGCTCACTATAACCATTCAACACCAGGGAATTCCTACTGATATGAAAAAAAAATCAACAAATAGTTCGTTTAATATTGAATCTTTTCTTTTCGCTTTTACTGGTCTTAGAACGTAAAAAGGGTCGGAGTCATGGCTTTAATGTACTGTACAGATGCTTGGTCAAGGTAACGAGCTCCACACATATCGATGTTTATATTGACTACTTTCATACTCTCTTAGACATGACGCAGGATCTAATGCTTTAAGTGGTGTGGTTATATTATAGGCCAGCGGAAGGCCGTTTTCGACCTCGGCTTGAGCTATGTAGGTAGATTGTTATAGCGCAAGGCTTTCTTAACCTGAGAGACTCGAAGCGTTAGCAAATGAATTCACAAATAAGAGCGCACATTACCCCATGATAATAAATATAGGGCCGGTTTCTGTCGTAATATCCATGTCTGGTATAAAAACTGGCTGAGACCCGCAAGGTTGCGATTACAAACGTTTCATTATACTTGATTTACAGAAACTTACTAAAGATTACAAAATGTGTCAAGAGCAGACATGCAGGTATAGTGAAAGTAGCATCACATCACATCAATTAACACATACAATGTGCCATAGATGTCCACATTTCATATCGACTCTCACACGTATCAACCGCCATCAAGGTCAAACACAGTCCAAATCCAGCTAAACAAGATGGCATCTCAGTTGAAAAATATTACACTTATTGGCGTTCGTTATCTTCTGAACTATCTGACGTCTCTAAATAAAAGTTAACTTTCTCTCTAGGCCAGCGGAAATATTGGCAAGATAATTCTCAAGGCCGTTGTTGCATCGCCTGACGCCAAAGTAACTGTCCTGTCATGCAGTTCGAGCGGGGCAACCTTTGTTTCTGATGTCAAACCGGATTTCTCCGAGGCTGAGCTGGAGTCCGCCTTGAGGGGTCAAGATGCTGTAACTTCAGCTGTGGCCGCCACTGGGTTTGTTGACCAGAAGAAGTTTATTGATGCTTCCATCCGCGCTGGCGTGAAGAGATTTATTCCCTCCGAGTTTTCTTCGAACACCCTTAGCGATGCTGCCATACAGTTGGTGCCTCTTTTTGAGCAGAAGAGGGTGGTCCTCGATTACATAAAGTCCAAGGAGTCGGAAGGACTCACCTGGATCGGTATCGCGACTGCACTTTTACTTGACTGGTAAGAATGCGACGCAATTATTGGTTGATATGCCTTTCTGATAGTCATTCTATAATAGGGTCTCACTACTAGAGTCCTCGACTACGACATTACGTCTCGTACTGCAACCATCTGGGACGGGGAGGGCAGGACATTTACACTCGTCAACGAGAAACAGCTGGGAGAGGCCGTAGTTTCTGTTCTGAAGCTGCCCAGGAACCTCCCAATCAATATCTTTACGTTGCCTCAGTTGAGACCTCACAGAAGGAGATACTCGGTGCTTTGGAGGAAGCCACTTCCTCCAAGTGGACGGTGACCGATACTATCACTGACTGAAATCAGCGAAGCTGTAAAAAAGCTCGGCGCTGGTGACTTCAGCGGCACTTTTACGCTGGTTCGTGGCACAAGCTATGCCAATACTCCTGGACTACGTGCCAACTACGCCAAAGATGAGAAGCTAGCGAATGGTTTGCTGTGACTAAATAAGCAAAGTGTTAAGGACAGTGTCATTCAGGTTGTTGATAAGCTCTAGAAGCTTAGGGTACAAGTGTTAATGGCCATTAGGTCATGACCGGCATAGAGAGGAATATCAGAGATTCGAATGCAAATCTGAATTGTTGTTCTGATGGAGCTAAATGTGCCAAGTATCATGGCCATCTTATTATGTCTAGAAGGTGTTCTTATAACACCAGGGGAATAAGTGGTCAGATGTGGGATTTTTGAACTAGTATTGCAAAGTTGAGATACTACATGGTTGTGGTTGGGACTGGCTTGCAATATATATCATCGGAGTTTTCTGGAAAAACCTTCTAACAACCTTGACGCAGTGGATATATAATAAAACATCGTGCCTCTTATTTCATCGTTTTCCTTGTTTATCGTATGATAAATGATCTGCTTTCGTGACTACTACCACCACATTTGTCTGCTTTTGCCTTCATGGTGTGCTGAACAAGCTCATTACGCAGTGTGAGGGGGCTGTGCTGTCATCCCTTGTCTCGTGGAAGGGAAGCTTGGGGACAATTTTGCCCGAGAATAAAAGAAAATACGCGTCGACCAAGGATTCGCATATTGCGATCCTCATGCTCCACGAAAATGGAGTAATCCTCAACGACATCATTCCAAGGCCTAGATGTACTCGTAATCCAGAACGAAGACGGAGTTGAAGATCATCAATTCCGAGATGAGACTCCCTTTACTGAAGCCAGCTCGGGGTTCATTCTACATCTGGAGGTGATCAGAGTTTGCGTCACACTAGAGTGTCCTTACGCACCGAACAAGAACCGTTCGAACGCAAATCTGGCATAAAATGCCTGTCCGGCGATTATCTAGCGCTATGCGTGGTTGATGGCTGAAATTTTAGCCATCATTTCTGTTTTTTTACTGGTCCGCCGCTCTGGTCGCGTGGCACTACTGCAGTATGGAAACGGGTTGACAGGGCAACAATATGCAAGCTGTGCCTTATGGATCTATACTGGGGTGCAAATGAAGTCAAGGTGGGTTACTTTTCAGACTAAGGCGTGCGTGATTGGTAACGGCAAACCTCCCCAAGGGATGGTCGGTGACGCCGATCACTACCCCTTCGGTGGCGCCCTTGAGACCGCGACCCCTTGGATGATTTGATTTTGGGGTCTAAAAGCTATGTTTTTGTGATAGGTACAGTCAAGGGGAGATTGGATGACCCATTGAGTTTCTGTAAGGTCCAGGGGTTAGGTTTTAATAATTCAATAATTTGAAGGATTTACTAAAGAAAAAGAAACTAGTTGGACTAGTACGAGGATCATTGCGGGGATTAGGGCACAATTCGACCTCACTCTACATATACACCAGCATTATTGCTAGCTCACCTGAGACCACCTCGGGAACGATCGGCTTCTACAAGCCTTGAAAGCCCTAAGAGCGAATGAGGGATCGACGCATATGGTGGAGATAAGGTTGTTGGAATTCCGCAGCTCGGACCAGGCGTGCCTTGCATAACAAGGGCCCACATCATTAAACATAGCTCGCTTAGCAAGACTGGAATGAGACTTTTAACACGCGTGGGAAAAGCAATCTTATTATCTGAAACAGCGGCTCCCATATGGCTTCTGTGGCTTGCGCAGGGAGCCAGGGGCCGATCTATACCGCTACAGAGATATTAATAAAAATGGCTATTAACATGCCTCGTATAGATGCACATATTTCGGTAGGGCACGCGGCACGGTCCACTGCGCTCTGCGGACCGTAATCCATACTGAGCGGAGAGGTTTCGGATGTCCAAGGGTGCTCCATCTTAATGGATGCTTAATCTCGGGGTGTAGTCTAGGGCATCCGGTAATGGTCTTAAGCCACAGGCCCAAGCTGACCTGCTCAGTCTCATAAACAAGCGCCTTTGGGGCTTGATCGCTTTGCCTTGATGAAACCAGAAGGAGAAAAGTGCCACTAAGTGGCGTCCCCGTAAATCCAGTTACTGTTTCCTTTCTGGGACTGTTGGGTATCTGGACTGATCATACTTATCCTCAACAAGGCAATCCACGTGCCCCCTTTTCAGACACGCTGCATGATAGACATTTATAGCACTCTGAAACAAGGCACTCGCGTGCTGGCGATCTTAACTTTCCTAGCGCAGGGTCCTGGCATGCTGTCGGCCGGCATTATGGCGGTGCAAAATGACCCGTAGGGCTCAAGACGTGGCTGGTATGGATCTGTCACCATCATTATGACCTTACGCCGAGTGTTCCGGCCAATCCTTGACTTGCCAAGAGATCTGCAAGGTTGATATCAAGAACGGCAAAAGAAGAGGCGCGCGTGGCCCGGGGAATGCAGCATCGTTTACGCGGTCTTGGCCTTTCGGACCTATGAGGCCCTTTGAACGTAGAGCTAAGCCCCTGGGCCAGTGCATGAAGCTCCATGTGATCGACCACGCGACATTGTTTCACCCTTGAGCTCTGTTTCAAGTCCCACGCGAGAATGCCGGACATTGCGAAGCGCAGTTACCGCCAAGATGATTGACGGTCTTCAACTTTGGATTAGTCATTTCACCATGCTCTAGGCCCTAAACGTGACGTTTTAGTCTTCTTCCGTGAAGATCATGATGTTGCCCTTGTTTGAGAATCCCGTTGGAGATCCGTTTGCAGAACGGCTAGACTTGCTTTTTACGCACCCCCTCGCTTCATTCCACGGCACATATACCAAATCTGGTTACTCCCTCACCTGAAACATGTGGTTGACCATGTGCTAAAGAAGAATGTCTTTTTTAAATTATTCACGTCGCAGGGACGAGGTCATCCTTATGCATCTAGTACCTGCCTCCTAGCCCCAGCTTCCTGCAGCTCGGCTGCAGCTCAGCCAATAGCAGCGGGCTTGTCGCCTGTTTCACATAGATGGACTGAACGGGTATGTGCGTTTGACTATGGAGATCTCGGACTTACCCACATCAGGAATTCCAGACCCACTTGCCATGGTTCATGCGGACTACATCTTGGCCTTAAACGTTGGCTCAAGGGTCGACATGCCGTCACAGCCCCATGGCAAGTGGATCTGGAGTAGATGCGAACCGAAGATCTTTCCTTCATTCCTACTTTCGTTTAGCTCGCCCGGTCCATGTGGGCCACGATGCAAGCTGCTGAAGCTCGCGTATCTGTCCGCGAAGGCATGCCGTCTCCATGCATACCCTCAGACCTGCAATGTATATATAGGAGAGCTTCTGCTCATCTATGGCCTCATTATTTCCTAAGCATCCAGCCTGCTTCAATTAAAGAAGGTCAATCTCAGTCAAAGACATACCTCAATTTCGAGAACCATACTATTACTACAACGTTCCCTTCCATTGCCGGCCCTGTTTTGTTGCCTGTCAAACTCTCAGACACCCTCAAAAGCCTGCAACGCCATCCAATCTACCAACTACCACCCCCAATCCCAAATTATGTCTATCCCAGAACCAACAACCTCAAAGTGAGTTCATTTTTGGATCTAAATAAGTAGCCAATCGACTAACAATTACCTACAGCATGATCAATGGCACCGCCACAACTACCACCGCCATTAGTAGCACAAATATCAGTCAAATCCCAGGAAACAACCGGAACAGCCTCGACCGATTCGCACGAGCACCAGCTTCCGAAGGGCCATATTTTGCGAGCGCCCGGATGGGGGAGAGATCAGCACATCTCAGCAGGCTATCAAGCCAACTCAATGCCATGGATGCAGTCTTGAATATCGGAAGATGACAAGAGAAAGGAGAAAGAAATGTATAAATTGAGCAGCATCTATGTGTATATCTATCTAGTATATGCGAAGGAGAATCAAAGAACGTCGAGAGTTATTAAACTTCAAAACCGGGGCATTCCAAATAGCTCTCAGTTCACAGTATATCGAAAATGTAACTGGCAACCTCTTCGTATTTGGTACTGGGGAACTCGTGTCCCGCCTCGTAGAACTTGAAGACGACATTTCCACCCAAGGCAGCTGTGGCGTCTGGAACAAGCTCACTCTTGACAATGATTGCATCATTGTTGCCACACAGAATGTGAACTTTGTTGTCAGAAGGTCTCTTATCTTCGCCACTGGAGACACTGTTCTGTACGGTAAGGTATTCTCCAAGGCGCGTCCATGTGTTCCATTGGCGTTGTCTCAGAATAGGGCCATGGCGCATGCTCGACATGAACGCGTGCACAAACCCTCCATGGTTATTCACCTGCCACGCCACCGCAGCAGGGACGTTAACGTGGGGGTATTCCCGAGACAGGAGTTGAATCTCAGCAGCGTTCTGTGAAGGTAACTCCTCGGTGAGCGCATCTGAGGCATTGAGCTTATGATTCTTGGGCTTGGGGGTTACTAGGGGTCCAGCCCGCAGTCGACGACCAACCAAGTACCCTAGCACATTCTCGGGCACGAAACCACGCTCGTATAGAAGGCGGCTTTGGAAACTGACTTGCGAATCACGTACCAAGCCTGCAGGAGCGAGAAGCACCAATGACGATATCAGCTGAGGGAAATAGGCAGCAAAAGCAGCGGCAATACCGCCCCCCAGGGAGTATCCTGTGAGGCAAAATTTACCAGACTCGGCGCCCGTCCAAGAAACGGGCGATGAGGCCAGAGCAAGCAGGATCTGTGTCGTGAAAAGACGGTTGTCTTGGGGAAGATCTGCGGGGCAGTCGGAATATCCTCGACCAAACCTAATTTGTTTGAATAAGCACCAATTAGAGAAAGAAAAGGGACCAAAACACATACAAGTCGAAGAGCATCACGCGGCACCCCCGGTCCACCAGCGCATGGGCCAATCCACCTAGCGCAATACACGGCGTGGTGATACCGTGCACTAAAAGCACCTTGGCACCATGTTCCGGGCCCCATTCGTATACTCGGATAGAGCCATATGGGGTCGCTACATCGCGTGCACCAGGCAGGACATCAGTTGGGAGTGGAAGTTGGCCATTTTCTGCCTCCGAAATGCCAGTCAGCAGTGTCGATCGAGGAGAGGCAAGGATAGTCGGGCGTGTCCCGCCTCCAGCGAAAAGAGATCGGGCGAAAAGACCCAGTGTAAATGAAGCACCCGTCACTGCTAGCAAGGGAATCTGTGTCTTGTGGTTCGAGAAGGACTCGGAGAGGAAATCCACCGTTTGGCTGTATAGGGCCATGGTTGCGCTGCGGGAGGTTACCCCTGGGACGACCGAGTTGGGGCAAGCGGTTGTTGCAAGCTTTTCAAGCGACAGAAAACTTCTGTTTGACCGAAAAACAAGACGAAGGAGTAAGAGGCAGCCTGAGTGAAGTAGATGGAGTGGGGTTGGAATGAGGAATGTGTTGGGGAGAGAAGGGTCCGAGGCTCGCGCGCTGACGCCATGTGCCTGATAAGATTAGATAAGAGATGAACACATAAAGTATGCGAAGTCAACACTTCACTTCTGCAGTGTTCGTGGCTTAGAGGTATGATATCAAGGAATGGGTGGAGTCTGATAAAATTATTTGCAGCTATCCCTTCGCTCAAATACATTTGGAGCAACTTGAAAGTCTCGACCACAAAAAATTTTAAACAATCTTTTTAACCGATGAAAGATATATATTTCCCAGTGGTGCAGAGGATCTTCCGACAGTAAATAATGGAATTCATTTCGCGCAAGCAAGGAAGCGCCCAATTCTGCCTAAAATAACTGTCGAGTAAAACAACTTAAACTGTCTTCAAAAGCACTTCGTCTCAACAGGAAATGATCGACGTCTCATTTCAATCGTTCACCCAACATTGCAGAATAGGCCACCAAGGGCTTCCTTGTTATTAAAGTCAATACCTCTGTCGTTTATGTACGGCTTTTCATTCCCGAGGAGATCTATCCACTTACAAAAAAAAGCCCTTCATGCCTCGTCCGGAGTACATTGATCTCCAGATAATTGGCTAGATAGCCTGGCGTTTATGTTAAGGATGAAGAATACCGTGTCAAATCTGGCCATTAGACCTGGTGGCATACGTATAAAGATGATTGGGTCTGATGCGATGTAACCATGTCCCTCGTTTTCAACCGATGTCTCCGTATGCGATATGCAGTTGATAGTGAAACTCATCGATCAGTAAATATAGTTTTGACGTTGAACTACAGAGCAAGTACCTCGACTTTGCAAGATTTAGTACTTGGCTATGTATCGAGAGTGGTTGGGTTTAATGTTCAATTGACAGGGACAGTATATCCCCGCAAACCCGTGTCAATTCGTGCCAGGTACACAAGATCTCGACGTGGGGACAAACCCAACCCTGTATTTTTCTCCACCGCTGCCCGCTAATATTATCCGGCCGAATAACCAATGTTTTGCTTTATTCAGACCTCGGGAAGTGCATATTCGCCCGCTTAGGGTCTTTGATTGCCAAGACGGTGTATATACCACCCTAAATTGACTTAGTCCTTGATACAGTGCCTCTTTTAGGCTAAAAGCGTCAGAATTTCCAAGTAGTCATCCAGGAAGATGTTTCCAGTGGTGGAACCCGGCGTGCGATTGACGGTGCTAGCCAAGACTTAGTATTTGTCCTTCAATTTACCTTCATCTTACCTTTCACTCTGGATGCTTCAAGTTGGGATACTTCACCAATAGAAATGCTATTTCTCCACAAGTCAGACCCTGATGCACTTTATCTCTTGTGCTAAGCGTTTCTTCCATTCCGACCTCGGAAATGTTCCAGAATTGCCGGCGACGTATTTGCTGGGAGTTGTAGTATATTCTACTCAGTTACCACTAACCTTCACAGTGGTGGCTACTACAGAGAGCTTAATATGTTTGATGAAAGTGTATGAACTGTTCACAATGCGAACTTTTCTTAGATGTTGCTTCGGAATACCTCTGCATTGTACCAACCAGCTAAATGCCTTCTCAATACGAGAGGAACAGATCGAAATACCCAGTAATTTCTGGGCGGTAAGCAGTCGTCCCCTCATTGAAGGATATTCTCTCCGTTCTCTCCGTTGAGCCCAATATTACCGAGGAGGGGCGTGGTTTCGGTCTGAAACGCCCTATACCCGAAGGGTCTGCAGAAATTGCCCCAGGCTTCGGCTTAACGCCTCGCAGATTAGATTGCTTGCACAAAAGGATTTTGGCGGTTTGATATGAAGTGGAGGAGCGCCATGGCGGCGACTCCAATCTAGCGGCGCTCTTGGCGACTTATCCCCACAAAAGTTGTCTCATGATGCTTTGGGGTATAGTTAAGTTTTAACACCAACACTTCCAGAAAACATTGGTTCTGAATACAATTGACCAAACGATCTATAAGGCCGTTTGACAAAGCGTTAATCCGTAGCTAGTATTTCTGAAATAGCATTCCCAAACATCAATGGATAGAACTGGATCGGGTCGATCTCCGTGTTTACAGATGTTGAAACTCTGCTTATCCACTTTCGGCCAGAGTCTTGATGAGACAGCAACAACTGTCCAGCGATGATCTTTGCCATCCTTATTCGGCGTCGGGTCCACTCCCAAATCAATACACGACCCCGGAGGTCGCCTAGTATGAAATACTGACAACAGATGTGTTAGCTCTCTCCTCTATACCAGTTCAGGTACGGTCTTACAGTCCGCCACGCCGGCCATGATATGCCGAAAGGACCCTGGTCAAGTCTTGCATGGCAATATAGCCGAGAGCAAGCCTCAGGGAAAGGGAGATATAAAGATCCCTAGACACCCCCGTGTTTCTTGTTCTTCAACTGCAGGCCAGAAAACAAATCATTGCTATATTGCAATCCATTCCCTTCTCCTTCGCAACAATGTACCAACGCGCCCTCCTTTTCTCCGCCCTGGCGGCGGCAGTCCGTGCCCAGCAGGCTGGCACATTGAAGACTGAGACTCATCCTTCTTTGACCTGGCAGAAATGCACTGCCGCTGGCAGCTGCACTGACCAGTCCGGCTCCGTTGTTATTGATGCCAACTGGCGCTGGACTCACTCCGTCGATGGCTCCACCAACTGTTACACTGGCAACGAGGTGAGATATCTGGCACCCTAATGACGTGAACATTGGAATTGAGAGGCTGACTCTGCGATAGTTCGACGCAACTCTCTGTCCTGATGATAAGACTTGCGCTACCAACTGCGCCGTCGATGGCGCCGACTACGAAGGCACGTACGGCGCGACTACCAATGGTAACGCCCTGACCTTAAAATTCGTCACTGGTGCCAATGTCGGTTCTCGCATGTTCCTGATGGAGGATGACAGCACCTACCAGATGTTCAAGCTGCTCAACCAGGAGTTCACTTTCGATGTGGACACCTCCGGTCTTCCCTGCGGACTCAACGGAGCTTTGTACTTCGTTTCCATGGATGCCGATGGTGGTATGGCCAAGTACGATGGCAACAAGGCTGGTGCCAAGTACGGAACTGGCTACTGTGATTCTCAGTGCCCTCGGGACTTGAAGTTCATCAACGGCCAGGTGAGTTTCCAAGATTAACAGAGCCAATTAGACGTACAGACAGAATGGCTGATGTGTGAACCAGGGCAACGTCGAGAGCTGGAAGCCTTCCGAGAACGATAAGAACGCCGGTGTCGGCGGCCACGGATCCTGCTGCAATGAGATGGATATCTGGGAAGCCAACAGCATTTCCACTGCCGTGACTCCTCACCCTTGCGACGCTGCCGGCCAGACCATGTGCGAGGGCGACAACTGCGGTGGAACCTACTCTTCCAGCCGCTACGCCGGCACCTGCGACCCCGACGGATGTGACTTCAACCCCTACCGCATGGGCAACGAGAGCTTCTACGGGCCCGGCAAGATCATCGACACCAAGTCCAAGATGACCGTCGTCACCCAGTTCATCACCGACGACGGCACCGACTCCGGCAGCCTGAAGGAGATCAAGCGTCTCTACGTCCAGAACGGCAAGGTCATCGCCAACTCCGCCTCCGATGTCACCGGTGTCTCCGGAAACTCCATCACCACCGACTTTTGCACTGCCCAGAAGACTGCCTTCGGCGACGAGGACATCTTCACCAAGCACGGCGGTATGTCTGGCATGAGCAAGGGCTTGGAGCAGGGCATGGTTCTCGTCATGAGCTTGTGGGATGACCACTACTCCAACATGCTCTGGTTGGATAGCAACTACCCCACCAATGCCACTGCCACTGATGCTGGTGTTGCTCGTGGCACTTGCGGTGCTGATTCTGGTGCGCCTAACGATGTTGAGTCTAACTCTGCTTCGGCTTCCGTGACATACTCAAACATCAAGGTTGGCCCCATTGGCTCCACCTACTCTTCGTAAATTCGAAAAGAGACAGGGTAAATCAGCCATGGCATGGCTATACTCGGAAAGCTCGGCTCTTCGTGCTCGTCTTGGAGCCAGGATCAGCAATTACCCCGCATGAAGATAGGTTATGGTATATATTGAGTCTGTGTCACAGTCCTTTGTATTATATTTCATATGTCTTCGTTAGGAACAGTGACAATGAAGTCTGAATTGTTGATGTCATTTGCGTAGAAAGGGCGGTGACGGATGATTCTCGGCCCGGCAGAAAAAAACGGCTAGCTCCAAGCCTTAGCTTTTGCATTCACCTCTCCTAGTTCCAATTCGTATTCATTTTGTTCCTGTGCTGAAGAGAGCCTCTCGGCCTTCTTATTTACTTCGATTTGCCGGTCTGCAGCCATGTTTGACACGGTCTGCACGCTTCCGCTCCCCTCGGACCTGTTCTCTCAGGCGATCCACCCCGAGGAACCGGTGGTCTCTGTTGGTCTTGCTTCGGGCCACGTTCAGACCTTCCGATTGCCTTTCGAGGACTCTGATGAAGATGACGATACGGTTTCGAACTCGTCTGCCCGTAATGGCAAGGGCCACATTGACACTATGTGGAAAACCAGGCGCCACAAGGGTAGCTGCCGCACCTTGGGATTCAGCACAGATGGTCAAACGCTCTATTCAGCTGGAACAGACGGCATTGTGAAGGCCGCGAAGTCGGAGACTGGTCAGGTCGAAAATAAAATTGTTATTCCTTATGAGAAGGACGGGTATGGAAGCTCTTTCCTCTTCAAATCAATGATTTGCATTCGCTAACTGTCATACTTTTTCCCATATAGGTCAGTGGATTGCCCGACTATTGTCCATGCTCTTTCTCCTCAAACCCTCCTTCTTGCCACCGATTCGAGTGCACTGCACCTCTACGATCTTCGCGTCCCGTACTCGAAGGTCTCTGCGAAGCCTGAACAGTCGCACCACCCTCACGACGACTACGTCGCCTCCTTGACTCCTCTACCCGCATCTGATACTAGTACTTCGGGTTTCAGCAAGCAGTGGGTCACCACTGGTGGCACCACTTTGGCTGTGACAGATCTCCGGAGAGGTGTCATGGTGCGCAGTGAAGATCAGGAAGAGGAATTGACCAGCTCGGTTTATATGGGTGGTCTGCCATCTAGCGGAACCAGCCGCGGTCAGAAGGTGATCGTTGGTGGCGCCAGTGGTATTATGACATTGTGGGAGAAGGGCGCGTGGGATGACCAAGATGAGCGGATCCGTGTCCACCGCGACAATGAGGGCGGTGATGCCATTGAGACTATGGCCGTCGCACCTGACTTTTGGGCAAGGGCAAGCTTGTCGCCGCAGGTCTGAGCAATGGACAAGTGAAGTTCGTGCGCATCGGACCTAACAAGGTCGTCTCCGAAGTTGTGCACGATGAGATCGAGGGTGTTGTGGGCTTGGGCTTTGATGTTGAGGGCCGCCTGGTCTCTGGTGGTGGTCAGGTTGTCAAGGTATGGCATGAGGCTGCGGACAATGCTGGCGCTGGCGCTGGGGACAAGCACATGATGGATTCGGACGACAGCGATGACGACTCAGACAGTGAGACCGAGGAGCGCCCTCAGGAACCAAAGGATCGCAAGAAGCGCAAGAAGGGCAAGGGCAAGGACATGAGTGGTGGACAGCATGTCATGGCCTTCCACGATCTGGACTAATGCCTCCCGATCTCGTTATCATTTGATACCCATTTCTGCAGAATTCATCCCGAACAGAAAAGTGTACATAGCGTCGGTGTTAGGGATTGAGCAATCGGAATAATACATATCTTTAGGAGTTGGATGCTGAGGGGGAATTATCCTTCATTGAGCCGTATCTCCGTCCACGGGCGATCTCTAAGAGCTTACTCATGCTGAACTAAGAATCAGGGATGTACGTATTTCCGCACATCATTGAGTCCGAAAACCATGCCTCGCGCATGAAATGTATGGTACTAAAAGGCCATATGAATCAGATGAGAAGATCTGCGAATTAACATGCAGTATGAGCGACAAACTACATAACAAAAAAGTGCAATGGCTCGGAGAGTCGGCAGAATGCAACTGCCGGCAGACCCCACCGCGGATGACGCTCGTTGTGGTGGGGTGTGGGACTATAAGATCCCGAGTCTCGCCCTAAAATGAGAGCACAAAATGGACGCCTTCGAGTACAATCCCAACCCCGGCCGTGTCGTCTTCGGCAGCGGCACATTGCAGAAACTCCCTGATGAGATTGCCCGCCTGCAGGTGAAGGCCCCGCTAGTGCTGTCGACGCCCTATCAGCTCAGCCAGGCGGAAACCGTCAAGGATGTGCTTAAAGGTCAAGTCGCTGGCATCTTCAGCGAGGCCACCATGCACACGCCTACGAATATCACTGACAAGGCTCTCGAATATGCTAAGGCGCAAGGAGCCGACTCGGTCATCTCCATTGGAGGTGGAAGTACCATCGGCCTTGGAAAGGCGATTAGCATTCGTACTGGGCTGCCACATATCTGCATTCCGACTACTTACGCCGGTAGTGAAATGACACCCATCTTGGGTGAAACTGCCGATGGGTTGAAGAAGACTCGTTCTGATCCTAAGATCCTGCCCGGGACTGTCATTTATGATGTTGATTTGACGATGACCCTGCCGGCGGCTATGAGTGCCACCAGTGGTGTCAATGCTATCGCCCATGCTGGTAAATACTCACAGACTCATATGGAGCCCCGAGAAGATAAGTCTAATGCATTTCGACAGTCGAGGCTCTCTACGCACGCAACACCAACCCAATCATCACCATGATGGCACTGGAAGGAACACGAGCTCTAGCATCCTCCCTCCCAGAGATTGTCGAGAACCCATCCTCGCAGTCCGCCCGATCCAAGGCTCTATACGGCGCCTGGCTCTGCGGAACATGCCTGGGCAGTGTTGGCATGTCCATCCACCACAAGCTATGCCACACCCTCGGCGGCAGCTTCAATCTCCCTCATGCTGAAACCCACACCGCTGTTCTGCCGCATGCTATCTCATACAATGCACCTAGCATTCCTGAGGCTATGAAGCAGCTCGCCGACGCTCTGCCGGACAGCAATGGTGACGCTATACACGGCCTGAATGTGCTCCTGACTAAGCTTAAGGTTAAGCGCGGCGTGAAGGACTTCGGAATGAAGGAGGAGGATATTGATAAGGCAGCGGATATTGCCCTTTCCAATGCTTATTGGAATCCTCGTCCGATTGAACATGCGCCTATTCGGGAATTGCTTCGCAGAGTCTGGGCGGGTGAGCCGGCTCGGGCTGATCTGTAGATATACTACGATTTGAATAGCGAAATGAGAAATGTGTAAATTCCTGAAAGCTTCAGACTTATTCAATTGTTTTTGAATACTAAACAACATGTTAAAGGTTTCTGGCGCAACTTATGATCTGCCAATGGGCGTTTTTGTATTTTTGTTATCGATAGCGGGGTGAAGTGGGGGAAATCTTTTTCTCTCCAAAATTTTTGGCTTCCTATATTCCCGCAACATCAGACCACCCGAACCCTCCAAAATGGGCTCTGAAATGGAGACAGCGCCTGTGCTGTCGACTCCTGACGACCGCATTCTCGAAGAAACGAAGCCGGTAGTCTCGCGAGACTCTACAACTCGAGCGTCGGACGACGAACTTTCTATTACCTACGATATCGAGCGCACATTGAAGGAGATCCGACAAGCGCGGTATAAGCGCATCGCTCTTCAATTTCCTGATGACATGCTTCCTGATGCCCCGCGGGTATTCCAACTACTCAGCAGGGGCCTGGAGCGCGAGGAAGTGACCAACACCAACGGCGCCGAGCCCTCGAACCAGACCGAAGCCAGCAATGCTGACGACCTGTCTCACTCGGTATCTCAGCTACGGATGGAGGAAGATAAGACAGGAAAGATTGCACCTCGGTTGACCATTTTGGCCGATACATCATATGGAACTTGCTGTGTCGACGAGGTGGCCGCAGAGCATGTGGACGCAGATGTGGTCGTGCACTACGGAAGGTCATGCTTATCGCCCACTGCGCGGCTGCCTGTCATCTACGTCTTCACGCATAAAGCTCTACCCCTGGAGCCTGTAGTGCGAGCATTCAAAGCGACATATCCCGACCCAACGACGAAGGTAGTCATCGCAGCTGATGTCACCTATGCGGACCACGTTCAAACGGTATATACTCGCCTGGTGGAAGAGGGATACGGAAATCTATATGCAACCGAGGTTGTTCATGAGCCTTCATCGGTTATTCCCAATCGCACTGTCCCCGAGTCAGTCCGAGAGTCGCCTGAGGCTCTGGCTGACTGGCAGCTGTTCCACATCTCTGATCCGCCAACGGCTCTCATGATGACACTTGCGTCTCGAGTTGCCGCGATTCATATCTACCCCACGGACAACTTGGGTAGTGAGAATGTTAAGCCATTGCCTGCGTCTACTGCTGCAGCTCTGCGACGGCGCTATGCCACTCTGACCTCGTTGACCACGGTGCCAATTTGGGGTATCCTCATCAACACTCTCAGTGTCAAGAACTACTTGCATATTGTGGAGCACGTTAAAGAGCGCATCGACAAAGCAGGCAAGAAGAGCTACATGTTTGTGGTTGGCAAATTGAATGCTGCCAAGGTAGCCAATTTCAGTGAAATTGGTGGCTGGGTAGTGATTGGCTGCTGGGAAAGCTCGCTGGTGGACAGCAAGGATTTCTGGAAGCCAGTCATTACTCCATTCGAGCTAGAACTGGCTTTGAAAGACGACGCGGATCGCGTGTGGACAGGCGCGTGGCAGAGTGACTTCCAGGCGGTCCTTGACCAACCAGCTCAGGAGGCCAGTGGAGACAGCAAGGAGATATCCAATGGTGCCATGTCTGAAGAAGATGACATGTCAGAACCCGAATCGGCGCCGCCCGAATTTGACCTGCGCACCGGACGATACGTCTCACATTCCCGTCCGATGCGGGATCCCGCGCCCCGCGCTTCCCAGCTTGATGGATCATCTACCAGTGGGCCATCCGCTGCTAGGGCGCTGGCCCGACGGGCTAAAGGCGACTTAGCCATGATCGGCGGCGCCGTATCACCCGGTGCAGAGTACCTGCGATCGCAGCGGACATGGAAGGGCCTGGGCAGTGACTTTGACATCCGATATGATGAGGAAGATGAGGATGATAGCACCCTGGTCAAGGAAGGGCGCAAGGGCATTGCCAGGGGCTACACTGTAGGCGATGCGACCAACAAACATTAGGACACACTAGCATGACCATTTGCAATAGACGCAGCGATCAATGCATTTCTATATAATATCTGAAGTCTCGAAATCCGGGGCTCAATATCACATGACGTTGTTGACGGGCGCATCCGGACATCGTTGCTGCTTCTGGCCCTTTTCTCTCTCTCTTTAGTTCCTCTCGGTAATTCTTTGTGCTCTCTGCTTTGCTTTTTGTATCTCTTTCTAGTGTTTCCCTGGCGGGCGATCTCGTATCTCTTCGCTCTTTTCGTACCCCTCCCTCTCTCCCCTTTCAAATACCGTCAATTCGGCAGCCCTTGCGACGCCCGTCTTAGCAATTATCGACACTCTACCTTTGATGGCCTTGCATGGTGGCTTACCTCTGGGTGTGGTAGCCCCCTCGTTCATATCTTCAAGTCGTCTTACCATGCGCTGCGTCTCTACCCGCCGAGCTCGCGACCTCGCGTCATCACAGTTTTCGACCTAAGCGCCGGCGTTTTTAGTTCATCACAAAGGATCGGTGGTCAACCACGACCTTTACACCATGGCTCAGGAGGGGGTTGCTGGTGGAAATTCAGCGGCGATGAGTGCAATGCTGGGAGATGCCCTGGATTGCCCTGAAGAGCGGATGCTTTCGATCTTTGAGCGTGTGATCACTACGAATGCTCCCATCTTTGAGTCTCTACTGCTACAAATCCCGACCGATACTATCATCAAACTATACCACACGTCTCAGTACCTTCGTACCTTTCTTCGATCATATCCGACCGCATGGAAATCGCTCTCGTTTCGCCTGCCCTTTCCCCCGGGAACTTTACCGAGCCCTCAGACCACCGACCCAAATATTGCAGATGCAGAGATCCCGCGTCAATCTCGACCTTATGCCCTAGACATGTTCCTGATGAATGTGGTGATTCCATTCAGTGGGTGTTTGAAGAGCCTGGAACTGGACAACACGGCGATATCGGGGGAGAATCTCACATCCACGGTGCTGCATTCGCGTCGGGAGACGCTGGAACACCTTTCCGTCCGAGGTTGCAAGAACGTATCCCTCAAATATCACATAGTGCCGTTCCTCACTATGTTTGCTCTGCAACGTGACATGGATATGGAGAACACATCCGGTACTCATTCCCCTGGGATGAAACGACTTGCCCTCAAGAGTCTCTACGCTTACCGGTGCCGCCACCACCGCAGGAGACCGTACCTTTCTTCTTCGCTGATGCGGAAGGATGCAGATGCCGAATCGACACATGAGCTTGTTAACATCTGCCACAAGCTAGGAATCTGGACAGATACTGCCTGGTGCACCACGCCAGCCGGGAGGTGCGCTCGTAGAGCCGGTTATGTCAAATCGAGATTCCCGCATGGAGCAGGATCACCAGAAGTTTGGGTGGTCTTTGATCGACTCTGGAGATCTAAGAACTGGATCGGTCCTATCGAACTTGAGGACCCTGGACCACGCGTGCTTGACGGTAAGCTATGGGAGAACTGTGACACTGGATGTTTCGGCGAGGCATTAGGGACTGGCGAGGGCATTGACTGGGGCGAAGGCAAAATGACTCCGACTCACCTGCGTCAAAGTCATACAAAATTTGTCCGTGGCATTCGCTGTGACGGTTGTCTCGAGGACATTTCAGAGCGGTGTGAGCATTGCAGCGTCTTGATGCACTGTGTCGGGTGCCGTAAGACACTCTGTGCGAGCTGTGCCTATGAACGCCCGTATCTTCACAGGACCATTCCATCTCCCTCGTCCGAAGGCAATCCGAGCGTCACGCCCTCCTTCTGGTGGGCCCCTGGCGCCACACACTCTCCGGGGTCAATGCAGGATCCTGTGGATTATCTGACGGACCCCAATTTACCCGCGACTTCAATGTCAGACACGACACCTATCCTGAATTTTCACTGGTGCTGCACCAAGCCGGATCTCTGGGGGAGGTGGCATCAGTATCGGACCTCGCAATCGTGAAGTGGACCAGGTCCGAGCAGTACCTTTGCCCCGAAATCAAGGTTGGGAGGATCTGGAGTACACGGTCAGCGAATGGAGCAAGTCCTTTCCCAAGTATGCATATGGTGATCCGAGCAAGCCGGACTACTCACTCGAGGCGGGACATCTGGCGATGATGAAATGGTTGCTTGGACCGCCTAATCGGCAAGTCTCACCATGTCCGCGCAACTTGTGCCAGGGATGTTATGATTCCCCGCAGTGGAAGGTCCACTGCAAGAGCTGCTCCAAGCCACTCTGCATTGAGCATGACCTCCGTGGACTACGCCTTCGGATCTGCGGTTACCGTGACCTCGAAACGGAGAAGCAGACTATTCAGAGTCGATTTGCGGTGAATATTCCGCAATCTTCTAACCCGGATGAGCTTTCCGGGTACGACCTCCCATTTCGAAGCCAGCGGCTTCTCGATTCAGCAACTAAAGGCTTCATTGACAATCCACAATCAGATAACCTGGAGGAGCAAACCCCGATTCCCATGTCGGTGATCAATCGGCTCATGCATCCTTCTTCTCAACTCAACCATCTCGCTCCTTCTCTGTCCCGACGTCTAATCACTCCTCCCCACCATCATCCTCATCCTCGATCTACTTTGATTCGCCCATCGAGACTCCGAAATGGCAAGGTTGTCAATCCTTCTTCTGTCCCCCGGCTGATCCCATCACTGGTATCAGGGATGTCAGAGGCGGCATCCGGGATCAGCGCCCAAGGTGTCCCAGCTACCTCCGAGAATGCACGGGCTGCAAGGTGTATGTATGTGCGGACTGCATCTATGCCTACCCGCCCTGCAAATGTTCGTATTGCGAGGAGCACTACTTGTGTCCCAATTGCATGAGAGATGGCCCTCGTGATAACAGCTGCCGTCGCCGCCGAGAGGAAAATGCGCGGTGCGAGCGGAAGTGGAAAAAGGACATGCAGGTGCTGGAAAGCATCCTGGAGCTGAAGGTGGCTAATGAGCTGGCGGAGTTCGCTGGCGAGTTCTTTGGCCTCGTCGAGCAGCGCGATAGTTTACCCTCGGGGATCAGCTACGATGACCAGATCAGCGATCTCTATGAAGGCGACGTTGCAGCAGCGGAAGTATCCGCCTCGTACTTTGAGCCTGATGACATTGACTGGTTCCTTCAAGACTCATATTAGCCGGTATCCCGGCTCACCGTCTTCTATCATTACTCTCGTGACTTTCATACTCTCTCTTTTTTTTTCTTTTTTCCAGTTTCTTCAGCGATCTCATATCACGGCGTCATGAGGGAAATCATTTACTTGTCCGATTTACGGGATCTAAGCGATCTACTGGGGTCAATACCATGGTGTTCCAACTCGACGTAACAACGGGATGATCAACACATCCATCTCTTTGCTGCCCCTTGACCCCTCTTTCTAACCGGACTGAGGCTGCAGACGGGGCACCGGAATTGCACTATTCTGCAGTGACTCCGAACTGCTAACGGCACTGACGACATAGCTGGCAAAGGATGCAGGCACCGCGCCAGACTTTACGACATGTTTCTCTGTTATTTCTTAAATCTTTCTATCTGTTATAGTGCTGGGCTGGATGACCCAATATGTGAGGGGGACACGATGGCGCAAAGATTACTGCTATGGAGGGCAATGTCCGCGTTGTCCATGTAGCGACATGCCCTAAATAATCAACTATCGTTACCGTTTGCTTCTGTTCCCGACTATAACCAATAACGGTTCGTCCATCCGGTCCTTTTGACCCCTGGACATTGTATAATAACGCCACACCCCGAGCAAAAGTACTCAACGAACTATAATAACCAGTAATAACACACCACATGCATTGCCATACCCAAGCCAACGGGCCAATACAAGCAATCCCCATATATGATCAGATCGACCGTCAGACACCTGTGCAAAACGGAGATAAAACAAACCCCCGATCAAATAGGAACCCCCTCAAATCAGACGATATACCTAATCTAGTGCGTGAAGAAAAGCCCCGAGCACAACAACACCTGGCGTTGGGGGAGTCATCATCTGATGCGACGTTACGCAAAGCCCGTAGGTATGTGTCGGACCGCAGATGGACAGACGATGCGGTCAAAGGACAGCGGCTATGGCTCCCTGGAGTAAACTTAGTGCATGCAAACCACGTGGGAGTGCATGCAACGTCTGCAGCGGTTTCGTCAATTTGCGGTATACACACCCGGCAAATTCCCTTATCGGCGGTGAATACTTGTACGTTGTTTGGGCCAATAAGGCCATGGGCAGCGTTGGGCTTTGGAGCGGTCTGTGTGTATGTGTTTTGATCTTGGGTTGAAATAACCCAAGGTAGACACAGAGCCCTGGGTATGGCACAGAGCGGCTCAGCTGTAGGGGGTTAGGTCTAACAACCACTATTTAACACTTAAGATAGACACATACTATACATATATGTGCTCCATAACTATACATGTGTAGTCCCACAGATCGTAAATAGAAGTATCAACTCCGGGTGGATCGGTCGATCACTCGCAACTCTACCCGGTTCCCCGGTGCCCCTTTTTTATCTTTTTGATGTATGTATCTACTTCCCGGTTCCCCCTAGATGCCAGACCCATATATCTAGATCGGCTGGCGCGGATGCAACTCCTAAGTCCCCCGACTGGGCGCGGGCTATCCTCGGAAGGACCACTGGAAGTCATCCTATTAGTCCGGAGGGCAACATTTGGAATGTGGATGGAGTCCAGGGAATTTAACAAGTACTGTACGCTAGGTCCCGTCTGACATCATGTCCAAAGTTTTAAAGGACACAAACCAGAAGGGCTCATACTCCAATCAGAAGCCTTGGATGTGTGAATGGTCCTTTACCAGTCCTGGGGTTAAGCGGACCGACGTCCCGTTTCAGTTCAGGCCCCAATCTAGGGAGATGTCGGTGAACAGCTTTTCCCTGATCTTTCTAGACGCGTGATCGGTCTATTTCCGAATCAAATGTTCGGTTTTCTCCTTTTTTTTTTTTTTTTTTATTTTCCCTTCTTTCTTTTGGGCTTCCTTGTTTTTCGATTTCTATTCCTTGAGTTATATAAAGGCTTTGTCGGGGGATCAGATCTAAATCATTTGAACTTTAACTGAGAATCACTCCTACAGATCTTGCAAACGCTTCATTTATACATCATGGACAAGCCAAAGAACAACCAGGAAACACAAACCCAAGGCAGTCAAGAGAAGAAGGGACCTCAACTTCGAAGTGTTGAGGAATATCAGAAATACTGGGATCAACTCCTCCAAAATACAGCGGATCAGATCCAGAAGATCCGAGGTGAGTCTATAACTGACATATGCAGATATAACCACTGACAACTATAGACAAGGAACAAGCAGCAGAGCGTTCAACCCGAGACTCGCACCAATGATCGCGTCATATTCCACCTATGCAAGCCGAGGAGTTATTGGGAAGTGAGATTTTGTTTTTTTCTGTTTTATACATTTATCGCATTTTAGCTGGAGAGCTGGAGAGCATGAGATATACGAGGTTAGAGGATGTTTTGTTTTGGGAGTTGATCATAGCCCATCGTCGTTCGCTGTTGCCTTTGTTTTGTTGGCCATACGTTGCATATGCATGAGAATACCCAATCACACTATCAGTCGTCAGACTATTCCATCTTTGTTCAAAGCAAGGAGCGAACTTACTCTGAACAGAGCCTCGAGTGGGGGTTGGGGGTACTTGCCATGACTCATGTTGCCCTGATTTGACGTAGGCTTCTTTCCATCTACAAATGTATGCGAGCAGACATCTCCACCAGTGATCTTTGAGTCTATGCATGTCATGGCTGCAGACCAAGGTGGTCAAACCCTGTCAGTATACCCAAACAGGCAGGAGATCAGCCCTACTGACACTGCCCAGGACATGCCACTGGACATCATGGCCCACAATGCTGTCTTCCTGCTGAGCGGTGTGCTTGTCGCCTGGCTGCTCTCCAGCATCCTTTTCCGGCTGGGACAGCTGCGCCCCCGTTCCCGTCTTATTACGTCGTGGTCTTTCGTCATTCCTTTAGCCAGCTGGTATACTTCATCACCGTGGCCATGATGCGGTTCTGGAGAAACGACATCGACTGTTTCTGTATATATTCAATATCTGCTTGTCTACCCCTCTAACCTTCTCATAGTGGACTTCTTAAATAACTACTTGGGGATCTGAGTGTACGACGTCACTCTAGAGACCCTGGTCCCCCCCGAACAGCTGGCTGAAACTCCCGCGCTCTTAAACATTTATGCCTAATCCAATGTTTCAAAGTATGCAGCCCAATGCATGGATCATGAAAACGCAAGCCCATCGCGCCTTGATAAATAGTAAGGTGTAAGCGATTAATGGCGGCAAAAGCGCCAACGGCCAAGTGGAGGTCTCCACACCACATCCCACTCCGAGCTTTCGAGCCAACACTTCGCCTTCACCGTCTACAATCCCACTCTCCCCCTTACCGACACTTCTCTGACGTGCCATGTCCGATCCCGACCACAACCCCCCCCCGTGGAGCTGGCGGAACGTGAGAGCGAAAACCAAGAGCGCAAGGCCCGCGAAGATGCGGAACAGGCTCAGCTCCCCTACAAGTGGACACAGACAATTCGCGATGTGGATGTGACGGCACCCATCCCTGCCAACCTCAAGGGCCGCGACATGGATGTGGTATTGACCAAGAATAAAATCCGGGTTGCGATCAAGGGTCAAGAGCCCCTCATCGAGGTACGGCTTGCCGATTAACCAGTCACCCGGGAAATCGGTGACACCAAGTGGGATATGGGCCCCCGATAAACGAGCGTCCGCTGATTTTATTTCTCCTTTCGTGTTTTAGGGCGACTTCCCCCACGCTATCCTCGTCGACGAATCCTCTTGGACTCTTGAGACCACCCCCACCCCGCCCGGCAAGGAAATCAATGTTCACCTTGATAAGGTTAACAAGGTTGAGTGGTGGCCTCATGTTGTTACTACTGCGCCTAAGATTGATGTGACCAAGATCACGCCGGAGAATTCTAGTCTGAGTGATTTGGATGGCGAGACTCGTGCTATGGTTGAGAAGATGATGTATGATCAGCGGCAGAAGGAGATGGGCGGTCCCAGTAGCGATGAGCAGAAGAAGATGGAGCTGTTGAAGAAATTCCAGGCTGAGCATCCCGGTAGGTTCTTATCTTGTTCATTTCTTGTTTTTTGTGATGCTTTGAGGCTTGTGCACTGTTGCTCTTGGTTCCTTGCTAACTTGCTACCACAGAGATGGATTTCTCCAACGCGAAGATGGGCTAAATCATTCCTAAACCCCGTTTCATTCTCGTTATCTACGCATAGACGATCAATGTATGAAGTATGAGCTATGTCCATCGGTGATCGGTGAACGGTGATCGATATTATTCAATGAATGACGAATTGCATGGCGTTTGTCAACGTCAACTTTCATGTATCTGTACTTCCATCTCTCTTATGCTTGACCATAGGCCAATGTATTATATCTAGATTTCTGATCTCCTTGTTCTTTCTGATTTCTTTGTTCTGATCTGCCAAGCAACAAATACGAGAATTACCCGATTAGGAATAGCGCGTGAGATCGGAGACGATGTCGATCATCTTTCCCTTCGCCTCCGCCACCATTTCTTCACTCTCGATTTGGCCAAAGAAAAAAGGAGTCGGATTAAACTCACAAGGCGCAGCTCGGCACCGCTGAGCCTCATCCCTCATGCACTGCCTTCAACTGGGATGCCACAATCCAAGTTGCAGAGCGCAATATCGTCGATGCCTTGAAACTCCCCAACCCGCCTTGCCAGTATTTTATTCAACAAGCACCCATTTATTCTCTGTGACAAAACTATTATAAGAACTCCCCTTAGTCTGCATCTTCTCCACGCAAGAGACATGATCCATCAGAAAGATCAGACTCTGACCGGAAGTAAGCCCATGGAGGGGCAGAGAATGGTCTTCCGGGTTCCGAACTACAAATCAAACAATGCCCTAACGCATGGATCTTCGACCGAACAAGTCTATCATTCCCGACGAGCACATCGCAAATCCCGTTCGGGCTGCGCGAACTGTAAACAGCGAAGAGTCAAGGTATCTCACGACCACCTCAGCCCTTAAGATGAGCACTATATTGACAACAACTTGTTCAGTGCGACGAAGCCAAGCCCCAGTGCCTTCGATGCCAGAAACATGATGTCGAATGTGACTATTCCACCAAGCCTGTAAAACTAAAAGGCAACAACATTGTAGCCCAATTCATCGAAACAAACCCTGAGTTGATCTCACTCGACTCCTTGGCTTCATCAATGTCCCTAATGATGGTATCCGAGAAATTAAACGAGCTATTACGACCACCTCCAGGCAGTGGCGCCAAAATACCATCCTTTCTCACAGATGCTTCAGCAACGAGTCGCACGATAGAGGCCCTCCACCACTTCCACAAAGGCCCAGCATTCTCGACCGAAAGCCAAAAGACATTACGCATAGTAATGGGGAAAATGGTCCAACTAGCTTTCGAAGTAAGCCCCCATTCCCATCCTATCCACCATATCCCATCACGTCCTAACAAACCAAACCCAGACCCCCTTCCTCATGCACGCCATAATAGGAGCAGCAACAACGCACCTCTGCACACTCCTTCCAAACAACAAAGCCTACCGCTTAGCGGAAGCCTACCATTGGCAACAAACAGTAAAGCAATACTCACAAGAAGTCTCAACAAGCATAACGTCCCAAAACATGGACAAACTCTACTCAGCCTGCATGATGGTCTCAATGCACTCCTTCCACCAAGAAACCTTCTCCCCACGCTCCTCCTTCGTCTTCTCGCCCGACCCAACAGCCCTAACATGGCTCCGCCTTCAGGGCGGACTCCGCTACCTCCTCGAGCGAACACACCCCTGGTTACCGCAGAGTATGTGGTTCGCGACATTTATGGAATCGCGAGATCCAGCCTTCAATTTCGACGATGAGCGGGCTGGAAGGGTCGGTGTTGATTCCGATTTGGCCGATTTGTGTGGTATCACTGAGGACTCTACTGTTTGTAATACGCCTTATTTGTGGCCGTTACGAATTTTGACCCGGATTCTGGGACTTGAGCGGTGCTCGGATAGTTTTAATAAGTACACTACTTGGATGGGGAGGCTTGAGGGGCCTTTTTATGAGTGCTTGCTTAGGAAGGAGGTTCCTGCGCTTGTTTTGCTTGCTTGGTGGTTGGGGCTTATGTGTTTTGTTGAGGAGTGGTGGGTTAAGACGAGGGTTCGTTCCGAGTGTACTGCTATTTGTATGTTTCTTGAGGGGAGTTGTGATTTGCTTGTTTTGAGATTGTTGGAGTTTCCGGCTTCTTGTTGTGGGTATACATTGAAGCATCAGCGGGAGGGAAATTTGTTTGAGACCGCCGATGAGCTTGTTCTGTTTGACACAACTGGCCTGGAGGATGTGATTATATAGGTGTTTTGGGATGTGGCTTGATTGATACCCTTCTTACTTCTGATTCCCCTGCATGTCTATATCGATGGTCTATTTAGAATTGACAGGATTTTATTGCTATTTCTTATGGTTTCTGACCACATCGATGGACTTCTGATGAGACATATGAAGTTATATTCACGTCTAGTAGTTGTAGCACTATGTATGTGTTAGGCTGCGAGCCTGCCCACGTCCGAGGTTGTTCTCGGTGGCAAGTGCACCGATACACCGATACACCACATCCATGAGAAGTATCATGAATGTGCGGTTCATGTGAAAGCCAGTATTATTAATATCCAAGATCCAAACAAAAGACCCCCAAAGCACCATCTTTCGTACCAAAATCCAATCATGTCATAAACATTCGATCAATCGATCGTCGTCGCGTCGTATGCAGTGAAAAACAGACAAGAAAACTGCAAAAAGGAATGCAGAAACAGCTAACAATGATGCCAGAAATAAAAAGCAAAGGTCCAGGATAGACGATTCCAGATCGTCTTTGCCGAAATACCGGCATGGAAGTATTAAACAGATAGCTCATAAGTGAAGACAAATAGCGAGGAATGTGCATGTCATACTATCCAGCCAAGGCTGAATCACCGACTCTCCCAAGAGACCCGGCGATGACGACGAATAGACCGATCATCGTCCTCGGAATAGGCAGGTCCAGTCCGCGAACCATTAACACGCGCCATAGGCGGCGGGTTAACAATGACAGCCATAGCCGAGGAGATCGAGATTGATCGGGACCGACTTAGCATCACCGAATGACGAGGCGAGTACGGCGGCGGTGGAGTTTCCCTCGTTGCAGTGGATGTATTCCCATAGCTGCTAGGGTAGGAAATAGCAGAAGAAGCATCAGAAGTGACTTCCTCGTCGTAGAGATTGCGGCTCTTCTCCTCCTGGGGATACCCCTGGGACTCAGAGGAGACGGAAGGATCACGCATGTGGGCTTCCAGCGTCTTCTCGTGGAGACTGATCGGACGGGCTGTGTACTGCGGCAGCGGGACCACGCTAGAATAGCCCCCATCCTCCGAGTCATCCGAGGGTCCGTGCCCATTGCGCCCGGGTGAGGGTGAGGGGAGGATGAATTGTCCGTCGCGGTTGAGTGTGAAGTGGCCTGTTTGGATGCCGCTGTTGGGTCTTTGGATCATTGTTTCTGGGGTTGAACAGGGTTTCTCCTCGCGGGAGAAGCATCCGCAGAGCACGGAGAGGAATGACATGGCGGAATGAGCTGTGGTTAAATTGGCACTGTCAAAGCCAGATTTTGGGTTTGTTGTAATGAGAGGAAGTCGTCCCTTGAGTCACTGTCACAATACAAGACCCTCTGCACGGGGACTATTGCATGAACACCCTCAGTTGAGCCTCAACTGATGGTAGATTAAACCCCGCTCGCGTCGATAAGCCCCAGACCTGAAACGACGAGCAGGTATACTGAAGAGCAGATCCAAAACTAAAGCGACATGCTCATACAGAGGAGAAAGAAAAGAATACGAGCCTGAGAAAGAGGAGAGGTGAAAGAGAGGACAGCTTGGAGCTGACTTGGAGGCCGCAGGCATCCAGATTCCCCGGATCTCTGATTGGCTCGGTGCTGATAAGATGGGCAAGTACCGATACATCAATCCCCACCATCTATCCGTAGATAGCCAGGTAGAGGTACGTAGCTCTATTTATGGTTGATTTATAAAGCGCAACAATGCCTGGGTTATCTGATGGTAGAGGTACACATGTTTTGCGGGGAGCATAATTGGATTCAATTCGTTGTTCTCGTGCATATAGGGTTTTGGGATAAGTTTCATGGAGCCCACGGTGTCGCCTGTAACCAAAGCGTCTGGCATAGTTGTTGTCTCCGTTACCATTGTGCACGAGCCAGCCTTACTACAGCCTAGTAGTTAGTTACGTGTACATCCAGGAACAAAGTCCGTTGAGGCTTCACTCTTTGTTGATAAGATAGTTACCAGTAAAACGGGATATAAACAAGGCGGTGTGCCTCGCTACCCTGTTATTGGCCAATAGGAGACAAGGGGCGAAGGCGGTAAACTCAAGTGGAGGATAAACAGTCATGTGATCTCAGGCACCCCGCCAATCGCATTGTCGCCTGTGATTTTTTTTGTCCTCCCCGCAATGATCCCCAGTGAGATTCTTCCCACTCCAGTCCTCACATAAATACCAAACAACATGTCCACCGAAACCAATGTACGGGAAGTACGCGAGGTACTCCAGAGCGTCGAGCCTCCCCAGGTGCCCTCCAGTCGCTCCCACGATCCCAGCAACAACATGAAGCGAAGCGACCCGTTCCAATTCGGATCGCGATTCCTCGAAAAGGGCGACGACGTCTTCGAGTTCAATGCCTGGGACCACGTCGAACCAGATGACGAATTCAAGGCCTTTGCCCAAACACAATATGCGAAACAGCGCGAAACACGAGTATCGGACTTTGATCGCAACCGATTCAACAATGATCCAGCTAAGTGGTGGAACCTTTTCTATAAGAACAACACAGACAACTTCTTCAAGGACCGCAAATGGTTGCGTCAGGAGTTCCCTGTTCTCGCGGAAGTCACACAGAAGGAGGCTGGTCCCCAGGTCGTTCTGGAGGTTGGCGCGGGTGCTGGAAACACCGCGTTCCCTCTGATCGCCAACAATGAGAATGAGCATCTCAAGGTTCATGCTTGCGATTTCTCAAAATATGCCGTGAAGGTCATGCGCGAGAGCGAGCACTACAATGAGAAATATATGGCGGCCGATGTTTGGGATGTGGCTTCTATGCCCACTGAAGAGGACAACGGTCTCCCGCCTGGTTTGACCGAAGGTTCGGTTGACGTTGTCATTCTCATTTTCATCTTCTCTGCTCTGGCTCCTACCCAATGGGACCAGGCTATCCGCAACATCTACCGTGTTCTGAAGCCCGGTGGCCGCGTGCTGTTCCGCGACTACGGCCGCGGTGACCTCGCCCAAGTGCGCTTCAAAAAGGGCCGTTATATGGAAGAGAACTTCTATGTTCGTGGCGACGGTACCCGCGTCTACTTCTTCGATGAGGACCAGCTCGTTGATATGTGGGGTACCTGGTCTGCAGAGAGGGGCTTGCAGATTCCCATCTCTGCAGAGGCTCCCGCAGACGGTGCTGAGGGTGAGACGCCAGAGCCTGTTGAGGAGAAATCTGCAGAGGCTAAGGAGGCTGCCAAGAAGGAAGGGGCTTTCGAGGTTAAGCTTATGGGAGCTGATCGGCGATTGATTGTCAACCGTCAAAGCAAATTGAAGATGTACCGCTGCTGGATGCAGGGTCACTTCGTCAAGCGCGATGGGTCTGCGGTTGAGGCTACTGAGGTTGCGCCATAAGCCACTTAGTCAATCAGTCAATCGATGCTTGTTTCGGATGGGGAGCATCACCTCGGCAGAGATCAACGCAATTCTTCAAAAATTCCGCGTCACGGCCAGCCTCTGTGGCCGTCTCTACTACCCTTCGACCTTCATTCCACAGAGTTCGCCATTTTGAACATAATGCAAAGCCGCCAGTTTGCAATTCTAACTCGAGGAATTGTCAATCTGAATGTCGACATTACATATTGGGTTGGTTTCTGGCACCGAGACCTTCGAAAAATGCGCTAGAAGCTGATGGAAACGTCCACGGTAACAACTAGAGGAGATTCCTTCATGGAGTTATGAATGTACGACAATAGACGATGCATAGAATCTTGCATATACAATAAAAGAACATTGTTTGGCACAGAAGAAAAAAGATTATATAGTAGGCAATATGTAAAGAGCAAATGGCATATGTATGTTCTGATATCGTAATACGATATCTGACAACTGATATGTAATCCCAGAGGATGCCCATGGACAGCAAATGGGAAGTAACTTCGACAAATGAAAAAAGGTTATGCACACCTGCATCTAGACAGATCTAATGGCGCCATCGAGGGAAAAGGAGAAACAAAGGTCTAGCTTGGAAACCGATGCTCTAAGAATCGAAGGTAAAGCAATAGACAGCGAAACAAACTCCAACCATGCAGGCAAAACGGGCATCAACAGAATCAAGGCACCCGTAGAAACAGATCTATGAAGTTTTGAGAAGGGGCCACGGCAGGTCTATGTGTCTCAGCAAGGACACTTGAAACAAGGTCATGTACTCCATGAGAATAAATCATGAGCAAGAAAAAGAGAAACGAAAATGGAATCGTGGAGGTATGTTCAGAGATATGTTCACATCGTCAGATTCGGACATTCGCCCTGGGCGCGTTGGAATGCTCCGGCGAACAAGTCCTGCATGGCGTGGTAGTGGAAGAGGATACCACCAAGAACAGCAAGATGCCAGATGTTGTGGCTGCCGCCAACATAGTCGAAGAAACCTGGCTTCCAGCGCTCGGGAACCTTGGAGGCGTAGACTAGGGCACCGACGAAATAGACTGTGATGCTCTTGACGACTGGTGAATAGAAGTACAAGCACCATGAGAAACCGCGGGTGTAGGATAGCTGGGCGATGGGCGAGAACCCGGTGAGCGCGAGCGTCACGTAAAAGGCTACGCGAGCCCAGGCCATGTCGTGGCGGTTGAAGGTTGGGTGCCATGGCAGAATGATGCCACCAATACCCAGAGACATGGTGAGTAGGATGTATATCCATCGAGAAAAGGGTTCACAGTAGAAAGCGGTGTACTCGGTGGTGACAATCGAGGCGGCGACCAGCATCGAGATTCCGGTGTAGTCGACACAAGCAAAGCGTTCCATCAAGGATTGAGATGCGATACTGTTCATGGTGTGCCAAATGGTACTGCAGACCAGACACTTGCATGCAGCAAAGAAGAAGACAGCAGCAATTGCGATGTCGGATTTCGTGCTGAGGTGGAAGTTGGTATGGAGCGGATAGAAGTAAAACGCAATGGCGAGGACAACAACAAGACCAATCACATGGGACCAGATGTTAAACATTTCGTTCGAGTAAGCGAAGACGGACGACACGCATTCCAACTTGGAAGTAGTGAAGCGATAACCCTTGATGATGTGGGGGTTGACTCTCCATGGATCGGGCAGCTCATGGTAGTTGATCAACCGTTTCTCTTGGGCTAGCCGAATGGCCTCCTCGACGTTCTCGCGGAGGGTATCACGAGCACGGCGAGCACGTTCCATGCCCTCGTCGACAATCTCTCGAGCGTGGACCAAGCTCGAATCCACGGCTTTCCACCCATCGTCCAGGGTGCCGTAGATGCCACGATCACGGACCGCGTGGGCTCTGTTTTCGAGTTCGATAAGGAACGACTCCATCAGGCGGACTCCCGCCTGGGCCTTTTGCTCCAGTGTTTCCTTGGTCACCAGGGCTTCGTTGTATCGGTCCTCGAGAGTCTCCACCAAGATTTTAGCCCGCTTCTTGCCACTTCCCATCAGCTCGCCCGATGCGACCGAACATTGGTCTCTGACAGCCTCCAGTGTTGCATAGCCCCGTTTAAGACTAGCGTCGATTCCAATCATGTGGGATTTCCGATATTGCTCGATCCATTGCATTCGACGTTCCAGTTCGGCCAGGAACAATTCAACCTAGAACATGGTTAGACACATTATACTATGTGTATAGTTCGGAGTATAAACCGGGCACATACCCGGATAAAGACTGCATCTGCATCTTGATAGTCGCACGACAGTCTTCTAGAAACTTGGAATGAATGTCTGCGCCGCCGATCACGGAGAAGACCAGTCTCCTCGCTGGGGGTCGCAGTAGCAGAGGCAAATGCCTCTGTGTCAGGATAAGACTCCACCGTCATTGAAGAAGCGCCGCAAGCCATGAGTGTTCAGTTCACCTCTCGAAGGCCATGTAATGTAAGCGTTGGGGAAGGGTAGTATCGGGAGGGTAAGGAAGGCCGAGGGATCTAGAGAAAACCAAAGGAGTGCAAGGACTATTGGCATCAAGATAAGGAAGGGCTTGAATACATCGAGAACAACAAATCAGGGGGGGGATCGGAAAAAGAGCGAGGAACATGAAGGAGAGAGGATGTCCCAACCAGTGGCAGCCAAGGATGCACATGGTACCGCCTTACGCCTGATTGATCCCGCCTCACTCCATCTCCACATGTTTTTCGGATCCTTGGCCTCTCTTCTCTCGCCACCGGGGTAAATTTTTGAAGGTCTAAGAATTTTCTCGCCATGGCTATCAGTGAGATCGTCACCGATGAGTCGCTTCTGCCGGTGCTCCAGACCAGCGCTGAGACGCTGGTGCAGTGCCAACAGTTGCTCTCCATACTGAACCCCGACACCCTGCCCAACGACTCCGCCAAACTCCAAGAGCTATCCTTGGCCGCCTCCAAGCAGCAAAAGATCCTATTCGCCTTGCTAGCCCGACTCCGCGGGCAGAACCGGGGCGCTATCTTTCGTGTTCGCGACACCAAGCAAGCCACCGCAGAGGCTCGACAGGAGATCGACCGACTGCATCTCCAACTGCAGAACCTTTACTACGAGCAGAAGCACCTCACTGGCGAAATAGCTGCCTGTGAAGCATATGAGTACGTGGATCGGACCTGCTACTGGTCTTTTGACTTTCTTTTTTTTGCGGAGAACTAACATATTCCTGTGCGATAGTCATAAATACCTGTCCCTTCCTTTGATCCCCGTCGAGGAGTTCCTTGAGCTTCACCCCGAACATCGTGAGACCAACGAACATGATTTGATGATCGCCCGCATCAACCATGAGCATGCTGAGCGAGAGAAACTCGAGCAAGCGCGGCAAGAGCTGTTGAAGCGCAAGCAGGCTTTGATTGCGGAGAACAAGAAGAGGAAGGATGATCTTGCGAACCTCGACCAGGACCTTGAGAAGTTTGTCGATGTATGTGCCTCAACTCTTCTATGTTTGGTGTAGTGATCTGATTAACTTTCGACTTTTAGGCTGCCAAACCGATCCAGAAGATTTTCGAGAAGGAATACTAGACATTGCATAGTTGAGCGGATCGAAGGCCCGTTGGTCTTTGATCGCTACATTGGATCGGCGTTACTGGTCAAGATACCCTTTTAACTGCGATTTTGAAATACTAAAGTCGATTTAGTCTCATTTGAGACTCATACATACTCGTGTCTGTGGTTTCTATTGAGACCGTAGATCTACCTTAGAAGCACTCTATCTCCGTAAATCGCGGAGTAATGTTATAGGACAATTAAACGTATGACAATTCCAGCTAGAATTGAACTGAACCTGTTGAGATATTACTGGGGAGCTTGGAAGTATACGCGCTCAATGCGGCCACCTTGGTTACTCCCTGGCTTCTCCGCCCGGCAACTTCCCCAAACACGAATATCCACTTCCTCCTTAGCTCTTCAGAGAGCATGCTTCGACTATGACGACCGAACAAGGAGACCAAGTGTCTCCTCAGGTTTCGACCTCACATGCCAACGAATCCACCGTCAAGCGCCCTCCGCCCCCAGAGACCCCGGTTGCCGTCCAAACGCGATTCCGAGTGATAGCTGCATTCTGGGCTGTGATTATATTCCTGGGATTCCCAATATGGTGGAAGACAACGTCTATTTACAGGGCGCATCTTCCTATTGAGGAAATGGTGGATTGGGCTGATGGAAAGGTACAGCCCGTGCAATCGCTTTTGGTCTCGGAGTTTGGATGCTAACAATCGCCCTTGTAGGCATGTCGACCAGTCTTCCCTCTTGAGATTCACCTTGCGACACCTTCCATGCAATCTATTGAGGCGCAATATCTCCTCCGCACCACACAGCATACCCTCGATGATCTGAACGAGTTCGCCGCTCACCACCTCCGCCTCAAGTTGGCCAACGACAGCGCAACTGTGTCACATAATGCCGAGAATGGTATGGAAAGCGCTATCAATGCCGAATCACAGGCACCAGACACTACATTGACAGTTCGCCTGCTGGCCCAGGAGGGCCTGGCAGCTCCTCGGTCAGAGCTTCATGCAGCCACGACGCAGCTTGATGTATTCTATCCTCCGAGCCAGGTCCCTGTTCCCTCCTCATCAAACTCGCCCCTCTCTGCATTCATCGCGGAAGAGCTGCAGCGATTGTATGGTGAGGAGAAGGCTACGATAGCACACATCCTGTCCGGACACACTGGCGGTCTTGACTCAACATCACCACAACTCGCAGAGAGTATCAGTCGGAGACTGCGCAGATCGATGAAATACGCCGAGACATACCACCTCTCATTCTCGCTCTTTACTCCGGGGTCCGAACCGTCGTCATGGGACATTGAGGCTGCTGTAAAGGAATACCTTTCCCCGCTCCTGCAGGCATTTGAACCCATCAGCAACTTCACTGTCGACACGCAGGTCCAGCTGTATGCGAACTTCGCACCTACTGCGCCCCGACCCGAGTACGATGAAGCAGAGTCAGCATGGACACTCAAAAGGAGGACCTCAGCGCCTTCGTCAACGCTGCCGAATGGCCTCTAAACCCAAGCATCGGCAACGGGCCCACAATCAACTTCATCCTCTATGTCCCAGATCCATCTCAATCCCCCTTGATTGTCAAGGAGAACCGAGCTTCAAGTTGGATTGTTCCCCAATGGGGTGGAGTCTACCTTCTCAACCCGACCCTTTCCAATGCCGAGCAGGGTGGCCAGACAAATCCCGCCCATCTCTCCCAGGATTCTCTAGGCCCTGCCTTTATGACATTCTCTCACCAACTTCTCACCCTCCTTGGTACCCCTAGCACCCCAGCCTCCCTTCCCCTCCGACTTCAAACATCCATCCGCATCCGCGCAGCTACCCTCCTTCTCTCCGCTTCATCCACAATGGGCTCCCTGGCCCGTCTCACCGAATCTCTACCCTCCATCCCTATCCCGGCTAGCGTCGCCTCCTCGGTCTCTACCACTCTTTCCCATCTAGGTGCTACGTGTTCCCATTTGCGAGAGGGCCGCTTCGGTGCCGCGCTTGCCAGTGCCCGGGTTGCCGAGACAGAAGCTGAGCGTAGCTTCTTCGAGAAAAGTATGGTTGGTCAGGTCTACTTCCCAGATGAACACAAGGTTGCTGTCTATCTGCCTCTTTTGGGTCCAGTTGGTGTGCCCCTTGTTGTTAGCTTGCTCAAGGAGCTCAAGAGGATTGCAGCTGGACGCAAAGCGAGGAGAGCGGCGGCCGCGGCGTAGTTTCCATCATTCTTTCTTTTTATGTATTCTAAGAGTTTCTATATACACCCATTCAAGTTCCTTTCTCTAAATCATTGTCAATGACTGCTTATCAAATTTCCACTTCGGTTACTATATCTCCTAAGCAGTTGCTTAGGAGATTGGATTCAAGTTAAAAGCTGCATTGGTTCAATTAAGTAAAAAAGCAAATAGGTATCTAAACAAATGACACCCAACCGTTCAAAACAAGGGAAAGAATACAAGCATAGATATCATGGTACACTATCCATGCAAGAACAAAAATTTCTCTCTGCGATCAACGGAATCCACATGGTCAACCAAATCTCGGGACCTTAGCCATTCAAACATGTGGAGGACGAGGATCTCTGAAAGGATTCTCTTTCGAATCCTCACGAATGCGATATGAAGGTTCTCCTTGGGGACCACTAAAGCCATGCCCTTGAATCAAATCCGTAAAAGTGGTATCAGGCCTCGCAATCGTAGCCGGATACGGTTCAGGCCCTAGGAACTTCCTGGGCTGTGCGAAAGTTCCGGGTGGAGAGTACACCTTGATACTCTCCGTGCTGGGCTCACGCTGCCTTGGAGGAGTGACGGGATGTACAGGAATAGGCGGTACATTCTTGTCTAGTCGCGGACTTTTATGGAAAAGGCTTCTCACTCTGCTGCCGGTGCGATGCATCCTAGACCGGGTAGAGCGTCCTCCAACTGAAGAGCGTTTCATATCGGGTGGAGTCCGGAGGAGGAAGTCTGTGCGGTAAGAGGCGTCTTCTGAGACTATTGGTCTTGAAATGCTCATTACAGCCCCTGTAGAAGTGCGCTGGGACCAGTGCGATGGGAATTTGGATTCCCTGATTTTGGTTTCGGCGTTGCGAGCGCGGCGTCGGAGGCAAAGGGATATTAAGAGAGCGGCGGCGGCGCCGAAGATTGCGCCGGGGAAGAAGCCTGCTATTATGGCTTTGCTTGGGAAGGAGGGACACGATTCTGATAGGACTGCTGATGTGGCGTTTGTGGAGGCTGCAGCTGATGGAGATGATATTGGGGTGAAGGTTGCTCCGAGGGTTGCTGAACCGGTGAATGACGTTGATGTTGAGGACGCAGTTGTGGTTGTGGATTCGGATACAGAGGCTGTTGCGGTTGTGGCGGCAGCTTTGTTCATGACACAGGTGTTTCCGTCACAGGTGAAGCCGAATGGGCAACACTTCTCGCCGCATTTGGGCAGACTGTCGCCTAGACGAGTTGTCTTGATGGGGTTTGAGGGGTAGAGAGTGGCATTCTGCTCCTGGATATCACAGACAATAGGCGTGATATACTGACAGTCGCTGCCCTCGGGGCAACATATGGCGGAGGTGGCATCGTCCAAACTGATGCAGGTTGAGTCTGATGGACAACAGAAGTTATCTGGGAGTTTCGTGCTGCCGCAGTGCTCGTATGAGGTGGGACACGAATCCGAGCTTCTCGAGATAAGTCTTAATGAGTCGAATGCATAACCTTGTCCGATGCTAGCCCAAAGAACCAAGAGTAGCAGAATGGATGGCAATCTGCTGCTGCTAGTTGCTGACCACGCCATGCTGCAGAGCAGACGTGTTCCAGGTGGATGATATGTATCTGTGCCAACCAGCCTGTAGAAACTTTCCAGAGGATATGTGGAAGTTAGAGGAATAGAATTGTAACAGTATCTTCAGATTGAATGTAGGCCAGGAAAGCAGAAGATCAACACTGGAGAAAGATTCCAATGAGGAGGGAGCAAAAAGCCAACACACAAGGGCATTGAATTCAGACTAAAGTAAAAAACAAAGAAAGAACTAAAGCATGTCATTCTTCAGCCCAACGTACTGTCTTGCAAACAAAGATTGCCAGTTGCACGCGCCATCCTAAAATAGTGACTGAGGTGTTTCAGGGTCGGCCCCATGATGAAATAGGGAGCTAGATGGGCGCTAATTCAGAGATATGTTACAGGACCATAATGGAACCGGGAAGTAGAGGAAGAGGATTGGATGAAAGACTGAAAAGCTGCAGAGAAGAAGGCGCTTAGAGGTGAAGTAGTTCGGAGGGATGTGATTGGCTAGTGGGAGGATGTCTTACATAACGCGGGCTAGTCCCGATTGGGCATCACGTCGGGAGGGAAATTCTTCGACGGCGAAGCTCTGCACGATAGACCCGACCATTCACAGTGTCCCTCGTCATGTTCAGCCGACTTGCCAGGCCGCAGAGCGCTTTGCGCGCGGCTTCATCTTCTATCCCCGTGAGCTTCAGTCCACCCAGTGCCCTGGTCGCAATTATTGACCGCGTCTCGTCTAGCCTACCTCCGCCTTCTCGCGCTTCCAGATCCGTGGCCTTCATCGCCTCCCCTCAATTGCAGCATGATGCCACTTACAAGGAGAACGGTATCCCGGAGTTCCTATCTCCCGAGGCTTTCGACTTCTCCTGGACCCAATACCAGTCCCTGCTCGTTGACAAACTCAACCTGTTGACACAAGGTGAGCTCAACACTCCGGTTCTGCGGAACGACACATCGGTCCAATTCGTTTTATATCGAATCAATGCATGATGTTGTATAAGTGGAAATATATGTCTGATCTCTGGACCTCACAGATACCGTCGATGCCGATGCCAAACCCGGAGAATTGCTGGTCAAGTACTCCCGGCGTCCGGAGATGGCCTCAGTGTTCAACTATGCCTCAATGGCCCACAACAACCACTTCTTCTTCAACTGTTTGGTAAGCAATGACTTCAATGCTATACAATATTACACCACCCTAACCTTTCCCTCAATCCAGTCCCCCACAGCCACCACCATCCCCGAAAAGTTCTCTAAGGACATCGTCGACACCTGCTCCTCCGTGGAGTCCCTGAAGTTGGACTTCCTGGCCACAGCAAGCTCAATGTTCGGCCCCGGCTTCGTCTGGCTCGCCAAGAACCTCGAGCGCGAGGGCATGATGCACATCTTCTGCACCTACAACGCCGGCTCCCCCTACCCAGCCGCCCACTCCCGCCGCCAACCCGTCGACATGTCTACCCACACCCCCGAGACCCAGCTCGGCAACCAGTTCGCCGGATCAATGGGCGCCCACGCCCAGAACCAAAAGAGCCTCGCCCCCGGCGCCCTCGACGTGCAGCCCATTCTGTGTGTCAACACCTGGGAGCACGCTTGGATGATGGACTACGGTATCGCCGGCAAGGACGAGTACCTCGAGCGGTGGTGGGATCGGATTAACTGGGATGTGGTCTTCGACAACTACAATGCCGTCAGCTCGCTGAAGGGCTCGCGGAGCGCCGCCAACCGCGATCGGAGTATGGGCATGCTCTAAGCTGAAAATCATTTCTGTCTCTGGATAATTTGTATTATATACTATCATGTTCTTATTTTTTGCACTGTTTTCCCTTCATTCTACAGGCCTTCGTTTGAGCTTGTACAGCGATCCATCCAATAGAATCAATTGGCGATATGCTCTATTTCCGTTTGCTGTCTAGAGTCTAGATCTATTATAGTACATACAAGATGCGTATATATACCAATCCCCAAACTCCCTCTAATATACAGTACATCCCATCCATCCATCTATACATATCTCATAATCCCTTCCCCTCAACCTCACGGATCCGCTTCTCAAAAGCCTCAATCATAACACCGGCCATCTGCCCCTCAACAGCACCCATGAGGGTAGCATGCATCTGGCTCCGGAACTCAAACCGCACCTCAAGATTAACCTTGGTCAACGGCCGACCCTTCGCCTCAACAGGCGTAATAGGCACAAGCTCCCATCGCGTAGAAAGATACTCAAAGATACCCTCCGTAGCACCGGGGAAGAACCCGCTCAACCCGGACGAAGACGAAGCACCCTTTCCAGCCTGGGGGTCAGCCCCCTCTGTCCCATACTTCGACCCACTCTTCGCTTCGACGGTCAGTTTCTCGCGGTCACAGATCACGCGCGATGTGAAGGTCTCGCTGAGGGGGCCGTAGCCGACGGTTAGGAAGGCTTGTGTTGGGTCGTTGGTCGCCGGGTCCCGAGCTGTGACCGTTGAGGCTGTGAGGAAGGGGAGGAATTGGCTGTAGGACTCCACGGAGGAGATTACTTTGAAGAGGAGGGTTGGGTTGTAGGGGAGGTTGCGGGTTGCGGTTAGGACGCGGTGGGGGAGTTGTTGTTGTTGTTACTGTCGCCGTTTGAGGGGAGGAAGGATGATAGTGAGGGGAGACCGAAGGACCTGTTGGTTGTTGTTGGTTTGGTGGCATTTTTTGAGGGGAAAGGTCGGGTCAGGCTGGGTCGTTGGGTTGTGGTTATTGTTCGAGGGTGCAGCTTTTGGTGGGCTTGCTGTTGTTTGGGCACATTTTGGTGACCAGTGATTGGTGTGATTGGGCGACTTGGGAGTCGCACGCTGCGAAATGGTCGCATTGAGGCGGGGGCTGCGTTGGAAGGGCTATAGACAGGTCGGTTCCTGGCAATGGTTGGTGCAGAGTAGGAAAAAGTTCCTGGTCCGCGGACCGGGATCTGCACCAAAGACTCCGCGCCTCGGCAGGAATTGGTATACGCACTTCGAACTTATGTTAATTGCATTATTCAAATGAATTCCTGGTATTCTTCTACTCGTTAGCCTAGATCAATATTATCACCGTCTAAGTGAATATTATCTAAGGGCTGCTAAGATAGCAATGTATTATGCAAATATGTTCCTTAGCTATACCTACAGCTCACGGCCATTATTGCTGATAAAACGAATTATCATCCATCGGTGTCACGCCAGAAGGGTATGAGGCAAAACCTAATCCAGGGTCTGATGCAGCAGTGGAATACCAGACGTTGTCATTCGTGGCCATTTCGATCCCGGAGATGCGACTGTCGTACAAGCGCTATATGCATAATTAGCTTCCATGTTCGTAGACGCAAAGTCAAAGTTCTTACCCAGTCAAGCTGAGCCGGCAAATTTAGCATATCACCAATAACCCTTAATGAGTTGTGTGCTGGCGTCTCGCCGGCTACATGCATTGACGTCTGCACTTCTGTAACAGCTGGGTATCTTTGAAGATGTTGTTGGTCCAATTCTGGTTGGCTATTTGACTGGGGTGGAGTGAAATCTGAGAAAAGTGTCAGTACTGCTCGGTAAGAAGGGCATAGGTCAACCTTACTATCTATGGTCATCATTTGGTCGGTGTTTGCGTGGGGATGTTGGACCTTGCTGTTCTTGACCCGACTGAGCATAATAGTCAGAGCAGTGACTGCTCTCTGCGTGTCAATAGAGTGATATTGTGACTCCAAGAAAATGCGATGTGTGTTTTCCAAAAGGACCACGAAATCTGCACGTTCCTGGTCGCTGAGGCGCGCGGCATCACCCCGATCTTCATCCTGAGATATTTCAAGGCAGAGAATCATTGCCGAAAGTACAAAGTCGGAGTTCGACAGGGAATTTATAAAGTATCGCTCTGCGTATAACTGGCCGCCTGGCATGGACTCGCTCCAGATTTCTGCATGATATCGCAGAGTCTCGCGGGCTGCGGTGAGACAGACTGAACGCGAATATGCAAATTTCGGGTTCGTCTCGCCCATATACCGGCGATGCAGCACGATTCGCGCCTTTTGGTACAAAAGCTCCAAGGTGTACCGACGCATGATTACTTCTGACGCATCTGCGATACATTGTGTCATTGGTTTCATTTGCAAGAACAAAGGCGACATTTTACGCGAGGCCTGCAAGCGGCGGTCGAGTTCCAGGATGTCATCATAGGATGAGGATTCTCGAGAGAACGCCAAGTCTGTGATCTGACCAAAGACTTTCATTATGGGGAATTTAGCTCTTGTGTATGAAGATGCTGTTCGTTCATCTTCGGGCCTTGAGGGTGGCAAATGAGCTGAATCTTCATCAAAGTCGGCATCCAGCAAGTTTGCAGGTAATTCAGTGTCGTATTGCCATGGCTGGATTGTCCGAGGAACGCCAACCTGGAATGAGATCAGTGTATCGAGTTGAACAAGCATTGCCCAGAGGCGCCGGCGCATTTCTCCCTCCCAGGCTGAGAGCATTCGGTAATGATGAGAGTCGCGATGATAACCCATGCGCATAGCCAGGCGAATGGTCATCCCAAGTATATAGGAGACTCCAATTTGAGCATCTTGGCTCCGATAAAATTCAGACAGTGTGTAAAAGAACAGTGCTTGTGCTTTGTATCGTCCTGGATTGATGTAATTTGCCTGTATAAGGCATTGAGATGATCTTTTGCGGAACGTATTCAATGCCGTTGCGGGAGTCGCCATATCATGGGGCAATGGCTCTGCGCTTCGGTGATACATGGATACCGATAGGGCTAACATCGAGTATAAAAGGGAGATCCAAGTGAACGACGCCTCGCTTGGGTGAAGCCAAAACTTCTCATACTCTTTTTGGAACGTAGGAACATGGATCGCAACTGTTTTCTGTGTTAATACTCATACTTTGCTCCAAAGATGATAGAAGTCCTACCAAGTGCGGGCTCAGTTGTCTTGAGGAAGCGAGAGATAAGGCGATCGGCTACTGATCGTAGAGGAATGTCCACAAGCATCTCCTCTTTGGTGACTGGCCGAGAATTGCCAAACAGTATAACCGGTGACGAGGATTCGTATGGGTCATCTTCAGCACCTTGGTCATCCGAGTCATGTCCATTCTCGTCTAGGTACTCTCTCACTCCATGGATCTGCGCGCAGTCAGTATGATCATTTCACAATGTAGGCCATTGAAAACAAACCTCTTCCAAAATGGCTCGCCAATTTGCGCTGTCAATGTAACTAGTTCCCTCATCCTTTACGACCAATGTGCCAGTATCAACCGGAGTCGATATGGTATCACGGTCAGAGGCGGGGGAGGGCGTCACATAAGCACCCCGATGCTCTAGTGGGGCGTTGAAATCAATACCGACGTCTTCATCAGGCTGCTGCTTTTGCGCAAGCGACATCACTAGGTTCTCTAGATGGTGCAAGCGGTCCTGGACTAGAGTCGGGCTGGATCGTCCATGTTGGGCCTTGCCTCGTGGCCCGCGACCAACGTAGGTGCATGCTGCTGCTTCACCCCGCTTTTTACAATTGGTACATGGGTGGTTGCGGCAACATTTTAATCTGGTCACGATCAGAAGCTGCAGTGGGCATGGAAATACAAGTTACTTACTTTCGGAACCTGCATGCTGTGCACGAAAATTGGACACGAGTCCGCTTTTTGGGGGTAGACGTCTCCGTAGAGGGATACAGGTCGTTCATCCTCGTTCAAGTCTCGATTTCGGATTTGCAGGGCTTTCTTATTTAAACAGTCGCATTTATGTAGAGGCTCAGGTTCTTTGATCCAACTAACGCACCTCTGAAACTAGGTGCACGTGATTGGGCTGGGACCAGCAGGTGACAGTAGATAACATAAGCCGTTCCAGGCCTGGCTTGGACCCTTAAGTTTCGCGACTTCCTTTTCTTAAGTCTTACCACCTGGGAGGCATAATTCGAAGGAAATTGGATTTTGCTGAGAAAGAGACGTCATTTGGATATTCTTTTCTATACAAGCAAGCATCAATAGATCTGCCCCCTCTATATATTTCAACCGTCTGGTTATTGAATTTCAGCCTTCATAGCAATAACTCCTCCGGGTGCAATAATCTGCACCTTTGTCACATCGCCTTCCTCAAGAACAATGCGATACTCATCCCCAGCATACAAAGGACTCGTAGCACGGTAAGAGATGCGCTCAGGTACGACCAGTGTTGGATCCGCGACATTTGAACTGCGAATGTCTCGCCAAAGATCTAAAATCGAAATCAAATTTAACGGGCCGTGCACGACGACATCCTTGTGCCCTTCGACGTCTCGAGCCCAGGGTAAGGAATAGTGAATCTTATGAGGGTTAAAGGTCAGAGCAGAGAAACGGAAGAGTGTCACAGGCGTTTGAACCAATGTTCGCGAGTGAGTGTTGCCCTCCGTAGAGATAGCACTTGAAGTAGGATTCAGAGTCGCAAGATGAGATTCTGTCGAGGGAGCGCTGGGAGACTTTGACTCTGTAGGGAAGGGGAGAGCTTTACGGAACACCCAGTTCCTGCATGAAGTCAGATATCTGATCGAACATTCCTCAGCGATGAGAGCATACCTTCGATCAATAATTGACACGCCGTGCTCATTCGAGAATTCCTTCTCGACCCCAACAACGATCATATCCTCACCAGTCTTCTTAACAACCTTAGACTCAGCATTAAGCACCCGCGTTGTCTCCTGCACTTGCTGTCCTACCCGCAACAAATTGGGTTTCCCATCGGCACCGCGTGGCCAGAGCACCTCGCCGCCTGCCCACATGCGTCGCGTGAAGGGTACGTCGGGATTATACGATGCATCAGTTCCATCGGGGCCTAGTTCACTCTCCATGAATGCAGGCGTGAAATACGCGAGGTGGTAGCCCGGCGGCAGGGGTGTCTCGGACTGCGGGGCGGATGCGCCATTGGATAGCGAAGGAGATCCGGGGAAGAGAGTTGGGCGATTGAGGGTGAGGGTAAGGAGCTGGAGCTGATTGGAATCTATAATTTGTGTCCGGGTCTGGGGTCCTAGGGATTGGAAGCGCGATAGGAATGACGAGGCTACCGCTGACGCATCTGGGGAGTGGAGACGCTGCGAGATGGTGTAGCTGCGGATTACGCCCGGTTGGCTACCTCGCGCTAGCACGCGCGGGCGGAGCTGTGTGATTGATAATGATATGCGCGGGGACATTATGGAACATATGCAAGAACAATTGGAAACATCCGGGAATAATTGAAGAACAAAAGTCGTGTTGGACATCTCCAATTCTTATATGCGGGGAAGCCGATTTGCCGGTCCCGAGTCGGCTTTATAGTCAAGACCCACGCATATAGCTAAGAGTTAAGAGCTTCTTATATGGATAAGATATATGATGGCGTCTACGAAGGCATTGTTGGAGAATTCTCCAGGAAAGCACATTCTTGGGTACTCTCAGACTGGCACATGGCGTGAGTTTTGGACGCTGTGGGCTGAGGTTCGGGATGTCAAGGTTGAGATTAAAGAGGTTCACTTGGACGAGTTCTTCAAGCCTCCACCGGAGATTTTAAGAAGAGAATTCCAAGACTCATTGATGTCGTGGAATTTGGATATACGGGTGGGGACCCCGATGTGTGCTGTACACTACAGGATTTGTCGCCCAGCGCTAAGACGACCAGCCTAATGGAGTATATGGATAGTGAGGACTGGTCAATTCTCGAGTAATGTTTACTACTCCCGGTCCATATAAGAGCTTTTGTGCTAGTAAATGCTTCTCAGGCTCACTATACCAAGTGAATAGAACGAGAAACCTATAGGTAGATTGCAGATTGTCCATCTTACACCGTACATCAGTGCTTCCACCTCCGCGGCGAACTCTGCAGCAGTGTGGCGCGACTTCCGAGCCAGAGACTGGTAGCGCGGCGTGGCCAAGGCTGCGACACCGAATACCCGCAGCAACGGCACGTCGTCTCTAGGAGATCCAGACACCGAGCTTCGCGAGGACTGAGAGGTAATCGTGAAGGTTGGGCCGAATTGTGAACAGATTTGCGGACTATTACACAGGGAACTGGTCGAACGGGCAGATCGTCAAAGGGCGACAAGCGCTCCACAGAAAATTTCTGCAGCCCTGGTTGGAGGAGCTGCTTTCGTCGCAGCTCGAAAAATACCATTAGACGACGTGGTGATGATGGCCAACAATGCCGCGGGACTGAGCTCCTTTGCCGGGACTCTAAGTGGCTTGAGGGCATTCGCGCCTAACAAGGTGTCCAGGAGCTGTCCGGGGGTGTATTGGCGTATCACATCCTCGTAAAGTCCATGAAACTTACCCCGGTGACGGTGGCCGACGTCTCGACCGAACTGCTCAGACAGAACAAGTGGGGCGAAGGTGGCAGGATCTAGTATCTTGGCTGGATGATGCGACCAGGTGTTCGGTCTGAGGGTTCGATCCTGACCGAATTCCCCAGCCCAATCGTCGCCAACCGCGCTATTATCACCAGCGTCGTATGGGGGAAGCAAATCCGCAATGCCTCGCGCTTCTGCCGCCAAGGACGGATGAAGCTAAGCAGAAAATGCCAAAAACCTGGGCATATCTAATCACACTGTTCCAACGTCTTCAAATGTGGCCATTGTGCCGGCGGCCACCCGACCTGGGAGTGCCCGTCGACACCGGACCAGGCGATGCCAGTCAAATGTGCCAATCGTGGCAGAGGGCACCGCTGAAACAGTTGCCCGGTGAAGATTGCGGCGACGAATGAGGCAAAGCAGGCACTGACTGATTGCCCTATGCATCACCACATTTCACTGTACTTTCGAAATACAGTAAGTTCACGTAAAAAGATTAAACAATGATCAAGGTGAAGCTAAATTTGAGTGGCCTTGTATTGAATTTGAAGCTTCTCTTATACCTTCAGTGGAGCGTACTGTATCCGAGGATCACTTCCTCAAGAGGCAAGGGGAACTTTCGGATTCAGCCTTGCAAACAGGTCTCATAAACATAATCGGACTCGTCATACTCGTCAATCACCTTCATGATAGTGTGATCATGATTTATCTGCTCATGTAAACGTATGTTTATATCAGAGATTTTCATACACTAAACCTAGTTGTTGCAGTTTCGCACATTTAAGGTCCCATTGTTCTCGCCTACGCAATAACATGAACATCTTTAATCCACTTCAATATACAAGTTCCCAGCTCTGACAGTGTGAATCCATCGATGTGGCCAAAGCTTCTACCTAGCATTCTCGTCAGAGTTGATGTACAGATTGTTGGAGGAACATACTGCTTCTAGGCCCAATGACTTCGTATGACAAGATGTGGTCTGGTAGAACACAGGATGTGTTCCTCCCGGATATGGTATATGTGTAGGAACCTAGCGGTAGGGTCTCCCTCCCAAGACTAACGGTTTTGTGCCTGCGTGGTGAAGCCATTAAATATGGCCCATAAACGGTCTTGCTCGTCACTTGATATTTGAGACTCGGGCAGATCCGGCTCACCGCAAGGCCTTTCCAGCAAGAATGCCCGTTCATCTACAAGAGGCGGTCGAAATCCAGGAATATAGTCTTGAGCAGCTTGGGCCAGTCAATCTCGTCGAAAAAAGGATGTGATTTGATTTCTTCGGACCCATTTGCGCCGAGACGCTGGAGGGGGTTCCGGGAGAGGAGCTTTGCTAGAAGATCCTCGGCGGCTTGTGGGAGAGGTATGCCGTTAGGAGGGATCAGGAAACTGAGAGGTATGTCGGCATCATTGGCAGCATTACATGGGAGACAACCAGTGAGCATCTGGTGAAGAATAACTCCAAAGGACCACCAGTCGGCTGTTGGAGAAACATCATGACCGTCGCCTTTCGTTGCCAGTAGCTCTGGCGCTAAATAACCATCCACATTTTGCTGGTCGGATTTGTCGATCTCGTTAGGTGCATGTGTTTCAGCATCATGGAATGGAGGCTGCGGCCAAGGAAGACGATTGCTAGATATATTCTGGATGTAAAGATCAAAGTCACCGAGGACAAGATAGCCGGTGAGGTCGACGTAAATATTGTGAGGTTGTAATTTGTCGCATACAATTTTGAGATCGTGGAGACAATCCAAAGCGCAGAGAATTTGAGCTGCATAGAAACGAGCTTCGGCAAGCTCAAGACATTCTATGCTTTCTAAGTACTCCGATAGGTCGTAACGATGAAGAAAGGCGCAAAGGAGATAATGCTTCCCCGGAGGTACTTCAATCCTGAATTTCAGCGGAACGACAAATGGATTGTCTATCTGAGTGGCGGCTGGTCTCAGAGCCATGCTGTCGTGTTTGTCTTTGCGAAGAACAATAGATACGTAGTCCAGGTTCGTATTTTTCTTCCTATGAATATGAGATAACAGATCAGTAAAAGCCATGACAAGTGGTACCCAGTACTTGGAAGGGAGATACGTACCGAAGAATTACCGCATTGGCAAGGGAACTCAAAGATTTTCGAGATACGGATCTAACTTCAAACGGCTCAAGTGACACCATAGAAGTGAGCGGTTCAGCAGAGATGAATTGGGCCATAATAGAAATAGCGCCTACTCCGTTATGGAGGCTAAGCCATTCCCGCGTGATTTCTGAAGTTTCAGTGAGCAAAGCTCGGAACACAGCTTTGCCCAGAAATACGTCGGTGTTCACATCGGCCCCACGAGCAGCAGGCTGATACAGCCAAATCTGGAGCTCAGCTTGCCGGGTGACATCGAAGCAATATGTGTAGCTGCGCATATCATGCACAGAACTCTCTTCTTCACCCGCCCAGACAGGAGGCTCGTAGAGGCCCGGGTAGCGAGCATGAGAGATAATTTGGCTCTTGTCAAAATCGACTATCGCATAGGGGAGGGGACCGCGGAGAGCTCCACTGCCTGGTGGCGTGTAGGAAGCGGTAGGAAAGGGCACATCTCTGGTTTGTATGAGGGTCACCTTGAGAATGCCACTAGGAGGCGATGTCACTAGGGTAAACTTGTCAGGAATTCTGGCATGTCTTTTGGTCAACTTAAGCGTACCCTCTACCGGATCCATCTATGGTTGGGAAATCTTAAACTAGAACGAGGCAGAGGTTCTATGGCACATAAATCTCAATAGAATGAATTGCCTTGCAAATCCGAGACAGGAGAGGAAGACGTTGAAAGGAAAATGGGCACAAGACAGCTGTCAGGACAATGGGAGGGAGGGCCAATATGACCGCTAGACCCAAAATGCACGACATATGGGCAAGAGTCTTGGTCTCTACTATAATTTATTTCTTTGACAACAGTTATCGATTGTGGAGTAAAATGGGGTAGTAAAATACACCCGAAATACTTTGGAGGGCGGGGGTAAATTGTATTAGTGCGAGACTCGGAGCCAGCTGGCCTAAATTGCGCAAACCCAGAACGAGATACAAGAAGCAAAGAAATGCTGTGTCTATGACAGACCAATACGAGAGAGGCTATAAGTTACTTTTTCCACTTTCGTTAACACACTTTGTACCATGAACGTCTACTTTGCAATATGTCTATCATGCAATCCCAGAGAAGGGTTTCTTGAATGACTCCTCTACTAAGGAGTCGAGGGGAATATGAGTGAATGCAAACTTTCTTTGTTACGTGCCTTCTCCAATTCATTCATGGGTTGATAAGGCAAGTAGATACCTGCAGAACGACCATATATCATTAACTTGCTGTTGCCGTGGGGGTGACAACGGGGGTATCAATGCAAACATAGTCGCCCACATCCAAATAGGCGCAACTAGTTCCAACAGCCGGATTCCAGGCGTAGAAATCAGCCAGGCTTATACCAGCGGCAGAAGCAACACTCGCACAGCCATTCCTGACTGCGTATGGGATTGGGAGATTGTCGGGAACCTTAGCAGGCCTCTACAGCCTGCGCATCTTGGCCAATGTGCTACTCTATAAGCTGCTCTAGCCAGGGATTATTTGTATTCTATGGGATTGAGAAGAGGCAAGTTCCGAAAGAAATTCAATGACTCCGAGCTAGGAAGGTATTGAAATTAACAGATCACAGGCCACCATTCGCAATAGCTGGACCCTGGATCAATTGAGAAACTCATGTTTCGACAAAGATGACCATAGTCTCTGCTTTAGCTGATATATAATAGGTGTGCCGACCCTAGAGAAATAAAGTCACACTTTTCATACTAGTGGAACTCCACGCTAGGCTATGCGATAGGTATGAGATCGGTCAGGTCTTTTTATTCGCTCCTATCACCGTAGAGTAGTATGTCGCTTAGGAATAACATATCCGTCTCACATACTTCTACTTACGAGGATGTTGCCGTAGCTCGTTGTACCGTTTATGACCTGTTAGGGATTTCTGTGCCGAGAATGAGGCGAAAGTAGCAGATAGTATAATGTCCCACTATCAAGAGCGATATCCAAGTACGAGAATCGATTAGTCTAATATGTGAAACCTAATATATATAGGAGTGGCCCCTGAAATAACACGGACGAGGAAAAAGTAGAAAAAGTTAACAAAACTCTCACAAAAACCTAGAATACCTAAATCATCGCTGCTTGCCTAACAAAGTCGCTAAGTTAACCCTCCATCAACCAATCCTATCGAAAACGAAGTCTTACCATTTGCTACGTTTATATATTTTCCTTTACCTCTCTAACAAGGAACCAGATGGTAGCGAGAATCACTGTCTCGTTGATAGCCGTTGAAGCGATTTAAACGAAGTTGAAATGGTGTTTAGAGACTTTGTGACCTGCTCGAGTGTACTCGCGGAATCATTCTTCTCGAAATCGTGAGTTAAGTATGGTGAACCACTTCATCAACTATTGAGAAGAAAGTAACACCGCAAAAATATGATTCCGATATATCATCGAATTTGCAATTAAATAGCTTAACGAGCTTACACTCTACATCTCCCCGTTTTAGCCACAGTCACCGTCTCTTTTATGAGGGTTGGAGTTCTTTAACAGACGCCGGAATATTGGTTAGAGACTTTGTGGCCGACAGTCATGCTCGATTGTACCTACGGATGGTCTGTTGTGCTAAGTACCCTTTGGTCTCGCTAGAATCTAGTCTTTCTATCCCTAGCCCCGCGCTGCTAAATGTTATTTCTTTCTAGTGTACTCGTAGCTAACTAATATTACCTTTGCTAGAATTCCTGCCACCTAGCGGTATAGACACGAAGAAAATAGCCCTAGATCCAGGATGACGATTGTGATTTCTTAGGCAGAGATAGGACCGAAAGCCTAGATCATGCTAGAAAGCCTACATTAGGAAACTAAGCCTAGTTTCTAGGACAACTATATGTACCGTTGCGGCTACCAAGGCTCACGAGCTAGGTTTTCGTCGATCGCTAACACTAGATGTCGCGTTAATTGATAATTAATGATGGCTCGTATATGGATAATGCTCATAGCATGTTACAACTAGGAATTCTATATCCGCCTATTAAGGAGAAACCTCATCTCGATAGAGTATAATATGTTCGGCTTAGAAATATAAGAATTGCAAATACCCTAAATGTCTTGTCACTCGTCAATACACCCGGCACTACCACCAACATCGTAGTTCTTGGTCTAGATCTTTCTTTTGCGGCTTCCTACACTTAGAAGCCTTAACAGATCTCAACACCTAGACATACTTGACGGTCACACTGTTGGATGTGACAGAGCTAGAAGTGAGAACTTGGTTGTTTTGCTCGATATCAATGAGGGTGGCACTAGATGGACCAACGGTGGAGCCGCCACCCGTAGCCTCAGCGCCGGAGAAGGTCACAGTTCCAAAGTTGGCAAATGGAACGAGAGAATTGCCGGATTCAAAGTCCTCGACAATCCACTCGGCGTTGTACTCACAAAGAGTACCATCAACGCCACCAGTGAATGTGTGGGTCACAGATTTGCCAGTGGAAACGTTCTCAACTGTAGCAGTGCCAGCAGTTGTAGAAGTAGCATCCACGGTCACCTTGATCACGTTTCCAGCGGCAATACTGATACCGCTGAAATCGTAGGCATAATCGGGATACCACTCATACCAAGCGTCATATGAGACAGAGCCGCCCTGCACGCAGAAATCGACACCAGTCTGCAGAATAGCAGAGCCGCAGGTATCTCCATCAATGCCAACCCAAGCGGAGGCACAGTATTGAGTCTTCGAGGAACCCCCGGAAGGCGCCTTGGGGGTGGGCACGGTGAACTCCGCCGTGACAGCGGTGTAGCCAGTGCCGATAAGCACAGCGCCAGCCCAGTTGGAGCTGTATTGCTCATGCGAGGTCTTGTTCAGGTGAAGAACCTCATTCGTACCTGGCTTATAAGGCGGATGGCTTTCTCGGCCGTTAGCGCGAGCAAGCTGGCGAGCCTCATGACGCGCCTGACGCTGGGCAGTTAAGGGAGCCGCAATGGCTGCAGTCGCGAGGAGCGAGGTGCCGATGACGCCAGTAGAGAACTTCATGGTTGCAATCTGCTAGAACAAATGGAAATCAGAGTCGAGACAGGTAGAGTCTGGGTCAGAGGCAGAGAATCTTGGGAAGTGATGGAGCGAAGAAGAGGAAAGCAGGAGAATCGTCTGTCTTATATAGATATCATGGTTACTTCCCAGTTTACTAACACCGAAATAGGACAACATGATGGAAGAGTATCCAGCATATTCGTCATGTCCAATTCATTGCCGGGAGCCTGGCGGCACGGGGCTATCAGGTCGATAAACATCATTACCCGAAGACCATAGGCTCATGGATGGCGGAAGATCCATGCCTACGCGATGAAGAAAGTCACGCCGTCGGAGACCGAGAGCTTGGACAAACTAGCTTCAGCACTATATCGTGGGCTGGCCTGCAGAGATCGGCACAGATTGTGTTTTATGGAATCCGGCTCTCATGGATGGGTCACGACGATAGTGCCAACGTTGACGGAAACCGGCAAATATTAATTAATTAGCTCCAAAATCGTAGCATGCAAGCTATCTGGTGATTATACAATCCGCATAATGTCTTAATAAACCTATACACAATAGGCCAGCCCGGTAGGCCTATGAGCAAGGGTGTCATCTCGTGGACACAGCCATGCCCGTCTATCAAAAACAACGAGCAAAAAGGAGGACGAAGATTCGGGATCTCCATTGGCAATGCGTACCCCGCCATATGCAAGGTCGTTATCGGACAAAAAGACGTGCGAATGCTAACCTGCTGTACTTGTAAAAGGCTTGTTCAAGCCGTGACGAGAAGGTTAGCTCCCCACATTCGTCAAGGCACATCGGGCTAGCCACACGGCACTGTTAGCGCCGCCATCTATTTTCGACCGCTGGGGACCTATGTTGTAGATATCGCGGATGTCCGACGGAGCTGCCAGGCCTAAACTGTGATAAGGCAGCCCCCAATTTGAAAATACGACAGAAGCCAGCCCGGAATGGAAAAGTTTAGCGGAGATGACCATGTTCAGATGGGCCGGGGCCAACTGGGCAACGGTCGGCTATTGCCTTGAGAACAACGCTGAAGGTCTTTGATAAGGGATGTAGATGCGAAGTTACTGTGGCGCTGGGGTTTAAAGCACCTCCGGTAAGCCACGGGAAAGATGCGAGAGCCAAGCTTTGCACAAGCATTACTGCCGAGGACAGAGCTGGAGCGCCGGATGATCAGGAGTATCGGCAATATGTCAGATTTCAGATATTTTGAACCCTGACATGCCGTACCATGGCGGTCTTCCGCGATGCGAAGGCGTATGGATAAAGGAGGCATGTTGACTGGCGTTTGCTTGGTTTAGTCCCTAATCCCCCTTTTTTGGTGCGTCGCAGAGCCATGAACGAATACCAGGGGGAACTCGGTCCCGCGCGGCGACCAGGTTAGGCGCCACGAATTAGCCCGGGACTTGTTGGTGTGGTCCAAGCCCATCTACGCTAACTTGGTTCGAAAATCACATCCGAAGTCCCCCAGCCGAGTCACCATCAGGAAGTTCACGCCATGATCTCACTACTGCCTTGGGGCTGGCCGTGCAGGTGGACTGTGTCCCGAGGAGTCTGCACCTCTCCGAATAAATGGCGGTCAGGCATGAATCCGGACAGGACTTACAGAGTCCTGAGTAGGCAATCTAGATACATGAGGCCGAGAGTAGGACTATGGCAAATGGTGAGAGAATACTACGTAGAAGGAAACAATTGTGTGTCCAGTTTGTGAATCGGCCACTGTCTTATTAGAAAGCGTAGGCTGCGGCAGAAAATAACTCTAGGGGACAGTGTCTGCAGGGAATGTCTTGGACTTGCCTCTGCGCTGCGCTAAATGACGTGATCCGTTATTTGTTCTGCAGAGGGGCAACGCGAAGAACGAATGATGGTGGTGAAAGTCCGATTAAACTCGTCGATTTAATGAACTAGATAAATTCTGAAAATATTCCCAAAAGGGTACTATACCCGTTGAACACCCGTCTCCACGAGTAAAAGAGGCACGGTCATTTGGAAATGTCAGAGCGCCTCCTACTCGTGTTGGACGACGACGAACCGTCACCCCTCCGATGCTCGAGGCCGTACGTGATCATCTTCTTGAGAACCCTGGGATGTACGTGGACAAGACGGTGTTCTTTTTATGGGATGAATTCCATATTCAGGTGACAACTTCGAGTCTCAAGCGGGCTCTTGCGTTTGTCGGCTGGTCAAAAAAGGTTGCTCGACGAAAAGCAAAAAAAAAAAAGTTATTTCCGAGACTTCTACCTACACAACCTATCGGATATTCGATCTTGTCACTTAGTCTATGTGGACGAGTCCGGATGCGATAAACGAATTGGGTTTAGATGGAACGAGTGCAGATTTACACCGGAGCCCTACCCTTGTCGACACATGATTAACTTCCGGTAAGTTAACTTATGGGCCCACGCCCCGTCAGTGTTGGTGCTCGAGAGTTTCCTCTGCATTGGGACAAACTGCGTCCGTGTCTCATTTGACCCAGCGGTTTAACCGCAGCGACGGTGCGTCCACGTCGATTTTCAGTCTCGAATTGGCCGGCGCTTCGGCTTGAAAGGATTCCCATTCCACAGCTTAAGAGGAAGCCCGAAATTAAGCCTGGTTGACTAAAGCTTGGCTCTGAGGTTATCACGCAGAGTGGCCTGCCACATCCCCCTTGGCGCTGGTCCGTCTCAGGGAAAATGAATTGATCGGAGTACAGTCGCATACTTTCACCTAATTGCCACTCTGCCATGAACGAGGAAGAGAAGCAAGCATACATGGCTCTACTTCTCGAGAATGCGGTTGTTTACTGTGGAGTATATCAAAAGCCCCACTTACCAGTATTGCGCATTAACGTCCGCTCGCAAACCCGACAAGAATTTAACTGAGCGAGGCACTGGGATGTATCTTCATTCTCATTGGACAAAAGGCCAGAAACTTAAAGTTTTCTGGCTTCTATTAGTTACTATTAGGAGAGCCTGACTCGAAGTGTTCCCAGTTATTGATAGGTAAGTTGGGTATGGACGCATATTGTGTAGGATCAGCTAGTGTCTTGAAGAGCGGTCTGCATTACAGTATTTAGTCAAAGCTTGGTGTAACCCTATTGCTATATTTTAGTTTGCATGCAGTTAGAGCAGGTAGGAGGTTTCCTCGATTTTAAATTCCCTTCCCCACTGCGCCCCGGAGGGTCCGAAGGTTACAAATTGTCTGTGTCCCAATCACAAAGAGGAAAACGACTGTGCGATTACTTCCATAATTACTATTATAAATAAACAAAGAAACCACGACACAAATGGAACTAAACCATTAGGCGTATTTTACTACCCCACTTTGCTCGGCAACAGGCTTCGGAGCAATGCATACGGATTAGGCGGCCGGCCGAGGAACTCATGCAGCATCTGCAGCTCATCCCGGCTACCGCCGTACTCGAGCACCCCTCTACGATATCTTTCCCAGGCTAACTGGCACCGTGGGTTAGCAGCAAAAGTCGATTCGAACAAGTCTGCGGCGAAGACTTGGGCACTATCTGCAGTTAGAAAAAATGCGATATGCATCCTCACCCCACTAAGCCAGAACTTAGAGAGAAGTCTCATACTCTATCACATACCTAAGATAAGAGTAATAGCCTGCATCGTACCCAGAAAGGAGATGGCCGAAGTGCACGTGAGGGTGCCCTCGATCCTCCCTGTCCGGGATTGGCTGGAGGGTTAACTTCTCGTCGACCTGGTTAAAGAGCGTCGTCGGGTCCATTGCCTCACAGGCTTCGTGACTAGGTAGATCATGTACCTCCATATCAAAGCGAGACACAGCCCTGTGTGGTATATTCAGTTAGCTAGGCTAGTTTATCAAGACAAAGGTGTGCCAAACTTACAGTTGACTTAGTAGCCATAGAGCCCTATTGTGATTGCGGCTTTCAACAAGGGGGTCTAGCAGTTCGTCCGGAATCTGAGTTGGGGGAACTGGTAGTCCTGGGTGGCGTAACTGCCAGTCCTCTAACAACTTGGAGTCCAGGCTAGTGTAGTGGCAGCTCATTTGTCTAAGCTCATCCTTTATCCAGCACCAATTCTCTAGCATTACGCTAGGAGCTTCAGCAAAATCAGGAGGAGCTCGCCATCCGTGGAAACGGGTATATTTTGTCCTTGCCAGTAAATCATGCATTCCGTGCCCAAGCTCTATAAGATTCTGTTAGCCCTTCGTAATTATATAGGCACCTACGGCAAGGGGAACTAGCGGTCAAAACACACCGTGGAAGAGAGAGACCACGTCTTTGTGCTCTAGTAATGCGCAGGCAGTTGCCGTAGGGCGAGGAAAACTACACATTAGTAACGTAGTAGGGTATACCCGGTTACCATCACCTTGGATATATGACTACTCCCCAGATATTGCATGTTAGTCTTGGGTATTTAGTGCGGCGCCTTCGTCTCGAAATCCAATTATAACACGGGGATGCTTACACACTGGATGTTAACGTCCTGTGAGCCGCGATATTTATTCGGCCTAGAGAGTAGGTCGGCGTAGAGATGGCCGATAAACGAGCCTCTGGCATCTGAACTCTCATCCCATACCGACCATGCCTCGACATCTTCGTGCCAACTTGAATGCGCCAAGTGTTCCGGCGCGACACTCTCAAACCGTAGCCGAAGGCAATGGGCAAAGAGTCTTAGCATAGAGGCGATGACAGTTTGAAGTGGGAAGTATTCTGCAATTTTCTTATGCTGGACGTCCAACTCTTCTTCGGCCAGGCGGATGTAGAACTTGAAGTCCCATGGAGGCATAATATCAGGGTGCTCGTCTGGATATTTCGAGTGGCGGAGGTAATTTCTCTTTCGTTTCAGTAGGAACTCCATCTCCTTCCTTCCTTTTGGAAGGAGGATATCCTGTAGATTATCCAAGAAATGGTGCACCCAGGCGGTAGTCTTGGCCACTCGCTTCTCCAGCCTGAATGCAGCATGGCTAGGATAGCCTAGCATACGAGCATTGTTATCACGACGCAGAATCACATCCTTAAAGATGCTAACATTCTCCTCCGCTTTCTTGTCATTAGCGGTATAGAGACGCTTTCTAGTGGCCGGAATTTTAGCGTACTTCAAAACCGTAGCCACGTCGTGCTTTGTGAAGGGGATAAAGTAATCATTTGCAGGCCTCTCGGACTTTCTATGGAAGCGAAGCATGTCAGCATCATGAACTCCTTCGAGGTCTGATTCGGTAAGCCATATGCCTCCGACGTTGTCCGTAAGGTTTCTGATGAAATTCCGCCGCAACATATCGATCGTGTTTCTCGAGTTTAGATATTGCTCGATATCCTCGACCCGCAGCAAGCCATGTCCACATCTCGTGTAGTCTTTCAGAAGCTCGTCTAAGTATTTCTGGGACTCAAAGTCCAGTGGCTCGGCCTTATCTCTAACTGCCTTGACAAGCAGGTAGAGATCCTCCCTAGCTACGAAGTTTGACTCGGCCTCAGAGAATAATTGCAAGGCTTCCTCGGAAGCTTCTCTGGCGGCTTTCTCAGGAGAAGCGTATCGCAACATAGCAACCATAGCTAGTTTCCCTTGCATTTCGTTCTCGACTTCAATCAGAGGTTGGACAGTATTGGCAAAGCAAGCTGTTGTGGGGTCCACGTCCCTAGCGACGGTATCAAGAGCGGCCCGGTATCTCGCTACAATATTTGTCATTGTAGGAAGGACGTCTTCGGCTCTTATTAAGCCAGGAAGTGGCTGTGATGCAAGAATAGTCATGGTTTTGGGATCAGAGATTTTAGATTCTTCGATAAGTCATAGAGTATCGGTCGCAACTTTCCCTTTGTGGACGGTGGGTGTTCAGGTAAGTTTTAGCCTTGGCAAGCGGGCTACAGACTACTTATATATTAGAGTCAGTGGGGTAATGGGAGGTGCGGGGCATAGACACAAGGAATCATAGCCTGTCACAGATGGCTTATTGCTGTATGCACAATGGAGATAATCCGCGAAACCTATAGAGAGCAACATCATGTTCCCGATCCCCTCCATTTCATACAGGAGTAGGAAATCAATCAACACAACGGCTGAGATGTCCAAGAAGAATCCCACTACCAGATAGTCATTCCCACTTTCTCATTAGATACTACAGGCAGCCGATAGAAAGGAGTAAAGAGTGAGAGCGGCTGCACCTATCCCAGAGTGTCCTCAGTGCCTTAAAAACAGAACGTGCTTGGATTTGCTGAGGTACGAAAAAAACATTGACGTAACTTTGGATTGGAAGACACAATAATTACACAGATATCTGTAACTTTTTGCCCACCTACACCGTCCAGTTGATAATTGGATATTTCGGAAGGAGACAGGGTTTCACTGACGACGACTTTGGACGTGGAAGTAAGTTTCCATGTAACTAATGTAAGCCCTAAGCGAGTGGGCCACCACAAAACTGTAAATGCAAGATACTATCAGTTAACGAAGAGATACTGTTGCGGCATCTACGGAGTACACCGAGGTGTTGAAGATAAGCCAGATGAGCTATGACCGGTGGAACGAGGGTATGCTAATCGTCCGACGAGGAAAAGCTTAAACAAAATTGGCTCCGACCCACTTGGCATGCAGTGGTCCATCGATCTTCTCGAAGACATTACATTCTGAGACCCTTTTCGCCTAGAGACTTGACCAATCACAACCAGCCGGTATGATTTCCACCATCCTCTTTAATACTAGTGCACGAATAAGGTTAGGCACTCTTGTAGCATGTGTATATTAGTTGTATTGTTATGGTGTTCTGTGGGTCATGACCCAGTATTATAGATACAGGTCTAACCCTAATGCATGAGTAGTGCGTATCAGGGTGACAGGACAATACCATTAGTACAGGGGATCCAACAGGCACCGTATCACTCCCTAACTCAGAGCGTTGCAACATAAAGCGATTAATAAGTCAGCCAATCACAGTTCTTTGGCCGAAAGGAATGACAACTGTCGACCTGGCTTCCTAGACCTGTACCACCCTATTCTTCGCTCTTCGCCTACACACGCGCTCTTCTTTCTCTCACTTCCCACATCCACCTGCCGCAATGTCAGAATCCAAGGAAGTCAAGGGCAAGGCTCCCGAAGAGGCGACGGAGGCCAGCGAAACGGTCGACCCTCCATTTGGTGAGACCGCGACAAAACCCCCACCGACACCCACAACGGCCAAGCGGAGAAGAAGAAGCTCTCTGGCAAATATACCAAGGATGGAGAAGGAAAAGAGGGTACCACGTCTCGCGGCAAGTCTGCTAGCTCGATAATCACTCCGAAAATGGCAGAGACTCTACTGGAGATGAATCCCTCGCTCAAGAGCGAGATGGAGGGTATGAATAAAGAGCAAGCGACGGAAGCGCTGCGCAAGATGGGCCTCGAAGAGCCGTTGACGAGCCTCTCGATCGGAGGTAAGAATCAGAAAGGCATGGCGTCTTACAAGTTCTGGCAGACACAGCCTGTGCCGCGGTTCGATGAGCAGGAGAAAGCTATCGAGGGACTTATCAAGATCGTCGACCCCGAGCAGGTGTCGAAGGAGCCAGATCAGCTGCTCGATGGCTTTGAGTGGACTACGCTGGATTTGACGGATGAGAAAGGACTTCAGGAACTCTGGGATCTCCTGACGAACCACTATGTCGAGGACGACCATGCTATGTTCCGCTTCCGTTACTCGCAATCGTTTCTTCACTGGCGCGTCATTGCTTCCGCCGTTCTCCTGCCGATGACTGTGTAAAATGCTGACTTGGAGATACTAGGGCTTTGATGTCTCCCGGCTGGAGGGATATATGGCATGTCGGAGTGCGAGCCTCCAAATCGCGAAAACTGGTTGCGTCCATCTGCGGCGTTCCCACCGAGATCCGGGTTCGCGACCAGAAGTTCAAAGTCATTGAGATCAACTTCCTCTGCATACATAAAAAGCTACGATCCAAGCGACTTGCGCCGGTTCTAATTAAAGAAATCACACGTCGCTGTTACCTGAATGGCATCTACCAGGCTATCTATACCGCCGGAGTGATCTTGCCGAAACCCGTCAGTTCCTGTCAATACTACCACCGGCCCCTGGACTGGCTCAAGCTCTACGAGGTTGGCTTCTCGCCTCTTCCCCACGGGTCAACAAAGGCACGCCAGATAGCCAAGAATCACCTTCCCAATGAAACGTCCATGCCTGGTCTTCGGCCCATGGAAGTCAAGGACATTGACGCCGTTCAAGAACTTTTGGAGCGATACTTCCGACGCTTTGATCTAAATCAGGCGTTCACGAAAGTGGAGGTTGAACACTGGCTGGTACACAGGGACACTGTCAAGGAACAAGTGATCTGGTCGTACATCGTCGAGGATCCGCAAACCCACAAGATCACCGACTTCTTCTCATTCTACAATCTCGAATCTACCGTCATCCAAAATGCAAAGCACAAGGAAGTCCGTGCCGCTTACCTGTACTACTATGCGACCGAGGCTGCATTCACAGAGACGGAGAAGGGCCTCAAGGAGCGCTTGTTGATGCTGATGAATGACGCTCTTATTCTGGCCAAGCAGGTACGATGACAGGCACTTCTCAGACCACACCTTTTCCCTGAGGTTGTGAAATGCGACCGCTGACATGAATTTCTTATAGGCACGTTTTGACGTTTTTAATGCCCTGACTCTTGCCGATAACCCCCTTTTCCTCGAACAGCTCAAATTCGGAGCCGGTTATGGCCAGCTCCACTACTACTTGTACAACTACCGTACGGCCCCAATCGCGGGCGGAGTGAACGAGCAGAACTTGCTTGATGAGAATAAGAGAGGTGGTGTTGGCATTGTCATGCTGTGATCCGAACTTGTTGTGACGATGCTGAGGTGACTGGATGTAGAAGGAACGCGTGGTGATGGCCTCAACAGGCCTCAATTAGGGCAGGAATCCGTGCCTTCATTTCAGAGTTCACCATTTCCTGCTCTACATGCCTAGGTGCCGAGTACGAATTTCCACTGAAGTGAACAGGGGATTGAGCAACTGGCGCAAATCGATGGGCGAGTCTGGTAGACGTGAAGTGTCGAGTCCGGTCATATGTCATCCAGCGAGAAAAGTAGATTTCAAGCGATGGTCAGCAAATGGTTTATCGTAACAATTTCTAAGTAAGACAAATGGTTGCAATCCGCACTCCAAGCCATAGGCGCCTATGCCTTCTCGGAAGAATAGTAGACGGCTCCTCAATCAATGGTTTGCCATTGTCTAGAGCCGTCTTATCAAAGAACTTCGTGGGGTAGCAAAGCCGGCTCCAAATGTGTCCTCTAATCAAAAAGTCTTTCCGCAGTTGCTGGGTAGGTGTAGCATCGAAGCGGAGGAATGATTCGTCTTCAATCCTTGAATATTGATTTTGGGCTGAAACCATTGGATACAACTTGTCATTCAAGCCTAGCTGGAGAAGAACTATCCCGATAACCTACCCTGATGCATCCGTCTCGATGAAGAATGGTCTAGTCGGCTCATCGGTGAGTGCTGCTTTGAGTCTCAAGAACGCACCTTCGCACGTTGTCGTCCACCGAATTGGATGAAACTTCTGTTTGCGAAGCCCTTCATCCGCTTCCTTAAGCAACTCGTGTAAGGGAACACAAACCTTCGCGAAGTCCTTGATGAAGCGGCGAGAGTTCGTAGTAAGACTAACAACAAACTAACGCACTTCCTGCACCTTCCGCGGCGTCAGCTAATCCCTGATAATCGAGATTTTAGCTAGCGGGGGGCGAACGTATCCTCCCCTAATAACAAATCCCCAGAATTCTAGTCTATCGTGGGTAATCTCGTACTTCGCGGGCTGTGTGAATTAGCTTATGAGTTTTAGGACCTCAAGTACATGTCCGAGGTACCGGTAGTAGTCTTCTATCGTATCCGAATAGATAAGAATATCGTCAAGATATACTACTACGAAATGTGACAATTGTTTTCTAAGCCTAGCAATAACTTCATTCTGCAGATTGGTGCCTGAGATATCTGTTTGGGAGTTTGGGATGTTTGCCTGTTTACTGTGTACTTGAGCTCCGAGCTCCCTCCTTCTGGCTGACCTTCCTTTCCTTCTCTTTCCTCTTCAGCTTCGATACTTTCGTCCTATTGGTACCGAATTGACCTGCTCCCTTCGATTGACCCGTAACAGCTAGGACCACGTGTCGGGGCCGAAGTATCCCTTCGCAGGCAGGTTGGGAAACAAAGCCTCCTGGCCAGCCCCGCCGTCAATCGTCTCCCCAAGCACGTTATTGCCCCACCAGCTGATCGATTTCTGATGATACTGCACCGCGAAGAAGATGATGATGCCTGAGAACGCGACGCCACCGGTGAGTGCGGCCGAGAGGACATAGTTATACTTTTCCCACCACGTGGTCTTGTACCTTCTTAGGTAGTACATAAAAACGAAGGAGCAGTACAGACCACCGGTGTAATAAGTGAGATTGAGGGGTGCCCAGAAAAGCATTCCGTTGAAGATGAGCGATGGATGGACGTGCTTGAGCCACGACATTGGTGTGAAAACCAACATATTGATCGGCTTGAAAATAGCGGCAGGCAACATAGACTTGCACACCTCGCGGAAATTGGATCCAAAACGCTTGGCGGTCCACCACACGATCGCAAGGAGGAATCCCAGCAGGAAAGTGTATTTCATAGTTGGATAGATCTGGTCAAAGATTCTCTTTGGACCGATAGCACCCTACAGTGATGTCAGTGCTCTGATCCGCCTAGAAGGCTGTATAGGTGATATCTTACCCAAACGACCGATGATGAGAAGTAAATTTGTGAGCCGTTTTCGCAGTTGAAATTGGAAGCCTGGCCCGGGGTACAAATGCCCGGAATCTGAGTGTCGGCGAATTGCACAACTGCATAGGCGACAAGGGCCGTGATGATAGCGCTCAGTACTTGACCGCGGTACATGGCTCGAGGGGGCACCTTGGCATAGAAACCCATCTTCTGGTCCGAAATGTAGTTATCTGCTTGGCCGTTGATATTGTATCCGAAAGCCTTCACGAACATCAGTGCCTCGGGGTGTCCAGGCAAAGCGTAACCCACAATCAGCTCCGTGACAACGTTCAACCCTTCCGTGGTACCCGAGATTGCGTAGAGGTACGACATGGGGATAAGGAATACCAAATTGAGCCCAATTACGAAAAAGACGGTCCAGACAGGTGCTCCGAGCTGTGGCCAGTGAGTCACAATAATGATCGCGAAGATGAACGCGATCAGAGAGATCATCAAGAACCACCAGTCAGGAACTTCAGGATAATTGCGCATCAGCTTGGTAAAGGGATCATCGAACTCGTCGTAGATTGAGGTATCATCATTCAAGATGTTATACAAGTGTCGACTAGCTTCACGGACATTGCCCCTGGCAAGGCAAGCGGTTGCATTCTTGACACCGATAATGAGGCTCCTAATGGATGAGACAGCGGCCCGCGTCATTGACTTGTAAGCTCTGAGAAGTGGTCGCCAAGCATCCAGAATGATGAACACCATCGTAAGCGGGTAGAAGGCAAAGAATGCACCATATACGACAAGATTTCCAGCACTGTAGAAAGCGGGAGAGTATGCCTTGTAGGCTTCCTCATTGAGAGTACCTTTATTCATCACCCTCGTAATGTTATAAGAGGCTCCGGTGTTGTCGAAAATCCCAGACGAGTTCGGAGGAAGATACGCTGACCAGTTGGTGTTGGACCAGTACAAGGCGATGATGATAAAACCAGCTAGGAGCGTGCCCAGGAACTGCTGGGTGTATGCGAAGAACGGATATGTGAGCGGATATGAATACACGGAGATTACATTCCAATCGAATGACGAGATGGGATTGAACCCAAGGCCGTTCAAGGAACCTGTGATCATATTCAGGTTGAAGTTGTTGGGTGCGATCCACGTCATCCAGGCGAAGTAGCTCAGGGCTTGGAAAATAAAATCTGGAAGCCAGAAGTAGACGAACATGGCGGTAAAAACGACGAAGAAAAACTTATATCGCGACATACTCCAGCCATAAATCATTTCCTTCTTCTCAGGCACCAGTAGCGCTCTGTTCAGGGCCAAAGTGGGCAAGATGTTGGGCCACAATGCTTCGACTGGGTAGACCACGAAGCGGCGGAGCAGACCGGAAAACCCAAGACCCAGGAGCTGGGTAGACAGCAAGAGCAGAATACTGTAGCCCGGGGTAAGCCATTTGTCCTGGTAGTAGACGGTCTGGGTCTGGATGTTCCAGAAGCAATAGGCAGAAGTTAGACCAACATCGATGATGATGGTGGAAAGCATCTGTTCTTTGTACGTCCAGGGACCAGGATTGAGAGAAACTCTCTTGCCGCCTATCATGAAGCCCCAGTCTGGCAGAACCCATGCAAGGAACAATCCACATGGATAAAGCAGGATTTGTGCCACGGCAGATCCTAGAGTGATGGAGGGATAGCGCGAATTAAACAAGGAATTGGTGAATTGGGCGATAATGGCCCACATATAGCCAAGGAGGTGGGCGCGAATTGTCTCGCAGGGAATAGTGGGATCGTCCGTCGGTGTAGAAACGGCGCGCACCTCAGGGTACGGCGAGTAAAAGCGATTCAAAGCTGTCTCTGTCTTCATCTGTAGCTCCCATTCTTCAATGTTTTGTCCCTCAGATGGCCCTTCCATCAAGGAGGCGAGCTTCTCTCGCAGAACGTTGGAGAAATTATAGTCATACTCATGGTACATGAGAAGGTTTTGGATGATATCTTTGCACTCGTCAATTGTCAAAGTGCTGATCTTGTCCATCACGTAGTCAATGTCTTGGATTGGTGCCATGTCACCGTGACTATCCACTAATTTCTCAGTAAGATCGTGCACCTTTTCTGCCATATCGTGAACAGTGGCCGGGAGGGCACCTTTCTCGTCGATGGTTCGCTCTAGTGAGCGATCATCTATGTTGGCGAAGTCAGGTCCGCGCGAGGCCATGGTGGCTGCTTCCTCAGTTGTGGCTGGGAGGGAGCTTAACTAAGGATGGACTTGATGGCCTTGCAAAGAGTTGCACAAATTCAAGGACAAGTGCACTTGTGTCACGAAGTAATGCAGAAGTCGCATGGAAAGAACGGAGGGACAGAGAGGATAGTGTGGTGCAGCTGAGATGGGCAATTTATAGACCCTACCGCTAGAGCTCCGCCGGGCAACCATGTGCAAACGCCATTTATGATTGTAACCAGCACCATTCTATTTGGCGCAAGCAATTTGATAAGAAGATTGACGAATTGCCTATCAACGGGTTTTCTCTCAGGGCCATCGTGCCACCAAATAACTTGTCCATTTGCCGTCGAAGGCTAGTTGTTCCTTGGATCGAGTGCCATTCTCCCTAGTTTAAAGCTAAGATGTAGGCACTATCTGCAGGCGCTGCGTCTAGAAAGCCCTGAGGCCACAGGCCAAGTATCACCTTCCGAAAATCGTTAGCCACACTAATTTTATGTCTCCTAGAGGCGAGCGCTCTTGCAGGAAATAAAGAGGTGGGCAGTTTTTCTTTCCCGCGAAGTATAGGAGGAATAGCAAATTCGGCCTTATCAGATAAACTCAATTCTACCAAGCTTTGATGACCTAGTGCAAGTGGAAATTTAAAGCGGGGCTATGGTGCACGATTTAAGCTTGCGCACCTGCGAAGCGCTTTACGCGTACTAATCGCCCAATCAGCTGGCTTTGGCTTGTGAAGCCCAAAGCTTGACACAGGTCCCCCGTCGGTTCTCCGCCACGGCACATTCTCCCGATTTAAATCCGATTGAAAACCTTTGGGCGTTAATTTACAGGCTATATCCTGAGCTTGAGCACGCTCGTGATAATGCGTACACGCTTGAGGCATTAAAATCTGCTCCTAAGGAGGTATGGGAGAATATTAGGGACCAGGTACTAGCGCGTCTATTACGGACGATGCCGCATCGTGTGCAAGCAGTAATCAAGGCAGATGGTTGGTACACAAAATATTAGGGTAACTGTATGTAATAGATGGTCAATCTATTACCGCGTTATCCTATTTTAATCTAGTGTGATGCGCTAAAAATTAGTGCTTGTCAAAAATTAATGGCATGGCACTGTACATCCCTCGAAGAGCGTGGCATTTTCAGTGGGTTAAGGATCCCGGCAGTCAGCCTGTCCAAGCTCCGCTGGAACGGGATTATAAGTGAACGGCATTTTCGTTACGTGTTCGCTTCTGCCAATTGAACGAGGCGATAATTCACCGTAAGTGATTAGACTTTTGGAGATAGAGGATGCAGGCTCATAAGAGAGTTTACGGGAAGTCAGTCTTGATTAGGAAGGAGAGCGAGCATAAGGGGTGCTATATGTTATAGGCCAGTCAAAAATAAGGGGACCTATTCGGTGCTATGAACGAGAGAAGTGAAACTGCAGAGAAGGAAAGGGAAAGAGGAAAGTACCAGGATCGTGGGGTTTCATCTACTCCTGCCATGATGGTTTCGTTTACGTTCCTTCCCGATTTGTCCCAATTACCCCAGATTCAGCCTATGTCAGTCCCAGATGGTCACATAATATAGGACTAGAAAAAGGTCAAAGGGGTGAAGAGTACGGAGTACGGAGATTAAGGTGAGCAATACAGCGGCGCTGGACAGACAATACGAATAGAGCGGCATTGATGTGTGTGTCTGTCTGACTTTGCTGTTGAAGCGTTGTCAGACATCAAGGGTCACTCTTAGCGTGTTATGACGCTGCCATTATACCTCGTCTACCATACAAAACGAAAATAGAACAAATGATCGATGAACAACCCTGTCCTTAGTTGCTAAATGCCACCCTTCTTCCACGTACTGTCTTATGTCGAGGGCTTAGAGAATTCCCCGTTTCCCTCTCCTAAGAAATATAAATTGTCAAATCTTCTTGAAAGAGTTCGACCAGATCTCACCCTGCACGACCCATAATTTCCCTAATGCTCTGGAATACCGTTGCACCAGCATTATGCCTGAGCGGCAAATCCGAGCTGCGGTCCACTTGCATCAAAGACGACATACTGGCTCTTGAGGAAAATATCGCCAAAAATGGCGAAGCCAATACCAGTGTCAACTTGGATAGAGCCAAAGCAAGTTGAACTCCCGGTTGTAACAGGAGCATAATTCAGATACTTTGCTGGAATGACTGCTTTGTAGCCATTTATCACAGTGGTGAACGTAGGGAGTGTTGCAGAGCATGGGAAGACCCAGCCACCATAAGTATTGCTGTTCGTAGCTCCGCTGACCTTCGCATAGTACTTATTGACAATTGAACTACTAAGGAGGAGGAGAGTGGTGCCGGTATCTACAGTTCAGAGGATCAATTAGAATGAAACCATGAAGATTATGAAATGAGGCACTTACCTGCGATACCGCTGATGGATGTTGACACAGTAGAGCCGCTTCCAATTGCATATCCAGATGCAGTGAATCCCCAGTAGCCCTCAGAGTTGTCCACAGAAGTGTATGTAATCGACCCTGTGTACTTGGAGCTGTCAATGAAGCCAAAGTCATACACGCCCGGTGCCTCGTACTTAAGGTCCGCACAAAACAAAGGAGAAGCCAAGCTGGACTGAATGTTGGCGAAGAAAGTTAACTGGGACACGGGTTGGACTGTCTACCTCAGTATATAGCCACCGACGTGGAAATGAATTCTTACCAGTATTGATAGAGCTAAAGGCGAGACCCATAAGGCCATCTGATGCGTCCTGCTCGAACTCGGAGCTGATGGTTTCAGCAGCTTCAACAGCTTGGGAGGTGGCAGTAACACCTCCAACATTCACATAGTCCAAGTACACATCCCCACTAGCCGAACTTCCATCTCCATATGAGATGTCCCAAGTGTAGCCACTCAGGAGCTCGGCATCAGCGCTAGGGATGTACACCGCATGGCCTGCAGTCTCACTGGAGGGCAGCCCATTGGAAAACACCCAACTTATTGTAATCAGTCGTTAGCAGGCATATGTGTTATGCGGCGGTAGCCTATGATAGATACTCACAGGTCAGAGGAACCAGTATCGATGTCCAAATTCATCGTTGTGCCACCAATATCAATCGGAGTAAGATACTCCTCATCGTACTCTGTTGGGGTAGTTGTGACACTCCCAGTAGCTGCGGCTGCGGCCAGGACATGGTCCGGGACTTCAGCGCCATACTTATGTAACACCTTTGCATAGTGGGCAGCTGGGTTTGTGGTCTTGGTAGGGGTTACCTTAACCTGGTTCACAGAGAAAGACTTCTTTTCTGCTCTGGCAGAGAGAGGGACTGCTGCAGTCAAAGTACTAACGCTGAGGATCGCAACCTGAATTCGAGTGAGGGTAACCATGATGAACAAATCTGTGATAGAAAATAAAACTGCAGTAGAAATCTTGGTTAGAGAACCGCAGAACTTCAGAACTAATCAACATTAACCAATGATACTGATGTGAGATTTATACATGTTAAAGCAATGACTCCTCCATCCTAATAGCGCAAGGCTAAACTTCCCCTTATCTAGGTGAGTGACACCGTCGGGGGCCCGGTTCACCCTGATTGTATACTGAATTACAGCGCAGTATTAGGTGTGCTTACAACACTTTCTGCAGCACTTTCTATTCTAATTCTTAGAAGTCTGATCGGTGGACTTAGCTTAGCTCCACAACTTTTCAGGCGCCTTTCAGGTCACATTAACTCCTCCCAACCGGAGCACCGCCGGGATATTATTCACTTTCGTCAATCTGTCCCGCCCTCCACAAAGTAATAGTGGAATGGTGATGAAGGACATGTTAGTAAGATCCCATAGCAACACAAAAAAGCCCTTCGGCCCGTTCTTCTTTTAGAGTCAAAAAGCCACTGCGGTGTTACGTGCCAGGAAGAAGATCAAATCAACATGTGCATTTCAACTAACTTAAAGTATCGAGACTAGAGAGAAAAGAAGGGAAAGAAAGTATTTGCTCAGGGGTCCCTTGGTAAGCCGCCTCCCATCCGAATTCGGCTAGCATAGTTCAGTGCCTAAGCATGCCATATCAGTTCTACCATCCTGTGGTCCGATGATCCAACTGTCGCAGTTATGACCCATGGATGACAACAGTATCGTCGTCCGGAGGATTCTTGAACAAGACGTTTTAGTATCAAGATGTGGAGGCCATAAACCAAAAGGCCGTGAGAGCTCACATCGATAAGTTATGAGGAGATGCACTCTATGGGGCTTCTGCAAATGCTTTTGTATCGCTCGTTACTTCTCGGTACCATGATGTAAATCATCTCTGTTCTCTTTATTCATCCATGGATGACGGTCCTTCCCCATTTGCAAGAGTTCTCCGTTGCCATCAGCCTAGGCAGCCAGGGGAGTATTTAAATATAGGCAGGACACGATGGGTATAAGGCTAAGATATATCAATGCACCTATTGGCGTAGTCTTAGATCTTACCCATAATCTACAGCCTACGCACGCCGCCCTGTTCTGGGCCTCTCGGTGGCCAAGCTGTAGCCTAGTTTTATCAAAATTGTAGATCTTAAACCTAATTCGGTGAGAATGTAGGTGGTATTCAAACAGGCCAAACCAGTGCTCAATCTCCCCGATATCTTCTGCGTCATTGCGCTTGGTGCCGAGACGGCTTTTGTTTCGTGATACTGAACTGGGGAGGCAACATCTGATGAAGTGATATGGCCGATCTTCGGAAACTGGGTGGAACGGGGGCGTCCGTGCATCTGGAACTGAATCATCACAGACGAATCGAGCACAAGTGCCCTGGTTGTTCTAAATTCCACCTGCAATGGTTCGAGATCTCCAAAGATATTGCAATAGGAGTTGTCCGCAAGTAGTCAGCTTGAATAGCGACACTGCCGTACAAGAAACATATGAAAGATGGCGAGGAGCAGTGGATTCTGAAAAGTGAGGAACAGGAACATCTGGATAAGCTGTGTCGCCCAGGGATACCATTTTCAACGCCTTCCTTGCCTGTTTTCAAAGAGGAGGAAACCCTTTCCTCCTCGCCTTCTGAAGAGAGTTGGGCGATTGAGGGTGAGAGTAAGGAGCTAGAGCTGATTGAAATCTATCGTTTGTGTCCGGGTCTGGAGTCCTAGGGATTGCAAGCGCGATAAAAATGACGATGCTACCGCTGACGCATCTGGGGAGTGGAGACGCTGCGAGATGGTGAAGCTGCGGATTGCGCCTAGTTAGGTAGTTAGGTACCTCGCGCTAGCACGCGTGGGCGGAGCTGTGTCATTGATAATGATATGCGCGGGGTCATTATGGAACATATGTAAGAACAATTGGAGACATCCGGGAATGATTGAAGAACAAAAGTCGTGTCGGACATCTCCAATTCTTATATGCGGGGAAGCCGATTTGCCGGTCCCGAGTCGGCTTTATAGTCGAAGACCCACGCATATAGCTAAGAGTTAAGAGCTCCTTAGATGAATAATATATATGACGGCCTTTAGAGTAACAGAAGGCAGTTACTGGATAGTGTCGGCTATTGAAATCATGAATTGAGTAAGCCTGTAGCCTGTGTGCACTGGTTTTAGTCCTTGAATCTACCTAAGCCCCAATTTACCTCCTGAGAATCAATATTCCTTCTTGCCTGTCTCGTAATTGGCCTTTTGAAGTGTTCCAGTACCTTTTGTAGCTTCTTAGGCCTACGTAGGCTTAGTACAGTTAACAGCATTTCTCAGTAATATATGTAACCTAAACCATTGTTTTTCTTTTTGTATCGCCTTTAGATATATACATAATTTGGTAGTCCCACAATCATTATGCCCAATTAGTCGCAAGAGCTAGATCATGTGATAAATGCGATCTGACATCCTGACATACATAAGCGCCAGTGACACGAAGACACCAGCATGCTGCCCCACTATGACGATTCATATTCGCCAAGGTGATAAGAGGTCAAGATTTTGACTTGGCCTGATTGTGCTCTGTGTGTGGTTGTTGAGACTCACACTCTCAAGATAACTATCCAAGTTGGGGCCACCATGTCTAAGTCAGGTGGACATTGGTACTTCATGCCTGGAAAGCACTGTTACCTCAGCATTTACGATGTTCCTATTTCAGGAATCAGTGATAATCAGTGATAGAAAGGTTGTCGCTCAGACTCCCAGCGAAGATGAACTACCTGCTACACTTTGCAGATTTGGAACACCAAAGGCAGGATGAAAACACAATATGTGTACATATCGACGAGATCAACGACATGTCTGCATTCCCAGCAATTCTCCAAAATCATTACGCTTGAAATTTTGAAGTTAATCCAAGCTTATATACCAATGGTACGGGGTCTCGCGGACTCATGTCTATGGAGGTCTGGTGCCAATCAGAGTAGATGGTATGTGGTTGAAAGGATTCACATTCGAAACCGCGGATTGTTCTATCACCCTGGGCACAATGAAAAGGATCCATGGTATTACGAGAAATCCGAGGACTTTTTTTTGCGAACACTAAGACATACAATCGTTGGGCTAAGTACCTATTGGGTACTCATGAGGCTGGGGGAACGATGAGGAGAATCATGGTTCACGAAGATTCCGTCACTTTCATGGTCATCACTGAACGTTCATAAGGCAGCCTCTTTAAGCGACTCTGGCGCTAGCCGCATTGACCCTCCGAGCTAAAACACTGGGTACCTTGGCATCTGCAACATCGACAGGGACCAAACAAACGTACCTCCGACCAGTTAGAGCCAATCCGTGCGTGATCATTACTATTTCTCAAGAGCCTATGCCTTGAAAGGATACCAATACACAGTAAATCCTTATGCGTCGTTTGGGTACCTATTTCCAGAGCACTGGAGCGAAGATCATGTGTCGAACTGCTTTGTGGGCGGAACGGTTATGGTGCGGCGCGAGCCACATTCCCGAGCGATCAAGTCCGCTCCGAAGAATGGAGGCAGCCAATCTCCACCACGTCCATTGGAGGGCCATCACGCGGACTAGGAACCAACATGGATGCCGCTCCTTCGAACCGAAAATAGAAACATTGCCCGATTTCCACAATCCGTTCAATGATTGATTTATAACCGGGCTGTTCCTTTATCTTAGCTTTAGAGGAATACAAAGCAATATCCAAAGTGCCATAGATCAGAGTCCCGTCGAACCCTTGCTCCTTCCTGCATGTATATTGGTATAGCGTTTGGCCCCAATGTCCGCTCCACCTAGTCCAACAATCAACGATGTCGGCGTCCTGCCGTCAAGCACCAGGGATTTCAAAAAGCGCAATGATGACAAGATAGTATCTGAAAATCAGAAACCGACCGCATTACAAGAGGCTTCCCCGTCAGGCTGAACACGATGGCAATCAATCAAGTCAATACGAAACACGCCGGCTTGCTTGCCACAAAATCCGAGAAGACCCCACCTGGATCGGTTTCTAGGCACAGAAACAAAGCTGGCATCAAAATTACGAAAATTCAAACAAGCTCCGACACACTACATGTGGATATCTCTTCATCGACAATCAAGCGGAAACAAAGTGAAGTTTCCCATCTCGGCAAAACTCCTGGTGAAGCCAGCCAGATGATGGTTCTGACTCCGTCATCACCGGAGGATATTAGCTTGCTTTCTGTTTTCTTCAGATCAAGTAAAACAAAGCGCCTCCGGCAGACGAGCTCTGCGTTATGGAAATTGCCAATTGTTAGTGAGATCAATACGGAGTTCTCTGACCCCGAAACGATACTTCTTGGGCCCGAAACAGGGCGATTGTATGCGGCCAAGCAGGAGTCTGGGTCGGAAGGGGCTTCAAGGTCACAAAGCACTGTCACAGATGGTAATGAACAGCTGCAAACTCCGATAGACCGGGCTAGTGACAACTTGTCGCATGAACACAACATAACTTCTCCGCTGCACACAAGAACGAAGCGAGAAGACAACCAAGATTCTTTTACATCGTTTGAACTTGACTCCATACTTTCGCGTGGAACCTTAAAGGGAGTGGGTGCGGCTCAAAAGTCGCTTCTCAAAATTATACCGCTTGAATTGCTCCAGCACTTGGGGGAAGATAGCAGGAGATGTCCGGCTCGGACAACCCTGGGCCAGAGATGCAAAAATCCTCGTCCTACCAGATCTTTTTCAGCGCAGCTCCAAAGCCTAGCCACCTTCAAACCCAGCGTACTTCTACCGGTGATTCAACAGCTTACAGAAGTGGTATTCTGCACATCACATCGGAAGGTCGCATTCCGAGAAATCCAAACCTGGAGAGAGGAATTTCAAGAGCTCGCAAAGATCCAAGACTATGAGTCTATCTTCCCAGTAGAAAATGAGCGTTTATTGGCTCTTATTTGCTGGATTCGTCTCCTAGACCGGGCGGCGCTGTCTCAACCATCACCTTCCTCTTTCCTGCAACCTGCGGTTGGCAAAATTGCCCAAACAGAGCCGCCTCCGGTCAACCCGATCCAAGATTTTAAACCTTACGTCAGTAGAGGTTTATCTGGGACAATATCCGAAGAGCTTGCAAAGCTTCTGACCACGCCTCTCAAAAAAAGCGATATCAAATATCATGGCTCGATGTACATTTTCTCGCAACGTGGGAACTTTGGCCACTTGAAAATTGGACGATCTGGAAATGTATTCCGCCGTCTGAAACAATGGAATAAACAGTGCAAAAAGACCATGGAGATTTACTTCCCCGAATCGGTGAAGAACAAGGACGACAGTATGCCTGATGAACAACAGGTTCCACACATATCGCGCGTTGAAGCTCTGGTGCATCTGGAACTGAATCACCACAGAAGAATCGAGCACAAGTGCCCTGGTTGTTTTAAATTACACCTGGAATGGTTCGAGGTCTCCAAGGATATTGCAATAGGAGTTGTCCGCAAGTGGTCAGCTTGGATGGCGACACTGCCGTATGAGAAACATATGAGAGATGGTGAGGAGCAATGGATTCTGAAAAGTGAGGAAGATCTAGATATGCTGTGTCGCCCAGGGATAACATTTTCAACGCCTTCTTTGCCTGTTGTCAAAGAGGAGGAACCCCCTTTTCTCCTCGCCTTCAACGCTCGCTTCCAAGTGCCAGGTGAGAGGAAAGGGTGTCGGGGCTTAGAATGGGAACATGGTATAGACAGCCCTTAGGGCCCGAATCATGATTGTTTTGAAAAATAACCAGCCAGACACCCGATTTAAGCGGTAATAATTCACAAGCTCATCTGCCAAGCACCACGGACCAACTTGTTTAGAATTTCTGGTCGAGCTGGTCCCGAAAAGTGTGGTCACATGCCCTACAGAGAATGCAAGCCCCAGGGGAGTGGAGTTGAACACTTTTGAAGGCGCCCTTTGGACTATAGTTACTCGGAATTTGAATCCGCATCCTGCGTACTTTGTTCAACTATGTCGCCATTGAAATGTTCCTACTTTCGCTGCCAGAGAGACTTCTCTTCGTCTTTAGTGAGGCAGCAGTATATTGAAGACTTTTTGAACTACCACATTTACCATGTCTGCTACTCACTACTCGTTTATACGATAGAAGATGACATTGATCTATATCTGGAAGAAGAAAAGCACAGCAAATGTATCTCTTGTGATTAGGCTGAATAACATAAGTTTATTAGTTCATGTGTGATTTATCAAATTATGATCTATTGGTATTCGAAAGTGGTATTTAATAAATAAAAAAATGTTCACGCATTCAGTGTTTCCAATAGCTTCTACATGCTGGGCATGTGGGAGCAAGGGCTGTTTCTAGCCATCGATCGATGCATTGTTTGTGGAAGTTGACTCCACAGCGTGCCTTGCACCATACCAATTCTTCATCTTGGTGTTCCTCCTTATCTTCGGCTTCAATTTGCTCATCATCATCATCATCATCATTATCATCATCCTCTTCCTCGTCTTCTTCTTCGTCGTCGTCGTCGTCGTCGTCATTGGACTCGCTCTCCTCTTCCTCATCCGTGTCCACATCTTGTTGTGAAATTTGCAAATTGCACAAACAGATCCCACATTCTCCTTCAACCTCGCGGCGATTGGCCTGTGGTGTTACATCCTGGCTGTCCTGATTCCTGGTGCTGCTGGAGACGCGAACCACAGTTGGCGGGGTCGATGGTCTTGGGCTCGAAACAGAAACCGCCCTTGTTTGATGACTGACTTGAGCTTGCGCTGGTCGAGGTACAGTGATTGCTGACTGATTGGGAGATTCTGTTGAGCGACTTCTCACTGTTCTATCAATGAGATTTGGTGGAGGTGTATTTCTGCTCGATACGCTTCCCGCGCTGCTGGAACTGACGCCTACGCTTGTGTTTCTACCCTCGCGATGGATAGGACGGTTTGCAGTAATTGATAAGGAATATTGAGCGACCTCGAGGCGCCTGACCTCTTCCGTAATATCATGAAGTCTTTGGTAGAGAAGGGCAGTTCTCTCCTCAATGTCGTCTTCAGCAGTCTCCCGATAGATACTTCGGGATGATAGCCTCATCGGCCTTGCAGATCGTGTCGAAGCGACCCGCGAATCGAGGTATGTACGGACTTGTCTTTTCCAACGACAGGAAAGATCCGAAGCTTGGCTTTGATGGAATCTTGTGCATAGCACATGAGGAGCTAGATCTTCTAGCAGTGTATCGATGCTGCGACCGGCTCGAAGGTCTTTGGTACCCTCGTTGAGAAGCATCATTGCTGAGCTGCGACCGCGTGCATTTGTGCGGGCGTGGCAGCGACGGCCCTGTGAAGGAGCGTAACCGGCACACCATGGCTCTTTCTCCGGTTCGAGCTTGATGATCTCGGATAGAGGGGCCAAGGGTGAACTTGCGACGTAGGAATGTCGGGAAGGCATTTTGAATTTATTCGGGAATATAGAGAGACACCTGATCGGTATATGCTGTTGGGTATGGATGGCTTCTCTTCGATTGCTTTATAGCCACTGGACCAGGAGATCTATTTCTTTTAAATGCTTCGGGCTATACATGCGTGGATCCTTGGAACTCTCCCTGTAGACATGGGACGCTGCTCTGCCACAATAGTGTGGCGCAACCCCCAGAATAGAAACTAGACAGGGCCAAGGCGGATGGAATGAGAGATGCCTGAGGACGGATGGATACCAATGAGAATTGGCGGCACTAGGCGTGACGCATGGTAGATGATGGCCTCGGGGCTGTGTTTGCATCGGGCTTTCACAAAATGAGGGGTTATTAGTCCTCCGTTGGTTCTCAGCGGCTATTGATAGGCTCTTGTTTGAGACAGATACAAGGGGTGTGGGACTTTTGTTCTGCGCGAGATGCAGCAGTGACGCTAAACATAGCTGTACTCTCTTCGTTATTGGCCATTGATATCTAGGTTTGCGGGTGCCTAAGGGATAAGAACATGGGAATGCGGACCGTGCCGGGGGCTAACTAGGGAACAGCGGCTAACTCGGGCGACTGAAAGTGGAAATCACGTCAGTTGTGGATGGCCATGACTCGCGAGCCTTCTGGTCCCAGCCTCTTAGGTAGGTGCATGTGGGCGGATGAAGTGCGGGGCGAACGAACCCAAGACCCACCACTCTATGAGTTCAGCCTCGTAGTATATTGTTTGTTTAGGTTAAATATTTTGCATAAATCGCTCCAAATACTAGCTGATATGGGATTGTGTTCAGCATAAGGTACTACTTCTAAAGGTGCCTAGATCACTCTTTTTACTAGACGAAATCATATAAATTTCGCCGGTGTTTCTCGGGACAGTGACTGGAAACCGAGCATGACCTTCGATTCACCATGTGTCTGATGTCGCAGGTTACTCTACTAACAGATAAGTTCATTGGCTTGTATACCGGAGACCTCTTTACGCCGTTGCCTAAAATTTAATACAAAACGCGGAGAAACAAGCACCAATATTTATAAATTAACAGCAATTGAAAAGAATCGCTTCGAAAATAGATACTCTCAATGGACTCCCGCGGAGCAGCGCGCTGCCCCATCCCACCTCCCTCCTTCTTTCCGGCCGGTAAATAGTGCGAGAGCGCTTCTAGACTATATACGTACCCTCTAATATCTATATTCGTGGTAATATTTACCGAAAAAAATGCCGCGAATAAGGTATTCTATATCCTTGCCGTAACTATAAAGCGTTTTCGTGGCTTAGTCGGTAGCTTGTACTTAACTATTAAGACTACATTTTGTAAACTTAAAGGGATAAGAGTAGATTATAATAAGAATTAGTAGCTTAATCCATTATGTAGAGCCCAGGATTGGAACAATATCCTCGGATCCCTTGTAAAGAGCATATGCCGGATTAATCATTCCCAGCCCTAGGTATAATATTCCTTTACTTTCTTCTCTCCTGAGATCTGTCTAACCTGGTCCTGTCATATAACGTATTCTGTAAGCGAGTGGTGCATGTAAGCGAGTGGTGCACTCCAAAACACTATACTAAATGGGATAAATTACAACCTAGTATCTCAACAACGGTGGTCTATAGCGACGTTGCCTTCTAGCATAATACTTTTTAGGTGATATCTAGGCTCTTTAAGGAATTTAGAGAATTTTTGTAGCATAGTGAATAAGATATATATAATTCTGGCTTATAGTAACGTAATTTTCGATACGGTAACAATGTAGGGGTTAGACTTCGTCAAAATTGATATAAGGTGTTGAAAAGCCCTATCAACAGCTATCGGCAAATGATCAAATAAAATAAAAACGTCGATGTTGAGATATCAGTGTAGAATATATCGGATTTAGTATGGTGTTTTGGGGTGCACCACTCGCTTACATGCACCACTCGCTTACAGAATACGTTATGAGAATCACTAGGCAGTGCAATAACCCATACTTTGCGTTTCAGTTGATTTAACTATCAGCCACACGCTAAGGAGCCTCTTGTTAGTTTCCTCTTTATTTTATTTTATTTTATTTCATACTTTTTTTGAGGGAGAGAGACTTTAGCGCCCTTACCCTCCTATTAGTCCTGTCACATCGGCCCTGAACTGCAAAGCTGCTCCCGACGCGTGAAATCAGCCACACGAATCTGCCTCGTGCCTCCCAACAGATACAATAGATTTTGACCCTGATCTCAGGGTCGCGTGAAATGTGAATTGCGCAGATCATTGCGCATGACTGAATTGACTTAATAGATAACCAATTGTTGCCTTCATGGGCTCAGTCTCACTGATCTCCCAACACCGTTGTTGTGCCATTCCACCACTGAGCATGTTTCCTATATTTTGGCACTGTTTGTACCTTTAGACCATGGAGGCTGAGCCTCCACATTGACTGCGCTTTGCTTAGGCACCCGAACGTCTGGAAGCTGGCAAGTTCGAGATACCAACACGAAATGATTGAACAGCCATTATTTATTAGATTACGATAAGTCTACAAGACGCATCTCGCATCCCATTTTTCTCTTTCTCCAGCTGACTATTCTAAGAATTCCTGAACCTCTAAGCCTCTATCTATTTCACGCTACTCTTTTTTCACCAAGTGATAACTTTGAACATCCAGTCAATATGACCAACGATATCGCAGAGATTCTCAGCGGCAACTTCAAGAGCTTGATGTTGCAAAAGAACCCAAGTGAATCAGGCAGACAGACTACCAGCCGATCGGGCCGTTCCCTCGAAGATTCAGCATCCATACAATGCCCACTAGACCAGCTTTTCAGACGGTCACTTCAGTCTGTCCTCAACTCCCAGCGGGCCCTCGATCGTATCGATCAATCTCATCCATTCTTCACCAAAGTCGAAAGAATCTGCCAGGAAAATAAATGGCCAGAGCACCGATTTGAAAACTTTCGAAGACTGATGTGCGGCGTTCGAAATTTCCCGTGTATCTTGCTCCAGAATCCAAAGAATGACCATCTTGAATACAATGAGATGATTAGCAAAACGAAAACTCTATGTTGGATTCAAGACACCCTCAAAGAAATCGGACTTGAACTAGACGACATCATAATCATCGATCTATTCCCTCTGTTGACCGACGAATGGCTAGATCAGCACCCCAACGAGCGAGCAAAATATATCAAAGATATGTTCCAGCTGACACTTGATTTTATTCAAGAGTTCAAACCACCAATAATCCTCTCTTGTCAATGCTGGAAACCTACCGAGAATGTACGCTGGGGTCAGTTCAAACACAATGATACTGAGAAGCTACGCTCATCGATGGCCGGTGCTAAGATGCAAAGGGTATCTGGGGCTTACTTTGGAGCCCATTTTACATATGTCGTTCACGGGTTCCATCCCGCCAAGTGGGGCTGGGTTAGGAAAGAAGAGAGAATCGCGTTGAAGGTCACCCTGCGTCTGATATTTCATTCGTTATTCAACCCGTGTGCGACCTGGCAGATGGACTACAAACAGGCTTTAGAGTCAAAGCACACGGACAAGATACACTCTATCAAATTGGTGATATACACTCGTCGTCAAACGGGAACTGAGTATGAGAAGATCCGCGAGGAAGGGCTTGCTCTTGGTACGTTTAAGTATCACCAAGGCTCAATCAGTCCCGAAACATGGGTTGCTTTGAAGAACGCACTTGATGCGATCATTGGAGACATTTCTCGCAATTCCAAGGAGCCTTTGTGAGTATAAATACTTGCCTGGCTAACGGCATTGTGGCATTATTTATTGTGGATGTATGGTGCTACCATATTTGACTGTTCGCCCAGAATTCGAATTTTGTTGTGACCTTCATGTTTAGTATTTTTTTTTCAAGGGAGTGGTAGAACAAGGTCACGACGGCGGCAAATTCCTCGTGGTCGTAGGTCATCTTAATTGTCTGCTCCAAGGGCTGTTATTCTGATTTAGAAGTGCTATGAGTGGATGAATGGGATCGAAAATCAGGAAGTGGAACTAGCGAAGCATTCTAAATGATAAGAGTTTAACACCAAGGTGCTAACCCCGATCGCCGTGATGGGTCAGTGCAGTGCGGTGGATTATTGTCTTACATAAAACTTTATTTAGACTAAACCAACGACAACAAAGAGGCGAATACAGATTGACGAATTGAGGGCTGTCGAGGGTATCTAGGAGGTAAAGGCAAATATACGATGTGCTCTAGGAATGATGAAACCGAGATGAGAAAGAGGACAAGTCAAGAAAAACCAGGAGAATCAAAGTCGAACTTGACCACCATTCATGCGGTCCCAGTCCTTTTGTCCAAAGGGAACATAGGTGTCATCTTGAAGCCAATAGATCAGGTCCTTCTTCGAGACAAGGGTTGGATCGACACCTTCAGTCCGCAGGACGTGTTTCTGCTGCTTGTTGTTGCCAGTTGACTGCATCTCAGGTGTGACCCGCAGGAACAAGGGAGCCGCGTATCGAGGTAGGTTCTTGAGGGCATGTGCAGCCAAGCTGGCGAGTACCTCGCTTGATGGCTCAAGTGCAGGATCAGAGAGATTACCGCTAGCCATTTGTTGCTTGAATACTATGGCTGCACATCCGGCACGGCCATCGTGGTTTGGAAGTGCTACACCATAGACGTTGGCTTCGTACACTTCAGGATGGACACCTAAGACCTCCGAGACCTCGCCAGTAGACACATTCTCGCTCTTCCATCGGAATGTATCACCCAGTCTGTCAGAGAAGAACCAACGGCCATCTCTATCCCATCGAATCATGTCACCGGTTCGGAAGTAGGCATCGCCCTTCTTGGTCACATCACGGATTATCTTACTTTCCGTGGCCTTCTTGTTTCCAAAGTAGCCCTGGAAAGCCGCAGTGGGATCTTTTGCATCGATTGCGAATAGCAGCTCACCAGGATCACCTCGTGGGACCCTCTTGCAGAGACCAGTCTTCGGGTCACGCCAAGGCTCCTGAGTCTCATGATCAACATCCACAATGGCAGTTGAACGGCCGAAAACGATGTTTCCGATAGCACCGTTTCGGCCGATGGCGCCTGCGGAAAAATCGTTGGACGAGATGTTCCATGAACCCGCAGTGCCTTCTGTGGCTGCGTAGAACTCGGCGATGGTAGGGACGTTGAAGCGCTCTTTGAAGTGGTTCCAGATGTCAGGGCGCAAACCATTTCCGAATGCTAGCCTGATATTGTGTTTCTTGTCAAGGTCCTCGCCAGTGACCGGATCTATTTCAGGGGCCACGCCCAAGAGATAACGTAGTGTTTCGCCCACATATTGAATGATTGTGGCATCATTCTCACGGGCCTCCTTCATGAAGTTACGGGCTGAGAACCGGCGACCAAGGATTAGAGTCGATCCACTCATCAAGCAAGTAACGAAACCAAGCACCACGGCAGAACTATGGTAGAGAGGCATGCATGTGAAGAACTTGTCCGAAGGCGTAACACCCATCCAATTTACGATGAATCCACTGCCAGACCAGCACTTCTTCCAACTGACAATGGCGGGTTTCGGAAGTCCAGTGGTGCCACTTGTGTAGATCAACATAGCCATATCGCGGGGAGTCAAACCGTTGCGCACCTTGTCATCTTCCCGGGTAACTTCCAATGACATTATTTGTGCTTCTAGCTCTGGGGTGTGGAATACGATTTCGACCGAGCCCTTGCCATCCCGGAAGCCCGGTGAAGTCAAAACCTTCTGCTGTTCAGCCGGGAAGCAATGACTAACATCCGGATCAACGATCAGGAGCTTTGCGGTGGATACCCGTATCGAGTGGGTGAGCGGCTTGCCAGCCAGGTTATAGTTGATGAGCGCTGGAACTGCCCCAATGCTCCAAAGTCCAAGCAACATGAAGAGGAATGTGGACGAGTTCATGAAGTCGATAGCGACAATCTCCTTGCCCTTAACGCCATGGATCTTCTTGAACCAGGATCCGTAACGCAGTGCCATGAGATATGTCTCGTAGAAAGTCCATGTTTTTCCATTGTAGACAATGAAAGGGTTATTGGCAGTTGCGGGGGCAAGCGCATAGGCTTCCAATGTATAGAAGAGGTTCAGGCGGTCCCCACGTTCAGCAAAGCGTAGCTTCATGCTCATCTTGAAAAGCGATCTAATCATATTGATATCGTAGGAGAGTGAAAATTTTGCATTCAAGTATGCCAGCGTTGTCGCCACGGCAGGCAGGGCAAGACCCAAGGGAATGTCTGCGCATACGTGTAGCTTGTTAGCGGGTACTGTGTTACCATGCAAGCCGTAACTCACCGGGAAGCGAAGGCAACATTGTGAATGATGCCAAGGATGGGACTTAGAGAAGGAGACTACGATGAGTGGTAGAGGGGTAGAGAGGAACTGGTAGGCGAAGTCGCGGGTCCCAGTCTGAGATGTGGCGTACGCGTGGCTAGGGAAAGGAGCGCTGTGTCGGTGTTTTTTGCTTGACACCTTTGAGGGCCAGAAAAGTCCATTAGAGGCACAAACCAAGTGGACACCTCGGGACGCAGGGAGGAGAGAGAGGTTATAAGGTGAGCTTGGTTAGATTGGGGAAGTTGCCTCGGCACGGCACCGATGACATAACTCGGCATATTTAACTTAGTGCACGTTCTTTGAATTCTATGCATTCAAGCCAACGTTGCGCTTTTAGCTTGGAGGTTTCTTTTATGCCCTCAAGGAAAGCGACGTCTTTCTTCACTTTACACGATTTCACCATATTCAGGGTACCTAACATTGAAGCCTTACCTCAGGAATACATCACTCAACTTCCAAAGGGCCTGTTGAAACCCTATGCCCAGTTCAGCCAGTTCTAATCCCATACGTCCCTAATTTTGATCATATATTGAGTCCATTTCCTATCCGCTAAGAGGATGTGATGTATAAATCTATGAAGTGGATCCCAATGAGCTTGTTGATCATACGTCATCGCCTAAGCTCTATCGAACACTTTGGTACCTCTCCTTCTATTTCCCTTTGATCTCCATTTTTAACCTTTCATAACTCGCCCCCACAATGCCTGACCTAAGCTCTGAAGAAGAATCTCGACTTCAGAATGCTATAAGTACACTCCGTCATCGCGCTGGCGTTACAAGGCGCAAATTGGCAAAGGAATTCAACGTTTGTGACGTCGCCTTGGGTCGAAGATTTAAGGGCCACGGACCTCGGCATGGCCGCTCCGGCACCAACAATGCATTAAACGTATACCAGGAAAATGCCTTGTATAGTTGAATCCGTGTTGAAAATGCATTTATGGCGACGCCGACCGTACAAGAAGTTCAAGTGGCTGCGGATGGAGTAATTTGTCATTGGTCAGAACGGCCTCGGGCACCCTGCATAAAAACTGGGCGTATGGCTTCTTTAAGCGCGATCCAGAGCTTCCGGGAAACAGGAGCAGAAAGCGCCGCGGGTGCCAAGCCAAATTGAGCAGACTACATTTGCTCAAAAGCTCGAGGATGGTATTGCCAAAGTTGAAGAGCAGAAGGCACACGTTCTCAGGACCCGGAAGATCCCTGCCGAAGTGCTGCGGGTTTTCAAGGTTCAAAACGAATCCACCGCCGTGTTAAGATGCTCTGCCCGTTGTCTTGCCTTTCGACGGCCCCTTCTTCATACGACCCTGATAGAGTTGTCCCACTCCGCAATAGTGCCAATCGGACAACCCCTACAACCCAGAAACTAATAAATACGGGTAGCAAGCCACTTTCCACGCTTAACGCCATCCCAAATATTGAGAACTGAGAGAGAGTGGCGAGAGCAAGGACCGATAAACAGGACAAACCGCGCCCAGGTAAGTCTAGGGTTGGGGCCATGATACCACCGAATTCGGAGGGGCCCCAGGAGAGCTCTGTGGGCTCATTTGTATCCACGTTGAAATATTAGACCACACCAGGAAGCAGCTTCACCTGATGAATATTTTGGATTGTGGGTGAGAAAAGCAGGTTTTAAATCTGGATGCGAGTCGTGTTGAAAGAGATTGCCTCGATTGATCGAGTTAAGTACATTGCAGTATATGAAGGATGCATTATGATTTAAATACCTTAATCTGCCTAGACATTTCTCTATGTAATGCACTATATGAATGGCCAATTCTCTAGGTAAAACGTGGAGCAACAGAGCTTCAAAACGTGGTGTATCATTGGGAACAAACTACACCATTCATGTGAGTCTCTTTACACAGCACGTCATTGTGTAGGGCATCATCTCAAGGCTAACTTCTTCACTACCGGAACCTCCTCATATCCATCCTCCATAAACACGCGCAATGCCTCCAAGCCCTTTTCCAAAACTTCCGTTTCAGGAACAAACCCAATACGAACATAGCCCTTGAAATCTTCTCCGCCGCCAAAGCAAAGGCTTCCGGGAACGAGCATCACACCGGTTTGTTCCAGTACCATCTCACAGAAAGCAACATCATCTACAGGCTTTCCCATTTTGCTGAAGCGCACAAATGCAGTGGTTCCCGCCTGTGGCTTGACCCAATCACAAGCCCACCGATGGTCTTCAATAAACTTCTCCAAGATCGCAAGATTAGTTCGGGCCAAGTCGATATTACGTTTCAAAAGATTGTGGATGCAATCAGGTGATAGTGCGAAACTGGCAATCGCGTCGTCAATCTGACCGACTGAGATAGTCGTGTAATCGCGTGAATCAGCACAATTTTCGATAATCGACCTATCGCGCGAGGCAATCCAGCCAACCCGCAACCCTGCCAGGCTGTAGGCTTTCGAAACCGATCCTGTCACCACTGTGCGTTCGTATCCGAGTGAGATAAGAGAAGGCGGGAACTTAGAATCCATGGGAGTGATTCCGTGAAAGACTGGACGATACACTTCGTCGGCATGAATTATGATAGACTTCTCACGCGCGATATCTACCAACTGCTCGAGAGTTTCACGTGGGATGATGGCTCCAGTGGGGTTTTGCGGGTTGCTATGAAGGAAATTAGTGTTAGCTAGACATATGATATGGACTGTGCGAGAGGATATCATACTTGATAATAATCAGCTTAGTGTTGGGACGAATAAGGCTTTTCAGCTCTTCGAGGTCCAATTGCCACCCATCGGCCTCTTTGGACTTCCACAAACTGACCTCTGCTCCCAATGATGCAGGCACAGAGTAGAGTTGTTGATATGTTGGGTAATGGCAGATGACATGGTCACCTGGGCCAATTAATGTATACAGCAACAAGAAGTTTGCTTGAATTGCGCCAGCAGTTATCAAGACGTTATCCTTTGGCAACTGGGCGGGTGTCTTCGCGGAATACAGATTGGCAAGAGTGGTGCGCAGCTTATCTGATCCACGGATTGCTCCATATGTGAGTTTGGTAGATTGAAGCTCGGTCAAAGGGTTGGACTCCTTGTCCTCGGACAGCGCGCGGAGATCGTCGACGGAGATGGATGCACAACAGGTCTCGGCGGTGTTATACTTGGCAATGGTCTCATACTTGTCCATCCACTGTACTATGGTCAGCAATTGTCACTTTTCTCACGTCACAGTAAGAAACAGAGGAGTGCCACCGAACAATCGAGTAATGCGGGGAGGTACCTGTTCAACTGCGAAGGCCTCGATTTTAACCATGGTGGCGTCTGGTCATGGGTACACTGAGATTCAGAGAATATGATCAAAAAGCTTCCAGGATCAAAGCTGTCCAGACTTATCCAAAGGCTTTTGTCTGGCTTGTCCGGGTTGGTGTTTACTGAGACCAAATCTGATGGTAACTTCTCCGAGCATCACGTGTTCCCCGCATTGAGGCCAAGATAGTGTTAGCTATGACTACGAATAAGGAGAGAGATGTAAGAAAGACCATAAAACTTCTGTTAATTAGCAACATAATAAGACATCCCTTCATAATCATAGGGTTAATTTTGCATAAGAGTGTCACCTAAGTCGCGGGTTCCTGACGTCCATGCAGCCCAGCCTCTCTCCGCCCGCGTCATCGTTGGGGCCAATCTCACCTCTCCACTCCGCCTCCGACCTTCAACCATACTTGTACTTCTTTACACCTCACTTTTATGGATGTCCGTGTCTGATAGCTTATTCTGATCTATTCGGTGATCAGCTTTCGCATTCCTTTTTTGGCTGCTGGTATCGCGCATCAGGGCTGCCGCCATCCTTTCCCCAAGATGCGCTTGACCCGAGCACTGCCCTTTACCCTCATCACTTTGACTCCTCTATTGGCATCGGCTACAGAATGGAGCGGAGTCTCCGACTTTAGCTTGGTCCCTCGATACGATTTCCTCGGCGATACACCACCCGGGTGCCCCGAGTGCCCAGCTTGCTTCAACTGCCAGCTCAACAACGACAACTGTACGCACTTTGCAGAGTGCAACAGCTTCAACGGAAAATGTTCCTGTCCTCCTGGGTTTGGAGGGGATGACTGCTCGGTTCCTCTGTGTGGTTCGCTGGCCGACGGCTACAACCGACCGCAACGTACTACCGACACCTGTCAGTGCAAGCCTGGCTGGAAAGGCATCAACTGCAATGTTTGCGACTCCGATTATGCATGCAATGCTATGATGCCCGAGGGTGAAGGAGGTGTGTGTTACAAACAAGGTGTCACAGTCAAGGAGAACTTCCAGATGTGTGATGTGACCAATCATATGATTTTGAAGCAACTCGATGGCCGCAAACCGCAAGTGACGTTCGGCTGCAAAGATGAGGATAAAACCTGTAGCTTCCAGTTCTGGGTCGATCAGAAAGAGTCATTCTACTGCGGTCTGGACACGTGCAAGTGGAGCATGGAATCGGACTACAACTCCAATACCACTCACTATGAGTGCGAGCATCTCCAATGTTCGTGTATTCCGGGTCGTTTCCTCTGCGGTGAGAATGGATCTATCAACCTTGGAGACTTCCTGGATCAGTTGATCAAGGGCCCAGCCACCTTCGAGACCACATCGACTCCCCAGGGTACGAAGAGTGTTTTCTCGGAACCGCAGATGAACGGCTTGATTGCTGGAGTCTTTGGTGATCCCAGTATTTTCCTCTCTTGTGACTCAGGAGAATGCATGTACAAGACCGGTGAACCTGGGTACACCCGTCCCGTGAAGAAAATCAACACTCCACTCATTGCTGGTGTGATTGCAGGATGCTCCCTATTTGTTGTTGCTGTCATCCTACTGGTGTGGTATCTGTCCCGGCGCGCGGCGCGCCGTAGCTATCTTCGCCTGTCTCTCTCTGATGACTCTGATGACGAAGCTGCCAAGCTCCTGGCGGATTACCGGCCCGCAGCTTTGTATTGGGATAATGTGTCCTATATCCTCAACGGAAAGGAGATTCTCTCAGGTATTCAAGGTGCATCCACACCAGGTCAGATAACCGCTATTATGGGAGCATCTGGTGCTGGAAAGACCTCCTTTCTTGATATCCTGGCCCGAAAGAACAAACGGGGAGCAGTACAAGGAGATTTCTATGTCAACGGCGAGATAATTAATGACAGCGACTTCAAAAGTATGGTGGGCTTTGTCGATCAAGAAGACACAATGCTTCCCACTTTGACAGTCCATGAAACCATCTTGACCAGCGCTTTACTCAGACTGCCACGGGATATGAGCCGAGCAGCCAAGGAGCAAAGAGTGTTGGAAGTTGAAAAGCAGCTGGGTATTTACCATATCAAGGATCAACTGATTGGCTCAGAAGAAGGCAAAGGTCGTGGCATCTCTGGTGGAGAGAAGCGCCGCGTTGGCATCGCTTGTGAACTGGTTACTAGTCCCAGTATCCTCTTCTTGGATGAACCCACCAGTGGACTGGATGCCTACAACGCTTTCAACGTGGTCGAATGTCTGGTGACCCTGGCGAAGACCTACAATCGCACTGTCATCTTCACTATCCACCAGCCGCGCTCGAACATCGTTGCTCTCTTCGATCGACTCATTCTTCTTGCCGAGGGACGTACTGTCTACTCTGGTCCTTTCTCTTCTTGTCAGCAATACTTTGACCAAGTGGGTTATTCGTGCCCGCCAGGATTCAATATTGCAGATTACCTAGTCGACCTTACTATGCATGCTAGCGTTGCGCACTCATACACGGATGAAGTAGCATCTGTGAGTGGACGTTCTGGTCCCCCAAAGACTGCATCTAGTAGCCTGAGGGCAGTCAAATCCGTTGCCAGCGCTTCCAATGTGAGCATGGATGACACGAGTGACTCAACGAGCCGGAGGCCCAAGAACAATCGACGGGTGTCTCTAAAACAACAACAAGATCGCCAACTTTACTCTCGAAAGCAGAACAATGAACGCCCAATGACGCCAAAGACGGATGATGAGAGTGCTACATTAGACGCGGCTGAGAATAACCAACAATGGCATCGTCTTTCCCGCCAGCAGGGCAACGTTCCACCTCAGATCCTTGACGATCCAGATCAGCTACCTCCTCCGGCTCCTGGCCAAAGTGACCTTGACATTCTGGTTGCCAGTTACGCCGACTCTGACGTTTGTCATTTCGTGCACGATGAAATTTTGTCTGCTGTTCAGAACGCCCAGGCTGCCAACGGCTCGACGAGTTCACCCCTGTTGTCAGAATCCAAGGGTTATGCCCGAGTTGGATTGATCCGGCAGTTTATGATCCTATCTCAGCGAACATGGCGTAATCTATACCGAAACCCGATGTTGATGCTCACTCACTACGCAATTGCAATCCTGCTTGCAGTTCTATCTGGATACCTATTCTATGGCCTCACCGATGACATCAAGGGCTTCCAGAATCGTCTCGGTCTCTTCTTCTTCATCTTGGCCCTGTTTGGTTTCAGCACTCTGACCAGTCTCAATGTGTTCTCGTCGGAGAGGCTTTTGTTCGTGCGTGAGCGGGCCAATGGTTACTATCATCCGATCACCTACTTTGCGGCCAAGGTTGTATTTGATATCGTTCCTCTGAGGTTGATCCCTCCCATCATCATGGGCATCATCGTCTACCCTATGACAGGCTTGATTCCGGCATGGCCCGAGTTCTTCCACTTCTTGCTGGTCTTAGTCCTTTTCAATCTTGCCGCGGCCAACATTTGTCTCTTCATTGGTATTATTTTCCGGGATGGTGGAGTTGCCAACCTCATCGGCAGTCTGGTCATGCTTTTCAGCTTGCTTTTCGCCGGCCTCCTGCTGAATCACGATGCAATCCCCAAATCAGCATTGTGGCTGCAAACTGTAAGCCTTCAAACACCTGGAAGTCGAGTTCCTGTTACTAATGATCCCAACAGCTATCCATTTTCCATTATGGTTTTGAGGCCTTGATCGTCAACGAAGTGACGTTCCTCACTCTTATTGATCACAAGTACGGTTTGGATATCGAAGTCCCTGGAGCATCGATTTTGAGTGCCTTTGGATTTGATACACAAGCCTATTGGAGCGATGTCATCGGACTCGCTGTGATATCAGGCGCCTTTATCATCATCGCGTACAGTGCGATGCATTTCCTACTCATCGAGAAGCGGTAATCATATCCTTGTTTTGTTTCACTTGATATTCTTAAGTATGTTTCTTGTGATGTATCAATGTTCTGCATCATGTTCTATTCTTTAGACCGTTGGAGACCAATCCTTCAGAGGTACATGAAACCCTGTATATTATGACCCATATACGTTGTCATTTTGTATATAGACACTGGATAGTCTTCGTTCTTAACTCTTTTCAAAAGTGTAGGTGGTAACTAAGTAGATGTAACATGCACGTGTTCGACGTCATCTTTCGGCTTGCAAAGCTTGTTCTCATTCCTCCCTCGATTCACGACTCGAGGATATTGTCATCATTATTGGCAATTTATTTCAGCTTGACTGTCTTCAAGCTTTAATTTCCCTCTTATCAAGTACGTTGCCAGCCCCGTTTGCGGGTGACGCTAATGGGCCACTTCCCACCGCCCGTTCAGGCTCGAGCGCAGTTCGCTAATCCCAACTTCCTCCAGCTTCGATCCACCTTCTCCTCCTCGTACTGTCAGGTTCTTTTCCCTTTCTCCACTGTCTTGACTATCCAGTAGGATATTATTCGTGAGTGAGCTCTAATCTCCGAGGACTTTGACTCTGTGCGATTCCTCCGCCTTCCTTGGGCACCCCACAAACATCTCCAATTCCGGCCTCTGCGAACCACACCTCCACCCAACCACTCTCGTCGGCACTTTACTCATCTCCTCTGTTTATCTAGCAATTGATATCTTCTTCATTCTCTTCGAAGGAACGTCCAACTCGCGCCCAACATGTCCGGCGAAGCGTGGCTCTACCTGTTGTCGGTGTTGATCAACGCCGTCAACCTCTTCCTCCAGGTGTTCTTCACGATTATGTACAGTGACCTCGAATGGTGAGTCTCTCTAGCTTCTTCTCCTGTATATTCCATCTTGGTCCACGTCAAATGCGAAATCTAAGCTGACACTTCCCCTTTTGCCAGCGATTACATCAACCCCATCGACCTCTGCAACCGCCTCAATGCCTATATCATCCCCGAAGCCGCTGTCCACGCTTTCCTGACCTTCCTCTTCGTTATTAACGGGTACTGGCTCGCCATCGTGCTGAACCTGCCCCTCGTGGCGTTCAACGCGAAGAAGTACGTTGGAAGCCCTCCGGGTCGCAAGCCCCTCTCTCACCCCGAGTCTGAGACTAACCTGAGTCTCTTTCGAATTATAGGATCTACGATAACCAGCATCTCCTAGATGCGACCGAGATTTTCCGCAAGCTGAATGTGCACAAGAAGGTCGGTTTTCTTGGTTGACGATCTGCCGTGCAATGACTGACTCGAACTCGTATTTTAGGAATCATTCATCAAGCTTGGCTTCCACCTCCTGATGTTCTTCTTCTACCTCTACAGCATGATCGTTGCCCTGATCCGCGATGAGGGCCACTGACTTCGTGAAAAGACCGAACACGCGATGCGCCATGGTCGTCCTGGCTAGAAGGGGCCGCCTGTCGGTGAACTGCTGTCATAGAATCTCGAATCGGTGCTCCCTGAATGTTATCTTCGGCTTGGTTCGCATTCGAATGCCCCGCAGCCCCATGACAGCGATGACACCATATGGCTTGGTATATCACGACCATTTTCTTGTCTTTCGAGCTGTCATGACTAGGGATGAGCAACGATTTCTTTCAGTCTTGAGATAGAATGCGATGGGGTGCAGTGGTGAGAAGTAATAGGCATTTCGCTTGAAGTGTCTTGGGCCGGAGAGGTGTGCTGGGTTGATTTGGACTATGATTGACTCGCAGTGGTAAATGTGACCTCTTCTGCCATTTGCTTTTGTCTTTAACTCTCTTTCTGTGTTGATCTAGCCAGTATTTCGGCCTGTGAATTGTATATACCTCCCATGCGGTTGGCAATGAAGAGCGTACGATACCCAAGGTTCTCGACTTGTTATTACCCTAGGTTTAAAGTTAGATTTTTCAAATGAAGTGCACAATTTGCAGATATTGTTGCGATTTCGGAGCTACAGACCAGTTGGGGCACTATCGGGATAAGGTTGATAGAGCTTGACGGTTCCGCGGCCTTCACCTCGCGGCTCTCCCGACGCCCGTAAAATTCCCATCCTTCACCAACCACCTTTACCAAATTCCGCCTCGACTCTGATACAAGACGCTGAAGATTGTGTATCTTTCATATTCCCCAATTCTATCATGTCGGCCTTACTAGGCGCTGGTTACGACTCCAGCGACGATGACACAAACGTGTCTGCGACGGCCGCAACCAAGGTCGTCGCTGCACCAGAAGTGAATACAGAGGTTTGGTCCCCACTACTCTCCCTTCCCTCCTCATTAAATTGGTCTTTGCGCCTCGATAGCTATGAACAGATAAGACTAACGGCCCTACAGGACCAAGCGCATATGCAGATGACCCTCGCCAACACCTCTTCTCAAGCCCTCACCTTCAACGCCACATACGATGATCTCACACGTCCCTCCCAGGGTCCCGTCAACCCATTCAAAGGCTCAGGTCCAGGAAATGGTATCAAGCGAAAGAATGTCCCGACTGGATTCGCCGAGGAAGCGGCCATCAGCGAGTCGACGTTCGCGGCGCAACATCGCACGTTCCAGAGTCTAGGCTACACGCGCAATCCCACACGACCAGATCAGTTTGTGGGAAATCTTGAAAATGCGGCTCGATTTGGAGGTCGTGATGTCGTGCAGATGAAGCCGACTAAGGGTCAATCCGCAGCCTGGCGGACAAAGCGCCAAAAGAAGGGCGACTCCAGCATTGTGGAAGGCGAGGGCGCATATCTGGGACCCTGGGCGAAATACCAGAATGACCAGCAATATGATTTGGTCGAGGTTGATGCGGAGGATGACCGTGAACTTGCTAGTGACGAGGAATACGTTGAGGAGGACGAGACCTTGGCTACCGCGGCGCCCATGCCGGCCATGAGCAAGGAAGCCACCGAATACGAGGGTGATCTGTCCAAGCAGGAGACTACCGAGTTCCACGGCTCGGAGGAATTCGACTACCAGGGCCGTACATATATGCATGTTCCCCAAGATCTGGATATCGATCTGCGCAAGGAACCTGGCAGCGTCAAGAACTACGTGCCGAAAAAGCTTGTGCAGACCTGGAAATCGCACACCAAGCCGATTACTTCTCTTCGTTTCATGCCGAACTCCGGCCACTTGCTACTTTCGTCGGCTGCCGATGGAAAGGCCAAGATCTGGGATGTGTATCACTCCCGGGAGCTTCTACGGACCTTCTCCGGCCACAACAAGGCAATCTCAGACACAGACTTCCACCCGTCTGGCAAGACTTTCCTCACCGGTTCATACGACAAGCAAATCAAGCTCTGGGACACGGAATACGGCAAGTGCATCGGACGGTTCTCGACCGGCAAGACCCCGCACGTCGTCCGTTTCAACCCCGGCGCAGAACACTCGCATGAGTTCCTGGCCGGTATGTCAGACAAGAAGATCGTCCAATTCGACACACGGTCCGGCGAGCTGGTCCAAGAATACGACCATCACCTGGCAGCCATCAACACCATCACCTTCGTCGACGACAACCGGCGATTCATCTCCACCTCGGACGACAAGTCACTGCGCGCCTGGGAATACGGAATCCCTGTTCCAATCAAGTTCATCGCCGAGCCATACATGTTCGCACTTACCCGCGCGGCAGCCCATCCCAACGGCAAATATGTCGCATTCCAATCGGGCGACAACCAAATCGTCGTCTACGGCGCCACAGACAAGTTCCGTCAGAACCGCAAGAAGAGTTTCCGTGGCCACAATAATGCTGGCTATGCCATTGATCTCAAGATTTCGCCTGATGGGCAGTTTATTGTTTCTGGTGATAGCGGTGGTTATGTTTGCTTCTGGGATTGGAAGACTGGCAAGTTGTATCATAAGATTCAGGCTGGCGGGAAGGAGGGTGGTGCTGTTACTTGTTTGGACTGGCATCCCCAGGAAACTAGTAAGGTAGTTACTGGTGGGCTGGATGGTATCATCAAGTATTGGGATTAAACAATTTGTGTTAGCTAGATCATACCAGCCTAATCAAGGCGTTCAGGCTTGGATAAATCATTTGGATCTTTCCTATCTGATATTTCATTCATTCCTTATGGTATACAGTAGCCTCCTTCTGAAGTAGGAAGTATACCCTTAACTATATCCTTAATTGCTATCACGTTGCTTGAATCAAATTTATATGCTCTAAACAAATATAAGAGAGAAACTGTACAGGTGCAAAAGAAAAACAAAGGGAAAAACAAAGTCCGGGATCCACTGAATCATAATGACCAAGAGACGTGCATATCATCACTTGTTCATTCAAATCCAACCCAGTCCAACTCACTAACCTTTTTAGATATGAGTAAAATTGCGGAAAGCCCTCAACCCAACACAGGCCAAATGCCGCGAGCACCGGAACAGCCACGCGGGCGAAAAATACCTGGGGTACTTCCACATCAAAACGGACAGAGCACCAGCACCAGCAACGAGCGCCCCACTCAAACCAAGGCCAAGCACGTCACTCTGGTGCTGAACGGCCTGGACAACTTCCGAATACCGCTGGTTACTAAAGCTAACACGAGCATATTGCGTCTTCCAGCCAAGGAATGGGAAACGACGGTCTATTGTCTCTTCGATGGCCTTGCGCAACTTGTAGAGTGGTGATTTGACGCCCGCGCGCATCTCGAGGTAATTCTCTTTCGAGAGATCGTTTATGGCGTGCGTATCGGCGCAGCGCTGGTCTGTATAAGCTTGGAACGCAGCCTGGCGTTTCAGGCCTCTTGTGTAGACGCTTGAGTTGGGGTCGTAGACTCCGTGTTTGTCGAGTTCCTCGAAGAGAACGCGGACGTCTTCCAGACCGGCGTTTAATCCTTGGCCGTAGAATGGTAGGACTGCGTGTGCTGCATCTCCGAGGATGGCGACGCTAGCGCCGAAATGGTGCGGTTTGCATTTTATGCTGATCAGTGGTAGATGGGGGTTCGCTGCGAACTGTTCACTTAGGGCTTCCGGTGTGATTAGTTCTGGTGATACGCCGGGGAAGTGAGAATCGAAGAATTCGTGCAGGTCCTGTGGTTGGGTCTCTAGGTATGTGTAGTGTGTGGATGGTGCGAATAATGTGCAGGTGAATGACTTGTCTGCCGATGGTAGCGCAATGAACATGAACTCGTGCCCTGGCCAAATGTGAAGATGATTCGGTGAAATGCGGAATTCTCCATCTTCCGAGGGTGGGATCCGGAATTCACACCATAGAGTGTCAATGTATTCTTGTTGGTAATCGACACGGGCGAATTTCATGAGATGGAAGCGCGCGGCCGAGTGTGCTCCGTCAGCGCCGATGAGGTAGTCAAAGGACACCTCATACTCCGGCACACGACCAGCGATACCCGCATCATCGGGCATAGGTGTCTCGCCGGGAATTCGACGTTCAAACCAGGCCTTGTTTGTGCGGAAGTCCGCACCAGTCAGCTTGTAGTTGAAGAACAGCTTGACATTAGGCGCCTTTTCCAACTCGTCCAGGAGAGCATTGTTAAGTGTTGATCGGTCGATAGAATTGATGGCCTTGTCAGAGTTAGTTAAGCTCTACATGCAGAGAAGCTACTGTCATATTGCAGGTGATTGCATACCCGGCCGTGAACGTCATAGGCTTGTGCAGCCTCCCACAGATCCCCGCTTTCTCGGCCGTGAATCATCCGGCCATGCATGGGGATCGCTTCGCGGAGTACATTGTCGATCAAGTCGGCCCGGTCCGAATGAAGCATAGATGTAATGCCACGTTCGGACAGTGCCAGATTGATCGACTTGGTGAAATTCAATGGCACGGTCGTAGGGTCCCGGAGATCTACGGATGTCCAAGTCAGATCGGGAAAATTCGCAATATATCGCAACTGAGTCATGCAACGTGCAAGGATTCTCGGGCATAAGAGCGCAGTGCAATAGAGATCGAGCAAGGCGAATTCTTTGGAATTGATACAGGGACCTTGCGAGACAAAGTTCCCCATAAGTAGTACATTGCCAGCCAGAGGCAGCAAGAACATACTCCTTGCCTTGTCCCAGCTGACCTCACATGAAACTTAGGGAGGAACAGGAATGTGACACAGGGAATATTTGAAACATACCTCCACGAAGTTCATATACTTCGACCTCGTCTCCTCTTGACGCAGCGTACAGCGCCGCCAGCGATCCCACCGGACCAGCACCTACAACAACCACTTTCTGCCTCGGAACAGCCATGTCATGCAATTGACCGAGAGGACCAGGAGGATGCGACAGGATGGCCCAGGTGGGAAGGAATAAACTCTCATCACGTGCTACGAAATCGGCCGAAGGCGTCAATTTCTTATCGGCTTATCGGTGGGCATATTCAGGCCTCAGGCAATAATTGCACAGGGGCTAGTCTAAATGTGGATTAGCGTCAAGATGCCTCCAAGGCCGCGGGGATTTTCTTGAAGTTTTGGCTCCATTTTAATCCACTCTCTGATATCCTCAGAGCTTTATATCCCACTTAAATCCCTTTACGGTCTGCCCTGTCACTATGGCAGATCCTCGCAAATGCCAGGGCACGGACTGCTCCAACCCCGCAGGCACTC